GATTTCGATCTATTCTCACCATATTTTGTTATTTTTCATGTACATCAACACAAGATCCTTTATATTCAATAAGGGTTACTTAGAATATTAGTCATAGATCATGCATCAACTTAGACATGTAGAAGTGTTCCACCATAAGCTAGGTGGGCTAGTGTGACACAGAGTTAGCAAAATAGCCAATGGAGGATCACATATAAAGAAGTGAGAGTAAGGCAATGTAGAAGGATATCATTAGGGGATGACAACTAAGTTACAAGGGCCACATAGGGTGACCAAGCTAGTGAAAAGGAAAAATGAAACTATAGATAGATAACATTCACGAGTCATCAAATGGTGGGAGCACCTTCAAAGGGTCAATAGGGATAGTAGGTGGAGGTTGATATGTGATTAAATAAAAAATATTTAAAGTAGAACTCATCCCCCAAAATATTGGCAAGCCAATAATATACACTTTTGTCCCAATTAGTTTCAAAATCTTAAAGGGTAAAGTACTATGAGGTTGTAATTTTGTGGTAGCAGTTGACAAAAATTGTTCAGGTCTCACTTGAATCATTACAAAGTCACCCTCCTTGAACTCCTTAAATTATTTGTGAGAAGTAACTAAAAACTTATATGTTTTATTACTAATATTAATATGATAACAAATCTCTTCATATGTGTTTCTAATATATTGTGCAAAGAACTCCGATGATTCTAAAACATTAAAATACATAGGTAGAGGAACAAGATCAATAGACATTCTAGGTTTATATTCATGAATTACCTCAAATGACCTCAATATCCTAGTTTGATTGATAGAATTATTATATACAAACTCAACTTGTTAAAGAGTTAAATTGAAAATCCCAAAGCAATCATTAATTAAATATCTTAAAAGATTTCCTAAGCTCTTATTTGCTACTATTTGAGGGTATAATCTATTAGAGAATTAAACTTTGTTCCCATTAAATGTCATAATATTTTCCAGAAGTAGCTAATAAATCTCATATCCTTATCAGACAAAATGATTTTAGATAGCTCATGAAGTTTTACAATCTCGTTAAAATATATTTTGAAAATCGTAGAGACTTTTGAGGTTTTAGAACAAGGTAAGAGGTGAGTCATTTTTGAAAATCCATCAATTACCAAAAAAATAATCATGATTCTTTTGGGTCTTGGGCAAGTCTAAAAAAACATTCATATTAACATTTTCTCAATAGTGGCTTGAAACATAGAAGTGAGTGTATAATCTAGTATTTTTCTTCCTTTGTTTCGCTAATACATTTGTATGACAATGTACAATAATTTTTCCCACGTCCCTCTTAAAATTAAAGTAACAAAATTGATCTTCTGCTGCCCCTATAAATTTGTTTCATCCAAAATGAACTAAATCATCTGCATATTTTTGATATATCAAAAAGTCTTACATAAAGGTATGTGGAATACATAGGCATCAACTTTTAAATAACTATCCATCATATAATACAAATCATTAAATTCTTTAAAATGATGCCTTACAAGTGTGCTAAAGATTTGACCAAAGTCAAGATAGTCTATTTAAATCTCCTTGATCCATTTAAAACCAATCACCTCATTGCCTACCATAAATAATAAGTGTTTTCTATGACTAAGGGTGTTAATAACTATATTATAAATCTTAGAGACAAATATGCATGCCTAGAGAAATTCAGCCCATCGCCACAATGAGGATTGAACTTTCTTTGAGAATTACTGTAACACTTCATAATCAAACTAATACATAAATTTTTAAGATAAAAAATAATGTTTCTAATACTGCAAAGGTTGAACAGTAGCATAGACTTGTTTATCATAAGTAGAACATTAAAGTTTAGCATCATTGAACTTCTTGCTAAAAAAGCTTACAAGGTTACCATGTTGTCTTAACACTCCTCCAATGGTTATCCATGAAGCATCACAAGCCACTTCAAATGTCTTAATAAAATTAGGGAGCCAAAGTATGAGTGTTTGAGTCATCTTTTCTTTAATCTATTGAAAGTCTTTAGGTGAAAAATTTAGCCACTTGAATGTCACTTTCTTCAAACATTTGGTGATTGGTGCCATAATGATACTAAAATTCAGAATAAATCAATGATAAAAGGTTGAAAAACTATAAAAGCTTTAAACATCATACAAATTAAGCAATGCAGACAAATAAATGATAACTTTGATCTTCTCAAGGTCAACAGAGAAGATGATGCCTTTGAATGAGGCTACAAAACCTAAAAGAATGACATGTTTTCTCATGAAGGCACACTTCTTAAGATTAACATATAAATTGTCTTTCATAAGTGTTGTGCTCACTATATATAGGCGTTTTAAGTGATCTTTCTTATTTTGACTATAGATAAGCATATTGTAAAAATATACAATAGCAAATCTGCCAATAAAAGGTAGTAACATTTGATTCATTAACCTCATAAGGTGGTTGGAGTTTTAGAGAAACTAAATGACATAACAAACCACTCATAGAGACCTTTCATAATCTTAAATACAATCTTTCACTTATCCTCTAGTTTTCTATGTACTTTATGAGAGATCCATAACTTGTCTTGTTGATGCTTCATAATTATGAGGGTTGAGCTTATAGTAAGATAACTTGGGTAAGGAAGACCCTAGGATAAAATCAATCACATGTTGAATGTCATATAGAACTAGTAGCTAATCTAGGAGCTCATTAGGGAAAATATCTTTAGATTCACTAGGTAGGATGGATGTCTCAATTGATAGATCTAATGGAAATTCTTAATTAGATGATCTCACTAAAACAAATCAATGTGTAATTTTCAGCTCATTCTCTTATTATATTTGACATATACTAATCAAGTGTAGGTCTTTGGCATGAATTGGTTATTTAAGATTTGATGTTTGAGAGTGATAGGGATGTCAAGTTATTTTCTTATCATTATATATGAAGGAATACATTCTAAGTTTCTCATGCAATGTGACATTCTTATCATACAATCACAATCTTTCTAGTACGAGACTATCTACCTCTATTGGTAAGACATTACACCATATTTTGATCTTCATAAGAATTTATTTTGAGGGGCAAAAGGTACCTCTTTTGAAGTGAAATGGAAGATGAATCTACCCACGACACCTTATAATTATTGAGCTGATTAACTAAGGTCAACCTTAGTCATAATAACGATGTAAGTAGAAATTGCATTAATATAAACCTCACTAGCCACTATAATCTTACATACCTTTCTCCTATCTTAACAAATGTGTGAAAACTAGATGTTTGATGGGTCTCTAATATGTATCTCAAGACTCCCAATTGTACATCACCAAAGTATTAATGAATTGAATAATTTGACTTGAGAGATTTCTCTCACAACATTCATTCTCTATAGATTTTTGAACAAAGTCATAATCAGCATTATACTTTTCCTCCTCTAATGTCTTAATTACATTAATTGATTTTTTTCCTAATATTGGGTTCATATCATATTTTACTATGTGAAGATTACAATTAGAATCTTGATAATCACAATACTCAAATCCTTGACATTTATCAGACTTATCTTTAGAGATACCACATTGAAATGATTCATTAAACATCATCTGAAGTTGTGAGTGGCATTTGTGACGACTTCTCCAAAGTCACGGACCCAAATTCAGGACCATAATTTTTATTTTTATTTTTTTCCTGATGATGACTACAATTAAAATACACTTCCTTGGACTGTGATCAGAGCCCCGCTTTCGATCCTCAGAGAGATCACCAATTGTAGGATAATCATGAATTATCATTCAGCATAATCCCCTCTCTCCCTCCCTCCAGACTCATTCTATCCACCCCTCCCCGCCGACTACTGATATTCCCAACAAAAATTGTCATTTTTGGCAAAAACATCGTCCACTGTCGTTCAGGTTGTCCGCTGATGACTGTGATTTAGATATCAGCACCTCACACGGAAGGGTGGATCGTCCAGGATTTACCTTCTTCTGAAGCCTACGGTTTCTGACCTTGGCGCTCTCCCTCCTAGGGCCTGCTCTGGCCTCCACTCTTATGTAGCGCCTAGGAGCACAGCGATTCCAACCGGGGACGCCGACGAGACCTTGCCAGGAGCCACCGAGTATCAGGCCATTGGTACCGCTGCGGCAGCCTACACACGGCGGGGCGAGAGTATGTAGGGAGGGAAGCACAGAAGGCGCCATGGCCAGAGAGAAACTCAGAACCTAGACTTTGTTCGAACAAGCTCTCTTGTTCGAATTTGTCGAGCAAGTTATGTGCACGATCTAGCCACCTACGATTGCTGCCATGGAAACCTTCTGCAAGTGCGGACTGGAGAAAATCTTCCGCCTTCATTTTCCATCCTCCGCCCTAATTACCTGTCCCAGACCTCTACAACGGCTCCCCGGCGCGAGCGAGCAACAGCGAGAGAGAGAGCGAGTTATTACAGAGGCTTCAGCCTTTGAGGCCCAAATTAGGCCCATAACGGATGTTACTAGGCTTAACATTATGAGCCTTGCGATCTCTAAGCCCAAGATGACTCATCGGGCTGTCCACGTCGGCATTTCACATAGCTGCTTACATGACTCCCCACGTTGACCTTTTTCTGGGAATCTTGCTTCAAGGCCCCAGATCTAAACATAATCATCATTTTCTAGGGTTTATGTTGCCAGTTAATTAGGCACATTTTCAAGGAAAAACTCGACGAGAAAAGTCAACGTCGTGGACCAGAAGTCTACGGCGTAGCTCACCGAGTCTGCCGAAAACCCCATTGTTGACCTCCGCAGGGAAGGAAGGGTTGCAAACCAACTCGTCCGGTTTCACAAATGAGATCCACATCCACTGTAACTTGCAGGAGAAGACGGCCATCTCCAATAGGGTACCGGAGATGGCGGCCGCCGGTGGTTGAACCGGCAAACCACTCCGCCTACCTCCACCAACTTAGCCTTCCCCGATCCTCCATCTTGACCGATCTTCTGTACAAATCCGCCTCGGTTTTTATCTCCCGTCGTCTCCGCTGCAACGGTCATCGATCCGTAGGATGATGGTGGCGCGTGGGCGGAGCTCGGCGGCGGCGGCGGCAGCGGTGGCTGCCCTGATGATGGCGCTGACAGCCGGGATGGGCGGCGGACTGGTCTCCGGCGCCGTCGTTCAGTTCATCTTCGGGGACTCCCTCATCGACGTCGGGAACAACAACTACCTCAGCAAGAGCCTCGCTAGGGCGACGCTGCCCTGGTACGGCATCGACTTCGGCAATGGCCTACCCAACGGGAGATACAGCAACGGCCGCACAGTCTCTGATATCGTCGGTAGGTCAGCGGCTTCTTCTTCTTCCTCCGGCGAAGCCTCCGGTTAGTTAACCTAACGGGGGGCGGCGAGTTGCAGGGGACATGATGGGCCTCCCGCGGCCGCCGGCGTTCCTCGACCCCGCCGTCAACGAGGACGTCATACTGGCCAGCGGGTTGAACTACGCTTCCGGCGGTGCTGGCATCCTCAATGAGACATCCTCATTTTTCGTACCTTCAAAACCCTAAGAAGCTCCCTCATCTTTTCTCCTTTTTCCTCTCGCTTACTCTCTCCCTCTGTGTTGTGCAGATCCAGAGATTGTCTCTGTACAAGCAGATCGAGCTGTTTCAGGGGACGCAGACGATCATCGGGAGGAAGATCGGCGGCGAGGCGGCGCAGAAGTTCTTCAAGGAAGCACGATATGTTGTCTCGCTGGGGAGCAACGACTACATCAATAATTTCCTGATGCCGTTCTCCTCCGACTGGTCCTACGGCTCCGACAAGTTCAGCGACTACCTCATGTCAACGCTCGACTCCCAGCTTAGGGTAAGTTTCCAAACCGCCGCCAGAGCGTTGCTGGAACGCCGCCGTGGGGGATAATGACGCCGTCGTCTTGTGGGCAGCTGCTGTACTCACTGGGGGCGAGGAAGCTGATGTTCTTCGGTTTGGGGCCGATGGGATGCATCCCCTTGCAGCGGTTCTTCTTGAGCTCCGGCGAGTGCAGGGAGAGCACGAACCAGCTCGCCCTAGACTTCAATAAGAAGGCCAGGCGGCTCATAGAGGGCCTGTCGGCAAGTCTCACCGGCGCCGCCTTCAGCTACGGCGACGCCTACGACATCGTCTTGGATATCGTCGCCAAGCCTCTCAAATACGGTGAGCTTCAGCTTGCTCCGAATCGCTGCCCACCAGCCGCCGCTGCCGCTGCCGCCGCCGCCGCCATTGACGATGTCGTGCCGTGGTTTGCAGGATTCAACGAGTCGTACGAGCCGTGCTGCACTCTGGGAAGGATCCGGCCGACGTTGACCTGCACGCCGCTGTCGAGCCTCTGCAAGGACAGGAGCAAGTACGTGTTCTGGGACGAGTACCACCCCACGGACCGCGCCAACGAAATCATCGCCGTCGCCATCGCCCGGAAGCTCGGAATCGCCCCCGTCAAAGCCACTGTGCCGCTCACTCGCTGACCCTCACCCTCCCCCCATCCAAATCTTCGAAAGTCAACGATGTGGGGAAAATCTGAGCATCTTTGGGGATCGAAAAGTATACTGTCAAAGCGTGCAACCCTCGTGGTCAATACGCCTGATCACCAATTCTTAACTATTTACATAGTTTATCACAAAGCAATATTACTCAAGAAGCCCTGATAAATTGGCCGTAGCGTGTGACCAGTTCAGATTTCTCGATAGGACATGTTTACATGTTCTTCTTTGGGTGAAAAAAAGGAGAGGAAAAATATGCAATGACCCCTCTATTTCTGTTACAACCTGTAATTTTCCGAATTAAACACTTCAGTTTTAGGGATTTAAATTAATTACTTGTCAACGCTTGGTACACGCCTTATGTATGAGGACTATTGTCGACCTAGAGGATGGCTCTAGGTCAAGCTATTTTGCCTAAATCTAGAAACAGCTTGCTGTGGGAAGCAGAGTTCATGAAGAGTGAGAATCCTTCATCACTCGTCACTAACCACTAACTCTAGATTTTGATGGTTGCCCTTGAGTCTATGATGCGGGAAAAAATGGAAACATGCTAAATTACCCTAAGAATAAATCTAAACTTACCCTCACAGTAAACTTACTTATTCAAGTTAGGTGAATCAGGTGAATCCCACAAAGATTTGAATAGAAAGAATGAAGTAATTAAGAAATCATCAAGATTACGATATCCCACTTCAGTAAATCAATTGGATGCACATCAGATGGGTCCTCACTTCATTTAAGACACTAGCTAAGCAGCCCAATGAACTATGGGAAATGTGGTAACAAAGTCATAAGAAGATATACAAAATATCAATTACTCAATCAGGAATAAGAAGAATTCAGATATTACCATAATGCTTGGAGAAATTCAACCCATCGGCCAAATATACATGCATGTTGAATTTATAATAGCTCTATTATAAATTTTAGGTTTATGTTTGAGGACAAATATACATGCTTGGAGAAATTCAACCCATCGGCCACATTGAGGGTTGAATTTTCTTTGAGAATTAAGATACCATAATGCTTCATGATCAAAATAATGTATAGATTCTTAAGACAATAAATAATGTATCTAATATTGCAAAGGTTGAACAATAACATATAATTGTTAGTCATAAGTGGAAAATTTAAGTTCAGCATCATTGGACATCTTACTAAAAAAGGTTATGATGTGACCTCGTTGACTTAACACTCCTCTAATACTTGCTTCTAAAGCATCACAAGCCACTTCAAATGTCTTAATAAAATTAGGGAGCCTAAGTACAGGACCTTGAGTCATCTTTTCTTTAATATCTGGAAAATCTTTAGCAGCGAATTTGAGGCACTTGAATGCCCATTTCTTCAAACATTTGGTGATAGGTGCCATAATGGTACTAAAATTCAAAATAAATTGACAATAAAAGGTTTCCAACGCATGAAAATTATGAACATCATACAAATTAGGTGGTGCAAGTGAATCAATGATAGCTTTGATCTTCTCATGGACAATAGAGAATATAACACCCTCAAATGAGACTACAAAACCTAAGAAAATGACATGTTCCCACATGAAGGCACACTTCTTAAGGCTCACTATATATAGGTGTTCTAAGTGATCTTTCTTATGTTAACTATAGATAAAAATATCATCAAAATATATGATAACAAATATAGCAATAAAAAGTAGTAACAATTGAGTCATTAACCTCATAAGGTGATTGGAGTATTAGAGAGACTAAATGACATAATAAACCACTCATAGAGACCTTTTATAATCTTAAATACAATCTTTTACTCATCCTCTAGTTTTCTATACACTTAATGGTATCTACTCTTATGATCAATCTTTGAAAAGATAGTGGCCTTGATCATAATCTTTAACATATCATTTGACCCTAATTTTATTCATAGCTTGACTATCTACGCACGTCCTCTAAGACTCATCCTTCTTATGTGCCAAAAGTGTTGGTGTAATACAAGGGATCATGCTCTCTTGAATTAAGCTTTCTTTAAGAGATCCATAACATATCTCTTTGGCTTTTCATGCTCACAAGGGCTAAGGTTATAGTAAGGTAAGTTAGGTAGGTGATAAGTATTAATTATCATAAGTTAATGATAAATTAATAACATATTTTAAGTCTTAACTCATCATAAATATACTTACATTTATGTTAAAGTAAGAAAAAGGGTTTTTAGTTGGTTAATGTAGATTTTTAGTTGATTATGTACTTTTATGTGAATTCATATAAATTTATAATCATGTTTTTGAGATAAAGTTAATATAAATAAAATAAAATAAAAATGTGTGAAAAAAGAAAACTTATTAGCCAGTCGAGCCCACAAGCTAGTCAGAAGTACAGTCGAGGGATCTATTGGTTAATCAAGTCTCAAGTGGGTTGAAAGCACAATCAGATAAAGGCACAAGCAAAGGGCTCAAGTGACTAAAGATTAGTTGGAAACATGTGTGCATTATTCATCTTCTACAACACTAGTGGTTGAATGTTCATGGGGTAAGGAGTGGTCCTACATGTATATTGATGAAAGAAAGAAGTATTGTGATATATGTGTCTCAAAAATCAAAAAATAATCAATGTGGGGCAAAACCTATGCCAATGCACCCTAACATGTTTAATTTTTTTTATGTCTAAAATACCCTAAGATTATAAGAAGAAAGTACCTACATGACGTCATTTGACAAAGGTATTAGTGTACTTATTTAAATCTCTCTCACACAAGTAGACAGTTGACAAGGGTTTGAATCTCACCAAAACTAAAACTTATATTTTTATTTGATCAAATCATGATTTTCTTATAAAATGTCAATCAAAAATTAAGTCATCATAATTATTTAATCATCAATAAAAATATTGTCATCGTAAGTCACAAAGCATCATTACTAATTGTTGAATAATTCTAGATAAAAAGATCGTGAATCTATTAAGAAAATCATTTTTGATTGATAAATGAATGAGACATCATTAAAAAGAGGACGATCTATTGGGAGATGAGTTGTCACCTCCTAAGAGCATACTAAATATGATGTAGAGCCTCCTCTTATTATGGGAACCTAAAGATGAAGTTCCATAAGACACATTGTACCTTTATCTAGTTTATCTCCGTTAAGTGATAGTTGTCAGAGATCCAAAAGTCATCATATTTCTTCTATATCAGGTGACAACAACTAAAAATGATTCATCATTTATAAGAAAATTTAGAGATTATTCACATCGCCAATGTTCAAAGAGGGACTTTGAGGCCGTAGACATAGTACAATAATCTTTTTAAACACACAAAATTTTGATAATCATTGTCAAAAAGTTAAAACTATACATCTCTTAATTTAAAATTATTTTTTACTTAATTTTATGAAATTTTCTATGATTTTAATTTTTATAAAATATTTAATTATAATTATATTAGCTTTTATAGATCTTAATTTGATCAATTAAATCATATGTATTCATTTATGTAAGAATCATCAAGTAGAACTCTATTTCTACTCAAATCATATTCCTTGAGACAATGATTTCATCTTAACATCTGCACCTAAAATTTCATTTTTCATAACTTTTTAAATATATTTATCTTTATCACTTAGTCTAAAAATCATAAAAAAATATATATTTTTAAAAAATATGAAATCTTATCAGATATTTTCTTGCATCACTGTGATTGATTAGAAATTTTTTTCACTATTTTTTAACATTTTTAGTAAATTATAATTAATTAATTAACATTAAATAGTTATTTAATCTAAAAATTAATATTTTTAGTTTTATAAATTTAAAATTTACGTGATTTATTATATAAAAATTAAGTCACGTTAGTAAAGAGGAAATTATAATAAAATTAATTATATGTTGGTCGTTGCACAAGAGTTGTAACTAATTTAAGAGCTCATTAGAGAAATATCTTTAAATTCACAAAGTAAGGTAGATGTCTCAATTAATAGATATAATGAACATTCCTAATTGAATGGTCTCACTAAAACAACTCAATGTGTAGTTTTCAGCTCATTCTCTTATTGTATTTGTTGTGTACTAATCAAGTGTAGGTCTTTGGCATAAATTGGTTATTTAGGATTAGATGTTTGAGAGTGATAGGGATGTCAAGTTATTTTCTTATCATTGTATATGAAGGAATACATGCTAAGTTTCTCATGCAATGTGAAATTATTATTATAAAACCACAATCTTTCTAATATGAGACTACCTACCTCTACTAGTAAGACATTACACCATATTTGATCTTCATAAAAATTTATCTCAAGGGACACAAAATACCTTTTTTGAACTAAAATGGAGGATGAATCTACCCACTAGACCTTATAAGGATTGAGATGATCAACTGGGGTTAACCTTAGTCATAATATAATGTAAGTAGAAATTATATTGTTACAACTCTCACTATCCATTATAATCTTACATACCTTTCTCCCATCTTAACAAATGTGTAAAAAATGAATGTTTGAGATATAAGATGATACAAGTCAACTTAATTTATTTTCATTTCTTTATTAACTCCACATCTCATAAATAGCTCATCAAATTGTGAGATATAATATGATACAAGTCAACTTTCTTGTTTAAAATTTCTTCTGTCATCTAAAAGTCTAAATTTATAACACATTGGGAGGTACTTTTCCTTAAGTTTTCCCCTCATCTCTTCCAAGTTTCAATTAGAATTAGTTGTCTCATCTGAAATAAGGTTTCTACATTCCTCTAATAAATCTTATCTTGTCCTAATAGCTTCATCTTGACAAATCTAACATTTCTATCATCATACATGTCTTACCACCTAAAGTATCAATTCATATCAGCCTCCCAATTAATATAGACTCTAAGATCTAAGGATCTTTCAAAATAGGGGCTTCAACTAACACTTTTATATGCCATTTTACATGGCTCATATAGATCATGTGCTCCTCTATTAGTCTTAATATATGGTTGGAAGTTTTCATTTCAAACTCCATGAGTGTGGTGAGTGGTCAAGCTAATAAATTGGTGGTTCTTGTGATTACCTTTTTGATATTTTTCTTGGGTATGTTCTAGATGACTAATCTTACCATCGAATTGGTTTAATCATTTTAATATGATCTTTACCCACTTTGGTGTATCGTCTTCTACTAAATAGTTAGACTACCTCTTTAATGTTGAATAATCATGACTCAACCTAGTGTACATACAACTAAAAAGTACTTATAAATAATGATGAAAATGATATTAGAATTGATAAAAAGAATATTATTGAGTATAACTAATACCCTAATCAAAACCCTAAACTCTAAAACCAAATTTAATGCATGACAAAATAGATACAAGTTAAATTACCCTAACAAGCAAATCTAAATTGACACTCACATTGAATTTAAAGAGTCAAGGTAGATAAACTAAGTAGATTGGGTGAATCATACAAAGATCTTAACATAAATAATGATGTAATCAAAGAATCATCAAGATTAAGATATCCCACTTCAATAAATCAGTTATATGTTAATCAAGCGAGTCCTCACTTTGCTAAAACACTAATTAAGAAATTTAGTGAAACAAACTATGGGAAAGATGACACTAAGCTTACAAGAAGAGATACTAAATAATAATCACTTAATCACAAATAAGTAGAATCCAAAGATTACCATGTCACCTAATTTGACAACTAATCAATAGAGGGCTCATCTTATTGTTGAATCCGTTGAGGGTTGCTCGAAGCATTAATCATAGATCAAGCATTAGTTCAATCTTGTAGAGGTATTCTAGTGCATGCCAAGTGGGCTAATGCGACATGAATTAGTAAAATGGCCAATGAACGACCAGAGATGAAGAAGTGAGAGTGAGGTGGTAGAGAAAGAAGACATCAAGAGATGACAACTAAGTTATGAAGGCAGCATAAGACAACGAAGGAGGTGAGGAGAGAAAATGAAATAGTTGTAAATAGATAATTACCTTCACAACTATTCTAAAATAGATATTATTGACACAAGAGGAGGAAATTCTAGAATCTATAATCTTTTTCTCAGAAAGAAGAATAGTACATGAGATTATATGAAACTAAAGAAGAAAGAGAGATGAGAAGAGAGAGAAAGATAATGAGTCCTAGTGGGCCAAGAGTTTGATACCACTATCGAACACTTCCCCTCAAGTTAGAGTATATAAGTCGAATATGTGGTACATGTGGTGTTGTAAGAAATGTTGACTAGACTCTTCGCGAAGATGTCCGCGAGATGAGCATTGCTATAATGGAGCATTGTGAAGTAACCGACCCAATCATATGAAGAGCAACAGTCGGCTGAAGAATTGTCGTAGGAGAGGACTGAGATGAGATAATGTTGGGAAGGGACGTCCCCAGAGCTGCGCGGGGCGCTAGGAGGCAACACGTGAGGTGTCAAGAGGCTGCACGAGGCATCAAAGGTGACGCACGGGGTGCCAAGAGGCAATGCGCAAGGTGTCGGGAGGTGACACGGGGCGTTGGGAGGCGATGCGGGGCATCAGGAGGTGATGTGGGCCGTCGAGAGGTGACGTGGGGTGTCGAGAGGTGACGTGGGGTGCTGGGAGGCAACGCACGAGGCGTCAAGAGGCGACGCATGGGGCGCCAGGAGGCAATGCACAAGGTGTTAGGAGCCTAGCGCCGCCGATAGGAGAAGGGCGCTGCCTAAGGAGGGCACCATCAAAGGAGGGTGGCGCGCCAGCAAGGGAGGCGGCAGCGAGGTCAGAAGAGGCCGAGAACGATGGAGAAGGCGAGGGTGATGAGCCAAAGGAGGTGGACGAGGAGGAGAGTCTGGCCTGAGAGGACACCGGAAGGCGACCCTCGGGGCGTCGAGAGGCAACGCACGGGGCATCAAGAGGAGAGACATGGGGCATCGAGAGGTGATGCATAGAGTGTCGTGAGTCAACGCGCAGGGTGTCAGGATGCGACACTTGGGGAGTCGAGAGGCGAGTGCCATCAAGAGGAAAAGTGTGCCACCGAAGGAGGGCATCATCGGAGGAGTGCAACGTGCCAGAGAGGGAGGCGGCAGCGGCATGGTGGCCTGGACAAGTGGCCAGCAGCTTGAAGGAGTGGCTGGTGGTGATGCGGTGGCCTGGAGAGGGGCGGAAGTGGAGGTGAGGAGAGCGGCACCAAAAGGAGAGGGAGAGTGACAGTAGATATGACGATGTCAGAAGAGGGAAGAGCGGCGACGCTAAAGAACTGCTTGATGAGGAAAGAGGCAGGCGAGGAGGAGAGCGGCACGCCATAGAGGACGATGACGAGAGATACTTAAGACTCTGACACCATGTTGACACGAGAGGAGAAAATCCTAGAATCCATAATCCTTCTCTCAAGAAGAAGAAGAGTAAATAAGATTATATAAAAGTGAAGAAGAAAGAGAGATGAGAAGAGAGAGATAGATAATGGGCCCTAGTGGGCCAAGAGTCTGATACCACTATCGAATAGATATATGTAATCTTCACAGAGCTTAATACTATGTTTCCCAATGAAAATATTAATTTGTCTCATTGTAAGTTTACAAGGGTTTTAGAGGTGTTCCCAATTAGAAAAATTGAATAAATTATTAATAATAAATAAAACCCTTTTTTAATGGGCCTAGGTTGGCATGTTGTTGATAGATGATTTAGGCTACTTTGGTCCCCACCACCATGAGAAGTGTTTGTACATAGGTCTCATTGATTTAATCATTTAAGAGATAGCTTAAGAAATTTCCATCTTTCAATAGTTTAAGGCCCCCTCAAAGCCATTGCATCAGGTCTAACAACCTCTAGAATTCAAGAGCTTGAAGAATGAGTTATTAATGGAGAGTTGAGGAGGTGGAGTGGGGATTAATCTAGGAATATTAATTTTTAAAGTGAAGGTTGCACAAAGAAGTGAAGTGCAATAACAAGATATGGAAAGAGTGAAATGAAAGAAACACACTAGATTTACTTGGTGATTGGGAGAATCTTCTTGAGCTCATAGTCTCACAAACTTCCTTAGAAGATAAAATAATCTTATTATTTACAACTAACATAGCCCCCCCCCCCTTAATACTGTGATCTTAGGATAATCTCATTAAGTAAAAATTAGAATAATATCCCTAATTGTAAATTTTATTATTGGGGTGCTGCCAACCTCAATACCTAGTCCATTCTAAAAAGAATAAGATTCTAGAGTACCCATTTCAAAAAGTCTACTTACATGGTAATTGATATAATAGGGATACACTTTGGGACACATTTCAAGTGTTGCTTAGGGTATCAACGGAAAAAGTAAATTACCAATAAATATCACTGTGATTAGGTTTCCTCAAGGGTGGACATGCAAAAAAGTAAAATAGACTTGCCTTAATATTAATGGCTCTCTCTCTCTCTCTCTCTCTCTCTCTCCCCTCTCCCTCTTGCTAGGAAGGTTCATAGGAAGTCCATAGGCTGCGTAATATTGAGTTTAAGGGTGGAGCTCGGTTTAACTCTCGTAAGCGCACTCAGACCATGTCTACCTCAGATCGTTGACTTAACATTTGATATAATTTAATCTAATCTTATTAAATTCCACTTAATTTCATTGCATCTATAAAGAGAGGCGTCTATGGGTGTGGACAGGAGATGTGATGGAGAAAATATATTATTTTGGAGGGAAACCGGCTAAAGTCGCATATGATCGTCGCACGAAACCATCCAGCTGACGTATGCGTCGGTCAGCGGAATGTTCCAGATCTTTCCACATACTTTAATTGAACCCGATAAATAAGATCACGAAGTTAGCGTTACGCTTACGTCTCTCTCTCTCCTCTCTCTCTCTCTCTTAAGGGTTGTGCAAGGGGGTGAGGCGGATCTTTCTGCGGGAGTTGCAGGTGGCCAGGAGCGTTGTGTTCTCAACGGGAGATGTTTAGAATTTTTTTTCCGGTGAAAAGAAAGAGAGGAAAAATGATACATTTATTTCAACTACAATAATTAATTTTCCCAGTTAAATGCATCACGTCTAAGGATCTTAATGGGCTCGTTGTATGAGGTTAAATGAGGGCACGGAAGATGCCTCTAATGCAAGCTATCGTCCCCCTCTCTAGATAGAGGTTCATGTGGGAAGCTGAGTTCATGAAGAGAAAGAATCCTCCATCGCTCATCATTAATGCCCATCAAGTCCAGATTTTGACGGTTTCCCCCGAGTCCATGGCAAGTGACTCTACATGGGTACCGTTGACTTTGGTGATTTAACAGAGAGAGATTACGAAAAATTCCCATCTTTCCTCAGCTTATGGGCCCATCAGATGCATTGTGACTTTACATGGGTAACGTTGACTTTGGTGATTTAAGAGAGAGCTTACGAAATTCCCACCTTTCCCCAGCCATTGTAACAGGTCTAGCGACCTCTAGAATTCAAGAGTATTAAGAACGAGCAATTAATGGAGAGTTGGTGGAGGTGGGGTGGGGATTATTCTAGTAAGGTTAATTTTCAAAGCTTGGGGATGAATATGTTACAGGAAACAAGGGCAATAACGAGAGATTTAGAGAGAGAAAGAAAGAAAGAAATACACCATATTTAGGTGGTTATGGCGATCTTAAAGATTTTAATAATACTCCTAATAATAAATTTTACTATTAGCGTGATGCCCGTTTGATGTGCGTCACATACCCAATCATGTGACGAGATTGATGGAGAGGGGGTCCATGAGTGTGGAGAGAGAATCACGAGCTGAATGGGGGGTTATCTTCTTCTGGAGGCAAACCGTCTCACGTTGCGCGTCATCGCCGCACGAAACCATCCAGCGCACCTATTAGTCGGTCAGTGTTCCAGATCTTTCCACACACTTCTAATGTACCCTATAAATACGCCTTTCACAGGCATTGTTTATTTCTCTCTCTCTCTCTCTCTCTCTCTCTCTCTCTCCCGCAAGCTGCCCTACTCGTAAGGGTGATGGCGGCGCAAGGAGGTGATTCGATGGTGAATCCACCACGGGAGGCGGATCTCTCTGCGGGAGTTGCAGATGGCCAAGAGCGGGATTCCTACGTCTTCTTCCCGGTGATGCTTGGGGTGATCCGCGCACCGGTGAGGGACGGCGAGGAGGCTGCGCCCTCGCCCGCTGCAGATCGGATCGTGATGGTGAGCCCTTTGACTCGGGGAGCGGTGGTCCTCATAATGAGAGGAGATCGGCAGGACCTAGCCGCGATGATGGAGGAGATCCTCGCGGCGGAGGGCGGCGCCGCCGGCCCGCCGCCGGCGTCCAAGGCATCGGTGGATGCCTTGCGCACGGTGAAGCGGCCGGAGGCCGGCGGTGGGGAGGAGGAGATGCAAGATTGCGCGGTGTGCTTGGATGGGTTGTGGGAGGCGGAGGAGGAGGAGAAGTGTGGGGCGGTGAAGGAGATGCCGTGCGGGCACAGGTTCCATGGCGGTTGCATCGAGAAGTGGCTGAGTATGCACGGGCTGTGCCCTCTCTGTCGCCATCGGATGCCGGAGGAGGAGAGGGCCGGTGGGAAGAAGGGCGGAGAGGAGGAAGAAATCGACGGTGATTTCGCCGAGAGGCAGCGGAGGGCGGTGGAGAGGACGATCCTGGCCGCTTTCGGATTCAATTGGGCCATTTCCCCGGGCTTGACCACACAGCCGCGACAACAATAACCAGTCCAGCAGCAGCAAGCAATGGATGATATTGATTGAAGAAGGATTTATTTCCATTTCATTCCCTTCTCCACCTAAATTCTCTCCGAAACCATTAGGGTTTTTTCCGTCGTACAGGGCTCGTATACAAATCCAGCTTGCAGAATTCGCATAATGTTCAAGTGGATTCGAATTCTTTCTGCAACTCCTGTTTATTCTGAATATATCAATCAAGAATCTCTCAATTCTTCCGGCTAAGAATCTCCTCTTCTCGGCGAATCCTCTCGGAGGATCAGCTGACGCCACTGGTCTTCCCGATGGACGACCTTCCTCCCCCTATCTTCGGCTCCTCCCGCTCGCCCAGAAGCCAGGCAATCCGGCATAGAGCAACGAACGCGGAGATCTGTGCCACGGAGGAGAGCGGCGCCCCCGGCATCACTCTGGTTCTTCGTTTTCAGCGCGAGCTTCCTCCTCGGATAACGCTTGGCCCCAAATATGTCCCTTTAGTGTCGACATTACCACGCGTCGTGTCACTCGCTCAATGATTCTTTAATGTATTTTGTGAAAAAACCCATTTCGTAGCAGATATTTTTTCGGTCACTAGTAATGGCCTCAAACGGGCCCAGCTCACCAAGATTATGTGAGCCATTAAGGCCCATTAAGGCCCGTTAAAGCCCATTAAAGCCCATTAAAGCCATTATTGACGACAGACGGAAAGAGGGAAAAACGGGAGAGAGAGAGAGAGAGAGAGAGAGAGAGAGAGAGAGAGAGAGAGAGAGAGAGGGAGAATTTGGGCTTAGGTGGCCAATCAGAGCCCAAGACTTACGAGTTATGGAGAAGTAACTCTATTTCGTATGTAATGTTTTTATGATTGGATTGAAACTATTTTTCATAAGCTTTAATCTAGAAATGAATAATTTTATTTAAATATTCGGAATTATAGCGCAGTTAAGACAGCTACTAATCACACACTAGCTCAGTTTTAAATTAAAATTATTTTTTTTATTTCATTGAAACTATTTATTAAACATTTTAATCGAGTGATTAATTTTATTCAAAAAAATGAATTATAGCCCATTTATACATCTACTAATTATTGACGCAGTGAGTCTATTTCTATACAACGCTTTTGAAATTTTATCGAAACTTTTTTCATTAATTTGTAGTCAAGTAATTAATTTGACTACAAATTAATGAGAGGTTTTAATCATTAACTTATTTTCTGCCGAATGCAATTGAAGAAATAGCGGCGATATAATCCAATCAACCTACTAATCCGATATTACTCAGGATCATCTTAGAAGTCAGGGGATTAAAGTATTTTCACGCGGACGTCTGACCTGATCCACCTATCCATGCCGTTTACGAGACTGGATCACGATCAAGATCAGCAGATCAGATCCTACTCTTAACTATGGAAAAGTAATATGCGCATAATTCACCAATTTTGATTGATTTTATAAAGTTCTAAGCCTTGGTTGACTTGATATGTTTCTGACTTTCACCTTAAAGTCAAGCCCAAAAGGAAAATATATCTCACCATTTTTCTTGACTCTCTCTCTCTCTCTCTCTCTCTCTCTCTCTCTCTCTCTCTCTCCCCCTCCCTCCTTCCCTCTCTATCTATCTATCGATAGCAAGTATTTCTTTCCTTGTGAGGTTAAACTAACATTAGAGATGGAAACAGTGAGGGGATTACAGTAGTGAGAGAAAGTTCATCGACCCACGAGGCATTCCCCCGGCTACCTGTTCAAATCAATCTCCTCCGAGCTGCTCTCCTCCTCCTGAGCACCGTTCAGGCAGTGACAACTGTGACCCGAATAAATTCCACCGCCGCCGTCTGTCTTTCGCATTGTCGACGGCTCGTTAGTCGACGGCCACTCACCCGCCTCTTCCGGTCTCTCCAGAGTAGTCAAGCAACTACTACTGGAACAGTCCGCCGCCGGCGATGGCGCTAGGCCACCATAAGAGAAGGATCCGCCGGCGATCTCTCTGTCCACCGCCGCCGCCATCTCCGTAGAGCTCCGGCTGTACACGGAGAGCTTCTCTTGCGCCTTCTTCAGAACAGATCGGATATACTTCTCCTGCGCCTCCATCCTGAGCTGTAAGTGTCTCTGCACCTGCAAGATATTCAGAGAGTAGAAGAAAAAAAGGCATACGAACATTCGTACGAGGGGATCGATTGAAACGACTCCTCCAATAGGTCATGAAAGATCTGACCTCGATCTGTTCCTGGAACTTGTTCGGCACATCCGTTTGCATTTCCGGAAGGGTCCTGAAATAGCACCATGGACGGCGGCCTTCAAATCTAACGGAGGGAGAATTCGCAGGAACAGTGATCGCTGCTTACTCGTGGTTCTGAGTTTGGCTTCTATCCCCGTCAGGAATGGCCTCATGGGTCTCAGCTCTACAACCGACTGAATGAAGAAAATGTGAGCCGCTGACAGAGAAATGAGTGCTCTTGGAAGAGATAAGGACCTCTCTCACCTCGTTCTACCTCGCAACAAGGCTCCGGATTGGAGTTGACGGCAATCCGATACTTCTGCAATCGGGGGCATTGGGAAGTAGAGAGAGAGAGAGAGAGAGAGGTAGCCATAGTGATCAGCCCACAGTAATGGCTTTCACTGAAAATAGGATATTTCGATTGTGGAAGAAGGAGATGGAGAATGCCTGCAGATGGCTCTTCAGATGACACAAGGAGAGCCCGGGGACGCCCATCAGCCTCATCACTGACTTAGGAGTCGCTTCTGCAAATCAATAAGTAAATAGTGGGATACTTGCACTGTACCAGGAGACGAGAATCTTGAGGAGTTTATTCCGGGGAGAACATACTGGCTGCGCCGCCGAGGTGAGAGACTGCTCCGACGAACTGCTGGTGGAGTTGCCTCGTCCACTTGAGCCTGGGTTTGGCGGCAGACGCCGGAGCCAACCTACGGTTACTCACCATCTCCAGCTGTCAATGAGGAAGACGAATTAAAGAAGAGGGGAAGGGGAAGGGAGACATATGAATGAGCTGGGGTTCCTCTTTCCTCCATTAATCTGCTTTCCCATGCACTTCTTTTACTTGAAAGGGGGGAGAGAATCTTTGTTGTAGTAAACAGAGAAAAGCTTAAAAGAAAAATTAAAGCTTTCAAGTTTTTGGACTCTCAAAAGCAGAGAAGAAAGAAGAAACGCGTGGGGGTTGTTTCTTCCTGTTTTCCCACGCCAATCTCTCTCTCTCTCTACACTCCCTCAGCTTATCTAGAGAGAGAAGGAGAGACCCACCATCCTTCTCATAACATCAATCTCTGAGGCCTCTTTCGTCCAGGAGAGGAACTCCCAGTTGTAGGCGGCGGGGAGCCCTTGGCTTTAGCGGTGACGGAGGAATCAAAGAATCCGATCCAAGCCAGGGAACAGGGAGGCCGGCCCTCACCTCTGCGCAGACTAATGGGGACGAGCTCTGATTGATCAGAGAGAAACGACCGCTGCTTGGAATCAGTCTCGATTTCGGATCTCTGGTCTTCGTCCCCCAGCCATTTAGAGAAGAAGGCACGGGTAATAGGACAGAGTAGGGTTGCTGAGGTGACCACAAGACCCGGGACCGGTCACACGGCGTGGACCCACCCCTGCTAAAAGCCCAGGAAACCGGGGCCCCCGTGGACCCCCGTGAAGCCCCCCAGCTCAGTCCGACATCAGTCAACGCACTTGAGCGAGAGAGAGAGAGAGAGAGAGAGAGAGAGAGAGATGAGCTACCCGGCCAATGCTATCAGAGCCCGGGCCCGAGTGGAGAAAAGTATTTTCTTTCTACAGGGATCTCGACCCGGAAATAATCGGACACTACCGTTGATGGTGTCTATTGGAAGTCAGCTTTTAACGGAGGATTCAAAGTCTGAAAAAGAATCCCCACATAAAGTCAATGGAGACGTGGAAGATCTTTGATGAGAGAGAGAGAGAGAGAGAGAGAGAGAGATATTCTGTGTATATGTGAGTATCTTTGTATTGTTCTCGATAATCAGAGCATGACTAAAGTTCTCGAGAAGGGCAGAGAGAGAGGAGAACACAAGCAGAGATTCCCAATGCCATTGGGTCTTCATCGTTCTCCTCTCCCTAGGGAAGAATTTGGAAGGGGCTATCGACCTGTCGTCTCCCTGGAGCATGGAAGTGCTCATACATGATGGTTAGCAGAGAGAGGAGAGAGAGACACAGGATGGGCCATTCATCTAATGGAAGTACCTTTACCACCCAGCGTGCTTACAGCTTTCTTTCGTTCAATTATGCTGGGAAAAGCAGATTCCAGCATGGCAATGAGGGGGGAGGGAGAGAGAGAGAGAGGGAATTATCAATGGGCTGGTTTGACCCTTGGGTTCAAAGGTAACCTTAGTACTCTCTCTCTCTCTCTCTCTCTCTCTCTCTCTCTCTCTCTCACACACACACACACACACACACACACACACTAGCACTAGATAGTGTAAAGACGGGGTCCAGCGAAAAGCCTACTCGCTGGATTTCAAGTATGCCTCCAATTAGTGATGGGAGGATGAGTAATCAGTACGGCTAATAATGTTAGAAAATGTACATGAGTGGTGAAAATTGAAAAAAAATGCTATTGTTGTCGTCAATGACTGTTTATTTACCAAGCACATTGATAGTTCATTTTGAATATCTGGTTTATTTAGTTAATATGCCACCAAAGGCTGTTTACACAATACATACGTGAAAAATGTTCTAAATATCTACAAATGGGGTAGGGTAATACAATTAATATTCATTATTTTTTTTCCTATATTATGTCCTATGTTTTTTCTATTTAAATTATATGGTTCATCTACTTGAGAAAATGCACCATATCATATTATTTGATATTGAAGCTATTAAGTTCTATTAACATCAACAAATATTTATATATATATATATAAATTTGTGTTTTATGCTGAGAAATTAAGCTGAAATAAAGATGCATCCTTAAAAAATTATACTGTTAATGATCGAAGTGGAGGTGGAAGTTGGGAGTAATGGGATGAATTAATACATAAATATTAGGAAACCAATCAGTCATTTCCTTCCGGTCGAGAGAGAGAGAGAGAGAGAGAGAGAGAGAGTTTATCAAGTGACATTTCTCCAAGAAGAAGAGGGCAACAATTATTAATCTAAAGCCATATTTTATAATCGACAACACTGGAGATTTCATGAGCCTCCACTCACGCCTTCTTACCATTCCTGGTGTTCTGCAACACCGTTCTCTCTCTCTCTCCCTCTGTCTCGCGCTATATATATATAGTTTTTTTCCTCGACGGCCTTTGTCGTCAGATGCACTTTGCGAATCAAATTATGTCGGTATATCTACAAAAAAAACAAGTGTAAATTGACAGCTGGATAAGACTGGAGCTAGGAACTCGACCTACCAGAACTTGCAGGAGGGCGTCAGCCAGTCTCTTACCCTCAACGTCAACAAGCACGTACAGAGTCTTCATGCATGCAAATGACGATCATCTTCGCTATCAAGTCGATATCACCCGTTGGATTGTCACAAACAAATGCCGTGCCCAAGCCGAATGGATCATCATCATCCCTGAGTTGGACTTGAATGACCTTCGTGGGTGAGAATGTAGTGGGAGAGAGGGATGACGGGGACTCCATTCCCTGGTCAGCCTCGACCAATGGAGACTCTGCAGAGCGTTGACTTCTGCACAACAGCAGGCCCCCTCGCCACGACTGACTGTCCCTTTAGTTGACGGGCTGAAGCTAGACTCTATCTCTCTCTCTCTCTATTTCTGCACCTTTCAGTGCCGGTCATACATTCAAAGATAAAGGAGCAGACTTAGACCATCCATATACTTACACGGTTTTATTTGCTTTTTTTCAAAGAGTAACCCAGATGTGTATAAATATTTATGTATACGTATATCTCTGTCCTGGAAACATTAGAAGGGCAGCGTTGACTGTAAAAAAATTGGTAAGTAAAGATCTACACCTCGAGTTGGTGTTTGCTGTGGCTGATAGCTCACAAAGGCCATCAATCGGAAACGTTTTTCATTCCTATCATTCTTGCACCATTGAGTTTCTCTCTCATTCCCTCCAGATAGCTAGAGAGAGAGAGAGAGAGAGAGAGAGAGAGAGAGAGAGAGAGAGAGAGAGATTTTGCAGCTAAGATCCAGACACAATAAGCTAAATTATCAACAATAGCTTAGAGGGATACACAAACTTGCTTGAAGATGGTATATTCATCCCCAATATTTCACATCTTACATGCGACTCTGTGTCAACCATACAACGACCCCAAAATGTCCATAAACATAGTTATATTTATCACACATAGAGGAGGTAGATAAGGTCTAAGGTGGTGGCCTGGGGTTGTGTTTAGTGTTGGGCCCGACTCCCGGGTAATCGCTGCTCGCCAAGTCCATCCTCCCCCTGGTGACCAATTCCTCTGCAGTGAGATCTTCAATGACAACCCTCTGCTGCGCCTCACCTCCTTGGAGCTTCCGTGGCCACCCTGCAACACAGAAATCAACAGCTTATCAGAGAAGACGGTGGAGGAGGACCAACGTTATTGGGAGGATGAAGGCTCACCTTCAAGGGGGAGTGCCGTGGGGCGAGTGAGGAGGAAAGTGGAGATCACTAGAGTCACTGCAATGAAGATAGATGCCCTCTCCATCTCAAGTTATGAAACCCTAATTTGGCTGCTGCCTCTTGTCTGTCCTCCACTTATAGGCATGTTGTATATATAGTCACATCGGGAGCCGCGTGGTTCTCACTTACTCCCCCCCTTCGCCAAAAGTCTTGAAAGGTTGGGCAAGGACACAGCTTGCTTCCGGCAAATGGGCATGTACCTAACACAACAGCAACAACATACCCTCTCTCTCTCTCTCTCTCTCTCTCTCTCTCTCTCTCTCTCTCTCTCTCTGTGTACGTGGTGGGTACTTCCCATGGACGTCTTAAATTGAACATAACCAACTCGAAAAGCTCATCAAGTCTTCTCTATCCTCTCATGTTGTCGTCTCCTCCCTCTCTCTCTCTCTCTCTCTCTCTCTCTCTCTCTCTCTCTCTCTCTCTCTCTCTCTATCTCTCTCTCGCTACTCCACAATCTCCGCTTTTTAGTCTTATCCTACAGGTCAACCTACCCCTCTTTCCCTCCCTCTCTCTCTATGTCTTGGGCACTGACCCTGGAAATCTCGCAAAAAGAAGATATCAAATTTGGGGCATATCAGTGAGAAGTGCCCACTTCGCATAGCGAGAGAGAGAGAGAGAGAGAGAGAGAGAGAGAGGGAAAGAGAGGTGGGGTTGACCATATGGGAAGATAAGCAAGACATGACGAGCTTGAGTAGATTGTGGACCAATGGAAGACCGGGGGGTACAAGTCAAAGGTGGGTTTTATTTAGTAACTCGGTGGGGTCTTTAAGCCACATGGGAAATGGCAGATAGTCCACTAAGATCAGAGATAATTACACGGAAGTCTCACGTTGAAAGTGACTAATTAATAATTAAATATTAGCATCATATATATGTATAGAATTATTAATTATCTACTGCCTTTAATATATATATTTACGTAAATATCTCATTAGATTCAAAGCCACGTCGACTCTGACCCAACCATTCAGGCCCAACACATATTCAACCCAATAAGTCGGATACCGTTGACCTTGGCCCAGCCCAATTCATCCCGTTGGCCCACCTCCGCGATGGAATATTCACTCACCTTCCCCAACCCCCGCTGACCGGGATCCGCCACCTATCCCCGGCCCCGTCGCCGCCGCCCCTCCGAGCGAGTTACACGACTTCAAATGAGGTCAACGTCTATGAAGGATCGTCAGCAGAGGACGACACGTGGGATTCTCTCGCAGCAGTTGAGCCGGACCGCCACCAATCTCTGACCTCTCGGAGTCCCCGGAGCCGCAGGTCCCTGTCTGAAAGATCAACCCAGCCGCCGGTTCTCGCTCTAACTACTCGCGACGGAGGACTAAAGGCAAAGGAAGGGAGAGGAGACGTCCACGTTGGCCGTCGGCCCCCCCTTCCGCCGCCGTTTCGTCGCTTTCCGCCGGCCTTCGCTGCCGTCGGTGGCGGCGCGCTCGGTCGCGCACGTGGGAGGTTTGCAGAAACCAAAATAATTAGTAAAAGTAAAGGTAAACGTATCTATGGAAAATGATTAAAAAAATATTTGAATGAAAGTATCTGGTAATTAAATATTCGAGGCATTTATAAGATCATAGGGGTACATTGAAAATATATTTCCTTTCAAGGGATCTTTTTGGGATATTCCCGGCTTTCTCTCTCTCTCTCTCTCCCTCTCTTTCGCTCTCTGTGTACGTCTGTTGCCTCGGCATTTCCGTCCGTCCACAGACTCCGCGGAGGAAAGAGAGAGAGAGAGGTGGCGGATATAATCGTACTCTCGGGTCTTCGCGTGTGCCTCCCCCTTTTGCGAAGCGGCGTCGTCGATAGCTTCGAAGGTATGCAGTTCGTCGCCCTCTTCTCCCTTCCCCTCTTTGCATGTTTCCCAGGTATGCTTTCGCCTGCTGCAAGGTTGTTTTGGATTCTTTCTTGTGATTTGGATTCTCCACGAGTTTCTGCGTTTTGTTTTCAATTTTGTGCTGTTTTCGGCGGCTTCTCTCGGGTCTCTTCGCCGCGGTGTGGTGTTTTGAGGGTTTCTGATAGGGTCCTGGATCTCGGCAGACAACCACCATAGAAAAGACGGAAGATAGGCAGAAAAGAAGATTAACGAGAATAAAGCATAGATTGGGCTCCGAAGAACCCTAGAGTTGGTCGGGGACGGTCGAGAGGTCCTCCGCTCTCCCTCTGCAGCAGATGCCCTCGAATAACTCCTCGACAACTTTTTCCCTCTACGACAATAAGAAACCCCAGAGTTGGTTTACTGATCTGCATTTTTCATGGTCTGCATGTGAGGTCCATTAAAAAATAAGAAACAATGTTTTTTGTTTCCAGTTTTCTTTTTTGTTTCTAACTCTTCTTTGAAACCCATGAATGATGTCTCTAGATTTTCAATCAGATTGCTTGTTACTGTTAGAGCTAGCTCATCTCTTTCTTCGTAGATTTATTTCATGTAATTATTAGGCTGCTCATGCCAACACAAAAACGCGCAAAAATTTAAAGATTTATGGATTTCTTTTTATAGTTGTCTGATTGTTCATTTTTCAAACATTTCTGCCTCTACCTTGTTCAGGATCCTATCAAGAATTCCAGATAAAGCTGTAAGATGGCTGCATCAACAGCAGCAACTCTCTCTCTTCGTTCGGTCTCATCATCCAGTACCCAAAATGGGTCTGGAGCAAAAGCTAAACCGTTCGCAATGAGTTTGAGCACCCCAAAGGCATTAACCAGCTTCTGTGGTCTCAAGGCTACCTCTTCCATAAACAGTGAATCAGAGGCATCCTTCTTGGGCAGGGAGAGCACTGCTGCTCTTCGGCAGTCAGTTACCTCGAGAGCGATCGCCCCAGTGAAGGACTCCATGCAGCCTCTCCAGCCCCAGGCTTCAACTTTTAAAGTGGCAATTCTTGGCGCTGCTGGAGGGATTGGACAGCCATTATCGCTTCTCATCAAGATGTCCCCTCTGATCTCGGCATTGCACCTCTACGATATTGCAAATGTGAAAGGAATTGCAGCTGACCTCAGCCACTGCAACACCCCTGCTCAGGTGCTGGATTTCACGAGCCCTGCTGAATTGGGCAACTGCCTCAAGGGAGTAGACCTGGTCGTCATCCCTGCAGGGATTCCCAGAAAACCCGGCATGACCCGTGACGACCTCTTCACAATCAATGCCAACATTGTGAAGTCCCTGGTTGCCGCTGTTGCAGACCACGCTCCTCACGCCTTCATCAACATCATCAGCAACCCGGTGAACTCCACAGTCCCAATTGCCGCCGAGATCCTCAAGAAAAAGGGCGTATACGATCCTAAGAAGCTTTTTGGCGTCACCACGTTGGATGTCGTCCGGGCCAACACCTTCGTCGCACAGAAGAAGAACCTCAGGCTGATCGATGTGGATGTTCCAGTCGTCGGTGGCCATTCAGGCATCACCATCCTGCCGCTCCTATCAAAGGTGAGGCCATCAGTGACCTTCACTGAAGAAGAAGTGGAGGAACTCACGGTAAGAATTCAGAATGGAGGGACAGAAGTTGTGGAGGCAAAGGCTGGTGGAGGATCGGCAACCCTGTCAATGGCCTATGCAGCAGCACGGTTCGTTGAGTCCTCCCTGAGAGCTCTGGATGGTGATGGAGATGTTTATGAGTGTGCCTTTGTGCAGTCGGAGCTCACAGATCTTCCATTCTTTGCCTCTCGGGTGAAGATTGGGAGGAAAGGTGTGGAAGCTGTTATCTCTTCTGATCTCCTGGGTCTGACCGAGTTTGAGGCTAAGGCCCTGGAAGCCCTCAAGCCAGAGCTCAGGGCCAGCATTGAGAAGGGCGCCAAGTTCGCTCAGAAGCAAGAACCTGCAGGAGCCTCGGTCTGAATCACTCTATCAATTGCTGGACAATACGATTGATTACATGGCAGTCCGACGAAACATTGGTCTCCTTCTTTTCTCTTTCTTTTTTTTTTTCGTTGGATCAAGTTTCCTTCTGGGTTCAATAACATGTTAGAGCAGGAACCAGAGCCGCTGTGCCTCAGCTAGAAGACTACTACCTCGCTCTCCTTCTCCCTTTTTGGTTCTTTCATAGACTTTATACGACTGGCCCTATGGTCAGACTTGTTTGGGATTTATTTTTTTATTTTAAATCTCCTAGGATTGATCCGATTTCTTTGTTTCTCTTCAGAATAATACATTGGATTACCAGGAAAAAAAAATTTAATGTGATCCATATTTTTCCGAAATAATGCAGATATTATTCGTGTGGTTTGAATTGCTAATTCCCACTCACTGTCTGGCTTCACCTTCATTCCCCAGCACTTTATATGTATGCGAGTGCTCTGATTATCACGCTTCCACTCAGCTCAGAATCAGTTGGTGATGAGCGGAGTGGGATTATATTTTTCTTGTGGCAAATGATTTGGGATTGGTCTCTGCCATTTGGTTTTGAGTGGGATGGCCCAAGATCTTTGCATGGCTCCAATGGCTGGTCTTTGGTCAATTTTTACTCGCTCTCCCTAAGTTGACTGACAACCAGAATGCACTACCTCAAGACTAATTGACAGTGGAATTGTCTCTGCACAGAAACTGCATAAAAAGTCAACTTTTGAACGACCTTGGCATGCCACTGGGTTGGTTACTCGAGTTGACAAAGTATGAGATTATTTTAGCCGAGATTAATTGATAAATGACTTATGGATCATAGAAGTGGACTGTATTTGCAGGACTTGTAAACATAGTGCAGTCAAGACTTGGCTATTTTTGTCTTTTCTCTATGAACTTGTAAGGTCTATGAAAGGCCAATAAACTATCGTTTCCCCAGTGCGATTTAATATATCTTTCTGTGGACGTCATTGAGAGGTCATAGGAATGTCACCTTCATATATTAGGTTAAGAGTATAACCTCATGGTAGAATATAAGCATACCTCATCACTTGCATTCTAAGTTAGGGCATTGTAAACCTAACCAAGGAGGGTGTCGATATAATCTTGAGATGGATGACGATGTTCTCCCATGGGCTAAATTCATCGTATATGAACTAAATCACCTATAACATAAGATGGACAAGAGGAAAGCCAAACGAGAACCTGAAACCTCTTTCAGTCAATCCACGGCCCCTCCCTTTGAACAAAATAGAGCTTGATCATTCCCTAGGGATCGGTACCAAAGAAGTAATTGTATAATGATGATCTTCCAAAACTTTGATGCTTCCTACAAAAAATTTAAGATTGATTTACCCACATTTTAGGGTTCCTAGAATCCTAAGAGATATTTAGATTAGAAGGCCGCCATAGATAATTATTCTGAGTATTGTGAGATGTTAGAGGCCAAAAAGATTAGATTTGTTGATTGAAATATATCTATGTGGAACATAGATCGCCTATTAGAGCATGAGGTCAAGAACCTATAGAAACTCAGGCTGATATAAAAGCTAAATTGAGGGAGAAATATTTACCCATTAATTATTAAATTCAGTTATTAAATCAAGGGCAAAAGCATCAATTACCAATAGTGTTCATAATTAATTTGTTTAGGTGCATATTAGGGTAGAGGATTCATCATTTTTCACAACCCTTTCTCCTCTGGTGACTCAACATGAAATTCCTGATGATAAACCACTTGAGAAATCCAAAATTAAAGAGCTAAACTAGTCACTAATGACTTACTTTATGTTAGTGACTCTTATGTGTTAGGAACATGAACATCATAACTATTAATCCCCCACTCATAATTTTCATGAGAGCGAGTTTGAAGTTAAATTGATATTCATAGAAGACATCACTCCACTAGAAAAATAAAAGCAAGTCTAGGAGAGAATGTTATAAAGGTGGAATTTTTGTTGATTACCATATGAGTTAACGCTTAGATGGCATAAGTGTAGTTGACAAGAAATCTCTTTTAACCCAACTTAGAAGTTGTTAATATTTCATGTAGCCGTCCTAATGTATATAAGGTATCATGAGTAAATTTATCTTTTATTTTCATTCTAAAAAATTATATTGTGTTCATTCAAATCATGTCTTACAAATATGACACACAATACATAAACTCTAAAGCATGTTCCTTAATGTTTAAGTATAGAAACATCATTTGATTTCTATATCATCAACCTTGACTACTTGAACTTTAGAAGTTAATTATAAGAATCCATGCTTCCTAATACACAAGTATATTTTTATTAGAAGTTGAACTTGAATTTTATTATGTCCCATTATTGTTTTGAAATGTAGTTGATTTGATTTCATGACAACACAGGTTTAGAGTTAAAAGTTGGTAGAGTCCTTGTATTAGTTAGTATTCATAACAAGGTTAAATAATTGTCTAATTTTCTCTCATGTATGGTTCAAATATCTAATTTGGCCTGATTCAAGTGTAATGTTTTTATATTTTTGAAACAAATCAAAATGATTGCATATGTTTTACAAGTTCCACTAGATTGAGGAATTAACTCAACTTTTAATATTTCGGATCTTACATCTTTCCATGGATCACCAAATATTCTCAGCAAGATGCTAGAGCCTAACCATTCATTCTAAGTGACACCTCACCTAAATGTCCACCGACTATCGTCCCATTACGACATTAACAAACAAAAGAGATATTGAATGAATGAATAATTTTATGACGATGGAGAGCTTCGGAGGACATGGTTATTTGTCTTTTCTCTATGAAGCTGTAAGGCCTATGAAGGCCATGAAACTTCTTTTGAGAGAGAAAATGATGCGGATGATTCTAAGGACATAGTGAGAGAGTAAATAGAAATACTGTTGACGTCACAATTTAAAAATCAGAAAAATCAAGAAACGAGAATTTGGAGGTCAGGTTAAGGCTCAAATCATCAATGAGCTGAAGAAAGCTTTGAACAGCCAATTTAGGCAAACCACTAGGCATAAGGTGCTCAAAAGGTAATAAAACAGATCCGACTTATCATAGAGTTACGATCCTCTAATATTAGAAAAGTGATTATCTTAGGAACACTCGGCGACAATCACAAGAAGAATATATTAAATGAATAAATGAAGACTATGGGAAGGGTGAGGGATTAGTAGCCAGGGAAAGACTTTGGCTGGCGAGGCTCAAGGTCGCAGACGTCCTCGAACGAGTAGGACGATGGCATCTGGTACAGTCTGGATAACGTTGGGCAGACGACGCAAATCACTAGGATGGCGACGAAGGAGGGCGAGAAGGCAGTCGGTGGTGGGCAGAGGCAGAGAAGGCGGCTGGTGGCGAGGCAGAGGCAGAGGAGGAGACAGTGGCAGCGTCGGAGATGGCGGCGGTGGCGATGGCAAACGAGTGTGTTGGCGGCGGCGGTGGAATGGCGGAGCTTCACCTGGGAGCAGCGGCCCTATCGACCAACCCTACTGGGGCAACATGTTCTTCGCAACCAACTCTCGGGGGCGGAGAGACGAATGAAAGGAGTGGCTTCTTCCATTTTCAAAAATCTTCTCCCCTTAAGGCAATGGTTCGGGCCTTATATAGGCCTAACATGAAAAATAGAAGATGGACTGAATGGGCCTCCACAGTAAAAAAATGAGCCCACTAATACTCGCCGGAGTCTGGATTTGCGGTGGGCATCGGGCCCACATCAGGCTAGGCTGAGCTCGGTTCGCCTGCTTGGCCTTGTTCCTCGTCCTGCATCAGGGAGAGTATTTTGAATGAGATTTCCGCCTTATTTCGCCCCGCTTTTGGAGTTGGTCGTGAGGAGCCCGTCTCCCCGGTATCTCGTCGATTTCCGCCTTCATCCCCGCTTTACAACATCCAGCCACCATCCGCCGCCGTTAACTGCCGTCCGTCCGCCCGCCTTCCTTCATTGTCCTCCGCCTTGGTCGCCCACGTCCGTCGCCACTCCCCGACTGCGTCGCCGCCGTCCGCCGTCCGCCGCCCGTCATCGCCCATCGCCGTCATCGCCGTCTCCATCCGCTGCCACCGTCTGTCACCGCTTCCGCCATCCCTTCCTCCGCCCACCGCCTGTTCTGCTGCCGCCGCCGCCGCCGCCGCCGCCATCCCTTTCGCCCGTTCCGCCGTCGCCCGATCCGCCCTCTCCGGACGATTCCCATTCGTGCCTCCGGTTCGTGAACCCGCAGTCTCCCGGCCCGAACGGCCCAGTTCCGCTTTACCAAACCGGCTCGACCGCCTGATCCGAGCCAACCCGCCGTTCCGGTTCAAACCATTCTGGACCGCCAGGTCCGCACCAGACTGTCTTGCCGACCCGAACCCTTCTGGACCGCCTGGTCCGCACCAGACTGTCTTGCCGGTCCGAACCCTTCTGGACCGCCTGGTCCGCACCAGACTGTCTTGCCGGTCCGAACCCTTTTGGACCGCCTGGCCCGCGCCAGTCCACCCCCGTCAACCAAGTCGACCTGGTCAACGGTCAGCAGTAAAACTATTTTAGAAAAATATGTAATATTGTATTCCGTCATCCGTCGGCACCCGTTCAGCGACCGAAACCCTAGTTTCGGTTGCGACGGCTTCCCGGGGCTCCGGCGACCTCCAAGCTTCTCCATCTCCTTCTGAGTACCCCGAACCAGAGTCTTCGACAAGCCGCATCGTCGATAGCTTTGGAGGTATGCAGCTCGTCGCCCTCTTCCCCCTTCCCGTCTTTACATGTTTTCCAGGTATATTTTCCTCTGCTGCGAGGTTGTCTTCGATTCTTTCTGGTGATTTTTACCCGTGATTTATTTTCTCTTCTTTTCCAAGTTTTTTCTGTTTACGGCAGCTTCTCTCGGGTTTCTTCTCCCCATTGTGGTCTTTTGAGGGTTTTTTCTCTGCGTTCTTCCTATGCCGTATTTTTTATGGGAAAGGGCGGGCTCACCCCTCTTCTTTGGTACCGTGGGTGAAATTTTTTGCATCGGCTAGTTTTTTTGGACTGATTTAAGGGTTGGTTGTGAGTCTCAATCCGGACCCAATCTCTTTAGTTTTTGACAATGACCTTCGTCTACGCAGATTGGGGGTCTTCGGGGTGTCTCGTTTTGGCAGGAAATTTTTTCGGCTGTCAATTTACTGAGAATCTGAGGTCCTGGTGTTTCCAAATTGCGAAGTTATTGTGGAAGATTCAGGAAAAGAAGGAGCTCTGTCTGGAGATCTCCGTTCTATCGTGGAGGGTTGCAGGCAACCCGAGCGGCGGCCAAAGCTGGAGGCCCCCGGAGCCTCCGAAACCGATCCTCCAGGTTTGCTCCATCCTGCCCATGTTATTGTCTCAGAACTCTTTTTAACCATTTTATGAGTGAAAAGAGAGAAAGAGTAAAGAAGCGGTCTTTCCTGGTTCATTCGAGGGTCATTTGTTTCATATTCCCTTCTGTCCCTACCTCATTGCTCTTTATTTTGCCCTGGGCAACGAGGTGGGGGGTGGAGGTGGTCATGGCCATCGTCATGGACAAGCATCTATTTCTGGATGACCACTCGTTCCTTCTTATTCAGTCCGTGGTGTAATCATCTGGTCTGTCCGATTCTGATGGTAACCTTCTTTCAGGGTTGGTTATGCCTCAGCCGTCAGGTGGTCTGGAAGGTGAAACGAAATCAAAAATAATGGAGTCTCCATTGGATGATAGAGATTACGTAGATGTTAAAAATAATGGCAGGATCAGCAGCTTCAATGATTGTGAAGATAATACAGTCGATGCAGAGAGTTTATCTGGTCTTAACCATGATGTCGAAACTGAATCGGATTTAGATGTAGTCGGATGCCCAGACGTATCAGGTCGAGCGACTGGAGAAGTTCTTGGTGATGATACAGACACTGCTGAGTGCTCCAGCTCTTTTGGTGAGACTTCTGATTCTGATGAAAGACATGAGCGCGATGCAAGCGACGCAGAAGTTGACTCAACATTTTATGGTGAAAACAGCGATTCTATTCCTGTCAACAGGGTTTCCAGGGTATGCAGGTTTGTTCCTCATCTGTAGAACTTCCTCTGGTTTTTTTTGTCTGATTTAGGGTTTTTGATATCTTTTTCATCAAAGCATGAACTGGATGAAGTTCTACTCATTTAGATTGGCTCGGGGAGGCTAGATTGTCTGGAAAATACGCTCTGATCGATATATAATTTACTACAATTATTTCTCGAGCGGTACATCATTGTCTACTCCATCTTCTTGTCCAGCATTCTCTCTTTGCTCTCCTATAATCTTCCTCAAATGGACTGCCCTCTCTTCCTTGTTTAGCTTCAGCAACTAACAGACAATGCTTGTCATGCTTTTTCTAACATTCAGCTTTGATGTCTCTTTGCCATGGTTTCAATACCCTCCATGATAGATATCGTATTAACAGACCATCCAAAGAGTAATTGACAGCTACTATTAGTTGGTCTCTTGTCCTGTTAAGGTCCCTAAGAACCGGTTAGAGTAGTTTTATGTTCCATTTTCGTCACTTTAGCACTTTCTTTCTTTGTTAATTCGTCCTAGTTCTATAAAATTTTCACATTATTGGATGCCATCTCACTTGAGCCTGATTTATTTTAAAAAAAAATAACAGCACGTATACATATATTGCCAGGCATTGAATTCAAAATATTAAGGAGTGTGATTTTCAGTTTAAAGAACTCTTTCGACGCCAACCTGGATAAATTCTTGATGTTGACAGCCATGTCTGGTGCTCCGCGTGAACTGTAGAAAGGAGGAGCAGCATGCCTGATTCAATCCCAAGCTAATTTAATCAGAAAATTCTTAACTTAGAATGCTATACTCGTTGTTCTGTTGTAGATCCCTTTTTTTTTGCGGGGGGGGGGCTGTTTTTCCGTGTTTGATTAAGGAAGCAGCAAGGGCTTTGGATATTCGGGCGTTGACTTTTTGTCCAACTTTACAGGAGGAAGAAGTTGACTCCTCACTGGCAGAAGTACATCCGCTCCTTGAGATGGAGATGCAATTGGCTCGAGTTGCGGATGAATGAGATCCGCTCTCATAACATTAAGCGAAAGCAACGTCTGTCAACAGCTGAGAAGGAAAAATCTTCACATTTGGATGCAATAGCCTCTGCCAAGTCTGCTGCAAGGGCGGTCTCTTTGTCCTGTGATCGAAGCTTTTACACCATGAAGCGGAGAAGACGGAAGAAAAATGAAGAGAGGGCGGACCTGTCAGCATACATGGCCTGCCACACCGTGTTCTCTTTCTACGGTAGCTCCTCCTTTCATCTCTGTCTGATCTGATCTCCTTGTCGCCCACCATCTGTTTGATACAATGCTGATCATATCTTTCAGAGAAGGGGGTTGAAGCCGACGGTCTCTCAGTCGATGATGGACTTCTCGACAACGGTAGGGAACTGATTAATGATCATTCCCACCTGCTTAGCTTTCCAAATGTGGCACTCTGGCCAAGTTAAAACCCAAGAAATATCATTAACTTTTTAATTTTATTTTGGCAATGCTGATGATCTCGGCCTCTTGTGTGGGCAGGGCTTGCAGACCCAAACGCCAAAGGCCATGACAGCCTCTCCGTCGACCATGACTGGCCAGCCATGGATTTTACAGAGGGCGATAACTCCCTGGAGCTCCTCCTCCTGGAGATTGAGACGATTCAAGCGCGGGTGCTCAAGCTGAGGGCCCAGCTGAACCTGGTGGTTGACCGGAAAGCAGGACGGGTGGCGGCCATAAACGCTGCCACCCAGCGGGACTTGGTCTCTACCCCCGGCCACAGCCCCAGTGCCTCCCCTGGCTGCAATGGAGACGCACTGCCGATCGAACCTCCAGTCTCCCCCCCAAACTATCTGTCTGAGTGCGAGACTGAAGACCTGGTCATGAGCGAAGGCGCCGTCTCCAGCTTCGGAGACGCCACCCCCAACATCATCGAGAGTACCGTCTGCCTTCTCTCCGCCAATCCGAATCAAGTCGGAGACGCCCGCGAAGATGTAATTTCTCACCACATTGACCAGTTTAGGTAGATAGCTAGATGGATGGATAGATATTATTAAGAAGGATGTGGGTTTTTCTTGGTTGCAGATTGTGGATGAGATCCTGATAAGCAACCGGGTGGCGAAGGAGGAGCTCGAGGATTTTGAGAAAGTCGGGCGGCGGCGGACCGCCGACGGAGTGAGGGAGGAGGGCAGCGTGGGGCCGAGCTCGGAGACGGGCTCGGAGACGGAGAGGACCGTCTCCGGCGAGCCGAAGCTGCGGCGATGTTCAGAGACAACGGTCACTTATGTGAGGCGGAGCAAGAGGCCCAGGGCTGAGAGGAAGCTGAGCCCCACAAGCTGGCACTGCGAGAAGATCGGCAGGAGGAGGACGATAAAGTCCAGGGATCATCACTCCTGACCGTTGCGGCCCGATTTCTTGTGCTGAGCCGGATTTCTTTGTGCTGCTTGGACGAGAATTTGTGAGCTGAATGGGATGAAAAGGCTGTTTTTTTTTTTTTACCCTTTTTTCCTTTGTAAGAAAAAGCCTACAGCTGGGTGGCGACAGGTACATGAATGAATATACGACTTCGATCGAACTACGAGTCTAGAGAGAGAAAGGTGGAGAGAGAGCACAAGATGGGCCTTGGGTGAAAAAGCCCATAAATAGAAAGAGAAGGGCGATCTCGTCGTTGAACGTGATAACTGAATATACACGGTTTTGATCTGAATGGGCCAACTTTTAGAACCCATCATAAGCCCAATGAGGAGGAGAGAGAGAGACAACAGAAAATGGGCCTTGGATGGAAAGCCCATAAATAGAAAAGACTGGAAAATCTCGCCATTGAACGCGGTAACGAGAAGTCAGCGATCAGATCACGTCGTGGGATGGTCTTCTTCGGTTGCTGGACCCCACCGGTTGGACCGTCAGCACGTGTCATGATGAGGGATGATGACACAGAAGTCCTCCGCAGCATCCTAGCGTTTGGACACTCGAGATTAGTCTGGAATGGCCTCACGATGACGCGTCTTCCCGCGCATCCGCGCGATCGTCCGGTTCGATGAATCCAAGCCGCCCAAATTGCTTTTACCGATTCTCGGCGTTGCAGACGAGGACTAACGGCGTCCACTGTATAACGACGTGCCGCCTACTCGCCGTTAACCAGACGTCAGAGAGAGAGAGAGAGAGAGGTGGCGAATATAAGCGTATTCTCGGGTCTTCGCGTGTAACTCCCCCTTTTGCGAAGCCGCGTCGTCGATAGCTTCGAAGGTATGCAGCTCGTCGCCCTCTTCTCCCCTCTCCTCTTTACATGTTTTCCAGCTATATTTTCCTCTGCTTCGAGGTTGTTTTTCATTCTTCCTGGTGGTTTGTACCCCTGAGTGAGTTTCTGCGGATTTATTTTCGCTTCTTTTCCAAGTTTTTGCTGTTTTCGGCGGCTTCTCTCGGGTTTCTTCTCCCACGGTGTGGTCTTTTGGGGGTTTTTCCTCTGCATTCTTCCTGTGTCCCGATTTCTTATGGGGAATGGCGGGTTCGCCCCTCTTCTTTGGTACCGTGGGTGAAATTTTGTGCGTCGGCTAGTTTTTTGGATGGATATAAGGGTTGGTTGTGAGTCTCAATCCGGATCCATTCTCTTTAGTTTTTGATATTGACCTTCGTTTACGCAGATTGGGGTCTTCCGGGTGTCTCGTTGTGGCCGGAAATTGATTCGGCTGTCAGTTCACTGAAAATCTCTGGTCTTGGTGTTTCCAAATTGGGAAGTTCTTGTGGAAGATTGAGGAAAAGGACTCTGTCTGGAGATCTCCATTCTTTCGCGGAGGGTTTGATTTTGGAATGGGTGATTATCAAGCCCTGCATGTTGACGACGTGCCATCCAAGGACATTGAGCCTGCACCAGTCGTTGAAGTTCCAGAATCTTCCAAGGGAATCGTTGTGGCCGAGAAGTCGTCGAGCCCTGATGTCATAGGTGATCAGAGGGTGGCGATAACCATAGATGAAGAAGAGCCGCTCATCCAGGCTGTGGAGTGCCGTATCTGCCAGGAAGAGGATATCATCAAAAATTTGGACTCACCGTGTGCCTGCTGTGGAAGCCTGAAGGTATCAATTCTTAAAACTTTTATCATGAAACCGTCATGTTTCTTCCATAGGTTTCTCTTCAATCTGTAAACTTTTGTATGATTGAAATATTTCTTTGGTTACAATCACTTTTAAGCTTCTGGGTATGCCCGATCTAAATTTACGTTTCCATGGAAATCTGGTCGAACAAGTTTATTGTTTTCATAGTAAAAGTATCTGCTAAAAGGACGGTTCTTATTTTTGCTATGGAAAGGAAAACGCCGGATCATACCGACTTTGGCTTTAAAATAGGCAGTGCTCATTCCTAAGTTTCTTGCTTTCTTGATTCGTTCTAAGCACATTGATGGCTGACTCTGTTGTTTACTCTGTTTCCAGTATGCTCATAAAACTTGTCTGCAGCGATGGATCAACGAGAAAGGAGATCTTACTTGTGAGATCTGCCATGAGGTCCGCAGCATTTTTATTTCGGAGTCAAAATCATCTGTCTAGCTTCTTATTTTCTTAGAAATGACTGCGCTTACCCTGCAAAAGAGGAACATAACATATTAGGAACCATATTTATCCCAATGTCATTTTGTGATCTTCAAGGAAAGATCATTGCTAAGTTGCCAGCCTTTTTTAGTGCTTTGATGGGCCACAGTTGTAGAAGATGATCTATTAGTGAACTGCGTGATTACATGAAAAATTGTATACTTCTCATCTTTTGGGTGACGATCTTCATATATTTCCCCTTAGCGAGATCACTCCTGAGGTTTCATGTTGCACATCTTCTGCTATATTTAGTTATTTACATTTCCCCATTGTCTACCACATAGTAATTGACGCGCCAGATCATCATTACATTCGATCAAGATCCTGATTGAATTTCCTTTCATGGTTCCTAGCCTTACAAACCTGGTTATATCTCTCCTCCCCCTGTCAACCCCGATGAAGCTGCCATCGAGATTGATGTTAAGTAAGTGTAGCCCTCTACCTTGCAATTGATATTGAATGGTCCACTTGACGCTGCAACCACCAGCAGCAGCAGCAGCAGCATCCTCAATGGCCTATCTTTCCTGATCAGCGGCGGCTGGGCTATCTCTGCTGCCCATTTGAACTTGGACAATCAACGGCTTCTGGCGATGGCTGCAGCCCAGCGACACTTCCTCGAAGCTGAGCACGATGATGCTGCCAGAAATGCCAGCGGGGCTTCGTTCTGTCGCTCTGCCGCTCTTATTGTAAGCATCTTCTGCCCCACTGCCTTTAGAATCTCGCAGAAGAAAATCGTTTCCCTTGAATTTCCTTCTGCAAGGCTCACTGCGGCTTCCAATCTCGCAGATCATCCATTCCCTGTGGGATGAGGCCTGATTTTCTCCCCTCACGGGGGGGCGTTTCTTCTCAATCTTGCAGTTGATGGGTCTTCTCCTACTGAGGCACGCGCTGACCATCACCAACGAAGGAGAAGAGGACGCTTCTGAAGTTTTCTCTGTACAGAAGACACCCCATTTTTCTCATTTTCCCTTCACTAGTATCATTTTATGTATCGTCTTCCTGATGGGGGGGTGGGATTTCATCGCAGCTGTTCTTGCTCCGGGCTGCTGGGTTCTTGCTACCTTGCTACATAATGGCATGGGCCATCAGCATCCTACAGCGCCGGAGGCAGACACAGGTCACAAGTCAAATCTCCACTGATTTCCCCTTTTAATCTCCATTCACGTTTCATTCTCCTGTCGATCTGGCACTGAGCATGATTGTTGGGCGAATCAGGAAGCGGCTGAACTGGCTGCGGCTGAGGTGGCATTTATCCTGCAGTCGGGTCAAGCTCGGGGCCTGCAATTCACCATCGAACCAGAGCCGCCAGCAAGCCCCCAAGAGCCAGCGGCGGCGCCGCCGTCCCACCGCTGACAGCCCAGCAACCGGGTTTTCTGCTTTGTTCTGCTCTGTTCTTGGTGGAGTGAAGAGGGCAGCTGTTGAGGGGCCGGGCCGGATGGCCTCGTCTGACGTGTAGGCCAGCAGTCGAATCTGACGCCATTCTTTCATGCACACGTGTACATGCCACTGCCTGTGTATATACATAAACGTGGCTTGAGTCACCATTCCTCAGGAACTGCGGAAAGAAATTTGGATGTCATTACTTTGACTTTTAAGCGCTGTGCGTTACTCTCTCTCTCTCTCTCTCTCTCTCTCTCTCTATCAAGTGGGTACCATCCTCATCCTCGGGTGCGTTCTGACCAAATGGGTGTAAATCACCTACACATTCCCAAGATCAGGAATTAATTAGATCGATGAGATTGAAAAGGGTTTTCCTTTATGCATCAGCCCTGGTAGAAAAGAGTGGTTTTTCCCGAGTGTCAACCCTGGAAACTCCTAGGATGATGGCTTCGTCGATAATGCAATTTCTCCCCCATTCCTGTGGAGTTCCGGAGAGCTCTATAATCTAGAAACACTATGATGTCAGTCGGGGGAAACCCTGAGCGTGTGGATGGGATCTGGAGCGGAGGATTGCAGAGTCTGCGAGCGATTGGAGGATGTCGGAAGATCGATTTACCAAGTGGCTGTCCGCTCATGGAAGTTCGTGTGGGTGGGATCTGAAAAAGGGTCAACCCTTGTCTTGTTGATGCAGGATGGCTCGAATGAAGTCGATATGTCGCCGAGAATCAGCCCTTTCGGTCCCCCGCTCCGAAGAAAACTTCTGCCCCTCCCCTCCAAAAGAAATCGGATGAACCAAAAGCAGAGACGGTAAGGGAGAATCGTTCGGCGCTCTTCTGCGATTCCCCGTCGCCGTCCTCCAGCCCACTCTCTCTCCATCTCTCTCTGGGATATTGGCTGGTTATGAACTTATGCCCGTCCGATGACTGGAGTCTCTACGTGATTGAGATCGGGAGGAGGAGATCATCCAGTCGTTCCATGGGGACCGTCCGATGAAACTCAAACCTTCACGTAGAAGTTGGGGTTGTGGGGGGTAAAACCCGCCTGCCGGGGACGGATCTCTCTCTCTCTCTCTCTCACTCACACACACACACACGCACCCTTTTCCCTCCGGCAGGGGGTCTTCCTCCTTTCGGTTGCAGAGGCAGAGAAGAAGACGAACCCATGAGAGCCCAGGGCCGCTGGAGGAGCTTGAGAGTCAACTTAAAAAAACGGGTATCTTCTGTTGCTGTTGGTGTTCGAATGCCCTCTTTCCCCCTCAGAGAAACGATCTGCCATTTCTCTCTTTCTGCGTGAAATGCTTCTCTCCTTCCTTCTTCTCCATCGATGGGTATCTTGTGTTTTGTCTAGTCACAGGAAGTTTTCTTTCCGCTTCGAGAAAATGATTCGCCGTCTCGTTTTGTTCACTTTTCCTCGTCCCTCTCCAAAGGTTGTCGGCGGAAGAATCATCCTTTCCTTTCGAGAAACTACTCTGTCTCATCCTCTCACCCTAGATCCCAATTTTCGCCCGCAGTGGCCGTAGTCGATAGGACGAGTCTCATAGACGGACGGTGTGCCTTTGATCTCTGATAATCTTTCCTCATCAGTTTCTCCTGAAATAGGTATTGGGTCCAATCTATACTCTCGCCCCTCCCTCTTCGGCCCTGCCGTCTTCGTGCTCAATCGAGTCGTTCCTCATCTTTGGAGCTGATCACTGGGCCAGTGTCAATTCGGGTGGGAAAGAAAATTTGACCTGCGGCTTAATCGTAGATTTCCGGGAGCAAGCGCTCGCAGTTTTGATGCAGTCTGATTCTAGCACTACGCCGGAGGAAGAACACCGCTTTATATCGGTTCATGCTTGAGATCCGTGGGTGGTCTCTGGCGGAGTTTGGAACACTTGGAATCATGCTGTTCTTGTTAGAGCTCTCTAGATGTTCACCACAGTGTGACCATAGATAGATTTGGTCACACTGTTTGTGAATTAAAAATATGGGCCCCCGCTAGTCCTTTTGGGAGATTGTGCTTCGGATTCCCACCTGAATCAGCTCTAATTTCGTTTCATCTGAACAGCCTGCAGGGTCTTCATTGGGATGATCAACTTTGTCTCTCATGATTGGACTAAAAAGGCAATGCTGAATCCGGCCATTGCAGTGGCTGAAAAAATTGTCATTAAATGGTTGTGATGGAATTTTGAATGTGTTAGCTAATAGGACCCGACGGTTCTCATGATGTTACATCCTGAAAATATATATGATCAATCGTTTCTTTGAATGGTCCAACACAAGATATAGCTCTCTGTTGTCTCCACCCCACGCTTGTTGAGTCTTCCTCAATTAGGTGACTGGTCCGTTAGTGCATGTCCATGTAGATGCTGATTCTAGTTGGGAGACCCCCCCCCCCCCCTCATCCTCGTAAAGTAGACCCATGGAGAAAATTCTTCTCGGGTTAATTTCTCCCCAAAATCTTGCTTATTCTTTCCAAGATCTCTCTGCTGTTCTTCCCCAATTTCCCGTCGTAACCTGTTCAACGAGAGGGTTTACCTTGAGAGGCTGTAAGGTAGTTGATGGTTGTGGGAGAGTTGCTTTTCGGCTTGGTGTCTGTGTGGAGCGATTAAATTTTGCAATGGTAGCTGTTTTAACGTTCTACCCTAATCATCTCTTTCTTCTCTGTATATTGTTCTCTCTTAAAGATGAGCTTTGCAGAGGGGAATTCTCTTGGGATTTCAGCTTTCCTGTGACTCACATATACATCATGTCTCATCAACGCTTTGGCTTATCTTCTAGATACTATCTGTTTTGATAGAGTCATCTGAACCTTGGTGCTCTGTGAGACCATCATTATGCACCATAGTAATTAGGACGTATCGAAGTTTCTTTATCCGGGTTTTATTGATTTTATTTTGATTTGGGCTTTATCTAGTTTGACAAGGATGCAAGCATTTTCTCTCCATATCTACTAGATGCGATCTTTATTAATGTGAAAGTTGGAAAGGGAAGAAAAGATGATGGAATAGAGGCATAAAAAAAAATTGGGCCTAGGGATGAAAGGGGGACTTTTCGTTTGTGGACTTCTGCATTTTAAGATGAAGAATAAAGAAAATAAAGAAAGAATGAATGAATGAATTATATCATGAAATCCATAAAAGAATTAATGGGATCAAGATGAATGGTCATTTTTTAACAAGAGTTGACTTTGAATTTTTTAGTTGATGTCACCCAGTTAATTTGTGTTATTTGAAAATATACTCTTTAAAAAATTTTAAGTTCCTTTGAAAATAGATTTGCTGATTAGCTTTTTAAGGCTATTATGTGCATTAAATAGTTGACGAAAACTTATCCAGTCCAGACAACGTGCTCTAAATGTCAAAGTCGGGTTACCTAGGTGTATTTATGCTCTTATATCCAGCACATGATCAAGCATGATGATCCTTTGAGATTAACGAGACTTTGGGACATAATCGTTGGAATGGAGTGCTGATGTCGACTTTGGGACGTCGTGTCTGTCATCTTCCCTTCTGTCGTTGGGAAGCAGATCTCGGCTGAGCAATACTCATGGGTTTTTTGCCCACATATGAAGTTTATTTTAGTTCTTTGTTTCTAACTATTTTTTGATGTTATTGTTGTTGTTGTTGTTGTTGTGATTATTATTATTACTATCATTATTGTTATTATTATTATTATTATTACTATCATTATTGTTATTATTATTATTATTATTACTATCATTATTATTATTATTATTATTATTACTATCATTATTATTATTATTATTATTATTATTATTATTATTATTATTATTGTTATTATTATTATTATTATGATGGAGAGAATTACCTGAGTGTGGTCCATTAGTTTTGTGTTTGTCTCCAGATATCATGTCAATGAAAAGTTTAATGAAAAAGAATTGATGATTTTTGGCAGGAAAATCTCTAGTTTGGATTTACCAGAGAGACGCAATGGATTCTCAAGGAGATTTCACGTTGCCTTGTGCCCAGTGGGTACCTTGCCCTTCTTTGCATTTTCCTCATTGTATTTGTGAAATCTAATTCTAACTTCTGGGTACTATTTCTATCACATATTTCGTCAATTACAGAACATCAGAATTCGTGGAGATGAATGAAGATGACAGTAATGCGCTAGATCAAGAGCCCCACCCATATGTACCAAAGCAGAGAAAATTGAGGTCTGCAGTGTGGAATGACATGACCAAGCAACCACGAGGAGATGGGAGTTATTTTGCCATTTGCAACCACTGCAAGAAGAAAATGCTGGGCAGCAGTGCGATGGGAACCACGCATTTAAAGAACCATTTGAGGTTCTGTGCAGCATTTAAAAATGCCAAAAGTGGCCAACCACTCATGGAGACGAACAATGGAGAAGATCATGTGCAGGAGCTAGGGGAATGTCTGAGTTTACCCAAGAGAAGGAAACTGAGATCAGCAGTGTGGAATGAAATGACCAAGGAACATAGAGGAGATGGCAGCTACGTTGCCATCTGCAACCACTGCAAGAAGAGAATGGTGGGAAATAGTGCGAGCGGGACGACCCACTTGAAGAATCACTTGAGGTTGTGTGCGTCTTTCAGAAATTTTAGCAGTGGCCAAGCAGAGGTAGGAAAGTTCTTCCTGGAATGTGGTGAGAAGAGAAAAGCTGAAACCAGCAGGCTCGATTGCTTCAACTATGATCCCAACAGTGACAAGCAGGATTTTGTCATTACCAATGAGGACCAGAGCATCGGGCAGTACCAAGAGCCTTGCCTTCGTCTTCCAAGGCGCAGGAAATTGAGGTCGGCTGTTTGGAATGATATGACCAAGGAACAGAGAGAGGATGGCAGCTATTTTGCTATCTGCAACCACTGCAAGAAGAAAATGGTGGGCAATAGCACAAGGGGAACCACGCACTTAAAGAATCATTTAAGGTTCTGTGCGGCCTTTAAGCGTGCCAAGTGCAGCCAGACGGATGTCGGACAGCTCTTCTTAGAAGCGAGCGAATTAAAAAAAGTCGGGGCCAATGGCCTTGATTGCTTCAAGTTCGATCCAGAGAGAAGTAGGCAAGATTTTGCTCGCATGCTTATCTTACACGACTATCCCCTTGCTATGGTAGATCACATTGGTTTCAGAACATTTCTGAGAAATCTCCAGCCACAGTTCAGATTGATGCCCCGAGACGCTATTCAAGCCGACTGCAACAGAATCTACGAAGATGAGAGGGAGAAATTTCAGGAGGCACTGGTGAAGGCTCGTTCAAGAATTAGCTTGGCGGGTGGCCTGTGGGTGACAACGGGGCGCTCTCAGTACCTTAGCTTAACATGCCATTTTGTGGACGACGACTGGAAGCTCCAGAAGAAGATTTTGAACTTTGTTAAGCTTAAGTCAGCGCGTGACTCTTCTGAAATCTCGAAGGCCATCGAGGAGAAAGTCTCTGAATGGCAGATCAGCAGCAAATTGTTCGGCCTGGTGCTGGATGATTCCTTCGGGACAGAGGCCCTCGTTGAAGATCTTGTCTACTCTCAGTTCAGTTCAGAGCTTCTTTTGGACCCTGAGCTGTTTCCAATGCAATGTTGGGCTCGTATCTTGAATCTGATCGTCCAGGACGGTCTGAAAGTGAAGGAAGTCAGCAGTGTCATCGAAAGAATACGGGGGTCTGTGGGGCATGTGAGAAAGTCTCGGTCGAGGAGAGGCTGCTTCCAGAGATGTGCACAGCAATTTGGAGAACCCGGGAGGCCATTACTTCTCGACTCTCCATTGAGGTGGCAGACGACGTTCTTGATGTTGGAGACTGCGTTGGAGTACAGGGATGTGTTTACTCATTTGCCGGGGTTCGACAGGTCCTACAGCCTCCCGCCGTCTGCTGCCGATTGGGACGCCGTTCAAGCCATTGTTGACTGTGTGTCTCTGTTCCACGAGGCCACATCAAGGTTCTCTTGCTCAAAGTACCCCACCATCAACTTCTTCTTTGTTGATCTCTGTTCTCTCTATGTTAAGTTGAAGGAGTGGTGCAACAGCCCGAGCCCATGCATCCAGTCCATGGCTGCGAAGATGTTTGAGAGATTTGCGAACCACTTGAATGGATTAAACTTGCTTTTGGTGCTTGGCTCTATATTGGATCCCCGGTTCAAGATGAAGTCAGTCGATTACCTGTTTGGCCAGATTTATTTTGATAATTTTTCTGAGAGGATATACGATGTTCAAGAAGCATTTTTAAAGCTCTACAAGGCGTATTCAGCTCAGTACGAGCGCGTTGTGATGAGTCACGCCTCTGAAACGTCGGCTAACAATGAGAGCCCATGTGGGGAGCATCAACCTGGTAGAAGCGTGCAGCCTTCGAGCAAGAACACTCTGGATTTCATGCGCAAGGGGCTCGGGCGTCTGCTGCTGGAGACCTCGCTGATCCAGCCCAGAAAGCTGGACATTGATCTTTACCTAGAGGAGGATGTCATCGTCTCAGATGATGATCACTTCGATGTCTTAAAATGGTGGATGCAGCATGCGGAGAGATACCCAGTCCTATCCATGATGGCTCGTGATATCTTGGCCGTCCCAGTGTCAGTGGCCGCCTCTAAGAGCGCCTCTGGTCCGAAGAACATGGTGGTGGATCATCATCTGAGGTGTCTAGATCCGCATGCTGCGCAGAGTTTGCTGTGTGCCCAAGATTGGTTAAGGGGTGAGATAGAAGGTAAATCCATCAACTTCGTCTGCTTCTGTTCTTCACCATCTTATCTGCCTTTAATGTCTTGTCTTGCAGAATCTTTGAAAGATGGATCAGCGGATGGCCTTTCTAGTATTTTTACAGTCATTCATCTGACGAATGAAGGTGATGCAGTGGATGATGAAGAAGAGAGTGGCTCTGAAGAATCAGTGTCACCCGTCTTCAAGTTAGGTGAAGACCCTTCTCCCGTGACTTCTGTGTAAGGTCAACTGGAAGAGAACCGACGATTGACTTTGTCTACCGACCTCTTAATGGCCCTTTTTGTTTCGTGCTGCAGGCTAGGAGGTCCCTTGTGCCACCCAAGTATGGGATATTGAAGACTTCCAATTGTTAAATCGTTTTATTTATTCTTATGAATGTTATTAATGCAATTATTATATCCCCATCTCTCTAAAGTTTCGAAAATGCAGTTATTACACCAGCCTCAGGTCTCTCTAGCTTGAGAAATCCTTCTGATCATAGCATTGTTCTTCACTGCAGTCTTGTGACGAATATTTTGGCCTAGATATTCATAAAGCAAAGAGGATGGTGGATAAGTCGTACGCGGGCAATCGATGTTAAAGAAAATGGTGAAATCAAGATCTCCATTTAGCGATCAAATTTCTTCTTTTTTCGTGTCATTTTAGATAGAGCTATTGAATTTCCTTGGCAGATCCGACATATTCCAATGTGAATCACCCAATCAAATATTCATGTTTATTTATTTTACTGCTTTCTCCGGATTTATTCTTACATATTCTTGATGCCAGATAAACAGAGGCTGTGGGGAGGATGTGGCGGCATCGGTGTGACATGGGCACCGCCCAAAGATGTCACAAGCTTGTCTGTGGGTCTCCATCTCTTTTCTTCTGCTTTCAGATTCATGATTCTGTGAATATCACCACTCCTTTCTGAATTTTTATTTTAGGGTTCTTGATTCCACCTCGGCTTCATCGAGACACCTTCATCTTGGGTCTCTCTGCTTCCTTCTTTCCCATGGGGCTGTGAAGAATGGCAGGAGGTCAACCCACCACTCCCAAACGCTCGACCACCACCGGATGGATGAGCATCACCGCGGCCGCACTCTCCTCAGAGGACGAGCGGTTCCAACGGGAACCTCCATAGAAGAGGATCTTTACTTCTTCCGGTAAGATTGCCTGGAAATATTGGGTAGTGGCGTCTTCCTGGTATGAATTGCTTGTATTTCAGATGATTATTCTCTATAATGATTCAGTCATTTAGGTTTATACCCTGTTTCTGCATCTGGGTCCGCAGTGGGATGTTGTAAAGGCGTCAACTTTGGCTACTCTTCTGCGGATGTTTTCTCTTCTTGGTAATGCTTTTAATGATCTGAAAGACGGACGGCCCATTGACTGAGAACAATGGTCAATGAATGAGGTCTTCTGGGTGCTAACTGTTCGACTGATTTCGCCTTTGAGAAACGAAGAGCTGAATGAAGAACCGTCAACTCGTGTGACTCGGTTTTCACATCCCGAAGTCCGCCTGCGACGAGAATCCCACAAGAAGAAGAAAATGAGGACACAGAGGATGTGACGAGTCGCCCCGCTTGACTCGGTCCCAACAAAGAAAACAGCGGCGGCGGGTCACCTCGTGCGAATCGGTCCCCATACACCTACCTACCTGCCCTCCCCCAGAATGCTGACTTTTAAATATATATATTTAAATTATGTCTGTAATTTTTGGTCCATAATTGCATAGAAAAATTAATTAAAATGGATCACTGCTACAGCGAGTAATATTCCATCTATGGATCTGTGTAGATATCTGAAATCCTGGGGGGGTTATTGTACACACGATTCCACCGAGTCACGCCTGACTCCGGCGGCGGGGCGATCCTCTCCGAGTCACGACTCGCTCTTCAACAGGGGAAGAGCAAGAAGGAAGGCTCCCTACGGAGCTTCCTCTCCGCGGAGGTGATCTTGCTGAGCTTCCTGAGGCACCATGAAAGCTGCTCCGTGGTGACCGCGGCCATGCTCAGCACCCTCGCCACCAGCTTCACGTCCACCTGCGCGAAGAACAGGTCTTCCTGGTTGGTGGATCTGCCGCGGCGGAGCTTCCTGAACCTCCTCACCAGGCACTTACTGGCGCAGAGCTCCCCCTTGACCTTCCTCTGCTTCTGAGAAAGGAGAGGAAGAGGAATGGAGGTTAGATAGAAGAGGAGAAGGGAGCTTCCTCTGCTCCGCCGCCGCCGCAACGGTCGAACCCACCTGCTTCAGGGCCGCTTGGACCTTCATGGAGAGCTCACGGTCCGCCGGGTTCTGCAACTCCACGGTAGGGGTGAGGAGGCCCTTCATGATCCCCGGGGAGTCGTCCTTCTCAGCCCGGACGAATTCCCAGAAGTCCTTGATCGACTTCTCCATGGCGTACTCCAGGTGATCGATCGAGATGGTTGTGTTCTCCTTCTCGTCTCCCCGCTTCCTCTTCTTCGCCCGGCAGTCGTCTGCTCCGCCGGAGGAATAATCAGGCAAGGCTCCGTCTATGTCGGATTGAAGGAATGACGATGACGAATATTACTGTACCTCTCTTCAGGAGCGGAACTTGGAGGAGGTGGCGGAGGTGGCACCGGTTCCTGGCGTAGTTGAGGATGCGGGGGCCCTGGAAGGACTCGTCCTCCAGGAACCTCTGGATGAGCACCTGGAACTGCTGGAATTCGCCGGCGATCTGGTTAAACCCGCCGCCGGCGAGGGAGCCGGAGTCCGCCATATACCTGGTTCTCTGGTACTGCCACTGAAGGAACTCCCAGGAGAGGCAGAGCTGCCCGACGTAGACTGTCTCCAGGTCGCTCTGGATCTCCCAGACGAACTTCTCCGAGGGGCCGTCGCCGCAAGGCCGGCGCCGGCTCCGCCAGAGTTTGGCGGGGAGAAGGGGCTTCCGGGTGTCCGCGGATTGGAGGGGGTCCTTCAGCTGGAGGAAGCCTGGGGCGGATGGATGGGAAAACAGGGTGAATATCTGAGAAGAATGGAGAGGGGGATGGGTGGTGTTGGAGGAAGAAGAAGAAGCTCACCAATGGCGGACAGCTTCTGGTAGTTGAGTACGTCCAGCCTCTTCATCCTCTCCCGGTAGCCCTTGTGGAGCTTGCGGAGGGCGCCCATGGGGTCCTCCCGGGGGGACAAAGGGGTGAGCTTTGGCGGCTTCAAGGTAGCGGAGCCCAACAAGGGGGATTCGGATTCCTCGGAGATGGTGGGAAGAAGCCCGGCGGCCCTCCCCTTCTTGATCTCCATCTTCAGCTGTTCTATCACGTCGTCGTCCTCCCAGAGGGCGTCCAGTTCCGCCTCCACCTCTTCTCTGGTCTTGTCCTCTCCTCGCCCCGGTTCGCCCAGCGGTGTTGCGTCGTCTTCTCCGTCTCCAGCGACCTCGCCACCGGCCGACTCTTCACAGACAGTCGGCGTCTGGGTTCCTCCTCCCCGAGATTCACCGGACTCTGCTACTTCAGCTCCACAGAGACCTTCCGTTTCCGCCTCAGCTTCGCCAGTGGCGACCAAGCTCGGAGAATCGCCGTCGCCGGGACCACCAGACGATTCCACCCAGTCTCTCCCGTCGTGAAGCTCTGAAGAACTGGTCGGATTTGGGCGGCAGGGCTCCGAAACAGGTGATCTGGGAATCTGGGAACCATCATATTTCACCTCACGATCCACCGCAGGAAGATAGTCTTCCTCTGCATATGAATCCCAAGAACTCGAATCGTCCTCCTCCACCCCGACGTCCCTCTCGGAAGTGAACCCTTCACTGCCATAATCGAGCCGCTGGTCCCTAACAGAGTAGCCATCGTCCCCGGCGTCCGACTCGGAATCGAAGACGAAGCCTCCGAAGCCCTTCTTCCTCAGCGCCAGCTTGTCGTCCTCTATCTCCCCGTCGACGAAGGATTCGTGGACGAACATGGTCGTGGCCTTCGGAGCTTCCACGAATCCTCCTCTGTCCCTCTCGGAGATAAATCTGTACCTGCTTATACTCGCGGTTGTCGAGCCCACCTTCTCATCCCTGTTTTTACAGACGTTGTAGCTCGTGATTTGCTCAGGAACTTGGAAGCTAAACCTAAACTGGAAGGCAGCCTCAGCACCCTCCTCTCCGGCGGCGGCGCCGCCTAGGGCCTCCGGCGGCGGGATCGAACTTCGCTTATGACCTTCCTCTTCCCTCCTGGTTCTGAAAAACGCGGAGTGAGAAAAACCCAAAGAGAAGATTAAGAGAGGAGTGGGAGAGAGATTAACAGCTACCCGAAGGTCCGCTCGACCAAGAGCTTGGCAGAGACGAGAGAGGCGACGATGCAGAACCAGAGAGAGCTTGCCAGAAGGAGGACCTTCTTCCAGGTGACTTCCCGAGGGTCGAGAACAGTTGCTGCAGCCGCTAACATCGTCTCCATGGGCTGGCCTCTTCCACTATTCCTCTCCGATTAATCAGAATAGGGGGCAGAAGACCAGTCGCTAACATGGCCGCTGCCGTCGTTCCGCCATGGGAGCCCTCGCACCAGGAGCATGGGGACGGAATCCCCCACCTACAATGAAGGAGGCGGCAAAAGCATGATCCAGGAGATTTTCAGTCCCGAACCTCCTTGCAGAGGTTGAGAGGCTGACGCCACCCTATAGCGGTGATTGCAGCAAGACTGTCCGGGGAAGAAGAGGAGAGGGAGTAAGGCGGCCACCATGGAAACCCACATGAAAGCTCCCTAGGGCTAGAACACGTTCGCGGAGGAGGAAGGAGGAGGGAAACGGGGCAAGGTCTGCAAGGTTCATCTCTCTCTCTTTCTTTCTTTCTTTCTCGTAGCGGCCTCAATACCATTTATTGTTGACGAGGAACCGATCAGAAGGATTTATTGCTCGAAAGCTGCTAAATTGGAAAGCTGGAGAGGCCATTAAGAGGGGGAGAGAGAGAGAGAGAGAGAGAGAGAGAGAGAGAGGGAGAGGGGGGGTGGGTAAAGCCTAATACCAGATCCTCTCCGTCTCTGCCTTTCACGTATAAACAAACTCCTGGGTCGTCACCTTCTTCTCCGAGAAATCTAACCCACTACTGGGGACCTACAGCTCCATTGACTTGCGTGGTTTTGACCCAACGCGTCATGACGACTGGCCGCTGATGTCTTCTGGTTTCCTCACAGACACAAAACCGAAAAGCCGGATTGCCCAACCTAAGAAGGAGAGAATCTCTTGCCGGGCCTACGTCGGAGTGTCACCGGCCGGCAGATAAGTATTCTCCCCATAACGGAAGGAACAAAGATATCATCCTCTTCCACAGAAGAGGTCGAGGTCGATATCGCATTCAAACGCCGGCGATTTAAGTCTTCGAGGAAAGACGGAATCACAGACGGCGCACGCGCGGCGGCGTAATCTCTACCCCTTGATCTTCGTCATCGATTTGCATAGAGACAGAAATCTGATATCGATCCATCTTCAGAAATTAGTTATCTGGGCGTGGGTCGAGAAAAAAAATCTGCACATATGGGGAGAGGATCAGCATCCAAGAAGCAAGGAAGCTTGGCGGTGCCAGGAAACTCTGACAGTCGGGCCGGTGGAAGGTCGAATAAACAAGCCGGGGATACGACGGCGGCTGCTCTAGATTTCTCCCCCACGCCGTAGAAGAAAGGGACTCTCTGCAATAAATTAGGTTTCCTCGCCGTGTTTCAGAAGGCCGTTCAAACCCGCACGCTTGGGATCCTACCTAAAACGCCGTTCCCGGCGGGGAGCGGCCAGGTTTCTCTCCACCACGCGTGTCCCATCGGGACGACGCGTCGCCGTCACAGACCTTTTGAGGTCGAGTCAACTTCCCTCCCTGTCTCTACTTCTTTTATTACTTTAATATTTAATACTGAGGACGACAAATATGTCCGCATGTTCGAGGGTCATGTCGGAAATTTTGACTTTAGCAGACAAAAGACGAATTTAGACGGCACGGACAAAGCCGTTGACTAATATCCTCGTGACTCCAGGAGAGAGAGAGAGGAGAGGGTAGATGAAGCAGAGGTTGTTGCGAGGAAAAGAGGGTGAGTGGGGAGGGTATATTTGCGTCATAAATTGAGATTATTTATATAACAAGTTGTGAATTCAGCTAGTATACGAATTGCAGGGCCGTGGAGATGTACGTAAAAATATAAAAATACGGAAAATTAATTACTTCAAACCTTACCCAAATTAATTAATTAATTAATTAACAGAAAAATAAACAGTTCCGAATACCTTTTTTTAATCATTTCATCGAACACAGAGATACTGCACTGTTGCAGACTTGGTGGCGGTATCTGGTCATGAAGGAGAGATGAGCGGGGCGGGCGGCCAGCTCCCATCCGTTCTGTGTCTCCTTGGCGCCTGCAGGTCCCCCTCCCACCTCGCCCAGCTGCAAGCCCACGTCCTCAAGACCCGCTTCGACGCCGACGCCGTGGTCGCCGGCAAGCTCATCCTTATCGCCGCCGTCACCCTCGACGGCACCCTCCCTCATGCTCTTCGCCTATTCTCCTCCCTCCCGGCGCCTGCCAGAGACGACCCCTTCATCCATAACGCCCTCATCCGCGGCCATGCGGAGTCGGACCATCCTGCCTGCGCCGTGGCAGCCTACAGCTCCATGCGCCGTGCTGGCGTGCCGCCGGACAGCTTCACCTTCGCCTTCTCCCTCAAGGGCGCCGCCAATGCCCGCTCATCCGCCGCCGGGCGTCAGCTCCACGCCCAATCCGCCCTTCACGGGCTCGACTCCCATCTCTACGTCGCCACCACCCTCGTCAGCTTGTACGCCGAGTGCGGCCACGGAGACGCCGCCCTGAGGGTCTTCGACGGAATGCCCCAGCGGAACGTGGTGGCGTGGAACGCCGCCATCACGGCCTGCCTCCGGTGCGGCGACGTGCCCGCCGCGGAGGCCCTCTTCTTGCGGATGCCAGCAAGGAACTCGACCTCCTGGAACCTCCTGCTCGTAGGGCACATCAGGTCTGGGGAGCTTCCCCCGGCGGCAAGGATCTTCCACCAGATGCCAGAGAAGGACCCCGTCTCGTGGAGCACCATGATCGCCGGGCACGCCGGGAACGGCGACTTCGAGGAGGCGTTCCTCTTCTTCCGCGAGTCGCTGCGAGCGCGTTGCCGCCCGAACGAGGTCACCCTCACGGCGGTCCTCTCGGCGTGCGCCCACGCGGGCGCGCTGGCGTTCGCCAGGTCCCTTCACGGCCGCCTGGACAAGACCGGGCTCCGGCACCTCGTCGCCGTCGGCAACGCCCTCCTGGACGCCTACGCCAAGTGTGGGGAGCTGGAGATGGCGCGGAGGGTCTTCTACCGCTGGATGGAGAAGAGAACCGTCGTATCCTGGACGGCGATGGTCGCCGGGCTCGCCATGCACGGACGCGGCAAGGAGGCCGTGCGAGTCTTCCGCGAGATGGAGGAGCAGGGGACGAGGCCTGACGGCGTGGCCTTTGTCACGCTCCTCTATGCCTGCAGTCATGGTGGGCTGGTCGAGAAGGGGTACCACTTCTTCTGCATGATGGAGGAGAGGTACGGAGTAGAGCCCTCGGTCGAGCACTACGGCTGCATGGTCGACATGTACGCACGGGCAGGGAGGCTGGAGGAGGCGTACCAATTCGCCCTGCGGATGCCGGCGAGGCCCAACGCCGTCGTATGGCGGACGGTGCTCGGCGCGTGCAGCATCCGCGGGGACGTCACCATGGCGGAGCGGGTCGAGCGGCGGCTGGCGGAGCTGGAGCCTGGCGACGCCGGCGACCACGTTCTGCTGTCGAATACCTACGCCACCGCAGGGAGGTGGGAGGACGCCGCGGTGGTGAGGACGACGATGAGCCGGCGAAGGATTAGGAAACCGCCGGGCTGGAGCGCCATCGAGGTCGGCCCGGCGGTGTACAGGTTCGTGGCGGGGGAGGGCCAGTCCGGCGAGGCCGACGGCATGCTGGCGGAGATCATGTCCCGGCTGGCGGCGGAAGGGTACGTGCCGGAGGTGGCGAGGGCCCTGCGAGACGTTGAGGAGGAGGAGAAGCAACTCGCCGTAGCCCGGCACAGCGAGAAGCTGGCGGTGGCGTTTGGGCTCGCCAGGGCCTGCCCCGGCGCGGTGATAAGGGTGGTGAAGAACCTGAGAGTGTGCACGGACTGTCACACGATGATGAAGCTGATATCCAAGGCCTACCGCCGGGAGATCGTCCTCAGAGATCGGAGCCGCTTCCACACCTTCGTCGAGGGGTCCTGTTCTTGCGGGGATTTTTGGTGAGACCTGCGCTCAGACTGCAACGGCAGGCTCCGACGAGCTCCGGCGAGGTTTCTGGGCGGCGAGCGACCATTCTTGAAGACGACCTGCTGCTCAAACCAGCCACAGCCAATCGTCAGCACCTGGTCCAGAGAACAAGGGTTGTTCTCTGAAGACGTACTTCCTCGCATTCGTGATCTGATCGGAGAACAGAGCCATTCTTCCGTAATTTTCCATCCAGGTGCTCATCCGGCATTAGATCCACCTTGAATACCGGATCAATATATTCAATTTTTCACTGATAACTTACCATCTTCCTCCGAGTACTTCCTCTGGAACTTTGGCAACAGCCGGGAGATCTCATCCTCCAGCTCCTTCTTGGCTCTCTGCACGGCCTTGCTCCCTTTGGCGGCGAGATTTCTATAGTTTATTTCTCTGTTCCGGACCTACAGCCATCGCCTTCCTGGACTAGTACTCACAAGATACCCGTATTTCTCTCTGTGTTGTGTTGGAGGAAGAAAGCTAAACACAATCGACAAATTATTCAAAAGGAAAAAAAATCGGCGTCGAAGAATAACCCGAGATGCTGAGATAGTGGACGACTGAAGAGCACTGATCTCAGGATCAGACTGTGTGCAGAACTTGATCCAAGATAGACAGCTTAGACTGAAGCTGAAACTCAATTGCGATAAATTAAATAAAAAGTCAACTTGTGTGACTTACATTTATTACTAAACTGTCTATAACAGTCAACTTATATTTGACTTACACTAACAACTAAAAATGTCTATGTGCAATGAGAAGGTAAATGGTAGTCTCCCTTCCCTTGTAAGAAAAACAAGACCCCCTTCCCTTTTCTTCAACATCAAAGATAAATTGTCATTTCTTTTTCTCAATCTTATTAATTATTTCATATTTATATTTTTCATTCTATTTAGACGAAAAATAAATTTGATGACTTATATAAGTGGATGAAAATGGCATCACTGTAATAGAGAATGGACTAATGTTACAAGAGAATCCAAAACCTAGAAACATCTTTCACTAACAAAAAATATATATATTTATTATCATGGTTGACAAGTGTAGTCCAAAAACTAATGTTAAATAAAGTATGAAAAGTTTTTGACCCAAGTGGCCACAGACATGTATTTAGAAGTGTCACAGTGCCTCAATTTAATTTTGAAATCAATTAAAATACAAGCCTATTCTTAGATGATGTAGCCCATTTAAGGTACGAATCAAATGGAGCAAAAGCACAGACATTCTAAAAATTCATTTAAGATGAAGTTAGTCCAATTACGAAAGTAAGCTCATAACAAGATATGTTTTAAGACATGTTCATATTTAGATTTTTCACTTTCATATTTTTTTATTTTTAATTATTGTTATTTTTATCTCCATTCTATCTTTATTTTTTTGTATTCTACTTCTGTTTTTACCGTCGATTTTTTTAAAATTCAAATTTAAGTTTTAAATCAAGAAACTTCTGATTTATCTAAAGTCACCTCATGAAGCCCAAGAGTCATTCAAGTTTTCAGTGAATAAATTTTGTGAGTTTTTTTAATCTAAAGTACTCTCCATCCGTCTTCTACTGTAAAAGCACATCTTTCGAGGATTCACAACATGATTTCTTAGGGTTTTATGGTCTCCATGAATATACCAGCTATATCTCGTGGGAAATCTCCGATGTGCGTGAAGTAATGTGGAACTTGATAAGAGTTGAACCAAATCATAGAGGGATTGGGACATTAGAAAGTTACATTCTCCAGAAACATTTCGTATTTCCTACTGTGTCGGATAGATATTCCCCAATTGATGATTCCATCAACTCTGGAGAAATTCATCTACATCGGTAGTTGGATTCCCCGCGCCTCGAAGGCAATGCTGCGAACAACATCTCCAATCCGAGTAGTCCGATCAAGAAAAAAGCTACATAGCCATGCTCTCCGACCACAATAGCGCCTAAAATACGCATCCAGTTGAACGCAGCAGGATCAAAAACTGGAATACGGATAGAACAACAAACCGCGTTCTCACCAAACGACCCCAAACACCAGCCAAGATCGATCCGGAGACAAAATGTAGATCCGTAGAATGACCACTCCACAAACCAAAGAGGGGGAACCGGGAAAATTGGCCTCACCTGTGCCCGGCGAGCACATCCACCGAGGACTGCTTGGCCATGTCTTCCATCCCCCTCCTCTTCAGCAGAATCGATCGAATGCAGAGGCGAAGAAACGGGAGAGGAAACCGATGTCGCCACCGCTCTCCGTCATCTTCCTCCAGCAGCCGTCCCCATCTTCCACTTTCAGCAGGAGAAGGTGCGATCACTCGCCAGGGTTAGGTTCTCCCCTTTCTGGTTATACGTCGAAAGAGCTCGTTTAACCGCCGCAGTGGGAGAGTGACTCGTCTGACTCTGCCAAGCGACTCTGTGGAGAAGTTTGACCGCTTACGACGTTGGGAAAGCGAATCGAGGGAGAGACCTTTAGGTGGAGCCCACAGTTTTGTGACCAATCAGAGCTTACATCAAGCATTCGACACGTAGCACCACTGGGATCCCCTCTCTCACTCTCTCTCTCTCTCTCTCAGGGGGATTTAATTATTTTTAATTATATTTAAATCGTATTAGTAACATAAATTTATATTAGTTGAACTTTTGATATTTCTCTTATGAAAGTATAATTATTTTTATCTTGTAAAAAATGGTAAATATTTTATTGGGCCCCTTTCGATCAACATGGATCCTCAACGTCTCATAGAATATATACTGAAAAGAAAAACAAAATTATTTTTTTATCATATCTGAGAGAACCGGAAGAGGCCCCATGCATTACTGACCGTCCTCAAGGTCAACGGCGACAGATGGGAACGCGTTCGTCAGAAACCCCCATTGAATACACGCGGTTTCTTCTCCAGTGGGAGGGCGGCGGCGAGATCCGGCAGCGCTCGGCGCCGCCGATCTGTCTATCGTCTCTCCCTCCCGCCGCCCTTCCCCTGCCTTTCACTTCGCCATCGAACCGTGTTGACTTCTATGCGGAGCCGTGAGTGAATGAATGCCCCCGTACTTAACCCTTTTACTTCCCAAGGTTGCCATGAATGTCTCGGTCGCGGCGTCACGGGGTCAACGGGCTCCTCACGAGGAAGAAAGCCTCCCCTCCCCCTCTCCCCGACCCAAAGTCTTCTGTGTATAAATACCGGCGGAAGTCTCCGTCTTGGTGTCTTCCCTCTCTCTCTCTCTCTCTCTCTCTCTCTCTCTCTCTCTCTCTCTCTCAGAAGGACGGTAAGAAGGTGACATGGGAAGGACACCGTGTTGCGAGGGATCAGGGTTGAAGAAGGGGCCATGGACGCCGGAGGAGGATATCCTTCTGGTCAGCTACGTGAAGAAGCAGGGGCCTGGCAACTGGAAGGCCGTTCCGGCTGAAACAGGTGACGGATCTCGGCGACAAAGTAGAGAGAGAGAGAGAGAGAGCTGACTAAAGAAACATTGACTCACATCCTTCCTTCCTTCTTCCTCAACCAGGTCTGCTCAGGTGCAGCAAGAGCTGCCGGCTGAGATGGACGAACTACCTCAGGCCGGGAATCAAGAGGGGCAACTTCTCCAGCGAGGAGGAGAAGCTCATCGTCCACCTCCAGGCGCTCCTCGGAAACAGGTGGGCGGCGATTGCGTCGTACCTGCCGGAGAGGACGGACAACGACATTAAGAACCACTGGAATACACACCTCAAGAAGAAGCTCAGGAGGACGAAGACCGACGGCGGCTGCGGTAGCTCCGCCGGCAGAGGGCGGTGGGAGAGGAAGCTCCAGGAAGATATCCACGTAGCGGAGAGGGCCTTACGCGAGGCCCTGTCTCCGGAGAGCTCCGCCGCCGCCGTCTCCGAGGGCTGTAACTCGGTCGTGACTCTTAGCCGGGGTCAACGGGAGGCTTTATCGTCAACGACGGCCTATGCCTACAGCTCCGCCGAGAATATCTCACGGTTACTGAAAGGGTGGCCGGAGAGCACGGCGAACTCCGAGTTGACTCACCTCACGGCCCCCTGCGGCGGTGGTGGCGGTGGCGATGACTCGGTCTCCGGGCCCACGAACGGTGTCGTTGTGACGCCGGGGTGCCTCGATCATCGGCCATTTTCTGCGCCGCCGGAGGCCTCGGAGATGAGCTTCTTCCCACAGGTCGACGAGCTGTGGTCCTCACTGCTCGACACGTGGTTTCTTGACGACTCTCTCGATCAACCACTAGCGCCCCTCATGGCGATGTCTGTGGACGACAATACCTATTTCATCTGACCGACGCATAGATGTTGTAAGAAGCCATCTCTCTCTCTCTCTCTCTCACTCAGTTAGTCATGTCAGTGTTTAAGCCGCGTACGGGTATGTTCTTTGTGAGCTCTTCAAAATGGACATGCCCATGGTTTTCTGCTAACTTGTGACCTCACAGAAGTGGATGAACGAAAGCGGAGAAAAATCCGGACGGAGGATGCTGTAGTTTTGACTTCTTCAATGCCTGGGGTTGACTTTTACGACAATGACTGTGGCTTCGCGGCTGTCTTTGAAGCATGCAGAGAGGCCTTAAATGAGGCACGTGGGATGGATATAATGACTCCTTCTCCACCCTCTCCAACCTACTGACCCTCTCTGTTGTAAAGGAGAAGGGGGACCCCCTAGTGCTGCGGCCTCCTCCAACTGTTGACCACCTGGAGGGAGAAGGGAGGTGAGAGGAGAGCGAGAGAGAGAGAGAGAGAGAGAGGAGGATCTGATGAGAGTAAATGTGCCGAAGGGAAGTACGCACAGTAAATGCACGTCAGTCATGAATGAAGAGCTCCTGTTCTTCTCTCCTCTCTCTCTCTCTCTCAATGTATAGATAATATAGCTATATATATCTAGATATTTTCCTGTATGTATTTCAAGATACTTTCGGGATCTTTAAACCATCTCGCGCAGAAATTTCCAGGTTCAACCTCGAAAGTTTGCCGTCATCACCGTCGTCATGCGCCTTCAGTGGGCGGGGACTCGCAGAAACGTCTCCATTCAATTCCCTCCCTGTTCCCATCCGTCAGGCTCGTACTGTTGCCTGAGAGACTCCTCACACGTGAGAAAGATAGATAGAGATAGTAGGGAGAGAGAGAGAGGATTGAACCCGGAAGGGAACGCAAGAAGTCGAGATCTCTACTGTTGCCCGTGACCGTGTTGACCCCGGCGTTCCTCCTGTGCAAACAGATGGAGTTTCAATAACTAAGGTTCCTCAGAGACCTCAGAGACCCTCTGTGACACCCTCGCATCATCTGAGAAAGACGAAGACTCGATTAATAATAGTACGGCCATCCTATGGATATATACAGTACGTCTCTCTCTCTCTCTCTCTCTCTCTCTCTCTGTGAAGAAGTACGAGATGTGGATCATTGAGGATGGGCCTGTCGGAGCTTCGTATATATATTATATATACTTGGAGAGGGTCCAGCCCTGTTGGGGATGGCCAACCAACTAAGCGATCTACCGCCGCCATCTACAGCCGAGCAGGGCCGCCATAGCCATTCACACAGTAGGCTCCCGGAAGATAGTCAGACCTCAGATCCTTTTGAATCGGTAATTGGGAAACCCATGTCGAGCTGAGCTATTTCCATTAGTGTGGTACAGACTTACCTCGAATAGAAGCTAGAGAGAAAGCGAGAGAGAAAGAGGTTCGATCCAATCTGATATCGATGGGTTCCTCATGAACAGCGAGAGAGAGAGAGAGAGAGAGAGAGGGGAAGACAGAGACTACTCAGATCAGTCTGCAAATGGGTCCTCAAGATGGCCTATGTGGAAATCGGGCACAAGTTGATCAATCGGCAAATATGGCATATGACATAGGATAACTATCGATTGTTGGTGATAAGTTGTCCCCAAGTCGCCGTCATCTACTCTCTCTCTCTCTCTCATCTGTCTCCGTCGAGCGCCCCAAAAAAACTCATGCCAGCCCGTAGAGCGTGGACTCGGGAAGGCCCACACCGCTTGCTTCCCTCACAAGGCAGGAAGCCCAAGATAAGAAGATAATTAAAGGGCCTTGACATCATCTGCCGACCTTAGAAATATGCGCCCGACCCTCTAGAGAGAGGAATACCGAGAGATGGAGATGGGGGTTAGACGTAGCTGTAGAGAGAGAAACCAACTTGCCTCTCCCAGGGGCAACGGACATTGCGCTGTAGAGAGAGAGAGAGAGAGGGCCACAGATTCCTTGACGCATCAAGACAGAACCAATAAAGTCAGGATAAGACACTTGGAGGTGAGGCTGAGATATCCCCCGCCCCCATGCCATCTTGAAATCTCAGATGACGTCATCTAGCATTTTCAACTATTAATCAGAGCAATCAGACAGCAGAGGTCAGAGAGAGAGAGGGTTAGAGAGAAGGAAGCGAGTGCTTAAGAAAATCCAGTCAAAATTCAATAACCCGAGGTTTCAAGACCTCCATCGGCGAAAACCTCTCCTCCCCCGGGTTCAGTCCGTTAATGGCGGGAGCGAGAGCAGATGGTTAACATGGGCGAGGAGGAAGATGAACAGAAATATGAACAAAAATAACGCGGTCATCGTTAATTCCGTCGGAGACTCACCTCCAAACCTCCGCTAGCAGAGAGGGGGTGGGCTATCCGCCACACGCCCAGCGGCGGGGCCGCCGTCGTCGTCATCGGTCCTGTCACTGGGAGCCTGGTTCTCAGTCCCTCTGCCGCCGGCTGCTGCGGTGCGGCCGCCAGCTACACCCCCTCCTCCTCTCCTCGATGAGGAACCTCCGACGAAGATGTGCTTGTTGTTGTGCATCCACACCTTGAAGATCCCTTGGCTGACGCCAATCTCCCGGCATGCCCGCTCCACCACGGCTCCGTCCCCCTTCTGCATCCGCCACCCCAGCCGCTCCGACAGCTCCTTCATTCTCTGCTTCTGCTCTTCGCTGAACTTGGTCCTCGCCCTCTTCCTCAGCGGCGCCGCCCCGTCCTGTGCAGGAGGCGAAGGATCAAAAGCCGGCCCCCGCCGGAGCCCGCCGCTGAAGGCCACCAGCATTTGCGCCTGGGGCGCTGTGGACGAGCTCCGGTAGCCATAGTCCTCTCCCTCCCTTTCGCTGCGGTGGGAATGGCGGCGGGTCGCCACTGCGGCGGCGAGAGGACCGGCGTGGAGGACCCGGCGGTGGAAGTTCCTGTGGCAGCCGCAGGCGGCGCAGGTGAACGACGCCGGGTCGGCGAGGTCAGAGGCGGCGGAGGGCATGAATTCCCCGCAGCCGTCGACGGCGTGACAGCCCATCGCCGCCGCGTGGTTCTTCATGCACTCCCTGTAGACGACATGGTGGCCGTTCTTCCTGAGGGCGCCATTGGGGAAGGAGAGGGGGAGGAAGGGCCCAGTTTCGACGAGGGGGAGCTTGTGGTCTGCCGGCGGCGGCGACGGCGAGCGGCGGAGATGATCGTCGTGGAGTTCCATCCCGTCAACGGCGGAGCACGGTCAGGAGGGGCCTCGGCCCGGAGAGGGAGGTGGTGGGGGAGCCATGAAAGCGAGGCGAGGAACAGTAATGGCGGGCGGCGAGGATGACGGGATGGTAAAGGCGGGCCGCGGCAGCAGCTGAGCTGAGCGGGCGGCGTGTGATTGCCTTCTTCTGATGAATTATCTGGGATTTCGATGGACACGCCGGTATGTGTTTCTGAGGGAGAGGACGGATAGAGAGATAAACAGATAGATTGATAGAATGGCAGAGAGAGCAGAGACAGAGACTGTGAGAGGAAGGAGCTCGTTGGCTCACGGATAAAACTGTAGACTAACGGCTGCTTCGCACGTACATAAGCTCTCACACGTGCTATTGACTCAATGACCCTGGGTAATATATTATTATGAATGTACCCTTAAAAACTCGCTCACTTTTTGAAAAATCACCACAGTACATTGGATACGCGGGAATTTAAATCATACCTTGAATTCTCTCTCTCTCTCTCTCTCTCTCTCTCTCTCTAGCTCGTGGTGCACATGGTGGGAGATGCCGGGCCAATTAATTTCGACTCGGGCCTCAAGGAGATCGGGCCCGAAGCCCGTTTCCAAAAATCGACTCTAAATAGGTTCATACAGCGTGCGAGGTCCAATCGCATTGAATATGCCTTAAACCATAGTTGTAAAATAATCAGACGCCAAAAAATGTATATACGTATATATATATATAGTATTGCGGGCATTTTTCAATGGCCCAGGGTTTCTTGGGCTGGGCCGATATTTACCGCGTCTGCCAACCGCGACTGAAGTGAGAGAGAGAGAGAGGGCCTGGGCTTTTGGGGGTATTTATTGAAGGAATAATGCAAGCAAAACGGAGATGCCGGCATCGGCAGGCTCCTCTAGTGTCATGTTTAGAACCTCTCTATACACAGATTTCTCAGAAAAAGAGAGAAAATTTATGGTGTCGAGTCGAAGAAGAAGAGCGGGTCCGTCAACCCGGATGAACTTAGAAAGAAGGCGAGAAAGAGAAAGTACCAGGGATCTCTAGGGCAACGGAGAATCCAGATAGCCCCGGGGAGGAGGAGCCTCTCGGAGGTCCCTACCTGGTTCGTCGTCGTCGTCGTCGTCGTCGTCGGCGGCGGCGGCGGCAGCAGTGGCGACGGTGATGGTGGTGGTCAGCATTTGTTGTGGATGGGGTCGGATCCTCTCCGGACCCTCCGCTTGCTGGCCCGGACGAGGTGGAGCGACGGCGCCGCCGCCCCACGCTTCACTCCGGCGAGTGCGCGCCGCCGGGTGTTTGTCGCCGGCGGGTTTCCCTCCCTCTCGCCGGAAGCCATCTCCGGGGTTCCTGCTAGGAACCACAGAAACACCACGAGGCAGAGCAGCTTCCGGAGCTTCATGGTTCCTTTCTTCTCCCGGCCTCTCCTGAAAGAAGGTGACGACTGAGGGCGTGCAATATAAGCTCTGTCTCTCTCTCTCTCTCTCTCTCTCTCTCTCTCCCCCTATGGGAACGTTAAAGGGTCCCGTTCAAAGCTCTAAGAAGGAACCCAGAGGAATAGCTTTCCCTACGTACCCTCCATCGATCTCTCTCCCTCCCTTTTCCTTTAATTCATCCCGGTTGCCTATGCAGTCCATCCTCCCACCCTCTCCCCCTTTATTTTTTCCCATCTTTAACTGTTCATCTTTGATTTATCATCGCATGCAGCTTACTATCAAATTCAAGATGATGAAGAAGAAGAAGACCCCCCCTTCTCTCTCTCTCCCTCTCTCTCTCTCTCTCTCTCTCTGAGGGTGCGCCGCAGGGGTGGAAAGGTATGTAAAACCCTTTCAACGTTCTTCTTCGGTGTAAAGCAAGAAGAAGAAGAGGAAGAAGACCGTCTCTCTCTCTCTCTCTCTCTCTCTCTGAGGGTGCATCGCAGAGGGGGAGGGGTTTATGTAAAACCCTTTAAACGTTCTTCTTCGGTGTAAAGCAATAAGAAGAAGAGGAAGAAGACCGTCTCTCTCTCTCTCTCTCTCTCTCTGAAACTCTTTAAACGTTCCTGTTCGGAGTAAAGCAAAAGAGACAGCGGGGCCATGGGCTTCTTCCGAGATCAGCCTCTCTGGTTCTCGTAGCCCTCAAGCTTCTAGGCCCGATTCCTGCTCCATTCCCCCGATGCTTATAAAGACAAAGAGGACGACTGAGGCCCCATGGAGAGAGAGAGAGAGAGAGAGAGAGGCTAATCATCCATAGCATAGCCCTCTCTTTTGAGGAGCAGCCGTATATAAAGCTGGTGCCTTTTTCTGTGGGTACTTCCATTAACGCCACATCAGAAGTTGCAGCAGCCTGACGGGAAGAAGAGCCGCCGGAAATCCGAAGGCTTTGTGGTCGGAAGTACTATTCCTTTTTCTTTGTCCGTCATTAATGCACTAATTTTCGTAGTTATTAGCAAATCCTCCGTTAATCACCTACGAATCTGCTAATCCGTTCTCATGTTCTCGAAGAAAATAACGTTTTCTTTTCGGTATCCACGTTTTCAGTCCAATTTTGTTTCTTAATATATACAATTCCGAAGCCTATTTAATGCCATTATATTGTATATATTATTTTTATCTGAATAATATCCTCAACACTAATATATCGTATGTCATTTTAAAATTATATGTTTACGGAATTGACTAGAAAAAATAAAGGATTTCACTTGCTACTTGGGTTGTTTCAAGAAAGAGAGAGAGAGAGAGATGAAGAACATTTTAATTTTAAATTATATTCAATATTCCAATATCAGGAAATAAGAAACTAAGAGAATGTTTTGTCGTAAATTTAATATGTCTAATTATCAGGGTGGCTGTTTTTACAGAGAGAGAGAGAGAGAGAGAGAGATCCAATTGTTAGCGGTCCCACCCCCTATTTTTTAGATTTACAAAATGACTCTAAGATTCTCTCTTAATAAAAGACGAAAATAATGTTCTATTACAAAATGACCATTATATAACTTCCAAGGACTTTACTGTAAAAAGCGTACCTAATATTAAAACCACGGTAAACTATCGTTGATTTAACAATTAGCAGCCGAGATGGATAGTACCCTAAACAGCTGTTTCTGCGAAATTCCCTTTTTGTCCAGAGGACGGCCAACCCTTTGCCCCTCTCTTCCAGTAGAAGCCGAGAGATCAGCAACCACCGCCACCGCCACCGCCACCACGTCGGCGCTGAATTCCAATTCTACCCGTCTTCATGCCGCCGCAGGCGCCGCCGCGTTAGCGTCGCCAGCGGCTGATAGATCCGCCGGCGACCATGGCGCCGGGAGCCAGATCGGGCCGCGCGGCTCCTCCGGGCGCCCGAAGCAGCTTCCTCTCCTCCTACACGGTCTTCGTCTCCGCGCTCGTCGCCCTCCTCTTCCTAGCCGCGCTCTTCGCCTTCATCACCTCCAACTCCGGGGACGTCAATGGAGCGGAGGAGCGCTCTCTCTCAGAGCCTGGGGCGCTCCTCAGACCGAACTACTTCAGCCGCGTGACGTCGACGGCGCTGCAGTCTGATCCCTTCCGGACTCGCCTCGATCTGATCTACCGCCAGGCAGCCGATCACGTCGCCCTCGTCAACGCCTACGCCACCTTCGCGCGGCGCGCCAAGATCGACGCCGGTCGCGTCCTGCGGACCTTCGAGGACCTCGTCGGCTGCTTATCGTCGCTGCTCGCCCGCATTCCGCCCGCCGACAATGCTGCCGCGCTCGACGACGAGGCTCTGCGGGCCCTGGAGAAGGAGCTCAAGGACCGCCTCAAGCTCGCCCGGCAGCTCGTTGCCGAGACGAAGGAGAGCTTCGACACGCAGATCAAGATCCAGAAGCTCCGGGACACCGTGTTCGCTATCGGCGAGCAGATGAACCGCGCAAAGAAGCTCGGGGATCTCGCCAGCCGGATCGCCGCGGGGTCCACCCCGAAGAGCCTCCATTGCCTCGCCATGCGCCTAATGGAGGAGCGCGTCGCCCACCCTGAAGCATACGCCGAGGAGAAGGGGGCCACCAACCATCCGGATCTGGCCAATCCAGATCTGTACCACTACGCCATCTTCTCCGACAACGTCGTCGCCGCCTCGGTGGTGGTGAACTCTGCCGTCCGGAGCGCAGCGGAGCCGTCCAAGCACGTCTTCCATCTCGTCACGGACAAGATGCACCTAGCGGCGTTCCAGGTCTGGTTCCGCCGCCGCCCGCCCACCGGGGGCGCCCGAGTGGAGATCCGCTCCGACGACTTCCCCTTCCTTAATGCGTCCTACTCGCCGGCCGTGCGGATGGGGCTGCCGGTGTTGGACCACCTCAAATTCTATCTGCCGGAGATGTTCCCGAGGCTGAACAAGGTGCTGCTCCTGGAGGACGATGTGGTGGTGCAGCGGGATCTTTCAGGCCTCTGGTGGGCAGATCTGGACGGAAAGGTGAACGGGGCGGTGGAGAAATGCTTCGGATCTTTCCAGCGCTACTCCCGCTACCTGAACTTCTCCCACCCTGCGGTGAAGGATAAGTTCAGTCCCCGAGCTTGCGCCTGGGTCTATGGAGTAAACGTCTTCGATCTCGACGCCTGGAGAAGGGAAAAATGCACGGAGCAATACCATCACTTCCAGAACCTGGTAAGGATTCAGCAAAGCGTACTCCTTTATTTAGCGAGAGTTCTATTTCTCTGCTCCGCCTTGCCATTATCGATCAGTTTCTGAAGCAACTCCCCAGTAGAATCTTTAATTCTTTCTTGGCAATGATCAGGGCAACTAATCTTTTTAATCCCGAATGGCTCTGGCCCCAATTCCATCCCCGAACTACCTGCGAACCAGTGACAACCAAGGTAGAAATCGCTGCCTTTTTCCACCAGCACTCTTCCAATGCCGATCAACAGTCTAGTTTCATATTGCCAGCAAGTCTACCACTGATTATTTCATTTGGGCTTCGAGGGGATCCTATGCTTACGTCATAAATATTGGTCATAAGGTTACCTAGAACACAAGCCTGTACCAAAAAATATCAGCATCCGTTGTAGCACCATGATTGACATCCGCAGAAGATCGAGTTTTTATTTATCCTCTGATTAACTTTTTAGGAGTTTCTACCTCTTTGTTCTTGGGAACACTGTCGGAATCTACTGAATTTATTTTTAATCGGTAGGATATTTCCAATCAAGATAGTATTTCTGATACGGCTCACAAGAACTCTATCGAATTCGGAGGACATATTCTGTACCGAATTTTATCTAGTATGGAATCCTCTATTTAAGGATAAATCGCGAGCCGATATGAACTTTATTGCCGCATAATTTGTTGAACTTCCATGCTGTCTTCATAGAATCATAGCTCAATTCTCTGCTAGTCTGAGACCGTCCTTTCAGCAGTGGAACCCCAGAAGGAACGCCACTCTCTCTCTCGCTATGTTTCTGAAAAATTACTTGATTTCCTCCTACTTCGTCAGTGGGATTATCGGTTGACTTCTGTGATGATCTGCTGATTCCTTATCCTCGCTGCAATATCGTCGAAGTTTATTTACGTTTATTTTTTGACCGTTCGAGCTTTCTTAAACAGACAAGGTCAACCTCATTGGTTCCATTCTTGGTTTAAGCTTCCTCGCGGCACTGAACTACCTCACCTGTTGGGGCTTGACTTCCCATTATCGGACGCCCGCTGGCTTTCACATTTTTTCTTCGCAATGGGTCTTCTGAAGAAAGCCGGCTTTTACATCTGTTCTTCTTTTAGAACGAGGACGGCACTCTCTGGAAGCCCGGGACGACGCTGCCAGCGGGGCTGTTGACCTTCTACTCGTTGACCAAGCCCCTGGACAAGTCGTGGCACGTGACGGGCCTCGGTTACAACCCGAGCATCGGCCAGGATCTGATCGATGCCGCCGCCGTCGTCCATTTCAACGGGAACATGAAGCCGTGGCTCGACATCGCCATGAACCAGTACAAGCATCTCTGGACGAAGCACGTGGACGCCGATATGGAGTTCCTCCAACTCTGCAACTTTGGACTCTGAGGGCGAATATCCCCACCCTGTAATCTTCTCTCCTTCGTTTTCCTCCTCCAAGCTCTCCCCTTTGCCTGTCATTTTTTCTCCGGAGCTCCTCTCTCTCTCGCTCTCTCTCGCTCTTCATTTGATTTGGCAGGATCGCAAAGTGAGCCTGCGCTGCTTGAATCGAGTTCGAGTTGTCTTCAGAGGTGTTCTTGGGTACTGTTTTTTTTTCCTTAAGATTTTCGATGTATGGGGGGTGAGAAAGTTATTATTTGTGAGTAGATACGGTGAGATTATCTTGAGAAAACCGCTCTCGGTTTCCTCTACCTTATTATCGAATATTATTTCTTAGACAGGAGTGTTTGTACTATTTTTAGCATCATACCATGATAATTCAGGATTATTTTATCACGTGAGTTCGATAATGTCAACACCTACGCCCCCCAGTTGACTTAAGTTCGAGTGTATTATTATTAACTCGCTGACCCCCCGAAGGGAGACGTGGGGAGTGGAGCTGGCTGCCACGTGAGGGAGCACGTCGGCGAACAACCACAATATATTGAAGCTGTGTAACTTCCAAAGTCAACATCTTCGAGCTTTATCTACGTGGGGGTTGACTTTATTATTTTGATTTATCTTTATTTACATGCTTTTAGTTTCATCTTGATAGAAGCCTAGGATGAGGCCATGCCTTGGTAAGTTTGGTGTGAGTTTAAACATCTCTTTGGAATTCTAAAGACCATGAAATCCTAGGCGTCAGCAGTAGAGAGAGAAAGAGAGAGAGAGAGAGAGAGAGAGAGAGAGAGAGAATCTGATAAATATGGATGTTAATATAGAAAATCTTGTTAGGCTCCAATATATTAGTTTTTAAAATTATATTATTTATTATTCACGTAAATACACACAACTCTTTTACAATCCGTACAATTATTGATAAATATTATTTTCGTTTATTTTCCGCCGCCAAATGGGGATGCCAGAGTAAATGCTATTAATTATTTAATAATATTAATTTTGAAATTTTAGGTTTTAATTGCAATTAAGGTATGAAAGCCCACGTAGCGAGAATACGAAGGAGATTAGCGGATCTGGGTGTCGGTCGCTATACTCGCGGAGTCGTTGGGTAGGCTCCGCTGCTTCTCAAGAGGGAGATCTCAAGAGGGAGAGGGAGATCTCTGCATCTTCTGTCTGGGAGGGGGAGATCGGGTCGGCTGGAATGTGATCTGCGGCGGCTCGAGGTGGGCAAAGAGTGGGGTTGGCTTCCTCTCCGTCGAGATAGCAATTCCTGCCTTGCGTCTCCCCTCGCTCCTCCTGATGGGGCGGTCGCCGGCGGCGTTCGCACGGGTGTGCTGCCTTCTCCTCCTGGTGGGAGTCGCCTTCTCCAAAACCGTGAAAAGAGATGGTAACCCCCCCTTCTCTCTCTCTGTAATGTGGTGTGGAACACCATTCTGAGAGTTTTCTGCCAAAGCTTGTCATTTTGAAGTGGCACAGTGGGAGAACGTAAATGGTGCTTTGGTTTATCTGGTTAGTTTTCTATGGTGCCACATATTCATAAAGTTGAATATATGGAGGAAGGAAGTGTTTGGTATCAATGGGTTATGGTGCAGACATTGAGTTCGTATTTCTCCGATGATGGGTGGTGAATCTAGTGAAGCTCATGTTGATTTTATGCGTTCTTGAGGGGTTCATATTTTGTGCAAAATTTAACGGGTATTTATTTTCTTTAGATTGATATTGGTTAATTCTGAAACGTCTTCGGATAGAACTTCGTTGACACTTGAATATAATTATTTTTTGGTTTATTAGTTTTTCTATGTCGATGAGTAAGAGGTTCTTTAGTGCTCACAGGTTGCACACTTCTACGTATTTTGTTTTTACTCTGTAAAAGGTTCATATTGGTGAATGTAATTTTTTTTTTTTTGTTTGTTTTATTTTAAGTTGGTCGTGGTGGAGAATTATGCTACCTTTCTGAATGATATATTTTGTGTGCTATCATTATCTGTGGAGTTGAAGTGTCATCTTTAACCTCTCCTTGCTACAATAGGTAGTGCATCTGGCTCCACTCCTGAGTTAATCCCTGATTTTTTCTGGCATGGGAAATAGTGTACGGTAGGCCTTTTAATCACATATTTGTTGACAATATTCTGTGTATGAAATATCTAGACGCTGGTAAAACATATGTTTCTGAATTCTTGGTATTTTCCTTCCAGTTCGCTTGTTCCATATTTTCATGACATGAATTGATATTACAAGAAATGATAATCCATCACGCACCTTATTCTTCTGTTGGAAACTATGGTCCTTTTTCAGTGAAAGCCCTGAATGAAATCAAGGCATCTCTTGGGTGGAGGGTGGTGTATGCATGGGTTGGGGATGATCCATGTGGAGATGGTGACCTGCCACCATGGACTGGCGTGACATGCTCTCAACAAGGAGATTATAGGGTCGTGACAGAACTGTAAGGGAAATTATTCTGATCTCTTCCTTGTACAAATGTATATACATGCCTGTTATCTATGATTATATTTCATACTGTTGCAAATGATGGTCAATGAGTTGAACGCCATCTTTTCTGCTTAAAAATTAAAGCACGAAAGAACGAGTTACATATTTCTTGATTATGATATATCCCCCCTTTCTGAGTAAAATTTCGGATACTATAGTAATGTTATTAATTGTTTTTCTTAAATGACGCATATTAAACTTGAGGTGTGTAATGCTATTAATTATTTTTCTTAAATGACGCAAATTAAACTTGAGGTGCTTAGAGGGAACCCACTTGGTGAAATGTTGACTACTCTCAATGAATCGAGCTCCACAAAAGAAAGCAAAAAAATGAATATCAGGGTTTAAAAGAATCACCTATTTCAGTAGTATAAACTGAACAAAAAAGAGTCAGAACTACATGGGAAGCTTGCTGAAGGAACACAGAGACATGAGTTCCTAACACAGGGGCATTGTTGATCGCGCTTGCCTATTGACATCAATGCAGCGTAGTGGAAATTTTCATGCACGACTACATAGCAGGGGACTTGGGAAAAAACCCGGCAAGGAAATCTCTCAGGACATCAGACAGCCTACAAAGAAAGATATTGACAATCTGATCACCGAAATAAAGTCTAAGATCATCCCTCTTGGAGAAAACTTCCTCAGAGATTTGTGGACATATCTCAGGAGTTGATTCAGAAACTCCTTTTCGAGACACGTGGTTGAAACTTTGGAGTAAGTAATATACTTGTTAAAGTGTATGCATCAGAAGATCAAATTACCTGCAATAGATAACCAGCATCTTCCATTTTCTCCCAGTACGAAGTTTCGCATATCTGGACCTGGTCGAAATTCCTAGGTGTTGTCTTTGGAAAGTTTTTGCCTTGTTAGTTTCAGGCACCATATGATATCTGATTATGTTATTTTGGTCTTACTGTCATTTATTTGCAGGGAAGTTTATGCCGTATCAATTGTTGGTCCTTTTCCTACTGCTGTGACAAATCTTCTTGATCTGACTAGGCTGTAAGAGTTTTTCCTACCCTATGCATTGCACCATTGAATGTTTCAAGTTTCATATACCGTGATAATTCGGTTTTTGCATTTTAACAGATATTTTGGGGCACCTTAATCAACCATTTGGTTATCTTTTAGTTTATTTATCATCTCCGCCCACAAATTCTTCCCAGTGGAGGTCACGTAGCGCAGCTGGATACTGTAATAAAATGTGTACTTAGTGAAATTACTTCGGAGACAACACAGGAAGTTTAGTTCTTTCTGTCAGGAGCTATCTTTCATCCCAGTTTTAATCGTAAGGAGCCTGTCTCTTTTTGTACCCCCATGGTTTCAAACATGGGACAAGAGACCTTTGAATTTGTCTTTCTAAGGTTGCTTTTTGTTGTCTATTCGATTGCAATGGTTATATTTTTCTTTTTATTTTACTGAATTACTCTTTGTATGCCCTTTCTTCATTTTGAATGCTTAAATTTTAGGACGCCCTTCTTATTCCTAGCGATACCCATTAGAACCAGACTTTTAACCTACAATATACGTTAAAACGTTTCTGTTGACGGTAACAAATGTATACCATATGTCATCTGTAACTTAATGTGCTCCGTATAAATCAGCCATGGTTGGGATTTTTTTCTTCTGTGGATGCCCTCATTTTTTTTTTCATTTCTCGTCTATACTTGGTGTTAATAACATCTATATTATGCTTGCTGCTCAATTGTTTAATATGTATGAGAGATAATATCCTTGGGCATTAATCATATGATTTCTTTTTATCGTAAATACTTTGAGAATAAAATATTTATTCGCCACAAAAATACGTTGAGAGTAAGAGCATTTCTCTGGCCGTCACTCTTCTTAATAAGGCTAAGTTTACCATTTCCTTGGTTTTTTTTTTGTTACATTCGTATAACTTTAGAATGCGACCAGTAGGTTTACATCTCTGGGGAACATTTCTAAAATATCTATCTTTTTTATTATCATATAATGGTATACTGTGGTTCTCCGTTCTTAATTTCATATTTTATAGAAAATTGTTGAGTAGTACATACTTGTACGTATCCTGTATACTTCCACACTTCACTCACAATGGATTCCATCTGATCCAACTAGCTGTTCGTGATTCTTTTTTTCTATACTTTTTGGACGTGCTTTTATGTTTTTGCAATTTGCCTAGTATGGAAGATTTAAACCATCACCTATGTTGGAAAATCGGAAGTCATCTCATTTAATTTTAGAGTACATATTTTTCCAGATTTTCGCATCTTCCAACCATATTTGTCAGGGTGCCAAGGCATCTGGTACCTCTGATACCTAGGCACTTTAGTCTCACTTTAGGCCAATGTTAATGTAAAAAGACAGGAAGTAAGTCTATGAACTGAAACAAGATTTACTGAAACGTCAGTTCCATTCTTTTCTCCTGAGAAAAATGTACACCCAAAAATGATACTCGGAGGCCCAGTTCTTAGAAGCTAATTTGCAGCGATGAGACATAAGACCCATAAAAAAATGATTTTTTTGCAAATATCTTTCTCTTTACCCTCAACTGGAACATGGTGCCTGAATTCCATCCTTTTCCCAACTCATCCCCGCCCTCTGATAAAGAAAAAAAAGTGCAATACTTTACACTCTCGTGCAGGGTTTTACTCCTTCCTTTGGGTATCGAGGGAGGGCTCTGATATCTTGAACATTGTTTCTTCACTGCAGCGGAACTTCTTTTTTTAGTCAGCAGTGCCGATATTTCCCTTCTCCATTTGACTCGCTTTCCTTTCCTCCCCCATCACCATCTTTACTTATACTAATTCTGGTATCTCTTTCCCCACTTTCTGGTCCAGCCCTGGTTCAATTGTTGTCTATTGTTTATGTGTGCTGAGACTGAACCAGATTCTGCACCGTATATCTTCTACAGTGACCTGTGCTCCTTCTGTCATCTTCTGAAGCATTGTAGACATCACACCGTTGGCCTGTCATTGTAACATGAAGGATGATATTTTGTTTCATTTTTATTTTTTCGTTTCCTAATCGACTTTATGGAATCAATTTACATTCAGTGCACAAGGGTTAACGATATGCTATGTACTCAATCATCGCTCCTGCTTAGGTGCAGCTGATGATTTTTATGAATCTTTTCTCACCTCCCAAGTGGCTATTGCTACTTCAGCAACAGAACCCTGATGTAGAATATTCTCGTTTGACTTTTGGTTCTTATTCAGCTTTCTCAGATCATCTGTTACTGAATATATATCGTCCTTAATTTTTTTTAACGGCAGGGATCTTCACAATAACAAGTTGACCGGACCTATCCCCCCTCAGATTGGACGACTGAAGCATCTGAAATCATTGTACGGTTCTCTACTTGTCACACTTATCGTTAGCATTTATGTCTACAAATCCCTATGAAAACATTTGCATGGGTTGACTTTGTTGGTTATGAATGCACATGAAAGCTAAAAAATATCACCATCCTATTCTTTCACGGTACTTCAGCTGTGACCCTTTTTGTTCAACTTGAACTTACTTGATGACCTCCATTCAAGTGAATGTGTTTCCTCGAAATGTTAATTATTTTTAATAGATGTACTCATAATTTTATTTTATTTTTGTGCATTTCAGGAATCTTAGGTGGAATAAACTGCAGGATGTAATTCCCCCTGAAATCGGTGAACTAAAGAAGCTGACCCACCTGTGAGTCAACTTCTGTCCAGTGTTCATGATAAGCATTGCACCACACTCATCCTTGTTCAACCATTTCATGTCTCTACAGGCAGCTGAGCTTCAACAATTTCAAGGGAGAAATCCCCAGGGAGCTCGCGAATCTACCAGAGCTCCGCTACCTTTACCTCCATGAGAACCAGTTTACCGGGAAAGTTCCTCCTGAACTGGGGAATCTCCAGTTTCTTCGGCACATGTACTACTTGATCATCTCAGTTTTGACTTTTTTTTACCATTCCTTTTTAAGGAATCTCCCCGATCTGTTTCTGACGACGATTTTATCGTTGACTTTCCTTAGGGATGTCAGCAACAACCGGTTGACTGGAACAATAAGAGATCTTATCCGTAACACAGGAGACTGCTTCCCTTCCCTCAGGAACCTGTAAGCGGGCTGCGCCCATTCACCACCCATGCATTATATTATATTTTAAGCTCGTTTGTTTATTGATATATCCCTGACAAGACTCTTGAATTCAAGGTACTTGAACAACAACCAATTGGGAGGAGGAATACCCGAACAGCTCTCCAACCTGACCAATTTAGAGATCCTGTGAGCGCCATTCCTATAAATGGAAATAAATTCGGAGGATGAGCTCACCTTTTGTCCAACAGCTTCTGAATGCCTCACTGTTCTTCCTTCTTCCCATTTAGGTATCTATCACACAACAAGATGAGCGGCACGATTCCTGCGAGGCTTGCGGAAATCCCTAGATTAACTTACTTGTGAGCACCTTTATCCGATCTCATCTCGTTCAAAATCTTGTGGGTGTTCTTAAAATCTCTGAACCAGCGAGCTCATCAGGTACCTGGATCACAACTCATTCAGCGGCAGAATCCCTGACAAGTTCTACAAACACCCCTTCCTGAAGGAGATGTGAGTTCTTCTTCTTCTCCTTCTGCTTCTTCTGCTTCTTCTGCTTCTTCTTCTTCTTGATGATCTGGGTCACCTTGCCTATAGACATCGACTGAATCTGCGCTGACTTCAGGTACATTGAAGGCAACCAGTTCAGGCCCGAGACAGTTCCAAAGGGCTCCCACAAGGTTCTGGATGTCACAGACACTGAGTTCTTGTTCTAGTTAGCCTCCTGTACATCTACCCACCTTCAGCTTCATCCCCCATTACATCGTCGCTTGCACATCACATGCTCTGGTGCTCTCTCAGTGTTCGGGAAACAGAGGACTTGGTGTAATATATAGATTCTGGTTCTGGTGGCTCTCTTTGAGTTTTTTTTTTAATGAAAATAAGTAAATAAATATTATTTATTTATTTTCATTTAATTTCAAGGATGGGATTTGCTCCTATATTCATATATATATATATATATATATGTATGTATGTTTACATCTGGAGAGGGACTGCCGCAGGCTGTGAGGAGGTGCTCTATTTTGTATATATTATTTATTTATTTATATATAGACGAGCACAAATGACAATAGATGACTATGTTATGGCCAACCTTGGCTCTGAGCAAGTATAATTATTCGGCATTTTTAGAATATATATATATATATAATAAGTAAGAAAACAGGAAGAATGGAGGTTATTTTTCACGCTTTTTTTAATATAATATTAAAATGGAAATCAGTAATCAAGTATTCACGGAGCTAACTCCAGTGAGCCAGTCACGGTCTGACGTGGGACCAACCTATTGGTCGAGCTGCGTGTTGGAGGCATCTGCGGGTGACGACAGTCTTCTGCCACGTGGCATGACGACTCTACGATACCTAGAGCGCGCATTCAGACGCTCCCTTGAGAGGACCCACAAGGAGTGGATAAGACGAGAAAGCCGGATGAAGAAATGCCTTTACGCGCAGCTGTATGTGTAAACGGGTCTCCTCCATGTGTAGCGCTGCGTACTAGGACTTTGAGAATGGGAGGTGGAACCAATTGGGGGAGGGTGGTCGCCACACGCGGTCGTGCTTTACGACTCTCTCTCTCTCTCTCTCTCTCTCACTAGCTTCCCGGCCGGATCTGCACCCGAGGAACTCAGGTCGTCGCTGGGTTTGCGTGCGTTCCGTCTGTCTGAAACGTAGTTCTTTGGGTGGGTGAAATTCTATCTGTTTGATACTGGATTTACAGGACTTGGGATAATTCGTAAGTATCGAGATATTTCGAACCATCTTTTTCCTTTCTCTTCTGGGTCCGTGTGCTCGGGGCGGGTTTTGGACCGATCGTTTCCTTGTTCGTATGATTCTTCTTGCTCCTTTGCTGTTGTATTTTCATGGTAGACCTTTGGAACTGTTCAAAGATTCTTCTATTCTTCCCGGTTTTAGTTTTTTTTTTTTGGAATCTCCCTGATGATACGTCGAATCTCTGATTCGACGTGAAAGACGAGGAGTTCCCTCGTGTTGTTCTCCGTTTTTTTCTCGCTGGCGTTGTGGGGGTGGAGTGAGGATCTGTTTTGTTTCTTCCGCGAACTCCTTTGTTGCTATTCTGATTGGGATTGTAAGAGATTTTATCGACTCTAGTTATTAACCCTGACCCGTTTCTATCATATAATCTTTTCCAGGAGGTTATCTGAACGAATATCAAATTATCCAATTATGGTTCCTCAGCTTCCCGGCTCCGCAGATGACGATGAAACAGAGGCCGAGAGGCCAACCGGAAGGTCAGTGAACATCCTCTTTATTTACAGAACCAGAATATGTGTTTACTTGATTGCCCAATGGTGAACGAATGCAGATATCTGAGAAAAGGTTGTGTTCCTCCCTGTCCGAAGATTAGTAAACACGTCTCCGTTTCTAAGTAAAGTATTTCAGCTGAGCAATACGTCATGCTATTATCACCACCTTGTTAATCGCCATAAAACAAGTTTTGCTTTGGATAAGATCCTTTCACTCAATCTCGCCCATTCTTCTGCCATCAACATTATTGTTTTGAATTATGAAGCACCATCGATCCTGAGTTTGCTCGAGATATATATTGACTCGGGATTATTATTTTTGCTTTAGTTTGTGATAAATATTTAGGCTCTAGTCGAAGTTTCAGCTGCAGTGTGCGGCGATGAGAAGTTCTTGGTCTCATTTCGCTTTCTAATAGTTGTCATAGTGTGATGTTTTGGTTTTGATTCTGCTGTACGAAAAATAGACAGATTCAAGTTGCGTTTACTTTCTTGAATTATCTTCACGGGACATTAATCCTTCATACTTATATTCGGCCACTTAGGGGAAATGATGTCATAAAATTCGTTGTGGATCAACTAGACACTCTGGCACTCATCGGGGAAACCTTGTGTCAACTAGTTGGCCACTTCTGCTTGGTTAATCAGTTGTGAGACTTGCATGCACTTCTCTGGCGGGACGAGACCAGTTACTATCTGATAGGCTGAATTATAGGTGAACTCTTGTCCTGGAGTTATCTGATAAAGCGACTGGCATCTTCGTTTTTATCCATTTTTAATCTTAAGTGATTTTCATTTAGTTGTCATTCTTCTTTTATGCAGTTTGTAAAATAAAGTAAAAATAATGCACTACACTGTAGAACAGCTACTGTGCAGCTCAACTATTCCTGTATATCAGCTTCTTTAACTACTGCTAAGCTATTATGGATCAGATGACGAGCACCTGTTCTTTACTGATCTTGGCATTGTGTCATTGAGCAGGCCATTTTTTTAAGAAACCACAGTTTTTTGTAGAAATAAATGATAAAAAATTAAAAAAATCCCATATACTGTCATCCCTGTGTTTCTTTTGCTGTGACAACTGGTCAACGCAGACATGCTTTATGTTCAGGGATATAAATATTCTGATACCATTGTTATATAGACTTCTCTGTCCTCATATCTATGTTCTGCTTCTTGTATTTATTTTCCGCAATAGGTTATGAATTTTCTTTTTGACTTTTTATTTTGAGACCTTGAGATTAAGTACGAAACATTTTTGGTAATTTTGAAATCCCGTTTGAGTTTCATTCCTTTCTTTCTGTTGTCTCATTTCGTTCCTTTAGTACACTATTTAAAGAAAGTACTTGAGATGGAACTCGGTGGGAGAGATGCAGCTTCCCAGGAAACGAAGTGGGATTGTTCATGATTCCTTTCTCGTGTTTGACTTTATGATCTCTTCTTTGTTTTACTTCCGCAGCTTCCCAGGAAGGCTTCCCTTTTTATTATCCTTTCTGCGTCATTGATTTTTATTTATTTTTATAACTTTCAATGCAGTTCTTCTCCCAGTAGAAACCACCCGGGTAAAGTTCCAAAGAAAATTCACAAATCTGAGAGGGAGAAGCAGAAACGTGACCAACTAAACGATCTCTTCTATGAGCTGGGGAATGCTTTAGGTCAGTTTAGGTTACCAGATGTGGTTGAATTCCTCTCCTCTGACTTTCTGCTCAAACCTTTTTTAAAACCTGTCCTTGAATCCAACCATCAAAAGATTCAAATGCCATTGAGAAATCCTGCGTTCTTATATTATTGGTCTGAACCTACGTGTGTGAAGATCCCCTCCCCCGTCCTTTATTCTTTTTTACTCTTTTCCTCATTTCGTAATTTCTTATATATTTTTTTCTCAAAGTGGTTTACCTTCGCCCGTTGGTTTAACAAGTCAATGTGCTGTTGGCAGAACCAGCTCGGCAGAACAATGGCAAGGCCTCCATACTGAGTGATGCTGCTCGATTATTACAGGATCTGCACACCCGTGTCGAATCTCTCAGGAGGGAAAATGCTGCCTTAGCCGCAGAATCTCGGCATGTAAGTCGCTGAAACCCTTTTTTTTCTTCCTAAACTTGGCTATTCCATGCTCTTTCTGAGCTCGTTCATACCGTTGATATCAGATTCCATTGAGGGAAAAAAAAAAAAAGAAGAAAAAGTCAGACCCTCCCTCCCTCGATGCTGGCATCATTTGCCCATTTGATCCTCGTTCATACCAGGAAACACATACAGAGCGCATTATCTTTCCAGCCCTGGCCATGATTGACCTGCCGTTGCTCATCCGCCATTAAGTCCACTCTTCTGACTCTGGTTGACCTGGCGTTGGCAAGTAGAAGACTGCAGAGAAGGACGAACTGAGGGATGAGAAGGCCGCCCTGGAAGCCGAGATCCAAAGGCTGCAGAATGAGCTGCAAGAGAGGTTGCAGTCCAGCTCCTCCGCCTTCATGGCTGTGACACAGCCCGCCGCCACCTCCTCGCCGGAGCAGCAGCTGGCGGCGGCGGTGGCGCCCTCCAACTTGAGCCGGCCGCAGGCCAGATACCCCACGCCGGCGGACTCCTGGCCAATGCAGATTCTCTCGCAGCAGGAACGGCGAACCTCCCCAGAAAGAGGCGGCGGCCGGCCTAAGGAGAACACGGAGGCGTCGTCTCTGTAAATTTCAGCTGAGAGGAGCTCCTTGGTCAACGACGAGTAAACAGACGTCTGGAGAAACATCGACGACGCGCATCGACAACGATTACGGATTTAATAAACAGGGAAAAAGTCAAACTTCGTGGTTCCCGCGTGGCGTTTTCGTCAGCTCCTCTCCTTCCACGTGCCCCTTCTACCTTATACGTCTCTGCTCTGTTTCATCGTGTATTTTAGTTGATTTATTTACTTTAGGCCCTCTTGTTTTGGAAATATTGATCAATCCCCCCAAGCCTACCAAAACTCTATTTACTTAGCTTAGCTCTATGGTGACTCTATGATGTACGAGTGATATGGGATAGATATGTAATATATATTTTTTGTATTTTCTGTAGGCATCTAATGACATTAGTTCTATTTTTCTGTAATTTTTGTATTTTTATATTTGTTATTTAGCGTGACGACGCGAGCCACGTCAGGCGTATGGGATTATTTTCGCGATTTTTTTAAATGTACTAAATTCAGACAAGAGCACGACCCACTAAGATATTTAAAAATTATAAAAAGATAATTATATATTAAAGGAAAAAGGTAAATTGGACGATATAAATAAGTCAGCAGTGGTGTCCGATAAGGATATCGGGTATCTTATCGGTTCCGCCTATTTGGGAAGTCCGTGTCCGACAGTGGGTGGCTGTAAGCGGACCGTCGCCGTAGCAACTCCCGGAACCCGTCACTTAACAGATTTACCGTTGATGACGTATTGGTCCACGATAACAAAGTCAGCGACACTGCGGACACAGCGCCCCGGAGGGGGGGGGGGTCTCGGCGCACGTTAAGGCCGCGCATGATAGAAGCGCTTCCTTCCCCTCGGAGGGATGGGGACAGCGAGCGGTATCATTTCCTCTTTCTTTTTTATTCTTCCACTTTTTTCGGGCTGGCGAAGAAGAAGCTCCTGATCGAAGCACGCGCTGGCCCTCCCCATTCTTCTCTCTCTCTCTCTTTCCTCCCCTTCCCTCTGCCGTCGCCTTCTTCGTCCCTCTCTCGGCGGAGAAGCAGTCTCCGGCAGGAGCTGCTGCACGGCGTTCGCAAGGCAGTCTACGGGAAGCTTGTCGCGCGATTTTCTTCCGCGATCCGAGCAGAGGGGGGACAGGTTCGAAGCGAAATGGCCCGGCATTAGGGGATCACCGGCAGGTGCTTTTGCTCCAGGTGACGTCGCCCCCGTTCGCTGTTCAGGTCGCCGTGGTGTCCGGTGCTCATTGTTGTATATCGGAGGCGGCTTTTATGTGGTGTTTGCTCGGCCTTTGGTTTAGAAGTTTTGGGGGCCCGAGTTGGCGGCGCTGTTTTCTGGAGGGTTTGTCAGGGGGTTCTTTGAGAAGTTTGGGAAGGGATGGATATGCCGGGATAAGTGTGACCCTTGGGCAGTAGGTGTCTGGGTGAGGCCCGAGTTGTATTTGTCGCTTACGCAGGTGTTGTTGGATTTGTTGAGGCAATGCCCGTTGAAGCATCTCCTGTTCATTGCGTTGTCCGTTAGATAGGTTTTTTTGGGGATAAGGAATTCACATCGAGGTGAACCAGTGCAGGCGATTAGAGCGAACTGTTTCCTGCATCTCACATTTGCTAGCAGAGCGCGTGTGAGTTACAGATTAATGGATTATAAATGAGGGGATTACAGTCCTGTTATCCGGACAGCCACTTGTCACTGGCTCGTTTATGGGGAAGAGTGGGTCATGGTTACGCGGTAGTGTGGATGCTTGGTGCCGTTCGAAAGGATTTTTTGTTTTCTGTAGAAAGTACCTGAATGGCCGATCTTCTGAGAAATGCACCTGTTGAGAGGGATGTGGAGCAGGTATGGAGCATTTTACTCTTGTACTTCTGCCGATTTAATGAACGGAACTCAGTGAAGTGTTACTCGTTACGTGCCATGTGAAATTGTGTTCCATCTTCAGTCTGAAATCACATTCCGCCAATACAGTCAGAAAAAGTTAATACGTAGAAGTTTCTGTCTGGCTATTCTCATCCTGTTTCATGCATTATTTACCGTTAAAACAACCGGATCTAATCTGCACGAGTTTTTGAAATCAAAGCCCTCGATCTCTTTTTACTTACTAATTTCATTACTTATTAAATATTGCTTGATGGGCTTCATTAGGTTCCGGAAAGGATGGAGCTCAGGCAATACTTATGACAGCCTGATGTGACCACATTGCCCTTGAACGTGAAGAAATGATAAATTGACCAGTCTGATCCAGTCATCTGACTTGGTTCCGTGGACCATTAATTCAGAGATCTCTAGAACCAGAACATTTTGTTACAATCCCTAATCAATTCACAGATTTCTTACGTTCATTATGTTACCACATGTTTTGTTAACGAACCTCATCATAATATATGGTGCCACGGTATATGATGATCTTTGTGTTTTTAGTGAATGGCAACCTATGTCCTTCGCTAGCAATCTCGTGAGTTTTACTTCCCGATTTTTTTTACAAGAAATATTTAGTTTTCTATTCCATTACTCCAGAGCTATATGCCATAAATTCATGTTTGTCTATAAATATGAGCATTTATTTTTTCTTTCCTGTTATGTTTAGTGACTTGTGTTACTCTGCCTTTGGTAGTCATGGAAAATGATAAAGTGATCAAAATATTTTCTGAAAATAGAATGGTGAATTGATGGTTATCTTTTTTCCTGTCATGTTTCCATCGTCTTTGCATCTGACGTTTCACTTCAAAATTTATATATGTTTATTGATATCCATGAAATTTTATGGATTAACAACCGACCAATCTAAGAGAGAATGTTTTGGCATAGAAAATTTGAACTTCTCTTGTTTATCATTCTGGAACAGAAATAGTGAAGAAATAATCCTGCTTTGTAAGGGTAGGTATGATATTTCATAATTAGGTTAAGAATTAATGTTATTGCATAACATCAAATACAGAAGATCAACAGCTGCACTATTGTTCTTTGGACATGCAGGCAATTACAGCACTGAAGAAAGGTGCATATTTACTGAAATACGGACGTAGAGGAAAGCCCAAGTTCTGTCCTTTCAGGCTTTCTAATGTAAGCTTTTTTCTAATTCATATCTTTTCAGGTTTTCTAAAATAGTTCACTTTGGTATCATGGTTGCTCCCTTATCAGGTATTATGATGCGATTTAATTATGTGCTTTTGATTTTTATTATGTTTATTTTTCAGGATGAGTCTATATTGGTTTGGTTCTCTGGTAAAGAGGAGAAGCATCTTAAGCTCAGTCAGGTGTCAAAGATTATTCCTGGACAGCGTACTGTAAGATATATTCTCATTAACCTTGTGTGGATACTCTCGGATTAGTCTCTCAACTGTTAATATCTACCTCGAAAAAAATATATTTTTAGCTTTGTCACGTTTCCTTTTTGCAAATATGTACATTGAGTCGCTTGTATTTGTTATTTTTTTAATGGTAGTTGAAAGAGAAATATGTGCTTCATTATGGAATGATATATACTAGTAGGTGTGATTTATCTTCCTGTAACATCTATATTTTTGCCATTTATAAATTTATTTTACTTTTCATCTTTAAATAAATGTATTTTTATCTTTATGACATTTCCTTTCGTGCATGTGCATGGAATATCTTCTTTGTTTTTGCTTTATGTTACCTGAAAGAGAGAAGTTTCGTGATGAAATGATATATAACAATCTGGATGATTCCAACGTCCAGAAAAATCTACAGTTCTACAATGTATATATATATATATATATATATATTTATTTATGATTTTTTTTCCCATTTAAGACCACACGCGTGGTTTACCTTTTCTGGGATTTTAAGTTCGAGTCGTAAGCTCAATGCCATTTTTTTAAGAGTATATATTCAATAAAGCACATCTAGAAGTATCTGCCTATCTGTCTCGATCTCTCTCTGACTTGTTTTTCTCTTCTAGCGTTTTCACTACTAACAATATTTGTTTTACGAGAAAAGAAAAATAGTTATTCCATTGATCTGGTTTAGTAAATGACATGGACGTTGTATTTCAGGCAATATTTCAGCGTTACCCACGTCCTGAAAAAGAGTATCAATCATTTTCTCTCATATATAACGACAGATCTTTAGACTTGGTGGGTACATTGGTCGCCTAGTTAATTTTTTTCATTTTGCTCTTCTTAATAATGATTTGATCTTTCATTTTTGGCATAGTTTATGCATATGCATGCCCTGATTTTCCTAGTTTTCGATGTTGCTGTTGGGAACTGAGGCAGATATGCAAGGATAAAGATGAAGCTGAGGTCTGGTTTGTCGGTCTGAAGGCACTGATTTCTTGCGGTAGCAGTAGGAAATGGAGAATAGAGTCAAAAACTGATATCGCTTCATCTGACACCAGTAGCCCACAAACACATACTCAGAGAAGTTCACCTCTGGTTTCACCGTTTGGAAATAATGATTCCTTTTTCAATGTAAGGAAGTTGTTGGGATTGGATATTTTGTTTCTCTTACTTGTTCTTCCTATTGGTTGTGACTACCTTCTGGCTTCTATATTCAGGATCCTTGTGTTTCACAACAAATTCATAATCCGTCCGAGGCTCATCAGTGCAATGGCTTGGGAAAAGTTCTATCTGATGTCATATTATACACTACACCTGCCATGGGTCCTGCTATCTCGGATTCTGTGGGCTATTCTCATAGCTCACTCTCATCTATGAGTGGAGACCATCCAAACGGGCGGGGCTCCGCTGTTGAAGCTTTTAGAGTTAGCCTCTCTAGTGCTGTAAGCTCCTCCAGCCATGGATCTGGTCATGAAGATTTTGATGCGCTAGGGGATGTTTTTATCTGGGGAGAAGGCGTAGGAGATGGGTTGCTTGGAGGTGGTGTTCAGAAGGTTGAGAATTCATCCACCAAGAAGACTGATGCCCTTTTACCTAAGGCACTGGAGCCAGTCGTAGTTCTTGATGTTCACAGTATAGCTTGTGGTAGTAGGCATGCTATTTTAGTTACCAAACAGGGTGAGGTTTTTAGTTGGGGTGAGGAGTCTGGAGGCAGGCTTGGTCATGGGGTAGATGCTGATGTTTCTCACCCAAAACTTGTTGACGCTCTAAGTGGCATGAGCATTGAGCTTGTCGCATGTGGGGAATATCATACCTGTGCTGTAACCATGTCAGGAGACCTTTACACATGGGGTGATGGAATTCACAACACCAGTCTCCTTGGGCATGGGAGTGATGTTAGTCACTGGATTCCAAGAAAGGTAAATGGTCCTTTAGAAGGTCTACATGTTTCCTCAATTTCATGTGGACCATGGCACACAGCAATCGTGACATCTTCTGGTCAGCTATTCACTTTTGGTGATGGAACTTTTGGCTCACTAGGACATGGAGATCGTAGAAGCTCAAATATGCCGAGAGAGGTGGAAGCTTTGAAGGGACTACGTACAGTTCAAGCTGCTTGTGGTGCCTGGCATACAGCAGCTATAGTAGAAATTTCAACCGAATCTTTTAAGTCTAGCAACTCATCTTCTGGAAAACTTTTCACATGGGGAGATGGAGATAGAGGTCGACTTGGACACGGTGATAGAGATACTAGGCTTGTTCCTGAATGTGTAGCTGCATTACTGGACTTAAACTTTTGCCAAGTAGCATGTGGTAATGACATGACAGTTGCTCTGGAAACAAGTGGACGGGTGTATACCATGGGAAGTCCTATATATGGTCAACTTGGTTGTCCTGAGGCAGATGGAAAGCTTCCCGCTTGTGTTGGAGGAAAACTTTTGAACAGTTTTGTGGAAGAGATAGCATGTGGCTCCTATCATGTAGCGGTTCTGACATCAAGAACTGAAGTGTACACTTGGGGGAGAGGAGCAAATGGTTGCTTGGGTCATGGAGACAATGATGACCGCAATTCTCCAACACTGGTTGAAGCTCTGAAGGACAAACAAGTCAAAAGTGTTGTGTGTGGTTCAAATTTTACTGCTGCCATCTGTCTTCATAAATGGGTGTCTAGTGCTGACCAATCTGTATGCTCTGGTTGCCATCTTCCATTTGGTTTCAGAAGAAAGCGTCATAATTGTTATAATTGTGGACTAGTCTTCTGCAAAGCGTGCAGTAGTAGAAAATCACTAAAAGCCTCTTTGGCACCAAATATCAACAAACCTTATCGTGTATGTGATGAGTGCTTTATCAAGCTGAAGAAGGCCTTAGAAGCTGTATCTGTATCTCGTTTTATGAAGCATCATGTGATCAATGGCCTTCCTGAAAAAGCCATAGTTAATTCTAAAGCTCAGGGGCATCTTTCCAGGCTTTCTTCACTCGAGTCCTTCAAAACATCTGAAAGCAGGCTTTCCAAGCACAAAGCAGACGCAAATGCTGCTCGGTTTTCTCCCACTAATGGAGCTTCTCATTGGGGGAGCTTCTATTCAACGAGAACATCAAACTATATATTTGGATCTTCAAAGAAAATATTTTCTGCTTCTGTTCCAAGTTCAAGGATTGCGTCTAGGGCATCTTCACCCATCTCAAGAAAGCCAAGTCCACCTCGTCTGGCAGATAATGTTAATGATATGACATCCTCGGAAATAATATTTGAAAAATCAAAGATGACAAATGATAGCCTGAACCAAGAAGCTATCAAGCTAAAGTTGCAGGTAACTGTTTTATATGATGTCAAGAAGGAATTGGTTATCATAGTATCGTCATTGTGTATGCGTTTTTATTTCATCCCCCGTTAGAAGAAGAGACGTGGTTGTTACTTCTAGTACATGCTGGCGTTCTTTAATGCTTTTTTAGGATATGTTTTGCTCAGTTCACAATATTCTTATGCAGTTCATAGAGCACAGTTGGTTCGGAAAACCGACGTAGTCGGAGAAATGTTCATTGTCTTATCTGTATCCTCTAATTGATGTCATATACTAAGTCAGTAAACCCGACTACATTTGATAAGGAGCACAGTTGGTTCAGAAAACCGACGTAGTCTGAGAAATGTTCAGTGTCTTATCTGTATCCTCCAATTGATGTCATATACCAAGTCAGTAAACCCAGATCTGTCGACTATATTTGATAGAGACTCCCTTTCTGTTTTTCATGAATAAACTTTCTCCACTTCAAAGGATTTGAACATTTGAATCTCTAATTCTAGACCTTGTGTAAGAGAAAAGGACCAATGAAATTTAAAATAAGAAAAAAAAATAATTTTTAAGGAATTACTGGAGTTGCTTCGCAAGACTTTTTCTTCTTTCCTGCCAAATTTTTGGAGAGAGCGAAATCCTTCAAATATCTTTATCTTGTCTTGCTTGACAACTTGTACTACAACTTGAAATCATGGCACTTGGGATTGGCCTACTGCAACTTCTGGATTGACAAGATTAGGCTCTACTACAACTTGAAATCATGGCTCTTGGGATTGGCCTATTCTGATGTGGATTGGGATCAGCAATGTCTGATTTGATCTGGGCAAAGTTCCATCCTGATCCCACTTTCCCTGGATGTATATTTGTTAACAAACCTCCGAAATAAGCCAGGATCAGCACATTTAGGGGAAGGTCATCTTAGAGTCGTCCAGTTCCCAACCAATTCGGCCCCATTTTCTGACAAAATGTGAGAGGTTGGCAGGGTTTCAGAAGACTTGAAGCAGTTAGTTTAACTGACCATAGCTTTTCTGAATTGAATCTGACTTGGCCAACCAGTCTGATTCATAGCTCCAGTTGAGATCCTTCACACAGTCGTTTGCCTCTACATGTTTACTCTTTCTTCAAAAGATTAGATTCCCTATTCTTTAGAAATTCATTCACTTGTTACCATCCCGTACTTTTTTGTCTTGAACAAACTAGCCTCTGAGGATATAGCATCAATGCTGACTAGGTGAGCATCAATAGGACGACTGCTTGTGATTGAAATGAGGTGGCCGATTTGTCTCCAAAGATAATCCTTTCTTCTCTTATCACCTAGTTGTCTAGAGTTTCTGAAACCTTATGGAAAAGGGATCCAATCACACCAGACATCTAGATTTTCTCATGTACGTGAAACATGTATTTATAGATTATCCTGGTTTAAAGCTAGCTCAGGGTTCTTATAAATACACGTCGAGTCGTTCTAGAAATTTTGCTTGATAATAACCAAACAAACTTGTGATATAAATCACTCGGGGCTCCTCTAAGTGGATCTTATCCAACTCAGCCGTGCCATCAGATGGTGGCCATCTCCAGGCTTTCTTTTGGATTATTAAAAGGAGTACTGAATCTGTTGGATGATTTTGCTCTAGGGGTGTAATATGATGAAATGGCCGCATGCACCTTCTCAACTAACCAGAACATCGCAGGGATGCACATGAAGGTGGGATAGGTCTATCAATGCCTTGGTGATTGTGGTTTTGGAAGTTAGGAAAAGACAGATTCTGTTTTGGAGTGCATACTTTAATAGCTGATTCCTCGAGACTAATTACAAGTCCTCTTATCTGTGTGGCTGGACATCTTTTGTGATTTCAATTTTTGCAAGATTTTGTTCTGTCTCAACTGGATAACATGAAGTACTGGATTCTGGGAAGTACCCAATGTTCTTATGTCTTAAAATATCATATCAAAAGGATATTTGGCCTACAAATTAATAAAGTCAACAGTTTCCGCTCAGGTTAAGAATCAAACATGGGGCTAGAGATATTAAAAAAGTCCACCCAAGAATGAGTCAAAAGGCCAGATCTTGTACACATCTTTATTAACAGAAAATCAGATCACAGAGGATAGAGCTGATAAAGGATGATGATGAGAGCCAGCCAATAATTACGAAATGTAGAACATGTCGTGATGTTTTGCTAATCTGTTAAACTCGGAGGGTATAGAACGATAATGCCATCCTGACTCGTGTTCCATCGAACTGAAAATTCACCTATTCTGTAATCATACAGAGGTACCCTCCAAAAAAAAGGTTCCCCACTGGGTTTTTTCAAAACTGCATGCTGCACTCAGTTTTTTCTCCACCTTCTATCGCCTGCATTCGAAGCTGTAATCCTACCTCTTTTACCTAGCATGATCTCTTGTTGCTTTTGTAATGTACCATTTACTTGCCTTCTTATCAGTACGAATGTTGTCTATATTTACCTTTCCACTTTTGTGCATGGAGAGTCATCCTATATGATCATTCCGTTCTGAGCATCCTTGCAAGTTTTCACCAATTCACCATTATGAAAAGTGTCACATCTGTATGAGTAGATCACCATTATACAACAAACCTTGTCCAACAGTTTCATGTGATCAAATCCTCACCTCATGATAGAAGTTAGCAAAATGACTGTCCTTAGCAATTAATGGATTTAGATGATGCCTTTTTTATTTAGGAATAATTTCCCTATACAATCTTACAGACAGGAATCCTCATGCAGGTTGAGGAACTTACGCGAAAATCTGAATTTCTAGAGCATGAGCTAGAGAAAGTTACGAGGCAACTGCAGGAAGCCACATCTACAGCAGGAGAGGAAAGTGCGAAATGCATGGCCGCAAAGGAAGTTATCAGATCTCTAACTGCACAGGTAAAATATTTTTTTATTCAACTATCCTGTCCATGATGCTTTGATCCTTTATACATGTTGAATTTGGAAGAGTGAGACGGTGCATCTCAGTTGAGAGGAAACCTGAAAGGATGGCAAAAGTGGAAGACTGAGAACGGAAATTTAAAGGTTCGAGGGCCTGAAACTGATTTCTGTGTGCGCGATGCATATATGAAGCAGGGAAGATGATTGTGGTTGTTAGAGGCGGTTGAATAATAGACAAAGAACTTGGAAATAAGAGAATTTGAAGCGAAGTTGAGATGATACCATGTTAGCTACTTCGCAATATGCAAAACCTTATAATCAAGTCCCCTCTCCTGGTTGGTGGTAGATAATTGATCCCGATTGGGTTAGATGATGTGAAGAGAAGTGGAGATCTGCAGATATGTCATGGACGAGAGCACACGGAACCTTTGTTCTTTGGGTGAATTTATTATAGATCAGTGCAAAATATTTTTTTAATCTTCAGTCTGACTTAGTCCATGATACTCTCACACTTTAACGGCTTTTAATCCATCTGCCATCAGAAATATTAAAATAGAATAAGCGTGACTTTTTTTGATAATGAGCATTTTGGTAGATATTTGGTAGATTTTTTTCACATTTATTATGCACCTACATGGTCGGGTCGAGTATCCACTTGTAGCAGTAAACAACATACTTTTCTCGAATTCTGTTAGGTTTTTATTTGGTGGCTGCAGTTTATATTCTTGTTTTGAACCTCGGGGTAATAATTTACGGGGAAAAGAAGATCAAGATAGAGCGAGCGAGTGTGTGTGTGTGTGTGTGTGTGTGTGTGTGAGAGAGAGAGAGAGAGAGAGAGAGAGAGAGAGATCTATATTAATATGGAATTTCTGTTTTACTACATTTTTTTTTCCAAGTTTCTCCTTGGTGTTTTTCTTCGTTTAACAATTAAACCGGCTCTTTTTATACATTATTATTGATGACATAAAGTTTCATATCTCAATTACATTATTGTCATCTGATTCTTCACTTTGTCCGCTAACATTGTCCTTGCCGTTAAAATTCTAGTTGAAGGAAATAGCTGAAAGAGTAAAAGATGGTCCTAAAACTGAGAATGAACATCAGTCTGATTCTTCCTATAACTCCAGCAATCCTCGCTTGCCTCCTGAGAACCATTCAACAGCTTTTCAGATGTTGGAACCCAGTGTCCAATCTGACAATGCACCATCTTGTAATGGAAGCAAAACGTCAGCAGATGAAGTGGAATGGGTTGAGCAGGCAGAACCTGGTGTATATATCACAGTTTCTGCCTACCCGGGTGGAGGCAAATATCTCAAGAGAGTTCGCTTCAGGTACAGTTAGTCTCATATTTCATTTCTACCTTGTCATCTATCTACAAGTTTTTTGGGATATTCCCTTTATAGCCTCAGAGTTCATCACTCCATACCCATTTTCCTTGTCATTTTACATACTCTTTCAATGGATATCTGGGATTAAGAACCTCTCTCGCAGATGCACTGATCAATGACCAAGCAAGAGACCGACCCACTGACTTTGTTTTTGTAAGAAATAAAAAACATAACGATATTAAATTGAGACAAGGCTGGAGAACATTTCGGTGGAACGTTTTGGCCTCCGTTTAATGGAGCTTTCACGACTGGAAAGAGGGAGGCAGAATTTTCCTTTTCTCCTATTGAACATTTGCTCTGTGACAGGGGACCCCGTTTCGAAAAGAAGCATTGATTTTATCTTGCCTTTGGAAGCAGGTGACGGGGGACTTAGACGAGTCACTTTTAGAGCATATTTTTGCCGTGATGTTCAATCAGCATAACTCGACATATGTGGAACTTTTTTCACAAATAAATCTTCTCTTATCGCGATATTACATACTAAGTACTTTCTAACCTTAAGCGCCTGTGATTACTCGATAAGATGCCGCATCATAATTGTAGGAGGAGAAGCGTGAGGCCATCATCATAGTTTTATTTATTCTAATTCTTACAGAGCTTAATTCATGAGATACCTTGGATACTCTCAACTCTTGTTCTGCTGCTTCCCATGGAATTAATTGGCATTACTGATTGTCTTAATTTATTACTGACGGCAGCCGGAAGAGGTTTAGCGAGCAGCAAGCTGAGAGATGGTGGGCGGAAAACAGGCTGAAGCTTCAGGATAAGTACATCATCCTGGCACAGGAAAAGATGAACTGTAGCCCTTTATCCTCTTGAGCAGAAGGCCCAGTCGACTCTACCCCTCTACTAACCTCCTGGCTCTGATGTACATAAACTCACTGCCCACTGGAAAATGTAATTTTTTTTCTCACATCTGGCGGGCTGTGCGCATGCTGTAGGCTATTTTTTCAGTCACAGAAGAGCGGGGCTAAAAAGGAAGGAGCCACACCAAAGAAAGCCAACAAGTAGGAAGGAGGAAGAGAGCGTATTGGTTGGAGAATGCTTGTGGAGTGAGTTTGTGCAGCTTCTCTCTCTCTCTCTCTCTCTCCTTTTCCTTCGGAGAGGTATGTGCTTTTGGATTTTTCTCATCTTCCATGCTTTCATATTTTAAAAGCTGCGTCTTAACTGAGGGTGGATGGATCCCCCTTCCTAATCCCTTTATTTTCTTGACTTGTATGATTCCACTGAAATTATACAGTGGAGAGACTGATAGTAGTTTTTTTTCGGTGGTGAATGCTCTTTCAATGTCTCATTTTTAGCATACCCGCGTGTGTGTGTGTGTGTGTGTGTGTGTGTGTGTGTGTGTGTGTGTGTGTGTGTGTGTGTGTGTGTGTGTGTGTGTGTGTGTGTGTGTCTGTGTCTGTGTCTGTGTGTTCTAAACACTTGATTTCCCCACGGGAAATTCAACAACATTATCAGTAGCCCTAATCCAATCCAGAACCCAATGCTCGAGAGGGGACCGAAAGGCTCAACCTTTAGCTCTGCTAAATCCTAGGAGGAAACTTTTCAGGCAGCCTCATATGCAAAGTTACCTTGTGTGGCTTGTTCCCATGATGCGCCTTGGACTTGTTTCTTTTCTTTTAAGAAAACAGTTTGTGACATCTTCGCTGATGCATTATCACATTTCGCTGAAGGGCTTCAAAATTTTCTTAAAATGTGATTCCCGAAGGGAATTTATGTCAATGAAATGTCTGAAATTCTGTAGATAAATTATATCATCAATATTTTTTTACTGTGAAAGCCTTATCTTTACTTCTCCACATGATTCCGAGCCACTGATTTTGTTTCACATCACCCAGGCACACTGAAGACCAACGATTCCCTGTTCTAGAGCAGATGGAAAATTACACTCAACTAGTAGGGAATATGATGTTAGATTAATTGAAAGAACAATAATATTGTGTGATTGTGGAGATTAGAAATCTGGTGTGTCATCTTTCTATTCTCCGCTTTATTTCTCATGCTTCTGATTATATTATTTTCTGTATAAAAAGAAAATATTGATCAGGAACAACATGCATTATAGCTTTTCGCTTGATGACATTCTAGGTTTAAGAACATTGATTCTTTGTGAGCTTGTTTTGACAAAAGAGGAAGAGTTCGGTAGAACCCTAGATCTCGACAAACAACCATAACAGGAATACATAAGATAGATACTGAAATAGAAGATCCAATAGTAGAACATGTAGCTTGGGCTCCAAGAACCCTGGAGTTAGTGGGGACGTTTGAGTGGCCCCCCCTTCTCCTTCAGCTGTAGCTGACTTCAAACAACATTTGATACCTTTCTTCCCCTTACTACACAAACCCTAATACCTCTTTCTCTTTTATGGAGAAAAGACCTTGCTGCCCCTCATTATGTCCTTACTTGAAGGGTTGTTTGGTCCCTTTTGAGGGAAGGTGTTAGGCCCCTTGGGCCCATCTTCTATGACTTGGTAAGTTAGGCCCACTAGGGGCCTAACGATACACGTAAGAAAGTATAAGTTCAATGTAAAATATTTTGGTTTCTATACAGTACGAAATTTTATTTACATGACATGTAAATATGGTTATTTAGGATAAATATCCCCACCACCATCCTCTCCTCTCCTCCCCTCTTTGATTTTCTCTCTCCCACACACAAATATATTATACTCTTCACACGGTGACTTTAGCTTTAGTAATCCAAAGTAGTTACATCATCTAGTCTAAAATTACTTTAGTATGACTAAGGTAAACTCATTTTTCTTGTTCACTACATGTTTACTAGTATGTTAACTAGTTAACAATATCACAACTTGTATTTGAGGAACTTAAGATAATACATTCTTATATCATTGATGTTATTGAATTGAGAATTAATTAACAATCATAAGCTCTTATTATACTATATTTTATAATTCAATAACTTGGGACATCAATCACATAATTTTTATATTTAAGATTTCACTTATATCAAAAAGGGAGAGGCTTAATTCATCTGATTCTAAATCCTTACTAAATAAATTATTCTTTAAATGTATTAATTTACTCTTTCAAATATAAGTCATATGATCTTCTTATATCATTAGGTATCAGATTAAGAAATGTTATAATGGTTCGACACACTACCTACATCTGATCATAATTATTACTTATTGAGTCTAACTCTCTTTAAATTTCTTCAATAAATTTTCTTCTAGATTTATGACTTCAGGTAGCCAACAATTGATAAACAGGTTTGAGTACCTTTAATGATTAAGTAAAAATTCAATCACAAGTTTAACCCAGAACAAATATGAAATGTTTTATCATGATTTGTTTTTCAAAATACAATATTAACTTAAAATGTGTTCATATTTTAATAAAGAAGACAATGTTTGAGACTTGATTCTTGTTGTACTTTTCACTTTGAATATGTTGATAGATAATTGAAGATGCTGCAACTTTGAATAGATTGAGAAAGAGTGCTAGATACTTGGGATAATATTTCTTGACTAAGTGACTTCACATATTTTGACCACTTGGTAAGAACCTCATAATTTCTCACTAAATTTTATGTGGAAGCACTCAATATAAATATTTGAAGTTATAGAGGAGATAATAATGATTATTATATGATAGTTAGTAATTGAAAAGACAATATTTATAAGTAAATCACATACAAAACTCTTCTTGGATTTATACAATCTTTTAATTTCTCTAAAATAAATATTATGTAGAATGTCTTAGGAGCTAATACAATGACTTCAGTAGAAATTTTGATATTGTTAAGAGAAATCAATGCAATATGTTGTTAAGAAGCAAAGGATATATCTATTTTATGTAAGTTCAAATTAATCCAAATAAAAACTTAATATCGTGAACATAGAGCTAATAATGTACGCTTGTTGAAGTAATAATTTAGCAATCAAAATTAATAAAGACAACCTCAAATAAGATGTAATCATCAAGTACCATCTTGAATCACAATCTCAATATAAAAAATCATAACTTTGATAATTTATAATATTTAAAGACAATTTTAAAAAAATAGTAATATTTGAAAATTCTATACCATAGAATGAACTATATGACTTCAATTATTTAATTTGATGTCATGTTCTTTCAAACATACTTATATAAATATGCTCACACACAATAAATAGAGTAAACTTTTGTACTCATAATCTAATTGATTTGATCACTCAATTTCTCACTATGATATTTATTATAAATAATGACGATTCTCACAGAAATATATAAAGTAATGGTTTTTAATATTTATCATATAATATTGAGGCATTTACGAAATACTAATATCAGCAATGGTCAATGATGGCTTTAAATGAGTCTATTATAAAAAGGAGCATATCAGTTTTAGAATGACCTAATGACACAAGGACACTCTAAGAGTTGATTGACAATTCGATTGAGCTTTTCCAGATCATGACTGTTTTTTCAGCTTTTCTATGAGAAAGAATTTGCTAACAAGCAATATTCTTGATGCCATTTGGGAAGCACAAACTTTTCCAACGCAGATTTGATTAACACTCTGGATAATTTGATTCTTCAAATCTTTTGAGATGGATTATGGCTTGGATTTTGAGGAATCACCATCCATTTTTGGGCCACATCCTCCAAATCTTTGAACAATGGCCTGAGATTCTTTCTGACCCATTAATGAATCCTTTAGAGTTTGGTTGTTACATATGGTAACAACCACATTTTGGTAATTTAAGCAAAAAGCCCAACCGAACTTGGGCCACTCTTAGGCCGTCCACTTTCTCCTGAGGTTTAGCCCAGATAGCTAGAGGGGGTATCACAATAAAAAAAAACGTACTTATGAAATTAAAATAAATTTAAGGTTTTTCTGTGTTATGGAAACAATATGGGGGTGCTGTTTTAATTTAAACGCCGGTTTCGAATTAGGGTTTTAACGGCCAGGCAAGCAGCTTTAGTTTTCTTCCTCCTCCGGCGGCGGCTGCGAGCAAAGGCGGAGCTCGGCGCGAAGAGAGGGGAGGCGGCGGCGGCGGCGGCGGTTCCGGCTCGTGCAGTCATGGTGCACGTTTCGTTCTACAGGAACTGTTAGTATATTTTTTCTTCTCCTCTCCTCCCCTGGACATTGGTGTCTCCGGATCGATCTCGGCAGAAATCTCGGTTTGGACTTTATTTATCGGTTGTGGTATTTTGGTTGTTGCTTATACTTCTGTGGCTTTTGTGATCTGCCGACCTCGTGCTCGCTAATCGGCGTGTTCGAATTTGTCCGTGTGCGTTCTTTTTCCTGTCGTTGATGCTGTTGTTGCGACGTCCTGCTCGTCAGATGTTCTATTCTTCTCTCGAGCGAACGAGATTCCAGGCTCTGTAGATTCTCTGGATTTGATTTTTTGTTAATTTGGTTGGTCTCACGGGTTATGATCTATCGAAATGGTTAGATATCCGGTTGAAATTCTCCATCTCAAGGTAGCTTCCATGGTCGTAGATTCATTTGATTTCTCAACCGCGTATCCCTTTCCGTCTGTCGATCTACACCGGCCACGCCTGTCCTGAAGAGGGGAACCAGACGACCTCACCTTCTTCCTCGTCTTGCCAGATGGTAAAACGTTCAAGAAGCCGCGGCGCCCTTACGAGAAGGAGCGTCTGGATCAGGAGCTGAAGCTCGTCGGAGAATACGGGCTGCGTTGCAAGAGGGAGCTGTGGAGGGTGCAGTACGCTCTGAGCCGCATCCGCAACGCCGCCAAGGAGCTCCTCAAGCTTGACGAGAAGGACGAGAAGCGGATCTTCGAGGGGGAGGCGCTCCTGCGCAGGATGAACAGGTACGGGCTGCTTGACGAGAGCCAGAACAAGCTCGACTACGTCCTCGCGCTGACGCCGGAGCACTTCCTCGAGCGCCGTCTCCAGACCCTCGTGTTCAAGTCTGGAATGGCCAAGTCCATCCACCATGCCCGAGTACTCATCAGGCAGCGCCACATCAGGTACTCCGCCCCTGATTAATCTTTCTCGGAATTATTTCCTCTTCATGTGTTCATAATTATTCTCTTCATCCGCTCGATCACGGATCAAATTAATCCCAAGATCGGTTAATTTGCTTGAGAATTTTCATGAGAAAGGAAGATACATCGCCCGATAATGCACCATGGATTGGTCAATATACTAAGTATGATGATCGAATCGTTGACTTAGATTTTCAGGAGTTAGTCGCTGGGCTTGCATGGATTCTTCAATCCCTTCTGTTGTTCCCCACCTCTCCGCGTTGACCTTGATGGTTACCATGCTTCGTATCTGATTGTTTGCTAAGGTTTCATCCCCTCTCTGGTGTCCGACTCCACGCAGGGTCGGGAGGCAGGTGGTGAACATACCCTCGTTTATGGTGCGGGTTGACTCCCAGAAGCACATTGACTTCTCCCTCACCAGCCCGTTTGGCGGTGGCCGCCCAGGGAGAGTGAAGCGGAGGAACGCCAAGGCTGCTGCTAAGAAGGCCGCCGGAGGGGACGACGAAGAAGACGAGGAATGATTGTCACTTAGCTTCCTGCCCCGAATTTTCCAGTTCTGCAAATGGGGGAAGTTTTTATGCCGATTGTGGGATCTTCGTGAAAATTTCTTGGATCTTCGTTAGGCCGACGATAATCGACCTCCTTACCCTATTTGATGAAGCCATACTAAGAGGTCCGACTGCTGAAACCCACGGTCGTCGCAGTAGCGGTCGGCGGCGGCGTCATCCACCGACACGCAGAAGTCTCCGACACCGCCTTCGCCGGCGTACTCCTCGGAGGCGTACACTGGTTGCTCCTCCGCCGCCGCCCCTCGGAAGCTGGCGCTCGGTGGGATGCCGAGCTCGTCGTCGGAGGCCTCGGCCAGCCGCCGCATGATTCCCTCCACGTCCTCTTCTCCGGCGTCCGATGGGGCGTCGAGGGACGGGCTGAGCTCATGCTGGAGGGCGGAGATGAGGGAGGAGAGTTCCCCCTCGCCGCCTTCGCCGTCGACGGCCTCCTCGAGGAGCAGGGAGAGTAGGCGCTGGTAAGAGGGCTTCTTCTGCGGCCGGTGGCGCTCGTCTACTCCTGTCTCCTCTCCTTCCGCATCCTCTCTGGGTCGTTTGGGATTCCCCTCCGCCTCCATCTTCACCAACCTTACAGAGAGAGAGAGAGAGAGAGAGCGACACAAACACATTCAAAGGCTAAGTAGCTGAGCTGATAACAAGGTGTGTGGGCAGGCTTTATAGGGTGTAGTCGTGTGAATGACGATGCTGGTGAACTAATGAGACGAGGGAGGACATGGGCCAGGGAGATTGATAGAGAGAGAGAGAGACAGAGAGAGAGAGAGAGACAGAGGAGGGGGCGTTGAAGATGGACGAGAGGGCGAGTTAAGATTCTTACACTCGTGGAACGGGAATCCTAAAAAACAGCTCCTCTGGATAGATACTCTGTAAGCTTTCACCCCCCTCCGCACCTCCCATATCCATCAACCAGCACAGAAGCTCAAACGACCCTTTTGACCAAGTTCGCCGCTTTGACCATTATTACTAAAGCAACTGGACGGTCGTGGCAACTCAGAGAGAATATTCGGTGGCGGTAGATGGCGGAGGCGGCGCCGTATCCGGCGTGGGACCCATCCCTCTTCCCTCCTCTTCCGGTGAGAAACACGCAATGAAGGGTGAGATTTCGAAGCTATGTAGAATGAACAGTTGAGATGCTTTTGGACCCTACGTACAGGAAAGATGCCTTCAGTGCACAACTCAGCGCATCTTTCTAAAAAAAGATTTAAGCAGACAATAAATGAATTCTCAGTTTGACCTTACTTTGATCAGAGCGGTCTTCCTGAGAACATCGCGACCGCTCAGCCCCAACTTTAGGAAAGCGCAGTCTAAGAGCAGCGGTAGTTCTCCGCCTCTTGATCTAGAGAGAGAGAGAGATCAAATGGGGAACGTTCTCGGTGAGGATGGATCTGGGTTTTACTTCTTCCTGCTCTAGATTAGTACCGTGTGTGAGGAGAGAGACCGTGATATATAGTTCAAATCTGCTATCAATGCATCCTACAAACGTAGAGGAAAGCGGATTGCACAGTCTGTCGACGCCCTCCATTAAAGGAGGGATGCTTGCGGTGCCACTTTATCCCGCTTCTCGGCATCTTTGAGGGCAACTGTACCTCTCTCTCTCTCTCTCTCGCTCTAGTTTGGTTGATGAGAGGAGTCTTTCGTCCCCACCTCGCCGTGGGTCCTCCTAGCTTCACAAAGCTGCCTCCTCTGGGGGAGATTTTTGAGGAGGGAAAGGCGGACGGGATTCGATGACAGAGGAGTAAAGAAAACCACCTGCCCCTCTGAGAGCTGTGGGGGTGTTGGGTTCTCAAGCTCCCGCAGAGGAAACCCACCTACAGATGCCGAGACATCTTTAGATAATGGGCAGAATGCGATGCGAGGGAAGCAAGAGATACAGAGAGACGGATTGACGTAGAGAATGATGACAAAAGTCAAATTCATCCCTTCGCATACCCTTCTTCTGAGAGATCGAGAGAGAGAGAGAGAGAGAGAGAGAGAAAGGTTGAGAATTTGCCATACCTTTTCATTATGCATGGATGATGAGAATCTAATGATGTAGAGCCAACTCCGGCGGGCTCGTGAACTGAACCCTTTAATCATTCAGCCACAGATGCTTAAGGGAACTCTTTTTAAACACAGAATTTTCCTTTTCTTTGTAGTAGGTGCCGTGCCTTTAACATGATGGCGTTCTTTCTTCACCGAATCCGCAAGCCTGTGCTTCGAAACTCCTTCACGCAGAAAAAGCCTGAAAACGAGAGTTTCTAGGCCTCAGAGACACAGGGGATCAAGCTTTGGACATGCAAGTTGACCGTCCAAGTTCCAGCTGCAATGAAACCTCAAGTCAGAAAGACGGTCCAAACAGAGAGAGGAAGAAACCGTCTTTATCACTTCAACTTATTTCTTAAGCTACTCCAACCAAAGCCTACAACGAACAGTGCGCAAGAGGCCATCATTGACTACTGTTTGAAGGAGCTGTTAGTGCTATCCGTCGCACCACAGCTGCTCGCGGTAGGCTTTCTTGGCAGGGATTTAAAGGGCGTAGGTGTGGTGTTCTCGTAGGAAGCCTCGTGGTTAACGTGGAGAATGGAGTGCGTGGAGAGGACGTAGTTGTAGGATTCCACGACTGAGACGGAGACCTAGCGCGAGGGGTGGACTATGAACCCAATCATCGATTTCTTGCCGTAATCCACGGAGAGAGACTCCTGGAGAAGAGAGCCGAGGCCGGAGCCTGAGTTGCCACCGACGGCGTACAAAACAGGAAACCCTTGCGGGCCCGTGTGGTTGTTGACGGGGTTCGGGATGCGAACGGGCACAGATCAATAGCCTCTTTCCCGATCACAAGTAGTGGCCGCACGCGAGGTTGATTACTGCATTCTCCTTGCCACAGTTTAGCTTCTCCGGGTATGAAAGTTGACGGTGGGCGCCGTTTCTGCGCCTCGTTCATCACGGTGCTCTCCAAGTCGACAAATACCTCTCGAGGCACATGCCTGATGGCGGATGTCTAGCTGGAGAAGGCTCTGAGAGAGTCATTGCCGCTTCTTACTGTCGTGCCGCTCGGAATTTGGCCTCGAGCTGCGTTAGCTGGAAAACAAGAGGATATAGGCCAAGAAAGTAGGGATCTACACAATTCAAATATAAAACCAGAGGAATCGAGCGTTCGGAAGTGAACGAGTGGTCTGAATTCTCTCACGGAGAAAGATCAACGCTAGAAAAAAAGGACGAAAAAAAAGGAAGGCGGTGGATGGTGACCTGATTCCAGACGGGGCGGATCGAACAGATGCACACTCCCTCAGGTGACTTAGTTGCCAGGGCTGATCTGTGGAGAGCAGCCATAGGATAGAGATCCAGAGATCTCGACGGAGAGCTAGACTGAGAGAGGGAGGACGAGCAGAGGCGGGGAAAGTTGCCGCAAGATGACTCTCAGAATAGACAGGGTCCGTCTCAACCATGGGGGGAAACGATCCCCTGATCCCCCACGATTTGAAAATCGAAATCGACGGTAGAGATTCAGGGAGGTGAAGACCGGGCTGGCTCGGGCTTTTAATGGGCCTAGAACGATCGAGAAGATCTGCACGGCGGACGGTGTCTGATCAGCCGACCGATTTCGTCCACGTCAAGTTCCGACATCTACTGACCCTGCGGTCACGTGACCCACGGGTTGTGGTCAGGCGATTAAAGTGGGAGAACAAGACGTGGCTCTGGCAGGGGGTGGTGACGGGAAGCAAAGGATGGGACGGCGTGGGGGGTCGTGTCCGTTCCCCAGGGCATGTGGGTCACCGCTCGCCACGTGACGCCGCCTCTCTCAGAGCCGTCCAATCGATCGCCCTCCCCCGGGATGCGTCGGCGGAATCCGACACGTCTGCAGTCCATTCACTTGTTTAATAGCACAACTTAAAATAAAAGTAAGAGCAATGTTCAGAAAGTAACGCCATAAAGTTGAGCGTGGGCGCAATCATATTCAAAATGGACGGTGATGGGCCGCTGACGGGAGGCGTAATAAGATAGACCACCCGTGGTGCAACCAAAATTCTCTTTCCTCCACGTTGCCCCGCCCCGCCATATAACTAATTAATTAATTCCACGTAGCCACCACCTGATGACCTGGACTCTGCGCGGTGACGTCTACAGACAGTTCGGCGTGGTACTGGTCGAAAAGCGACGAGGAGGATCCCGGCCAACTACTTGCCACGTCCCAACACAACACAAAGAGGGAGAGAGAGATAAATATTTATTGTTTTTTTCCGGAGGAAATAAAGTTTTAATATAAAACGAGGGCATATTAGTAATACTGAAGGCTGACAGGCGAAGATAACAAGAAGATTTTCACAGTGCATGGATTTAAGAAAACCCCCCTCGAACAGCGGGAGGGTTCAGTCCCTTGGGTTCACCGCTGTCGTCACCTCCCCCTTGCGACATAAAACAACACTGCGCGGGGGCAGAGGCGTGGGAGCATATTCTGCGGTGACCCGAACCGAAGTAACCCTGGACCTAGACAATTAATTAGGTATTTTTATTAAGCCTAACTAGATACCTAAAATAATTAAATACCTATTTGAACTCTAATTTTTAATATCCGCATTAAATAAATATAAACTTATAATTTCACCTTGGGAGCCAGCAATCCTAGCTACCCGAGCTACCTTGACTCTTGCACAACGGCGTCGGTGCAGTCGTATCCTCGCCGTCGTTGAGATGCAAATCGACGGTATATGATGTATCAGCCTCTTCCGTTATTTGAGATAATATCCTTTTTTCCATGTAAAAGGCACGTGGGGAGTGGGGACTGCGGACACGTCACCCTCCATCCTCTACACATGGTCGAATGGAGTTCTACGCGAGTAGATTCCCTACTTTCGGTCCGACTCTCTTGGAGCCACCCCGATTCACTTGGCTACATCCTGTTTGTTCAAGTGCGTCCTACCGAGATGGATACAGAGAGAGAGAGAGAGAGAGAGAGAGAGGGGGAGTCACTTCATTGTACAGGCGGTGAAGCTTCTGCAGAGGTACTGCTGCCGCTGAGGTCCATGTGAAGAACCGGGGCCCACAAGCGGTCAGCTTTTCTCTGGAGGGGGGGGGGGGCTTAATTAAGCACGCATGCCGGGAGTGAGAGAGGCCTTATGCTCACCTGCGGTGTGGTAACTGAATTATCGGGAACTTTCAGGAATATGCGGTTAATAGTAAATCTATGAGGGGTTTTCGAGATATCTGGAGGGGGAGAAAGTTTATTAGTTTCTAGAAGGAAAATGACAAGGCAGAGAGGGAAAGGAGAGGGGAAGGGTGATATCGTCCTTGCGCGGAAAATCATCGATACTGCCTCCCGGTTACGGTCACCGGGTCAGTTTCGCTGACCTGGTCACGAGTGTCCGCCATAAGCTGCCACCTCGGGAGCTTCCCAACCTCTGTCTGTCCACCCTCGACGGTGGTCACCGGCTCATCATTTGCTGCCACGAACCCCACCCCTCCCGGTAGTCTCCTCCCAGTGGACCCACTGTATCGGAATCGAAGTTCCCTGGGCGATCGGACGGAATTACCCTTAGGATCGCCCATCATACCGGTGCCTTGCTCCCTCTCGCCCTCCGCGTGTAAACTCCTACTAGCCACATGCACAAATATTCTCCCTTTCTCTCTCTATTTTGTGTTCTGCAGCACCTCCCTGCGCTGTCTCCCGCTCTGTCTCTCTGTGACAACTTCTCCCACCTTGCTCTCTCTCTCACGGAGAGTAGGTAGTAAAGGTCGAGAGGGTCTGCAGATACCAATCGGTACTGTCAGAGCGCTTGCTTTCCTCTTTCGAAGAGTTCATCAGAGGAGAAAACGGAGGGGAGGGGAGGGGAGGGAGAAGGCGACGTTTGAGGTGAGGGGAGGCGAAGGGGGCTCCGATCCGAGGTCCCATGGAGGAACGGCAGCACTGGAGTACCTGATCTCGTTACATTTCCTGCCTGCTGGATACTCTCCCCATCTCTCCCTCTCTGCCTCTCTGCCTCTCTGTCTTCGACGAGGCTGGCGGGTGGGGTTGGCTGACGGGATTGATCAGTCTGGGTCTTCGGCAAACCGATGGCGGACGCGGGGGACGCGAAGACTACTGCAATGGAGGCCGAGAAGAAGAAAGACCAGAGCCTGCCCTTCTACCAGCTCTTCTCCTTCGCCGACCGCCTCGATTGGTTGCTCATGGCTGGGGGAAGCCTCGGTGCCGTCATTCATGGGTCCGCCATGCCTGTTTTCTTCCTCCTCTTTGGCAACCTCGTCAATGGCTTCGGTAAGAATCAGCACGACCTCAGCAAGATGATCGAGGAGGTATCCAAGGTACACTCGCTGCAGCCACTGGCTTCTCGCCATAGCCGGCACGACATCTTCTTCTCTTGCCGGAAATGCCTGCATCATTCGTTGCAATGCTCTCAGTTCTCTTCTTCTATCCTGCAGTACGCACTCTACTTCGTCTACCTGGGGCTCATAGTATGCATATCTTCCTACGCCGGTGAGTACTGCTCGCGCTGATTTGCCTACTCTATCCGTCACCTGATTTGCGTCTTTCGATTTGCTCTTTTTGCTCTAAATATTGAGATCTCACGGAGAGCTACCCAGTGACGAGATGTGACTGTGCCAACTTCGCCGCGGTGGGACGGGAGGGGGCGGGGGGGCGACGACGTAAGGACGTTGACTAGTCTGTCCTCTCCGTTTATCTTGGTTCCCATCCCCGTTTCTCCCTCCGCCGCCCGCACACACACACCCTCTCTCTCTCTCTCCAACCCTATCCCGAGCCCCACGCAGCCTATCTTTTTCTTACATTGTCGCTATAGCAAAGACCTCGTGGAACTAAAAGCAATTAAATGGGCCGGGGCGAAGCGTCTGGTGCTCTGAGATCCGGGATTCAGCCGTGCTTTTTTTTTTCTTCTTCCTCATTCTCCCCACTATATTTCCGAGTCCCCATACCGTCTACGTCTACAGCTTCGTCCCCAAGCGAATGGGCTCTTGCCGGATGTAGAGGATGATGTGCCCAAGATCTGTCGGTGTTCGGCAACGGTAGTGAAAGGTGACGTGACATTCTGATGGTCCCCTTGGCTTCTTGCAGAGATATCATGTTGGATGTACACCGGAGAGAGGCAGGTGATTGCTCTGCGAAAGCGGTTCTTGGAGGCCGTCCTACGGCAGGATGTTGGGTTCTTCGACACAGACGCTCGCACCGGGGACATTGTGTTCAGCGTCTCCACAGACACTCTTCTTGTCCAGGATGCCATCAGCGAGAAGGTAAACTGGAAGCCGCATCCCCTCCTTGTGTACAATTTGGTGACGCAGTCGTCATGACGCTCCAGCTACCCTCAGGTCGGCAACTTCATCCACTATCTCTCGACATTCTTGGCTGGGCTGGTGGTGGGATTTGTTTCCGCGTGGCGTCTGGCCTTGCTTAGCGTGGCGGTGATCCCCGGTATAGCCTTCGCGGGAGGTCTATACGCCTACACTCTCACCAGCCTCACCTCCAAGAGTCGCGATTCCTACGCCAATGCCGGCATTATCGCCGAACAGGTGAGGTCACTTGGTTCTGAACTTCGGCAGTTATTTTGTCAAAGAAATACAATTTCTCTCTTGGCGGCGAAAGCTAAAAGTAGAAAAAGGATCACCTTTAAGCTTCCTCAATGAACTGATAGAGTCTGGGCAGTGCCCATACTCATAGGTTGCGGTAACCATGGTCACCTCGGAAACGGTCGTCACTGATCCTCACCTCCCGAAGTAAATTATCATGGCCGTACACACTGTTCCATGTGAGAAAAAATGGAAGCCGGTCGACGGCTGACGTTGGATGCGGAGGTTCTGTGAAGATATCATGGTTCATCTGTGAACCAAAGATTTACAGGACGACGCCTTTAATGGGACCTCCCTCGTGCTTACGTCTGACATTTTGTTGTGGTGTTTCCTGGATTTATACTCTCAACTGTTACTGCATTTGTTTCTTTCCCGCTGTCTTAGTCATCTGGAGCAACTCGCAGATGTGGATTAAACTATTCGTTGTTGACTCCTTTAACCCGTCCACATCCATACTGCTCTCCTTGTCCTTTAAACCATATTAATCCGGGATGTGAATGTTCCTCGAATACATTGTTTATTAGAAGATTTACCATGCCCTTCCAAGCGATTATTGTTTCGACATTCTAATTTTCTCAGTGGCACTTATTGGGAATAATAACCATAGACTTTTTTAGGGTTATTTTTTACGTCCTGATTCTTCACTCTTCCCCTTGTCGGAAAGTGGCAGAAAATAGAGGATTCTTTTCACTCAAATTTTGGCTAGGGTTTGTCAGCACAAGTTGAAACTATGCTTACATTAACTGTAGTAAAGATGAATAAATGAGGAGATGTAGTAAAAGCCTTGCATGGCCTCGGATAAAACATATGCAACCACGTTTGTACTGAAATCACTCTGTGAAACAGACCGGTTGAAAATACCTTTAAATATTACTTGTTAATATTCCATCATCTAAATTTGGTTCCAGAGTGAAATTGGAACATAACTGTAGTAGGTACTAATTATCTAGCAATTCGTGGATACTCTGGCCACTTATGGAATCAGCAAGCAATACTTCCTTTTTCAAATGAGAGGAGCGCTGAATAGTAACAATTAAAGTGTTTTCTTGGTTTGGAATGCAAAGTTTCTTGGGCTTTATACTTTTATGTCTTCCGATGAACTTCCAATGAACTTCCAATGAGTTTGATGATGGTATAATTAATTGATGTAAGCTTATCTGACTTGCATTGGCAGATAGTTTTAACCCTTAGTTGAGCTCATCTACACATTGAGTCTGTTTAAATGAAACAAACGCGTGCAGATTCTAGTCTTTGGATCGGAATCGTAGATGTTTTGGAAGATTTGTCGTTTATGACCTTTATGCCTTTTGATCTTTCTCTCGCCTTTCGTTGTGATTGGCTAACTGAAAAGTTACTTCATGCTTTATAATAGGCAATTGCACAAGTTCGAACAGTGTACTCTTTTGTTGGGGAGTCCAAGTCCTTGGCTTCCTATTCGGAAGCAATACAAAACACATTGAAGCTCGGATACAAGGCAGGGATGGCAAAAGGTCTGGGAATCGGGTGCACATATGGCATTGCTTGCATGTCGTGGGCTCTGGTTTTCTGGTATGCTGGTGTCTTCATCCGTGATGGGCAGACTGATGGTGGAAAGGCTTTCACAGCCATATTCTCTGCTATAGTTGGTGGCATGTAAGTCCCTCAATCTGCACTGAGCTCACCTAAATCATATGTCAGTAAACCATCTATCTGATCTTCCCATAAATGTTCTATTTCTCCTCATGTTCCTCTGCAGGAGTCTTGGTCAATCTTTTTCAAACCTTGGTGCTTTTACCAAAGGAAAAGTAGCGGGGTACAAATTGACTGAGATAATTCGGCAAAGACCTACAATAATTCAAGATTCATCTGAGGGGAAGTGCCTGGATGAGGTCTTTGGGAATATTGAGTTCAAAGTAGTGACATTTAGCTACCCTTCACGTCCAGATGTTATTATTTTCCGTGGTCTCTCCCTTTTCTTCCCTGCTGGGAAGACTGTTGCAGTTGTTGGTGGTAGTGGATCTGGAAAGAGCACCGTAGTCTCTCTGATAGAAAGATTTTATGATCCTAACCAGGGTACTTTCACCTCAAACTCATATTTGAATAAAATAGATTAAAATACTAGGCTTGGAAGAAGATCATTATATAATACTTTGTTCCTTATTGCAGGGCAAGTTCTTCTCGACAACGTGGATATAAAAACGCTTCAGCTCACATGGCTTCGGGACCAAATAGGCCTGGTGAACCAAGAACCAGCACTCTTTGCTACGACCATACTTGAAAATGTACTCTATGGAAAGTCTGATGCCACGATTGCTGAAGTTGAAGCTGCTGCGTCTGCGGCAAATGCTCATAGCTTTATCTCCCTTCTTCCCAACGGTTACAACACGCAGGTTTGTATGTCTGGATTTCGTGTCTACTGGGTTTTCTGATCGGACGTGTGAGCTTTCTGGGCTCTTTCTCATTTCAACTATGTGCTTCAATTCTGTTTTCTGACATTCAATGACAACCCAGGTAGGAGAGCGAGGAGTTCAACTGTCTGGGGGCCAGAAGCAGCGGATAGCAATAGCAAGAGCCATGCTCAAGAATCCCAAGATTCTCCTTTTGGATGAAGCTACTAGTGCCCTTGATGCTGGCTCCGAGAGGATTGTCGAAGAAGCGCTTGAACGCATCATGGTAGGGAGAACGACCGTGGTCGTTGCACACCGCCTCTCCACCATAAGGAATGTGGACATGATCGCCGTGATCCAGCAAGGTCAGGTTGTTGAGACTGGAACCCACGACGAACTAATCGCCAAAGGAAATTCCGGGGCATACTCCTCCCTTATCCGTTACCAGGAGATGGCGAGGAACAGAGACTTCTCTTCCCGCAGGTCTCGTTCTTCTCGGCTGAGCCACTCACTTTCCACCAAATCCCTCAGCCTCAGGTCAGGAAGCTTGAGGAACTTGAGCTACCAGTATAGTACAGGGGCAGACGGGCGCATAGAGATGGTTTCCAACGCAGACAATGACAGAAAGTATCCGGCTCCTGATAATTACTTCTCTAGGCTTCTCAAGTTGAACGCTCCTGAATGGCCTTATGCTATCTTAGGCTCTCTAGGGTCTGTCCTGTCTGGGTTCATCGGCCCCATATTTGCTATAGTGATGAGTAATATGATCGAGGTGTTCTACTATCGGAATCCAGATGCTATGGAGAGGAAGACGAAGGAATTCGTGTTCATATACATCGGAACAGGGCTTTATGCCGTCATGGCCTACCTGGTGCAGCACTATTTCTTCAGTATCATGGGGGAGAACCTCACGACCAGGGTGAGAAGAATGATGCTAGCAGGTAACTAATTTCCCCGTTCATCTTCGTTTGGAAGAAAAAGGTTTCTCTTTTTCATGGTGGGTTGTTGTTATTCATGGAGGAAACCCCCCTTGCTCGTTCAGCTATCCTCAGGAACGAAGTCGGCTGGTTCGATGAGGAAGAGCACAACTCGACTCTCGTCGCGGCCCGTCTGGCCACCGACGCCACCGACGTGAAGTCCGCCATCGCCGACAGGATCTCAGTGATTCTGCAGAACATGACCTCGCTCCTGATATCTTTCATCGTCGGCTTCGTTATAGAATGGCGCATTTCATTGCTCATTCTCGCCACATTCCCACTGCTCGTCCTCGCCAACTTCGCCCAGGTAACCTTCGTTTTTGCCTGCTACCCTTTTATCCTATGCTGTGAGCCGAAGACCCCCGCATCTTCTCCTTCTTCTTCTTCAATGTGTGGTGTCGCTGGTATGCGTGGTTGCAGCAATTGTCGTTGAAGGGATTCGCCGGGGACACCGCCAAGGCGCACGCGAAGACGAGCATGATCGCCGGCGAGGGCGTGAGCAACATCCGCACGGTGGCCGCCTTCAACGCGCAGGAGAAGATCGTCTCCCTTTTCCGGCAGGAGCTCCGCACACCGCAGCGCCGCAGCCTGCGGCGCAGCCAGACCTCGGGCTCCCTCTTCGGCGTCTCCCAGCTCCTCCTCTACGCCTCGGAGGCCCTCATCCTCTGGTACGGCGCTCACCTGGTCCGCTCCGGCGCCTCCACCTTCTCCCAGGTCATCAAGGTCTTCGTCGTCCTCGTCATCACTGCCAACTCCGTCGCCGAGACCGTCAGCCTCGCCCCGGAGATCGTCCGCGGCGGCGAGTCCATCCGCTCCGTCTTCTCCATCCTCGACCGCGCCACCCGCATCGACCCCGACGACCCCGAGTCCGAGCCCGTCGACTCCCTCCGCGGGGAAGTCGAGCTCCGGCACGTCGACTTCGCCTACCCGTCCCGCCCGGACCTCCCCGTCTTCAAGGACCTGAACCTGCGGATCCGTGCCGGCCAGAGCCAGGCCCTCGTGGGCGCCAGCGGGTCCGGCAAGAGCTCCGTCATCGCCCTCATCGAGAGGTTCTACGACCCCACAGCCGGCAAGGTCATGATCGACGGGAAGGACATACGGCGGCTCAACCTCAAGTCCCTGCGCCTGAAGATCGGGCTTGTGCAGCAGGAGCCGGCGCTCTTCGCGGGCAGCATCTTCGACAACATCGTCTACGGCAAGGACGGCGCCGACGAGGACGAGGTGGTGGCGGCGGCGCGCGCCGCCAACGTGCACGACTTCATCAGTTCCCTCCCCGACGGGTACAAGACGGCGGTGGGGGAGAGGGGCGTGCAGCTGTCGGGGGGTCAGAAACAGAGGATCGCCATCGCGCGGGCGGTGCTCAAGGACCCGGCCATTTTGCTCCTCGACGAGGCCACCAGCGCGCTGGACGCCGAGTCGGAGTGCGTCCTCCAGGAGGCCCTGGAGCGGCTGATGCGCGGCAGAACCACCGTCCTTGTGGCGCACCGCCTCTCCACCATCAGGGGCGTCGACTCCATCGCCGTCGTCCAGGACGGCCGCATCGTCGAATACGGCCCCCACGCGGATCTGCTCTCCCGCCCCGACGGTGCCTACTCCCGCCTCCTTCAGCTCCAGCACCACACTCACCACCCTTGATTCCTCCCCCCCCCTTGGATCTTTCTATCTATCTAACTCAAGTGGGATCGCTGTAATATCTATTCATAATCCACCGCCGACAACGGTGGCGGCGGCAGTGCTGGAGAAGGATTGGTTCAGTTCTTGCCGGCGCGGTGGCCCAGATCGGCGGCATACTTGGAGGCCTTAAGCAGGGCGTCGGAGACAATCAGGGCTCCGGCAGCGAAGCATCTGCTGTTGACAATGGAGCTCCCCACGGCGGCGGCCGTCCGGCCGGTGGCGACGGCTATATGGCCGGTGGCGGCGGCTATCTGGCCGGTGGCAGTGACCACCGTCGTAGCCGTTTCGGACAGGTGTAACTGCTCGTCCATCGACCGAAATGTCTCCACGCCGGCGGTGATCTTGTCGGTGAGGCCGACCCGGATGCCCAGCTCGGCGATCTTCGCCGCCGCCGCCGCAGACAACCCGAGCGTTTCGTCGAAGGCCCTGGCCCTGTTCAAGGCGTCCGTGCTCAGCACGTACCCCATTGCGATCATCGCCTTCACTACCTCCTGCGTAATCGTCACAGCCTTCCCCGGAGTGATGCACAGCTCGTTGGCGTGGAAATTCTGTCCAAGGATGCCATATTTCGGAAGAATCAAAATCAATGTGACGATACTTTTCTTCTTTCCATAAAAGCATTTTCGGAAGAACTGATGGACTAATTACCGTATGCCCGTCGTCATCTCCATACTCGTAGTCCCCCCATCGATCTATGCAGACGACTTGATCTGCTATCATCGACCCCTGCGACAGAGTCGAGCAGGAAGGAGTTCAAGATCACTGCAAGATCACCGAAGCTCGGAGGACGATGAAATCATGCGACTATTTTTCTTTAGAAATAAAAAAGGAAAGTAAGCTCCTTTATAAGTCAGCTTCGGGATAGTTACAGTGAGCAAACATGCGGTTTCCAACGCGCGAGCTTCTCTGAACGTCACGTACGCGGTGGAAGCGTAGTCTCCGGATCTGCAGGTCGAGTGGTCCGTCCAAGAGGATGAGTCAGGAGGGAATGAAAGGAAAACGACCAGTAACCGATGAGTATTTGCGATTGCCTCGCCTCGATGGATATGGGTGAGGATAGATGTACAGAACCAAGATCCAAGTCTATATGGGGAGAGAATGAACAAGAATATATTCATATCGAAATATTTTCTCAGGATCATGTCGGCAATAAATTTTGGTACCTGACGATCTCAACGTGCTCGATTTCTCCGGAGAAGGAAAAGAAGTCGCTGACATCGCCCTCCGTGGCTCTGGGAGAGAGATTAGTGACTTGCACCGTGTAGCCGCCGGGATTCATGATGAGACCTCCGATCTGATGAATGCAAGATACAATCGATTCCTTCGCTCTGAAAAGATCATCAGAGGACAAGAATTAGCAAGAACATAAATGAAATCTGAAAAAGAAGAAGGAAAAAGCCAGTTCTAATGGATTTCCGACACCTTCACATCATAATTCAGATCCCAGTTTATAAAAAATAACGGCGATCCGCATTCTCAGGGGCGAATTCAGCTGCAGATAAGAATATTGATCAAAGAGGGAGGGACCCCTCCGATCCCCAGACCTATTTGAGCACGCCGTTCATCCTCAATAACTAAGAATATGGCGGCTCTCCAATCCCGCTTCGTCCTCTTCACACTCCAATTCTTTCTCAGAAATCACTGCATGCCGAAACGGAGAGGAAATTCGTCCAAATAATGCGAACGATTAGGGTAGAAACCTTCGACTATCCGGCGGAAAGTACAAGCAATTCGGGGGAAGAAAGACAGACGTCGAGAGGGAATTCATCAGGAAAACTGCTGGCATTCGTGCGTACGACGACAAGATAGACAGAGGGAGAAGATGCAGTGGCGCGCAACCTACTTCGGGGTCACTCTGAGAAGAGTAATGGCGCAGAGAGGCCGGCCGGCGAAGCAACTCCTTGCGGCGAGCGTTCGCGGGAGCAAAATAGCGAGAACCGACGGAAAAGGCGGTGGCGACCTCGCAGCCGACGCGACTAAATGAATGAAAAGCCCCTCAAGACGGAAATCACATTTTGGTCCCCTAGAGAAGGCCAAATTACGCTCCGATCCCCGTGGCCTTATCTGGAACCAGCAAACGGCAGAAATTTTCCGATAGCGACGTCCGAACGGCCTCGTGGGCCGTATGATTAGCGTTCTCACCGACTGATAAGATGCCCTTTTGAAAGCTCCACGCCAGCTAGATCGCCGCCGGGCCTTCTGGGCTGGGAAAGGCAGCCCAGTAAGACTAGAAATCCACTATTTTATTTATTTATTTATTATAACGAGTTATTTTTCATAAATAAATTCTTTACCATGAATGATTTTACGAGTTAATTATTAAATATTTTAAAATAAAACATATTACGCGTATTACATTACGCCGTTCGATGGAGATCAGAGTCGATCGACCGCAGTTATTACACGTGGCGGCCTCTCTTACGCTGAGATTTCCCTACGTGGCAAGTCATACTTGAGGTAAAGAGACAGACAGCAGTGGGTGACGTGTTCCCCTCCTGTCGAAAAGATATAGCAGTACTGTTGGCAGATAACTGAATCAATCAGCAGGACTGATGGGGTAGCTGCCGTATCGCACCTTTAAACGCAGCTCCACGGCCACTTTCTGGCGCTGCCCCCTGATTTCGGCCTCTCCAGTCTCGCCGCCGCCGGCTGCCCAGCGCAGGGAGCTGAAGCCTGGGTCAGTTCGTCATTGAGGCTCCTGATGTGGACGTCTTCTTCCTCCCCTTCATGGTCCCAGGGTACTACAGGCCATGATTACCATGACTAAGCTCTTCGCCGCGCGCGGCGCGAGGGCCAGCGTGGTCGCCGCCGCCGCCGACGCCACCACATTGCGGCCTTTGCTGGACAGGACCGACCTCTCCAGCCGCTCTGTGCAGCTTCTCCTTATCCTCCTCCTCCTTCAACGGCGGTGGCCCGGCACTGCGGGTGCCGCTCCGTAGTCTTCTCCGGGAGCAGCCGCCCGTCTGCCTGGTATTCGACGCTTTCTTCCCGTGGGCGATCGACGTCGCGGAGGAGTTCGGCGTGCCGAGGATCAACTTCCACGGCAGCACCTGCTTCACACCTGCGCCTACGTGATGCTCGGCCTCCACCCGCCCCTCCCCAGGCGGACCCCGTCGTGCTGAACAGCCTCCCTCACCGCGTGGAGCTGCTCAAGACCCAGTTGGCTGATTCAACCATGCCAGCCATCGCCGCCATCTTGAGCAACATCGCCGAGTCCGAGTTCCGCAGCGACGGCATGCTAGCCAACAGCTTCTACGAGCTGGAGGCGGAGTACTTCAACACCATCCGCGAAGTCCAGGGGAAGAAGGGCGTCTGGTCCATCGGCCCGTTGTCGCTCCTCTCCGACGCCGCCGCCGCCGCCGCAGGCGGCGATGCCGGAGAAGACGCCGGCGGCTACCTGAGATGATTCGACGGGAAGAAATCCGGCTCCGTGGTGTATATTTGCTTCGGCTCCGCGGCTCAGCTCTCTGGAGCCCAGCTGGGGGAGATCGCCGCAGCTTTGGAGACGATGGAGTGCCCCATCATATGGGTGCTGAAGAGCCCGCCGGAGGGGGGCCTTCTGGAGAAGGTGACGACCGGCGGCAAAGAGAGCCTGGGGATACTGGTCACCGGGTGGGCGCCACAGAATCTCATCCTAGGCCATGCCCCCGTGGGGGCTTTCATGACCCACTGCGAGTGGAACCATGCTTGGAGGCCGTTGCTGCCGGCGATGGTCACTTGGCCACTCATGGTGGAATAGTTCTTCAACGAGAAGCTGTCGGCGACGCAGGTGCTGAAGGCAGGAGCCGGGGTGGGATTCAGAATGTGGACTCTAAATATGAGTGTATGAATAAATATACAAGCACATGATCATAATAATAGTAGAAACTCATTTTTTAGATATTAGTAAAAATAAATAGAAGATAAATCACCAAGCTATCAAGAACACTGATAAAATTAATACTTTCACTAAACACTTCTAATCTACATCTCAAAACCCTTGAGATGACCCACACATTGAAGAGTCAGTAATTATTTTTTGTCTCTTTCTATAAGGATTTTAATTACAATAGAAAGAGACCAAGAAAGAGATAAATAGTTGATGGAGAGAGAATAGAATTAAGAAAAAAAGATAAATAACTCTTTACCTACTTCAATAGTTGTCATGTAGTCTATCTCTGTAGTAGATCATGCGATAGTAATTTGAAGTGTAGACTTTCAACTCATAGGTCCACTAGTCACAATAAAAATATGTCTCGTCATAGATATTTGATGATTTAAATTTTTGATAAAATTTACATCAATAAAGTCAACAATAGAAAGATAACTTTATTAGTCAAAATAATTTTTAAAATCTAAAGAACTCTTTAAATATCAGATAATTCACTTTACTGTGTTCTAATACTACTTTTTTAGATTGCTTATAAATTTATTAACAAGTCAAAATCTATGAACAATATCTGATCTTGTACATACGATAATATATCAATCACTTTCAAGATATAACTCTTATGAGTCAACTATAGTTGACTTAACTTTCAATTTGTATAGATCTTCATACTAATAATCTTCTTTACCACACTAAGATTTTTTATGTCAAATTTTATATTCAATAGTGATGTCATATGAATTATTCGAAAGCAATGAATATTCATCAACATAGAACATCAAAATAATTAAAGAATCATTACCACAAGTCCTCATATAAATATAACAATCAAAATCACATCTTATACAGTCAATATGTGATATGTAATAATCAATTTTTTTGTATTATTGTCTCGATGCCTATTTTAACCCATAAAGAGACATCTTCAATTGATAGACAAGATGTTGTAAGCCATACATAACAAAATCTTCTAACTAGTATATGTAAATAGTCTCCTTCAAATCTCTATAAAAAAATGTCGTCTTCACATTCAACTACTTAAATTTCATATATTCATGTGTGACAATAGTTAACATCAAACAAATATACATGTCTCACAATAGATAAAAATATTTTATATAAATAATTTCATACTTTTGTGTAAAGATTTTGCAACAAGCCTTATCTTGTACTATGGTTGATTACTATCAATCATTGATGTCTTTTTCTTGTACACTAATTTGTACCAAATAGTTCATTTATTTGCAAAAAGATCTACTAATTATTATGTGCGATTTTTATCTAAAGATGTTTACTCTTCATAAATCATTTGTAGTTACTTCTCCTTTTTAGGACAACTAATTATCTCTCGAAAAGTTATAGTTTTGTCATCGTCAATTTGTTTACTTTATGCTTGCCCCCTCTACTAGTAATACAATTAAGAACACTGATGATTCTACAACTCGATCTTTACTCACAACAGAATGAAGAAGATTATGTACAATACTCACCTTTAATTTTATTTTGTATTCAATATGAGTGTCATCAGATTCTTGAACTGTGTTATGTAGAGAAAGATTTTAACATATGATCTTCATCAAATACTACATCTCTATTACAAATAAACTTCTTTGCCTCTGAATCTCAAAGTTGATATTACTTTACGTTAGTCTTATATCCCAAAAATATATATTTTTTCAACTTTAAATCTAATTTTGATCTTTCACCAATAGGTGTAAAGATATATAGTAGACATCTAAATATATGCAAATTTAAATAGTCAAGATAATTTTTAGTTTATACCTCTTAGTAAAATTCTGCCTGAAATAAAAAAAATAACAAAACATAATTTGAAAATAGTAGAAAATGTAACTTTAAATTTTAAAAAATTGAAAACCTTTTTTTCAAACCTCAACATCTTAGAAAAAACATAATATGAAATTCAAAAATTAAAATCATTAGAAGAATAACTTTTATTGGTACAAACTTTTACAAAAAAAAATACTTGTTGAAAATACAAAAACTTATAATCATACTAACCTTGTTTCCTACATCATTTTGCATGCAAGAGAAATTAAAGCAGTTATAGTTGATTGATGCCAAAAGATATTAAGATAATTATTATTGAGTTAGATGTTAGAATACTCCTCAAATACATGATAAATAACAACAATTTTATTTTTACAGATTTTCACTGTGGCCTTATGAATAATATTTACTTGATGTGAAAATTTGATTGATCATTTTAGTTTAACAAAGATTTTTTACACCTTGATCTATAACTGTTAAACTCTAGAGTTTACATGACAGAATTCGTAACATTATATTTCCCTCTTATTTCTATTTTCTAGATACTATGCCATTCTTTGATTATAGATGTTGCATTGTGGAACTAGTTAAGGGGATTATATTTCCCTACTGATGTTTTATTTGCTCTACTGCTTCTTACTTTCTCCAATCTACCTATGCAAGCCTTTAGATCATATATTACAGTGTTGTCTTTGTGCCGTCACTTCCTTTTTTAAGGATTGTGCTGTTCTTAAGCTTTTCTCAGTCGACGAACATGGATGATAAGATTTGATATGTATTGCTCACCCACTCTGCCTTCTCTCTCCTCCCACCTTGACTAAACCTCCTAGAACCTTTCCTCTATGTCTGGTATGTCTATTGGTATGGTCACTTTGCGTCACAATACTCTCTAGCTCAGTCTTGGATGCTGGGACAAGGAATTGATTCTGCTGCTTGATACCCCTCACATGATGCCCACAAATAGTTTGGACATTTTTTGTCGGATTCATGTGATCTGGTGTGTTGGCTCAGAAGTCACTAGTAGAGTCTTGCTGAATGTGCCTTCCTCATCTGCCTAAATCATTGGTGATATTGGACTGGGGATGGTATTGAGACCCAGAGAATACAGAAAAGCTAAATTTTATCTATAAAAGACCCTCTTAATAAGTGCTCATGCTGTTTCTTCTAGTCAGTGCATTTTATAGGCATACCTTGTGAGCCAATTTCTGTATTATTGTTACATTTTCGATACCCTAATCACCTCAAGATGGATCACAATGACTCGCACATCCCTCCCCTTTCTTGCATTACTGGTGAGTAGAACTGGTCTCGTATTGGGTCACTCAGTATAGGTAGTTCAATCTTGGGAAGCCTCAGTCCAACCATGGGGAAGTATGTCAACGCAAATTGGACCGCTGACGAACGATTTCACTCAAGGTACCACCCAGCGAAATAACTTTCGAATTGATGATGATGGTGCCAACGAAAAAACAATTACAAACGAGGACTACATGTGTGTTTAACAATATAAATATTCCCAATTAGAAATCAAAGTGAAAATGTCTCTTACGGCTGTCACCACTCAATAGAGTGAAAATTTCGGTGATGATGGGTATTTAATGAATGACACCCGGTGGATCTGAGATTGACGAAAGGAGGGCATATCCCAGGGAGCTTCTTTCTAAGGTTCACGTAGCAAAAGTAGGTTCGTTCAAGATCATGTCGGCAGTAAATTTTGGTACCAGACGATCTCAACGTGCATGATTAGGGTAGAAACCCTCGATTATCCAGCGGAAAGTACGAGTAATTCGAGGGAAGAAAACAGACGCTGGCGGGGAATTCATCAGGAAAACTCATTGCATTCGTACATACGACGACTAGATAGAAAGAGGGAGAAGATGCAGTGGCGGCGCAACCTACTGCGGGGTCTCTCGGAGAAGAGTAAGGGCGAACAGAGAGGCGGCTGGCGACGCAGCCCCTGGTGGCGAGCGTTCGAAGGGGAAAATAGCGAGAACCGACGAAAAAGGCGGTGGTGATCTCGCAGCCGACGCGACTAAAGTAATGAAAAGCCCTCACGAGGGAAATCGCATTTGCCCCCCTAGATAAACCGAATTACGATCCGATCCCCGTGGCCTTACCTCGAACCAGCGAACGGTCACAATTTTCCGATAGCGACGTCCAGACGGCCTTAAGATTGAGCGGGTACGATTAGCGTTCTCACCGACTGATAAAATACCCTTCTGGCAGTTCCACGCCAGATAGAGCGCCGCCGAGCCTTCTGGGCCGGGCAAGTCCAGCCCAGTGACACCAGAAATGCACTATTTCTTTTTATTTTATTTTATTTATTATAAAAATTTATTTTTTATAAATGAATTTCATTACCATGAATGAGTGCTTATCGTCGTATTTTACGAGTTAATGATAATAAATATTTCTTAAATCAGAAATACTACGCGCCTTACATTACGCCGTTCGATCCAAACCAGAACCGATCGACCCAGATTCTTACACGGGGCGGCTTCTCGTACGCTGAGTTTCCCTACGTCGGTGGCGAGTCATACTTGAGGCAGACAGCAGTGGATGACGTGTTCCCATCCTGACTAAAACATCTACTAACTGAATCAGCAGGATTGAGAGGGTTGGCCTACCGCATTGTCAAACGCCGCCCTGCCCCACGCCCTAACCCCAAATCTCCGGCGCTGCCCCTGTTCTCGGCCCCTCCATTCTCGCCGCCGCCGGCTGCCCAGCGCAGGAAGCTGAAGCATGGATCAGCCCACCATGGAGGCTCCTGATGTGGACGTCTTCTTCCTCCCCTACATGGTCCCAGGGCACTACAGGCCCATGGTGGGCATTGCCAAGCTCTTCGCCACGCGCGGCGCGAGGGCTAGCGTGGTCGCCGCCGCCACCGACCCCGCCGCCTTACGGCCTTTGCTGGACTGGACCGACCTCTCCGGCCGCTCTGTGCAGTTTATCCTCCTCCCTTCCTCATCCTCCTCGATGGCCGACCTTGGCGCGGTGCTGCGGGAGCCGCTCCGTCGTCTTCTCCGGGAGCAGCCGCCCGTCTGCCTGGTGTTCGACGCTTTCTTCCCGTGGGCGATCGACGTCGCGGAGGAGGTTGGCGTGCCGACGTTCACCTTCCACGGCAGCAGCTGCTTCACTTCCTGCTGCTACAAGATGCTCGGCCTCCATCCGCCACCTCCCCAGGCGGACCCCGTCGTGGTACCCGGCCTCCCTCACCGCGTGGAGCTGCTCAGGACCCAGTTGGCTGATTCGACGGTGCCGTTCATCGCCGCCATCTTTAGCAAAATCACCGAGTCCAAGTCCCGAAGCGACGGCATGCTGGTCAACAGCTTCTACGAGCTGGAGGCAGAGTACTTCGACACCACCCCCCAAGTCCAGGGGAAGAAGAGCGTCTGGCCCATCGGCCCGTTGTCGCTCCTCTCCGACGTCGCCGCCACCGCCGCCCGGGATGCCGGAGAAGACGCCGGCGGCTCCCTGAGATGGCTCGACGGGAAGAAACCCGGTTCCGTGGTGTACATCTGCTTCGGCTCCATGGCCCAGCTCTCCGGTGCCCAGCTGGGGGAGATCGGCGCGGCTCTAGAGACGATGGAGTGCCCCTTCATATGGGTGCTGAAGAGCCCACCGGAGGGGGGGCTTCTGGAGAAGGTGACGGCCGGCGGCAAAGAGAGCCGGGGAATACTGATCACCGGGTGGGCGCCACAGAATCTCATCCTGGGCCACGCTGCCGTGGGGGCCTTCATGACCCACTGCGGGTGGAACTCGTGCCTGGAGGCCGTCGCCGCCGGCGTGCCGATGGTCACCTGGCCGCTCATGGCGGAGCAGTTCTTCAACGAGAAGCTGGTGACACAGGTGCTGGGGGCGGGCGTGGGGGTGGGATCCCGAGTGTGGACCATGAATGAGGAAGAAAGGGACCTCATTGGCAGGGAAGACATCCGCAGGGCGATTGCACGGGTGATCGACGGCGGCGAGGAGGCAGCTGCCCTCCGGAGAAGGGCAGCGGAGCTGGCGTCGTCAGCTCGGAAGGCCGTCGCCGAAGGTGGGTCCTCATACGAGAATGTGGGCTGCCTGATCGACCAGCTGCGACGGGGAGAGTGGTGCAAACTGGCGGCGGCGGCGGGACCGTAGACGACGGTGGCGGCGGACTGAAATGGGTGTTGTTAGAACGCTCTTTCTTCCACAGTCAGCTGTTCATCAAAGAACGCGATGTTATCAGTCTTATTCGAGCTCCTTGGGAGGAACCCATTGCGGGGCCGCGTACCCGAGGAACCACAACTAACTAATATCAATCAATCAATGGATCAACTAACTGTTTTACACGAGAACGAGAGCTCTGCGGAGAAAGATTCGACTCCTCTACTTTCACATGTACAGCACACCTCTCAAATCAAATCACTATAGAACAGAGATCCTCGAACACCGTTCTCATGCTGGGTCTCTCATTTACAGGCAGAATACAGCGGAGAGACACGGCCAAGAGCTCGTCCATTGCCTTGGGGAGGTTCTCCTCATGGACGGCGATGTCCCTGTCGAAGCATTCTGCTCCCCGCCCCTCCCGCACGCACATCCGCACCCAGTCGGTGAGATCGACGGCGCCGGACTGGCCGGAAATTATGTCACCGGCGCTCCTCCTGGTCAGCAGCTCCATCATTATCACCCCGAAGGCGTAAACGTCGGCCTTCACCGTCGGGAACGGCCGGCTCGAGCCAGCTAGCTCAGGGGCGGCGTACCCGAGGGCTCCCAGATTGAGCATCTGCTCGCTGATGCCGTTGGGGGTCATGAGGCGATGCAGGCAGTAGTCGGTCAGCTGGGCAGTGAGATCAGGTCCATTTAAGAGTATGTTGGCCGGCTTCAGGTTGCCATGGGGCAGGCCCCTGTCATGGTGAAGATGCACCAGGCCCCGGGCAATGTCGATGGTGATCTTGAGCCGCTGGGTCAGTGACAGGGGGGAATGCCTTCTTGGGGTAGATTCTGCGGAGTGAGCGCCCATTAGGCCTCCATCAGCGAAACCAAGGTAGATTATGCAGAGCTAGTTATATCGAACGAATAAAAGATTGACATGAGCTGATTCATTGCTCTCTGAATCATGCCCTGTACTCTGTCACCTACAGATTATGTAGAGGACGATCAAATGATCATAAAGTATGAAGAAAAGTAGAGATATGTAGGAAGAAAAGCCTTATCCATGACATGGTGCATAGAACAGCCATCAACTCAATTCTCACGGCTTGCATCGAACGGCTCTTCTGAAGAAACAAATTGGTTCAGGCTTTTATTAACCCACACTTCTCATCCTGTTGGCCCACTCTTTCATTGGTTTTCTCACCATGGCAGCTACTGCCTCTTCACATCTGGCGGCCACAGACGACAGGCAAACCTGCACACTCTGTGACTTAAAATGCCAAGACTGTTATCAGATGGCATACCTTGAGTAAAATCGTTCGTCAGCGGTCCAATTTGCGTTGACACACTTTAAGTCAGCCAAAGCCAACTTTCCCATAGTTGGACAGAGGCTTCCCAAGATTGAACTGCCTATAAACTGAGTGACCCAATACGAGACCAGTTCTACTCACCAGTGATGCAAGAAAGGGGAGGGATGTGCGAGTCATTGTGATCTGTCTTGAGGTGATTAGGGCATCGAAAATGTAATACAACAATTGGCTCACAAGGTATGCATATAAAATACACTTACTAGAAGAAACAACATGAGCACTTATTAAGAGGGTCTTATATTAGATAAAATTTAGCTTTTCTATATTCTGTGTCCCAATACCATCCCCAGTTAAATATCACCAATGGTTGAGGCAGATGAGGAAGGCACACTCAGCAAGACTCTACCAGTGACTTCTGAGCCAACACACCAGACCACATTAATCCAACAAAAAATGTCCAAAATATCTGTGGGCATCAGGCGATGGGTATCAAGCTGCAGAATCAATTCGTTGTCCCAGTATCCAAGGAATAACTGAGCTAGAGAAAAACGGTATTGTGGAGCAAAATGGCCTTACCAGTGGACGTGCCAGACACAGCGGAAAGGTTCTTGGAGGTTTAGTGAGCAAGGTGGGAGGAGAGAGAAGGGAAAGGGGGTGAGCAATGCATATCAAATCTTATCATCCGTGTCCGTCGACTGAGAAAAGCTTAAGAACAACACAATCCTTAAAAAAGGAAACGACTGTACGAAGACAGCTGTGTAGCGTATGATCCAAAGGCTTGCATAAGGAGAGTGGAGAAAGTGAGAAGCAGTTGACCAAACAGAAACATCAGTAGGACAATATAATGCTCTGAACCAGTTCCACAATGCAGCATCTATAATCAAAGAACGGCATAATTTCTAGCAACTAGAAATAAGAGGAAAATGTAATGTCGCGAATTCCATCATGTAAACAGTTAACTGAAGATGCTCAACAAATTACATGAAATGACGCCTGAAAAAAATATAGTTCAAGTTCATACCATGAAGATGGAGTGCCAAGCTATCTCCATTAATATAATCTGATAGAATTAGACGCTCCTGTTCCCTTGGTCCCCAATAATAGCTCCGCAAGGGAACTATGTTCTGGTGTCGAATAGATCCAATCTTTTTCACCTCTTTGGAGAACTCCTTTTTACGTCTTACAAGACCAACTCTCAACCACTTAACCGTCAATGTGTGGCCAGTATCCATGGTTGCTTTGTATGAAGTTCCATGGCTGCTTCTACCAAGTACTTCTGCTGGGGCGCGAGACAAATCCTCTGCAGTAAATGTCAACGAATTATCCAAGAAAAACAATTCTCCAGCAAGTCGATCAGGTGAATAGACGTCTAACACTACAGGTTGGTCAGCAAAGTCTATGTTTCTAATAGAATGTGGTGAAGATGTCAACGGAGAACCGGGGGATGCTTTCAATCCACCAGTTGGAGAGCATCCATCCTGCACAGGCTCAAACCCAATTTCTCTTGAATTAGAGAAACCTCTTTCAACTGTCCCAGTTGCCATTTCTTTCTGTGCAGGCAATGCCCTCGATGCTGAAGTCAATAATTGATCATTGGAAAAACTCACTGAATTTTGCACTGCATCACTTTTGTGGAACCTGAAAATATTAGATGGAGAAAATCTTGCCAATTTTACCTCTCTCCCTGATGCATACTCTCTGAACCCATTTTTTCCACACAGCTCTTGAGTCGCTATCATATAAACAGCCATAAAGATAAAGAAAATCAACACAACAGCTCCAATGGAACCAACAATAATTGCAACTAGAATTCTAGATTTCATCTGTCGATGTTCCGAGTGACCTCCAATGACCCCTGACCCAGTCTCTGGGTAAGATGGCCGACCAGGTAAGACTAGTAAAGCATTTCCCGGATGAAATGAGTCATCATCAAACTTCCTCAGGTGTTCAGGAACAAGACCTGAAAGATCATTGTAGGCAACATCGAATTTCTTTAGATTGATTTGAGGAAAATCCGGGATCTTACCCTTGAAGTCATTCATAGACAGGTCAAGAACTTCCAAATCATTAAGGCTGGCTAGTTCAACTGGAATCTCCCCAGAAAAGGAATTTTTTCCAAGGTCAAGATATTTAAGCTTCTGCAACTCAGCAATTTCAGGAGGCAATGAACCAGAGAGAGAGTTATCAGACAAATCCAAAAACTCCATTGGTAAAAGAGATGGTACAGCTAGTGATTCAGTTGAATGAGGAGCTTGAATTGGTAGGTTTCCCGTAAATTGATTCGCTGAAAGATTCAAATATGTTAAGGACAATGATATCAAAAGGCTAGGAAAGAGAGTCCCTGTGAGCTTGTTTAGACTAAGGTCAACAACAGACAACTGATGGCCAAGTTCTAACACGGAAGGAAGAGATCCAACCAAAGAGTTATTTCTCATCTTCAAAGAAGTCAAGCCTTGAAACTGAAAAGTATTATTTGGTATGTTTCCTGACAACATATTTGAACTCAAGTCAACAACTTCTATCGTAGATCCCCAATTCTCCATCCAAGACAAATCACCAGACAACAGGTTCATACTCAAATCCACTATTTTGCAGCTGCCAATAACTGCGGGTAACGAACCAGATAATGCATTCGATGAAAGGTTCAAAACTTTCAAAGAGGTAGAGTTAATAGCAAAAATTTGACCTGTGTAAGAAAAGACGATGAAAGTATTAAAGTTAGGGCCATAAAAAATCAGAAAATAATATCTGCCATAATTAAAAAAATCATTTAAGGTTAGGGTGAGGAAAAGATAATGAACTTCCAAATCCAACCAAGGAAGAAAAACACATCAGTGACAAACAGTCATAGATGTAGCATGACACAAAGTTGGGGATGAAGTGCCATTATTAACATTTAATAGACAGAAAGTAGGAACTCCGAGTTTTTTTAGCATTAAAACGAGTCATTCACGTACCAGATATCAAATATATACATATATATATATATATATAGAGAGAGAGAGAGAGAGAAAGAGAAATGAGTATTTAACTAGATTCATACCCATAAAAAGCACAATCGATTTGATCTCAAAATGTCACACAAAATATCCAGGATACTATTCCTTTTAAAGCACAAGGAATTAAACTGCATATGGTTTTTGACATAAAAGTCTGGAGTGGAAGGAACTCCACCGCCCCTAATATGGTAGACTCGCCCAACTATGACAAATACAATAGACCATCTGGAAGAAATCTAAAGAACACTGTCATCAACTATCATAAATTCAATTCCGAACTCGATATGATAGGTACCAATCCGCTGTTTCCTTTTAAACTGATTTACCTCGGTAAAGAACAATAAATTGAAAAGAAGAAACCATGAAATCATCCGGGGCAAGTGTGCAATTTTATGAAGCATAAATATCTAACATAGAAGTCAAGAACCAATTGAGAACCCCAACATGTTCGCTGCATTGATAATTCTGAAACCTCGTTTCGAGGTATCAAATATACAATCGATTCTGAGATAAAAGGGAAACAGAATACCATTGAAGTAACTTACCAGTAAATCCATTTCCACTCAGGTCAAGCTCCAACAAGGCTATTGAGCTCCCAAAGAGCCCTGCTTGGAGAGGGCCGAATAACTGGTTATTTCCTGCCCGTAGAACCCTCAAATTGGGCAAGACATCAAATGACGGGAGCTCGCCATTCAGCTGGTTATAACTGACGTCCAAAATTTCCAAATTTTTGAACAAAGGAAGAGTGGCATTGGTAAAGAATGCCCCACTGATCTTGTTGTAACTCACATTAATAGTCTTCGCCGTGTTTGCCAAACTCGAGAGATTTTCGGTTTCCATCGTCAACATACCGTGGAATATGTTGTTACTCAGATCAAGGTGTTCTACGTTCCGTAGCTCTGAGAATATGTCCCCAACATCACCCCTCAGGCTGTTCTGGCTCACATCCAGAACCCTTAGCTGCTGCAGATTCCTCATTCCACCAGGGAACCCCCCCGTGAAGCCATTCCGCGAAAGATTTAGGTACACGAGGCCCCAGAGTTCTGTGATCCTCCGCGGAACAGGGCCGTAGAACCGGTTCCCCGACAGATCCAGGTGTTGCAGAGACGCCATTGACCCAACCGTCGGGACGAGCCTGCCAGTCAAGTTATTTCCCGACAGGCTGAGGTTGCGGAGGGACCGCATTCCAACGAGAGTAGAGAACTTGAGGTCGCCACTGAGGCCGATGCCGTCCAGAGCCACACCAACCACGACCCCATTCCCCTCGCACATTACACCATGCCAGGAGCTGGGGCAGCCATCCGGCTCCAATGGCGACGATTCGTTCCACGACCCGAGGACCAGGCCCGAGGGATCGTCTCGGATGCCTTTCTTGAACTCGAGCAGAGATCGGACGTCGTCGTTTTCCCCGGTAGAGAGCGGCGGCTGCTGCGCCACGGTGGAGTAGATCAGCAAGGGAAACACCAGAAAATGGAGACGGAGGGCCATCCCTACCCTCCCACCCCTCTGTACGGCCCTCTCTCTACCACCTGCCGCAACCGGCCATGGGCATTGGCGAAGAATCTCCACAAACTTGATGAGGAATCGGGTGGGGAAGAAGGCGAGGTCGAAGAAAAATGGGGATGAGAAAGTTAGGGTTCTTATTGTAAGCTGCTGTGGCGAACGTGGTCGACGGAAGAAGGAAGTTTTCGTTATGCTCTCTCTGGACTGCAGAGGGAGTGAAGAGAGAGAGAGAGAGAGAGAGAGAGAGAGAGAGAGAGAGAGAGAGGGGAACACCCTGTAAAGGACACGGGAGGCTGGACTGACGAGGAGGTATGCGGGACCCACAATAACACGTCACCCACATGTTTGCCCCGGTGTGCGCCCCTGAACTTTCGGTTTTGGCGTGTAAAAAAATAACAGTACAACAATGAAAATTAATATTATGAGGTAATTTATTTATGAGAAATCTACGGGTCCAGATAGATCGGAGCTGTCCGCGCCCTCTTGGAGGGTCTCGATTGCGTTTCAGAGGTCCACATCAGCAGGCGGCACGTGCTCGCCCCTTCGCTGCCGCGTGCAGACTCTGAAGATGCCATTCCCTCCCCGTCCTGTTCCGGCACCTGCCAGCACGCGTTATATATTTTTATTATTTTTCTCCGTTATTCCAAATAGTCCACATTTATGGCCAATATAATTTTCTTTTTGTTCTACCAGAAATTACCCATAAATAAAAAATGAGAAAATATAATGAACCGGGCATTCATTGAATGGCGTGCCTTTTTCCAGATAATTAAACCTATTTTATCAAAGTATCAAACCAATATCTGTTTCGAGCTTATTATTATTAAATTATCCACTTTTTAGCATGAAAACAAAGAACCCACTTGCCACACCAAGAACCCCTAGAAAACAGGATCTTCTTCTCCGAGATAAGGGTGGATAGAGATAGATAGAGAGACAGAGAGAGTGGCCCTTAGATCTGATCTCTGCAAATGGCAACTGTTGCCGCAGTAGATCTCCCTCAGCTCTAGAGAGAGAGAAGAGAGAGAGAAGAGAGAGGGGGAGAGAGAGAGAGAGAGAGAGAGAGAGAGAAGGGAGGGGCCTGGCGCTGCCTGGGTGCTCCTCATTCATGGCGAGGATGGATCCAAGAGAATTCAAGTCCGATGGCCGTTGCGACCATCTGTACTTCACAAGCTTCGGGGGAGTTGGGCTTTCACTGCGGGGGGAGGGGAAGAGAGGGTAAGTGAGGAGGCGGGGCGCGGGGGGGGGGCGGGGTGGGGAGGTCTCCAGCATCTACGACAATACATTAATGGCACTGTGGTTGGGGGGCGGAGGAGCCCCGTGAAAAGGACGGCGGATGCGGTAGCGGGGGCCAGTGGGTTGACCTGGGGGAGGAAAAGGAGCGAGGGAGGTGCGTGCCCGGCAGGTCCCGCCGGAGGGGATGCGGTGTAGTCTTGTGTGTTGGGAATGGTGGGGAGAGAGCTCTGCGTGGGCCTGCCAGCTGCAAACAATTAATGACACGCATACACAGAAACATACACACGGACTCTCCCTCTCCCTCCATCTCTCTCTCTCTCTCTCTCTCTCTCCCAAAGTCCCAAAGCACAGAGAGACAGAGCGAGCTTAATCCACGGCGGAGCATCGAGCCTTTCCTGTCTCCTCCATTTACGTCGTTCTTGCCCACGAAAAGCTTATTCTTTCCGAACACTAGGGCCGCCTCCAGATTGTCCCAAATTCCCCTCTCTCTCTCTCCCTCCCTCCCTCCTTCTGTGTAGATCAGCATCAGTGCCTGTGTAAATCCAAAATGAAAGGCCGAACTGGAGCCCATATCGAGCGACCAATTTACCCCACCACGCAGGGAACACGAGAGACAAGAGTACTGCCACGTAGACCAAATCTTGCACTGTCGGATGCCTCGTGGCGGCATCTCAACGGTCATCTTCTACAATCTGGGCAAACCCTAGAGAGATGAAGAAGGGGGGGAGGTGGGGGAATTAACAGACCGCCTCTCTTGTCCGGCCACGTCGTCTACATATGTACAGAGAGAGAGAGAGAGAGCAGTGACGGCCGAGTCGAGGGCTCGCTCTCCTTCAGCCCTGTTCCTTGAAGGGAGTCCAGATCAGCTTGCTGACGTCGACATCCAGGCCACCTCGGCCCGCCGCCTTGAGATGGCGGTCCAGCACCTTCGGGTCGGCGCAGATGGCGTGCTGCCCCTTCCTGTACTGGATGAGGTCCAAGCTCTGAAGAGTGCTCAAGATATCGTCCGCCTTTATCGCCGTCATATCGCTGAGCTCCTGAGACAAGGGCGAGGAGAGAGATTGATTGATACATAGACCGAGCCTCCAAAAATCTAGGAACTTGACGGAGACCCACGACAGGCAGATCCATCTTCTACATCAGAGAGTTGACCTGACGGGAAGAAGAAGAAGAAGACATCTAGGAAAAATAGGCGTGGTCACCTTGATAGAGATGTTGCTCTTGTGCTTCTTCAGGATGTCCAGAAGAACCCGGGTCCAGTACCCTCTGTAACTCAGCAGCCCAAGGTCAGAGAGAGGCCTTTCAGGGGTGCCCACCTTGCCTTCCTTCTTGGACAGCTCGTAAGCTGGTCAGAATCACCACCATTTCAAACTTTTCCGACAAGACAGACCACAAAAAAATAAGAGAAGAATGTAAAGAGACTCACAAAATGCAATGAGAAATTTCCCATATCCTTTTCTTTGGTAAGGAGGAAGGGTAAGAATGCAAGCCAGATTATAGGACTCCTCTGAATGTTTCTCCTGCAGAGTTGGAAGCATAAAGTCAAACCCAAGCCGGTAGAGGCAAATAACCTAATAGGAAATAACCTAAATTGATTGGAAGAGCATATTTACTAAGAAAGGGGAGCATTTTCTTACGGCTGAAGAATGAACCCCTTGACGTCATTTCTTCATCCCGAGACTATTTTTCTTTTGAAAGTTTTTGTACAATTGCTCACACAGAAATTCTCCAGGCCGGCACTTCATTCCTAGGATCATCCTGTAGGATCTTGTAGCTTATTCGTAGTTAAATCCATGTTTAGATCTCTCGAGTAGGGTTCCCAAGAAAGTCTCAAGAAGGCAAACTAGGATACTTCCTACATCCAAGGAGTGCAAGACAGGCACCTTTTCCTCATCTTCACCGAGAGAATCAATGGCATGTCAGTGCACAGTGCCTAGCTCACATTCTAGTTCCATAACTGTACATTAAGTGGCAATTTTGAAAAAATTAGGCTAACTAGGAGGATTTTTAAAAATAGAACTGAGACAAGTCGCCCCCCCGGTCTCTCCCAAAAAAAATAAAAAATAAAATCCTGTAGTGTTCACTAAGTGAGAAAGATAACAGTTCATGATCATAAGGTTTACCAGTGCTTAGAATTTCACCGAAAACAACTGGAAGCTAACATCTCACTGAGATTGCATTGACAGTGTAAATGAAGGCAACTGTTGAAACATGCTCATTAAGTGAGCTTCATATAATGGCAAATTTAATTCCATCCACCGAACAAAATATCAAGCGACTAGATGGTAAATAGGTCGATGGCGAAACATAGATCTGAAACAATCACCTTAGAGAAGTAGCCAACCATGTGACAGCCTCGATCATCGCACTCGCATAGAACATAGAAGAGAAATAAATCAACGTCATAGTAAAGTGTCTTGTGATCAAGAAATAGTTTTGCCAAGTAGCAGAGATTCTGTCCATAGACTTTGTTCTTCTTGCCATCAACCTGTTTGAAGATGTAAGATAGAAAGTATGAGAGAAACCATTGAGATTTTATTCAGAAAGAAAAGGAGGGCATACATACTTTCTGAAAAAATGCTTGGTGCGAGAAACAAATGCTAACCAATAGTTCAGGCAAGCAAGTGCAGTATGAGAAGCCTAGATCGTATGAGAGAGCTCTGCCACTAAGCACACCATGCCTTTTTCATCAGATTTGGAAATTCACGGCAAGGATTTCCAAGGTGATAATTTTACAGAAGTCTTCTAAGTTCCTTTGCCAGGAAAATGGGCAAGGATTTTTATTATTCTGCTAACCAACATAACAAGAAAGCAATCTGAAAAAGGGGAGTACACGAAAAGAACCTAAACGAGTTAAGGATGAGAGACGAGAGGGGAAAAGGCAGGCTGAGAACTATCCCTTCTGGCCAATATCAAAGACCACAAAGTCTGGAGAAGGACATCAGATAGAATTCACAGTGAAATATCTTACATATAGTTGCAATGATGAAGGCTGCAGAGTTGGGGTGTCAGGTGACTCTACAGAAATATGCCCTCATTAAATTCAGGGTGCTCATGTGGAAAATACCGAATAAAAGGCTTACGATCTGCGATCATACTATAAAACATGGGAAGGACACTAAATCTAGTTAAATACTTTGTGCCAAACACAACAACAATCGAGCACTTGTTAGGGAGCTGCAGCTATACAAGCCAGACTGTAAAATTAGACTGACACAAAAGAGAGTGAATATCAGCAGGAGTGGAAGGTTCTAAAATTCTGCTATTGGAAATTTTCAGGAAGCCCAAGATAACTCACCTCAAACATTGAAAGTGTGCCGCAACGGTAGATTTCATCACCTGGAGGATGCTTGAGGTCGCATTTCCTCTGTGGAAAAGTACATACGAAACTACTAAGGATGGAAAGCATACAAGATAATCCAAATCATCAGGTAAAAGAACCAAGCAGGCACAGAAATGCCTTGAGAAGCAATTCCGATGGTATTAACATATCATTATCCCTTTGTAATCATGAATATTGTGCTCCTCAAAGAAAGTAATGCCCATTTTGTTCTCTGATGTTTCAGACAAGGGTGTGAATTATCCATGTAATCCACACTTCTAACTAAAACTACAGAAAAATATGAAAATCACACTTCTAACTGCCATCACTTACCCATTTAAAGCCAAGAAGACAGCTACAGGCCAGGTAATTAGAAAGTAAACCATAAAAAGCATTGAAATGTGATAATAATCAGATAAAGAAAGACTGACACGTAAAATTGACGGGCATCAAGACTTGAAAAACTTTGTTCCTTAATTGCTGGGACAAAAGGTAGCAAAATTATTATATTTTTCTCCTGGACACTGAAACCTGAATGTTTTTGTTAGTTGGATAGAGGTAAGAAATAACATTCTGGTAACAGGTCCAAGGGAAGATAATTTTCCAACCATAAAATCTGATAAATAAAGAAATATAATAAGTCTTAATTCGAAGGATGAAGACAATGAATGCTTAGAAGAAACATCACTTGAAAAGCCCTTCTTATCTATTTCGTATTTCGAAGTGGATGACAATCAATTCTTTTTTTCAAGTGAAAAAGTGAATTGGTCTTAAAGATGAAACATCCAAATCCTAGATACTGTTCTGCTCATTTATAGATAAAATATTCCGATCTCACCAGTTTCCAGTCATCATTTCTAGTAAAGATCACATATTCCTATCACTCTCCAGAAAGGGTGAAAATGGCCACAATTTTAGGCACTGTAATTTTGGATGAACCACATTCGTTGGGGTTTTATATTTTCATCTTTCTCGGAAGTTGTCTTGATATCAAACTCATGATGACTACCCAGCAATTCTTTTTCTGTAAGAACACTTGTCTTTGCATAGTATTGCTACAAAAAGCAGATATAGAGGACACGAAGTCGATCAAGAAAACCACAGAGCTATATGTCATACAAAGTTAGGCAATCTTGTCTAGTATAATCAGTCATCAATGTTCTGAGAGCTATCCTCTGAATAAGACAGGAAAACTATATTAGGGATTTAAAATGAAGAGAAAGCAGGATTTCGTTGCATACTTGACATAATATTATCAGGGAACTCAGGTTTCTCACAAAAAAATTGTACATTGTAATAACACGTTTACCTGAGCCTCATATTAAAAATAATTAGATCGATTGTGTTCTTCATTGGACGTAAAATAGTCCAAAGAGAACAAATCCATGGTATCTACGAGGATTTATGAGTAATCAAACCGTTGAATACGCACACCATAAAAATGTAGGAGTGACTCTGCAGCATAGAATATCATATGCAGGGAGATGTATTCCATTCAAATATTCAGTACGCGATCTACAACATGGTGTGAATATCTAAAGATTGATTTGAAGGGAATCAGCTGCATGAAGTTGAATCAAAAATCAAATTCATTATTTTGGTTGTGTAAGTGAGGAAACCTATAGCGAATAGCTGATGGCTGGGAAGTAATTCCAGATTACAGAGAAATTCTGTAAAAGCTCACCATATGCCTCTGGAGCTGTTCTTTCCGCTTCATGAAATTGAGGCAAAACTCGCAGAAAAACAGCTTCACACAGTCATTGTATTCTGGCGGGAAAGGAGAGAAGTACCAAGTCTCGATCTCATATCTTCCGAGTTCTATGGTAGCTATATTTTTTACTTTTGTGAACTCCTCATGCTCTCGCAGACTAGCCGCATCAAGTTCTTCATGGCCCTGGCTATGAGAAAAACATAGCTTTCATCAGTTTTCTTAACACAAAAGATTAAAACGACTTGTTAGCATTACAAGGCATTTAAAATTATAGGACTAAATAGTAAATGTTTCATGCGATAGTGAAAAGTTGTCTCCTATAGGCCTTAGGATTAAAGCCATACACTATAATATTCTTCAATGCTTAGACCAATTGGCTAAATGTAATCTTCATTCTTTCCCACTCTTTATTATCCAATCAATCCCATTCTGGTTTCAAGATATCAAATCTCTTGATTGAAGCTCCTTACTACCTCTTTCTGATCCTCGAGGGAGGCATCAGCCACCTAGAGCAATCTGAAAATTTCTTTGACATATCCCAACTGATGGTGTATGTGGACAATGTTTTTTCATATACAGGGTTGTCTTAGTTAGGTTGAAATCCATAGAGTAAAACTGAAAAATGGGAAACCTGCTATGATGGATTATTGAGCTCCTTTTCTGCTTTTCGAAAAACAACTGAATGGTATGAAAATCGAGCTATTTTTGAAAAATATGGCTGCGAAATTCATATTTTTCTTCAGCAAGCCATAAAAAATCTGTCATAAGCAGGTAGCCTCAGCCAGCCACTTTCCAAAGGATCATTTTTATTGAAGTAAGTTCGACAAAACTACATATTTCCACATCCGTCTTGAAAAACTTAAACAAATCGCCAAGTTGTTCGTATCCAATACATGATTTATCAGGGTGCATGAGTCATGGTGACACTATCCATTCCCCACCAACATACCACTTTTTGCCAATTTTCTCCCACAGAAAGTTTCCTGGATCGTCATTGTTATTGGAAAATGTAAATAAACCAATACAAAAACAAAGTGAAAGTCCAACGCTCTGCATACCTCCACATGTGTCTCATCTATCTTTCTTTTCTGATGCCGTGTCATTTTCAAGCTTGTTGCCTGTGAAAGAAAATCTCTCAGACCATTCAAAAATATAAATGCTAAAAGAAAAAGTTGCGTGTATATACATCGTCACATCTATGAAACAAAAAGAGGGAGAGTTTCCAATTTTTCAGTCTTTGAACTCTAGATTCCACATAGAATTGGCATACCTTAGAAAAAGAAAAAAAGGAAGGCAGGCACCAAGTGTTGTCAATTACACCACCAGTCATATTATAAGAATCCAAAAAGCAAGACAAGCAACCTTTTTATGAAGAATCAAGGGAGGTATCATTAAGGCGTATTATGATAACAACACCGACAAAGAGTTGTGTTAGGCATATTATACAGAAATCTTAACAAGAAGCAGAATATTATTGCAAGGATGCAAATGAGGGACAATATGTCTTACTATGAAAAGTTGCTCCAAGTTAAAAGAAAATGGCTGGATGCAATAAGAAAGGAAAAGTCTGATTTAGGATAGCATAAACACACTCGTATTTTTTTCTAAAAGCAGTTGTTCAAGATTTCCATCATGATTGTTGGAGAGATGATAGGTTGCGATGAGAAGGGACTCGTCCAAGCTAATAGGAAGAGCATCATCCCTCCTCTCTTTATCTCCCCCTCCCCAGGTTGCTAAAAGCCGCTCACCAAAGCCAAAAAACGTGATGTGTAATATCCCTCTTCTCCCTCCTTATCTGCTCCCCCCATTACCCTCCATCCTCTCCCTTCCCCGGCCTCAATAGGGAAAGCCGTTCATTTAAGCTCAAATTAAAAGATAGCATATAATAGCTTCCCCTCCCTTCCACTTCCTCCCTTTGAAGGTTGTCATGAAAAGGTGAGCATTTGATATTTAAAAAATGGTTGACTTATGGACAATGCCACCCCCCTTCACTCATTCTTTATGTCCATCAATTAATCAATAATGGTGGAGTGATTTTGGCACATCTATCACCCCAGCACGGAGGCAAATGATAGGCTTATAGGTCTTGTAAATTTTCAGATAAATAATAATGATGTCATTGGTCATCGCACAAACAACGTAAAGCTTCCTGAAGTAATAGAACAATAATTAGACAAATACCTTATCCTCCACTTTTTCATCAACATCTGCCTCCACTGTATCAAGATCCAGTTGATCGAGCTTAACCCACTCATCAAGCCTTCTGTTGACTGCATGATGGATTTTTTAAAAACCATCAGAACAGAAACTAAGTTGGATGCGCAATTTATCCCCAAAAAATATTTCGATAATACGAAAAATGCATATTCAGGAAAAGTATTGTTTTCAACCCAATTTATGTTCAATTATTTACAGTTCACCTAATGGAGGCATCTCCATTCTAACGATGAGATGAAAATTTTCTCGACACTCCAGGAAAACCATGGATGGCTAACATAGAACTGTAATATAAACTTTGCGGCCACATCAGTGTTCTTTTAATGACATTTTGAGGTTGGTAAAATATAACCAAGGACAAAACATACACCAAATAATGACGACTGGAAAATTCGATCTCCAGGTAACTCAAAATAATTTTTAAAGAAAACTTGGATCGCACTGACAGGATTATGGCTTTCCCTACCGCATCTCTATGTATAAAGCATTTTTAAAGACACTAAAGTCACTCTAAAACTTTCTAGTCTTTGACATGAATACCCCTGATGCATATCAAAGCTTGAAAATCCAACCCGTATGGCTCATCTCAGTCCGAGTCAAAACAAGCTAGTATCATGCGCAAAGTAATGATAGCTTAAAGTTACTCTTTTGCAAGGATAGTTTCATACATAACGAGAAAAAAAAAATTACTGCTGCACATTACTCCCACCTCCATCAGGATATTCAGGTATCCTGTTGAGATATGATACCCACTTTTGGCCGGCACCTTTGAAAAGATTAATTTTTTTAATTTACAAAGTGTTTCAAAACTTTCAGTCACATATACGAAGACAGTATTAAGTTCACACGTCTCAATTGATTGTCAAATAAACAAGAAGAGACTTCGAAAGAATCATAAATAAATAAATATTAACAAATTGTTCATATATCCGACTAAAATAATTCGCCTATCAATCACCACAAGTAAACAGAAGTTTCCTCATTTACTTCATTTGTCCATCTTCATATGAAAAAACTGCTGTTAAGAAACCAAAAGTTTCCTCAAATTGGAATATGCATCCGAATACATTTAAGACATGAAAGACAAGACACTACTACTAATTTAACATGACACAAACGAAACGTTGGGTTAATTCAAAAATAGCTCACCCAAATGGCTACACAGAAACCCAAAAGTGATGAAAACCGCCAGATGGAGTAATATGCTAGGACAAGAAGAAGACCGAGAAGACGACCGTGAAATCAAAGCATCCACAATTCATTGTCTCTCAAAATTATAAGCCTTCGCCAATTTACGCGTCACCTATAAAGAGAAAAATTCGGTAGCTAGCAAAGGCCACCACAAACTTTTCCAATCCAAACCCTAGATTACCCAACTCTGACTTTCCACCCTCGCTCGCCCGACTGGCAGGATCAAAGAAGCGGGAACATTGAATCTAGCATAAAAAAACCAAAAACCCTATCATAAGAGATGACAACTCACATTCGGTGTAATGGACGTAGTACTCGTATTCATGACCGCCCCCGCAAAAAGAGACCGTCGGGGGCAGCTTACGCCGCTCGATGACCTTGACGGGATGGAATTTCCCATCCCTCCACCGGCACAACATCCGCGTCCCAACCTCCAGCGGCAGTGCCACCAACCCCCCGAACCTGCCCTTCCTCGTGGTCACTCCAGTCGCCCCCGGTCCATCCCCGCAGTCAGCCGCTGGGAACGCCGGGGGGCCGTCCGTCTGGGCCATGTCTACCGCGTTTCCGTTCTCCTCCAGCTGCTTCCCGTTGCAGCTCGGGGCGGTGGTGGTGGCGGCGGCGGCGGCGGCGGCCTCCGCAGCGCCGCCGTTCTCCGCGACGGTCCCCTCCAACGAGCCCATCTTCCTCGTGTTCGCCGAGAAGGGAGACACCGTTCCCCAGTCGATATAGCCCTTCCGACTTGATTAGGCCCGAGCCACCTTTGCGTCAGGCCCACAGTCAATCAGGCCCGCCCAAATTATATTACGTATTTTGATAAATATCAATAATTCGAATTTTGCTAGTTATTTAAATATTTAGTTATTATTTACCATTGTATTTCCTGAGTTTTTTAATATCAGCTGGAATTTCCTGCCACCTTATTCAGATAAATAGTCCCCCCAAGCGTTGACCTCGCAACACCAGATAGCGTCACATTAGAGCTTGTGGTTCTACAGTTGACTTTTATCCATGCTCGGTACGTATCATTTAAACCGTATAATTACTTCGTCAGATTCTTTTTTTTTTAAAATAAATTTAACTGGCACTTCACATGCATGCATCTGTCTGATCCTGAACACCTAACAGGCGAGAATTTACAAGGTGCAAAGAAAGAAATCAGAGCGATGGATTGAAGGTGATTTGGGTTCATTTTGATCTTGCTTTTCAGAATATGGACAGATGGGCGGAGACTTCGGCGATGTGATCGGCGACGAGGAGACGAGGGATGAGATGATTAATGGAGGAGAGGCGAAGGGGAAGTCAACGCCGGGAGTCATCAGACCAGAGGAAGAAGCTTTCCCGAGGGGAAGCGATCGCCGATGAGTGCTTCCGCCGCCACCCTGCCGGAAACCAGGGCCCCGTCGAAGGTTGCCGAGCGCATGTGGTCTCCGCAGAGGTACACGCCGCCGCCGGCTCTCGGGTCCACCGCCGTCAGCTCCGTCTGTGGGCTCTGGTCCGGCTGCGCGAACGGGATGCGGTACGTTCTCAGGTGGCGCCACCCGGCTACCTCCGCCTCGCCGAACCAGCCGCCTAGCTCCGCCGCGACCTCCGCCGCCAGCCGGCCGTCGTCCTCCTCCTCCGCCGCCGTCCCGATCAGCGATACCGACACCAGAGTCTTCCCCGGTGGGGCGTAAGACGGCGAGACATTGGTGGCGAAGAACATGTTGTTCACCCGCCCCTCCCCCGTCCCGTTCAGGAGCAGGATCGGCTCCCTCACCGGCGGCGCCCGCTCCGCCGTGTAGTACAGGCAGGTGGTGCTCCGGGAGGCCCGCCGGCCGGAGAGCTTCTTCTGCAGCGCCGCCGCCCACGGGAGGAGCTTCGCCGCCTCCGGCGCTTCTACCGCCACGATTACTCCCAACTCGCCCGCAATGACCTCGCCCCCTTGGAGCCTCACAGCGGCGGCGCCGTCGTCCGTCACCGGATCTACGCCAACGACCTTCGTCTCCAGTCGAATGGCCCCTCGCGGTAGCCTCGAGGCCAGCTGCTCCGCGATGTCGCCGATTCCTCCCGAGGGGAGAGTGTTGTCCCCCAGAGCGAGGCACTTGAACACGAAATCGAAGAGCCTGGAGGTCGTCTCGAGCTCCCGATCGAAGAACACGCCGCCGAAGAACGGCCGGAAGAACCGATCCACGATGGAATCAGTGAATCCGAAAGCGCGGAGTCGGTCGATGATTGCCACCTCCTCCGCCGCGAGTATCTCCTCGTCGTCCCGCGCGGCGGCGAGGAACCGCGCGAGGCCGACAAGCAGCTTGTCCGGCACCGTGCCGACGGGATTGAGGAGGCTGCCGACGCCGTCGAGCGGGTGACGCAGGGGATCGGCGACGCGATGAAACCGGCCGCCACCGGCGTAGACGAGTGCGCCGGAGTAGAACTTCTGCAGATCGAGCGCCGCGTAGTCCAGGACCTTCCTCGCCTCGGGGTAGGCGGTGATGAAGATCTGGAAGCCGCGGTCAAGGAGGAATCCGTCGACGGCGTCGGTGCGGACGCGGCCGCCGACGCCATCGGAGGACTCGAGGACGACCACGGGGACGCCGGCGGCGTGAAGCCGGGTGGCCGCCGCGAGGCCTGCGAGCCCCGCGCCGATCACCACTGCGCGCGGGGGATCCCCCGATGGAGGGGGGAAGGTCACCGCGGATGGAGAAGACGAGGAAGGCGAACTCGTCGCAAAGGTTCTAACGACTGCTGAGCGGCAGCGGAGGACGGAACGGCCATGGCGGTGTAATCGCCGCCAAGCTTCCGACGGGGCGGCGTTTGGTGGCGGAGAGAGTGAGATCATCGCCGAGCCGTTGCCTAGAGAGAGAGAAGGAGAGAGAAAGAGAGGCGTAGAAGCGCGCGCGATTTCGAGCCTGTGGCCACAGGGGAGTCATCGACATATCCACAAGATGGGCCCCGCCGGTTGAATCGAACCTCACCCTACGTCCGATCTAAATCGAACGGTCGACGGGCGAACAATTGAGATCTTCGTGATCCTCCCTCACACCTACTGCGTAAACCCCCATATTTATTACCCAATACGAAAAAAAGAAAATTTTCAGAGGTAAAACCAAGAAATACTTTAAGAAAATAATTCATTTTTCTACAACAAAACAGGCGGATTTCTAATATTTAATAGATTTCTTCGACTTTTATTACATAAAATGACCTAGAAATTAAAGCAATAATCCTGAAAAAAACTCACCGGTCAAACTTCGAATGTGATGACTTTTCAGACAAAGCAAAAAGTCCATCTGGGTCATCATCAGGCTTCTCCAGATTAGCCAAGTCAACGAGCATCATGACACTCAGCGCACTGGAAGCAGCCGAGTACCACTACAGATACAACAGAGAAAACCCACCAGGGGAGGCGCTTGTGAGAAAAGATTTCTCTCTCTCTCTCTCTCTCTCTCTCTCTCTCTCTCTCTGTGACAAGCGCCAAAATTTGATGCTTCTGGTCAACGAAGCAGCAGAAGCAAAGGCCATAGCGGGCGGGAGCCAGGAAAGATGGGGAGGGAATGGAGATCACAGCACCACGTGAGCCCTTCCATAGTACCTATTAATGAATGGCGACTGCACGACAAAACCATAGAGAAAATAGTCGTCAAGAAGCGTCTAGATGAAACCGAAGAGGGAGGGAGGGAGGGCTTTCACCTTCACTTGGCTGATGTCCGGAGTAGTTGGGGTCTGTACAGGGTAAAACTTGTAAAACTTCATGCCTTCGAACGCAGCTTTCTTCTGTTCGTCCATCTCTTCGATAGCCTTTCGCCGAGCCTCCCTCGCCTTCACAGATGCAGCCAAGAACAGAAAATCTCCCGAGTCAAAGCCAGGGTTTCGATCAAGAAGAAGAGAAACGCCTGTTCTTCATCATGTTCTTCAAATAATAGAGAATCCAATGATGTGATACCTGCCGTTGGGATTTCTTTCTCTCTCTAACCTGTTCCTTCACGAATTGCTGAAACAGAAGCAAAGCCTCCGTGATTTAGTCCAAATCACTGACAGGTACCCCGAGAGAGAGAGAGAGAGAGAGAGAGAGAGAGAGAGAGGGGGGGGGGAGGTACCTTGAAGAGATCCTTCTGGTCTTCAGGCAACACCTCTTCAGTGACGAGCCCGTCGACGAACTCCTAGAGATAGAGAGAGGGACGTACGCATTTGGGTCATGCAGATAATTCGTGGAGCAATAATGAAGATCTCTTGGAATTTATTTCGAAGCATGATTCAACCACAATGAGAATCTGTACCTCGAGCTCATCCAGCTCATAGTCAAAATCACGAACAATCTGCATGAACGTAATCAAGAAAATAAGACATAATTATTATTCATTCTTTTTTATTTTTTTTTAAAAAAGGTGATGTAAAAAAAATGATATGAACTCTCTATAAATATATGGAGCTGAATGCCCTCTGCATTACTACATCTTCTAGCTCTTAAAAACCGTGATTACCGTATATGATATATTAAAATAAAACAATTTGCAAGGAAACAAGCCTACCGGGGGTTCAAAAGGGTACATGATTTGAACAACTGTATCTTCTTCATCTTCGTCAGCCTTCAAAGGGTTGTAGAAATCTGTTATGAAAGAATAATAAAAAGTCAAATGACAAGATAAACATGAGTAAAGGCTGCAAAAATTGGATTTTAACAATATTAGCCCCATAGGAGGAAATTATTACATCATTATTTACACAACCAAATGAATCACCAATGAGGCTGGGGACATAACAATGAAGCTATTAAAAAAAAAAAACACTATCAGATTCTATGTAACCGAGAAAAAAAGGTTTGGAACTCACTGGTTGTTTACAGAAGCCATCTATTTGGTTCAAATTCACGACCAAAATAATCGCTTTACTGAAATGCAAAATGACTTTTTCTAGTGATATATAATCATTTTCCAGCTCCCATAAAGCTTCCAGGATGACATCACCTCCACCACCGCCCTCAAACTCATCGTTATCCGATTTTACAAAACTGACGAGAAAGATTCTAGCTAAAGCGTTAAATATCTATTATATCTCCCCCTACCGGCCATTATTTTTTCTTCATTACCAATGTTAGATCTAATTCTCAAGGTCGCATATTTATTTATTTTTTACCAACTTTCCACTTCAATTCTGGTTTAAGACACCAACTTTTGTCAGGTATTGGGCATGATTCAGTTCATGCTTTCTTGAACAGGAATCATTAGGCCCTTTCATTCCTTGAAGGATGTTCTGACTGTACTTGAAGATTCAGAAGAACAATCCTTACTTCAGTTCCTCATTTATATCACGATTTCATCCCACCTAGAGTGGGAAGTTGATGCGAACGCTTATAATTCATTAATCTCCCATTCGCCATCCGCTCACTAGGTCACAAGAACATTAAGACCGCACATGTGGCCATGAAGAACAGAGGTTTACTTCCTGAATGCAATGCATATTGGCAGTGGGTCTAACACAACAAAGCCACAACAACCAGCAGACATTTAGAGGGAACCAAGTCCAAGATAAAGCACTACAAAAAGATCATGTTTCTCGCAAAAGTTTGCCCTTCTCCGGGATATAACCTTTTTAGACTGAAATTTCAGAACGTGGCTTCCTGTTGAATCTCCATTATTTGAAAATGTGCAGACAATAATTCTCCCTTGCCAATCGATATTTCAGCAGTTGTTCTAGAAAAATCTAATTTTGAGAATTATGCAAGCGTATATACCTTTCTTCTTTTACGGTGTAATAATGTTATTGGTTTTTCTTAATAGGTACTATGCTAATCAACTTCCTTCGTAAAATTATCCCACCTCTAAAATAAAACAAACTGAAAGGTCCATTAAAAATAATTAGTCTTACTACCCAAACGAAGCACAATTTACTGAATAGCAATTAAACAAACTGGAGAGAGAGGATATTCACATTTTATGATGTGCTAATTAGGCCGAAATTTCAGAGAAAATCTGAAAATATTTTCTCAGTTTGTCTTCGGGGATACAATGAGGAAATGAAACAAACTGCCAACATAAGTATCAAGATAAAAAAATACTAAAATCGCAAAAGATATGCCAAGTTCACGGATACTAGCATGAAAAGTAAACTCACGTGGCAGGCAATATTCATATTGCTTAATGCGTTCCTCCTTAAGGTGTTTCAGAGCAGACCTGAAGAAAGATGATGCAACTGAGGTGACAAGATACTTAAGTAAAATTTCATAAACAAGCAGCATAAGACAATGAAAATGAAACCTAAACTGCAAACAGCGATGACCAACAAGCTTGAAAATTGGGCGGACTCGGTTAAAAGAAAAAAAGGACAGGAAAAACATAAAAAGACGTTTCATCAAAAACTAAAACTGATTCAGATGTTGCGATACTTCAGAGCAAATAGTAATAAGCTGGCAACATATACGTCAACAAGTCTTTTGAAGTATAGTTGGGACAACAACAGAGATGGTGATAGAGTGGTAAAAGAAGTGAAGGAATAGTTGTAAAACTTGTGACATGTAGAGAGAATGATAAACGGCTACAATGATACAGAGATAGCGTCCCATCACAAACGCCAAATGGATTATTAAGATTTCCCGACCATTCAATAATTATTATCATTCGGTCTTTAATAACTTATTTTGATTAAGCCATTACGGTCTTTAGTTCAAACATAGCAAAACTTTTATATATACATATAATGGAGAATCTTATCAAATGAGAGCCGCCCATTTTATTCAAGGAGAACTGAAACTGAAAACCAGTCGCCCATCTGATTATAGAGGGTGCCATCTGCAAGCGCATGAATATGACATCATTTCCAGCGACATAAACATAAATGCACTCATTTGCGACCTAGTATTAGACAATTACCTTCCAAACATAATAATGCACTAGTAGGTGCTTACCTTCATTCGGCATAACAGTATTCATATGAGTTCAAAAAATTATACAAAAAGAGTTTCTGCTTCGTCAGAATAATCTACATTTAGTACGTAAAAGCTAATTGATGTATATGCATAACTTTGACAAGAAGACAAAATTCGGGTCCTTTTTCATCAATTAGGGAGAAAAAAATTCACTCCTCACGATGTTGTCTGCTGTATTAAAATACCATTCGTCTTTCTATTTGGAATTATCACAAGTACTCGTCGATCATTTCCACTCTGTTCTGTCACTGAAAAGCACACTCAAGTTTCAGAGCATAGTGATGAAAAAGGTAATATGCAGTCCTTTTTTCATCCATAGGCACATTTGGCCCGTAACAGCAACTAAGAGAAAATACTCTATTAATAGAAACATCAAGTACTAAACACTTGTGACATATGAAGTTAAAAAACTCCTTCAACAAGACGTACTCCATTTGGAAGATTTATTTTAACATTAACCGAATTCTACGTTTGAAAATGTACACTATTGCAAGAACAGGGATGTGCAGTCAAGTATATGATAGCCATCCCTTTCTTACTACATGCTCTTCATAGATATTCATTCCACGCATGCCATGGACAAGCAACACCGCTGTACTGTTGTCCACTGCACCATCATAGGTTACTATTATGTGCAACACATCCTATCCAGAACATACTACCCATGAACCAGCAAGCAACGTGATGCAGGCATTGAGAATCACAAAAATAAGAACAAGAATATAACTCCAATTAATGTACATTCTGTTTCGGAAAAACAGATTCCTTGCCTGCAATACCCCGAATCGGCCCACATTAACCATATCAATGTATTGTATAGATTTTCTACTTCAACGAATTTTCACGTTGTAATGCTTCAGATTTCATGTCAGACCACAAAGTAAACCAAGTTTTCTCTCCCAAAACATTTCAGTTCTGGAGACTTAAATTCTTCACCTCACAGAAGCCCTGATAAGATAGCAAGTCAATAAGTTTCCCAAATAGTGTACCTAATTTTGATGTTACTTTCCTATAGTAGGGATACAAACTTTGACATATGAGATGACTCTAGGAAAAAAAACAGATGCTAAAAAGCATTTTACTGCATATAGCTACTTATAGAGTACAGAGAAATGATTTTTCTCCATATGGAGTCTGTCTCCGTAGGTAAATATCTTCATACATTAACTTTTTCAAAAGAAAGGCCGAGGATTGGTACGTTGGCATCTGGCCCTCATTTCAAAATCCAATTGCTAAGGACAAACAAAAGCAAATTGAGAAAGGATTTCATTCGATATGATTGGCAATAATTGATAACCTTGATCCACAGTATAACTTTCAATCTCATTAGTCATACCATGAATTATCCAGGTTTATTTCACAAATTATTCAATACATAAAAAATAAAAATAAAATCAGAAGCAACAAAATCAGCACACAGTCAACATCAACCATCCCACATATGGATGATGCAACCATACAGACTACAGAAGATCGATAAGGAAAAAAGTAATCCATTTATAAGCATAGCTCACAGACACAGAAATGAAATAAATATCTCAGTACCTTCTCTGAGTACAGCCCATGGTAAAAATCTGCGTCTTCAGTCTTTCTACTTGACTCTCCCTATAGACGAATAAAGCTTTAGAAGAATAACCTTAGCAAGATTAATCGAAATCACTATGACTAAATACAAAATAAATTTTTAAAAGAGTAGTTTAAAATAAGAGGGATCACCTATTTTCCAAGGGAATATATGGCACCCAAGCCAACTTCATTGCCTTCATTGGTATTATTTCTTCTTCTACCCTCTGAATTGACTTGATACCAACTTTATCAGAAGGGGGAAACGGAGATACTACCTGATCAAAAAATCAGTAAAAATAGGACGGTGATGAAGGACACAAACTGGCGTATTTATTCAAAATTAATATCAATTAATTTCTATGGTAGTTATTCTGATCCTCCTAAATGGATATATTTTGTTAAGAGACGGCTACGATTATGATGCTTATCGGGCAACAATTAAGAATATCCCCCAGTACCATACGAAAGCCATCCCTCCCCTCTTTTCCCATAATTTGCAAATTCGTGCAAATTCATGCGAAAATTATAAATGCATATTCGTCATAGGTAAAAAAATACAAATATGAATGATGTTGGAAACGGAAGCCAAACCAAACAAGAAAAAGAATTGATTATTCAATACATATGACAAGAAAATATTGACATACTGGATGACGGAGAGTGACAATTACAATTAAAAAAATCAGACCAATCAGCAAGCGAGCAGGCAGAAAAGCATTTGGCAATATAATTTATGCACCATGTAGATAACTATTTTCATCCACTAAACCCCAAGTTTTTTGGGAATCTCAAAATTATCTGATCCCATCACTACACTACACTCCTCAAAAATTAGAATAAATGCGCAGGTGCATCAACATGAGCAGGCTTTTTCAATGATTTACATGCATCAATAAGACGTATGTGACACTTACGAACAAAATATAGGACACTGGGGGAATGCACTTATGTACTTAAACTCTTTCGTTATTAATTATGATGGAAGAGTAAAGCCTTCACTTACCGCCACAACAACAGGGATGCAAGCAACCTTCTGCTCGTTATTTATTACCAATAATTGCGCTACAAAGAACAGTCTAGAAAAACGTCAGTGAATCAGAAGTGTTTTGCCCATTCCTACTTATGCAATTACACATGATGCTTCATAACGTAAAATATAATAAAGCCCTGAGATAGTCACAAGAATTTCCGTAACACAAACTTCAATGAACAAAACCCCGACTAAATAAACACAAATATATATTTTTCGGGTGAAAAATCTATTTTTAATCGCTTCTTACGTTCTGTACAGCCAAACAGGTACACCTTTTTCCCATGAAGTTGGCCCCCGTCTTCAAAGGCATCCTAGAAGGCAAAATTGACAATATGTTAAGGTGTTCATTATAAAGCGAAAAAAATTAAGAAAAGTCACGAAAAGTCTCCAAGGAGAGAAATTAAGAAAAAGAAGGAAAAATCACCTCCAAATTAGTGAATTTCCAATCAACCTCTTTCAGCGCGTCTAGATTGTGCCACTGCCATTTGAAACGAAAAATATAAATCAAACCGCATGTCGCAACAATTCACCAAAGCGAGGGCCAGGAAGGATAGCATCATATGAACTTAAAGCTACGGGATACACTGCCAACTTCACAAATAATGAAGAATAGAAGGAGTCATAGAAACCTCAGTGCCAACTGGAAAGGCAGCTTGCCACAGATCCTCCTACAGAGAGGAAATCAACATTAGAAAAGCGCAGTTGAAGGAAGGTAATAACAGCAGCTAGCAAACAAATCATTTGAGAAAAACCATTCGAGTGGCAAGTAGAAAACTTTTCAAGAGAAAGCATTACTACGTAAGGACTTTCATGATATCAACCACTATGCTGGAGTCGTAAAATTTAATTAAATATCGCATGCGATACGTTTCAAACGATAAATATAGCTGAAGTGCTGCCAACACCATGACATTTTGATATGAATCGCCATAAATTCTTAAGCACCAGAGACATTTACCAGATAATAGGGAAAATTACCCAGAACGGACTTGAATGCGCGCCGATACTATGATGATCAAAACCTAAAAGCGAATTAAAGTCTCCCTTAGAAATGAAATGGGTCAATACCAGATTTCTCCTGTCGGGCAAATATTCCGGCTCCTCCGGCTCCTTACGTGCCGGAGCCTTCACCCGCTTGCCCCTGGTGGAGGCCTTAGTGGAGTCCTTAGGAACCTCATCCGGCGACCTACTGCTGCTGCTCTCCTCCTCCTTGGAAGCGGAAGACTCCGCCTTCCTCTTCCTGGAAGCCACCCTTGGTCTCCCCATCAATGCTACAGAAGATAGCGCTAGGGTTCCCGAGGTTTAACGAGCATACGAGACGGGAGATGGCGGCTACAGAAGGTGGTAAACGAGAGATCCGCAACTTAGTTTAACGCGGTCTTCGCGCAAATTTGAAGGTAGAAAGAGAGGGTGAAGAGGAAAGATTGGAAAGGGGCGGTTGATTTATACTACCCTCCGAATCACGGATCCTACTGCGCCGTCGCGGACGATCGGAGGGTACAGGTAAGCCCTCGGATAGCCCATTGCGTCTACAGACCCGTATATTGATCCGACAATCTCAGCCGACTTCATCGGCCATCCAGTCCCCCTTATCAAGCCGATACACCTGGTGCGTTTCGTTTCGTACGATTCGACATCGAGGGCTTCTGAACCCAGCCACGTCATCTGGACTGTAAACTACATCTGTCTATGAACGTACAATTTCGTTTACAGCAAAAAAGTATACAGGCTTTCTTCACGCTAAGTAGCGACTCGTGTCTGCTGACCGCGACAGTTGTCCGGCGGATGGTTTCAAAATTCAAATTAGTGGGTAACGGATCCAAACCACCAAGACGGATCCGACGGGGTAAAACCGTAAATTCCAATATCTTGACATCAACGGCTGGTCTTGCTCGATCCTACCGACCAGCGGCCTTCCAACGGATAAAACCTTATTAATTTCTACTTTAAAAAATAAATATTTTTATCATCATTCTGCCGCGTACTGGTGCAAAAATCGATAAAATGGGTTTTTCTAAGGGGTCAAAATAAATAAATAAAAATATTGGGTTATTTTAAAAATTGCAAATTGATAAATAACCCTTTAACCGACTCAATATTTTTGTGTGCACATTATCGGGACATTATGCAATTTAACTAGATCATCGACGAAATTGTAATGATGACCCTGAATAATTGTCCTCGTGCCCAAACGAAAAAAAGTCATCGTTCATTAATTTCGCCGAATTAACGGCCCGTTCCAATTGCCAGCTCCGGACACGCCGCAAGTCAGCTCCCGACACGACGAGTCATCTTCTTACACGTCTCTCTTAGCTTAAGCACCGTCCGATTCAGATCGACGGACATAAAGTCTTTGTCCGCCGTATACTCCCAAGCAGCGACGTGGCACGCCGAGATTCCTCAAAAGAAGAATTTCAGACATTGGCTTACGTCACCCTCGTCAGATAACTCGTCGCCTGGTTTCTAACGCTCGTTCGAGAAGATAAAATCGATTTTATCCAAAAAAATAAATCATGGCTACTATATATAACACGCATTCCATTTTTATTTTTCCCTGCAAACATCATAATATTAATAAATAAAACTCATTTTTAAATATAGTAAAAAAAATTAAGAGCAGGTAACAGCCAGGTAGTCCCCTTTAATTTTCTATTATTTATTTATTTATTTATTTATAATAATAAAATGGGATGCAATTATTTAATCTCATAAACCTGGAAGATTCTCAACGTTACCCCGTCAACGGGCGGTGGTAGTTGAAGACATCAACTTGGACCGGCGCCGTCGTCGGGACCAAGAGCGAGTCGCAGGAGCGTCGACGTTCTTCTCGCTTGTCCATACAAAAGGCTGGCAGTGGCGGCCGCCACTTTCGTCCCCACTGGTCTACGCGTTCGCCCGTCCCCCATTCTCAACGCGACAAGTGTCCTAAACATGGACCACGCCGCCTTTTCTCCGAACAGGGAGGATATATGCAGTAGAGAAGTGCCATCCCTTCCCTTCCTGTGGCCTTCAGCCTTCAGAGAGGGAGAAAGGAGAGAGAGAGAGGCGATCTGATCCGGGCTGCTCGGGGCTCGTGATGGCAGCGGCGAGGGGGATAACCTGCGAGCTGGTGGCGCCGCAGAAGGTGAGGAGGGGGGCGACGGCGGCGCAGCTGCGTGTCCGGGCGGCAGCGAGGATGACGAAGGCGGCGGAGCCGGCACCGGAGAGCGCGAAGATCGTGCTCCAGCCGCGGGTGGCCAACCTCCGGTCGTACGGCTCGGGGGAGTACCCCAGCGGCGGCGCCGTCCGCGCGCGGCCGGCGAGGGAGGCCGGCGGAGAGATCTCCCCGTTCTTCGCCTCCCTCGCCGAGTACATCGAGAACTCCCGCAAGAGCCAGGACTTCGAGACCCTCTCCGGTCGCCTCGCCATGGTACTTTCTCTTCTCCGGCGACAGGAGCTTCATATTTCAGCCATAGCGACCGCTCCCTCTGATTCTATCTATCTCTCCATTTGTTTTATTTCCGGCAGGTGGCGTTCGCTGGCACGGTGGCGGTGGAGCTGGCGACGGGGAGCTCCGTGTTCCGGAAGCTGGACCTGCGAGAGATGGCGGAGGGGGCGGCGCTGTGCATGGCGGTGGTGGCGTGCGCCGCCGCCTTCGCCTCCGCGTCGAGCGCTCGGACCAGCATCGGCAGGATGATCGAGCTGGGCTACAACACCTTCGTGGACGGCCTCATCGACAACCTCGTCGACGGGCTCTTCTACGATAGCGAGCTCTCCGACTGGTCCGACGAACCCTAGGAGGAAGAAGGTGGAGAGAACCAGTTAGCAGAAGATACACGGGGAGGGAGAGACTCGTGTGGGCCCCAGTAGTTTAACCCATAGAAGGGAATTGTTATTAAATATACAAAATGTATACTTTACATGAATAGTCATATCTTAATTACGATTCTAGTGACACCATGTGGGCTGGGCCCGTTAGGCACTATTGGGTCTAACCCATTAACATCTGCATCAGTTCGGGTGTCTCCAAGGAACTTTAGGGCAGGCCCATTTGTAATGGTCTTGAAATATCTCATCGTCACATGGGATATCCGGGCGACACGTGTAGAGTGCGGCCGGTGCCACTTGAGGCGAGACCCGGGGCCGTCCGTTTTCTTTGAAAATCTCGCGGTTTGGGACCCACATGGTGGCTTGGCTACCGTTGAGCGCGGGAAGGACTAGATTATAAATAAAATAAATAATGTTTGGAAGGTAAGAAGACCGCGGAGTAACAGAACTCCTGATCTGATATATCTGTTGGATCCGGCGGCGCCACCTCCTTCGTTTTCAGTTGGCCTCACTCTCCCTGCTCATACGCCGGTGCTCTGTGATCATGGTTTTCTCGCCGACCCTCCTCCTCCTCCCCGCAGGAGTCCTCACTTCCTCTTCATCTCTTTTTCCGAGGCCCAGGAGCGGAGTAGCCACTCTCGACGTGGCTTCTGGTGCTTCGTCTCTTCTTTGGATGGCCAATGCCGGGGCGGGTGGTCGATCGCGGAGGCATCAGATGGCGGCCGCCGCCGCTGCTGCTTCCTGTTTTCTCGAGGTTGAGGTGGGGGAGGACTTCCCGGACGGTTATTCGTCGTGGTACCCGAACAAGGACCCTGCGGAGAGCCGGCGGGCGGGGGTGCTGCTCCATCCAACCTCACTTCAGGGTCCGCACGGGATCGGGGACCTCGGGGACGAGGCGATTCGATTTCTGGATTGGCTTCACAGCGCTGGTTGTACCATTTGGCAGGTTTTTTTCACTCTTTATCTTGTCTTCTGTTCATCGTCGACATTTACTATTGTTCTCTCCTGTCGTCATACGTAAGATGTTATGGTAACTTTGGACACGTAATTTGCGCGTTTCCTCTTCCTGCATCCAAAAATTTTGTCTCTAATCCAAGTCCTATTAAATTCATTTACTAATGGATCTCCATTTCATCACGGCAGGTTCTTCCGCTCGTTCCTCCTGGGAGGAAGTCGAATGAAGATGGTTCGCCGTATGCAGGCCAGGTAAACAGGGTGTTCAAAATTTTATAGCCATATATTATACTCCGGTCGTTCCTCATTACACTAAGGTCAGATACATGGCCACTGGCATCAGCGACTTGTGGCTGATAATCATTGAGCCTATGACATTAAAAATGATTCATTTTCTGGCAACAGGGCATGAAAACCATTCGTGCATTTTTATAAACACAAAATGCAGCAGGAGAATTAGGAGCCCCTCATTTCTTTCAGTTGCCCGTCCTGTCGTCGCATTCGACCCCTGACGTTCTGTTTCCCTGCTTTTTGACACATGGAATACTTGATCTCATTGAACTTTTTTATTTTGTCAGGTCCTCGATCAATTTTCATATGATATGTTGGTTTCTAATGCGTTCAATATCCATGCGAAGAAACCACGTCAACTCTTTTTTTTTTTACCTTTCTCTCGTCAATTAGGACTGAAGTTTGACCTTAGGGCCGAGAATAAGATAGTTATTAAAGTTGACTTGATTATTTCATGCAGGATGCAAATTGTGGAAACTCCCTATTGATTTCTCTGGAGGAGCTCGTAAAGGATGGCTTGTTATTGAAGAACGAGCTTCCAGAGCCGATGTAAGATTCTACAGGCACTTAATTTCAATTGAAAAAATTGAAGAATAATTCAAAGCTTATGATTCATTATTTTCTCCCCTCATAATATAATGTTACTACGGCTTTCTAGGGATCCAGAGTATGTTAACTTTGCGGCAGTTGCGGAGGTTAAAGACCCTTTGATAGCTAAGGTGTGTGAATGAAAGTTTCTAGATGCTTATGATTGATTATATTCCCATTTTTTTCTGGTAGAATCGTTCTCCAGTGCCTACCTGCTTAGGCAATCAACACATTCTGTGGTCATATATGAGACACTTCAGATTCGAGTAAAGTGTTTGTTGTTAATTTAAACACTTTTGGTTCTTATTCTCTTTTGTTATCTCGTAGTAGATTTATGTAAAAGCGAGTTTCATTTTTGGTAGTGGAGATGGGAAGGCCTCATGCCATCAGGACACTAGTAACTTAGGTATCTATACAGCTCATCATTGGATATCTGGGTGGACTGCAAGCTATGCGCACTAAGTGGAGCGTTTTAATGGTTTGGTATCTATGTAATGATAAATAAAAAATAAAAAATCATTCTTTTGTGAGTTGTAGATCCTTCAATGCATAATACTGTCGATCAACGTTTGTGGCAGGTGAACCTCCTCCTCCCCTCTTATTGGACATAACCTTTGTCGTGTTGATGCAGTCAACTTATGGAGTTTTCATTCCTTTTATTTTTCTCTCGGCTAATTTACTGTCCACTAATTGGTTATCCGTTAGCAAAGTGTTTTTGGTGTTCATTGTAGTTCAGTTAGTAGATGCAACTTTTTATCTCCATTCAATGAAAACTTTTAGAAAAATGATACGATTATTATCAAGAACCTTGACACAACCTAGAATATTCCTGGATATCAAGTTACTGCTTTTAATTTAATACTATTCTGTGTAGTTGGGAAAAAATACTCCTTCTTAAATATTCAATGTGTCTCTGGGATTTAGATTTTTTATTTTGGTATTATATAGTCGCACAGATACATTTTCTATTGCTAATCCATGGTCAGGCCGCAGAGAGGCTCCTTTCAAGTGAAGGACGACTGAAAACACAGTTTGAGGAGTTCCGTAGGGATCCTGAAACTAGAGGTGGGTTCTCTTTTACTTGTTTTGGTGCTTTTCTCTGACGGTCTATTTTGGTTTATGAAAAGAAATTAAGCAATATTCCATTATCATTGGATGCCTATGTCAAAAAACAATATAAAAAAGGCTCCGACATAGGTTCTTGGCCATAAATGTTATTTACTGTGATATCGTTTTGGATTTCTTTGCAAGAGGGGCTGAGCTGGGCTAGTAACTATCCAGAGCAAAATACTCCGCCGTCAAAGCTGATAGTGCCTTGAATGGTTCCTTTTTTATTATATGCACTGCCTTTAGGACTACAAGAGGCTTACCACAAGTAGATTCTCTGAGCTGCCATTCAAAATGGCTGACTACTACTTTCTGATCAAGATTGGCCATGATAATTCAATTATGCAAAACCGTGCTCCGGATGATTGAATTAGATTTCGAGTGTGGCTTATCTCCTTCTCTTACTATTTACTATTGGATTTTATTTTAAGCTAGTTCAGACATAAATGCCATTTGACTATGCTATTATTAGAATTCCAACGTTTGTTCATCATCTTGAGTGGACTATTAAGTACGCTAGTTTTGTGGTGTGTCTACTTCAATACATTTGTTGTTTATCAAGAAAAATATGTGTTACCACAGCAGTCCTAATAAAGATCTCAATGATGCTTCTTAATTTTGGCCTCTCAGGACGAGAACAGCAATTCTGTGGCATCTATGCTCCAGTGCTCATTCTTTTTAGCAAGAAAATGTATATGATCACACTGTTTCCGATTCGTAGGCATACCAGCAAAACTTGTAGATAGGCATCATTCGGTCTCTTGGATCCCTATTGAATAGAATCCAATTCTTACAATTTCGGAAAAAAAATTGGGGCGTAAACTTCTCTTCAGTACCGGGCCAAAAAATAAACTTTGTCACAGTTGTTCTAGTGAGTAATCTCATCGATTTTCTGAACAAGTGTAAATTTGTTACATTGGCAGCACTTAAAACAAGATATATTTCTTTATAAGCTGATTCAAGCTATAAAAAATAAACGATATTATGTTGTTTTTTATCTCATTTATTTTATTTTTTATAATTATTTTCGTATTCTTTATCTATCTTAATCCTTTGCATGTTTCGCTTGTCTAACTTTGCATTTAATTTGTGGGTAACAGTTAACAACTGTGTGCCGTCCTTTCAGGTTGGCTTGAGGATGCTGCTCTTTTTGCAGCAATCGACAACAGTCTTGACAAATTTTCTTGGAATGAGTGGCCTGAACCCTTAAAAAATCGTCATCTTGCTGCCCTGGAAGAGGTTCATCAGAACCACAAGGATTTTGTATGTGCTGTTGGAGTCACATGGATCTCTGCCAAGAAAAAATCATTAGTTCTCGATATTTCTCATGGTTTCGCCTATTTTTCATGTTTTGTGATGCAGATAAATATATTCGTTGCTCAGCAGTTCTTATTTCAGAAACAGTGGCAGAGAATTCGTGACCATGCAAAGGAAAAAGGAATTCGGATTATGGGCGATATGCCCATTTATGTGGGTCACCACAGTGCTGATGTTTGGGCCAATAAAAAATCATTTCAACTGGTGATCTTACCATAGACTACATGGCCATTTTTTCCTAGTGCTAATGGGAGGAGTACTGGCACTCAGTGAGTGATTTTTTTCCCATCTGCAGGACAGGAGCGGTTTCCCTACTCTAGTTAGTGGTGTTCCCCCAGATGCTTTCAGTGAAACAGGTCAATTGTGGGGCAGGTCATCATCCTCTTTTTGAAGAATGGGTTATAATTTACATTTTTTCTCGAAAATATCATATTAAGATTAATGATTGATCATTTTGTTGACAAGGACTTCACAACCAAATTTTCACCAAGTCTGATTCACCTACTAGAAAATACCTTTGTTTTTATGCAAAATCATATTATCCTCTGTTTATCTAACCGATTTCATGATGTGCTATGCGGAGATCAGACCTCTTTTTGGTTCCTCTAAATAGTTTTGAGACGTCCATACAGAATTAGGAACAAGGGATATATGATTCCCATCTAAGATGCTTGGACATTTTATATTGTCTGAATTCAGGTTCGGTTGCATACTGAGCTATAGTTTATTTCTGTTTCCACCCCAATATCCCATTTTCTGAGAAACCCTAACGCTAAATCACCAACCATTCTAAGAACTGCTATTTGCAAATGGTTTAGTATAATTTATTTTTTTTAGATTTCCATGCACTCATTACAAAAGTATGCTGCTCAATCTCTTTCCTTCAAATGGAAGCTTTATCCTTTTTTAATGTCGACTTTCATAAATACTCACCATTTCATCATGATTCTTGGTTTTGCTTTCATGAACATATTAATCATGGATTATATCCTCTTGTCTTTGGGCGAGTGTAGTTGCTGATGAAATTATAATGACAAAAGCTCTCAAAGATTCCAAGAGTTGGTATATGTGTAAACATGGAACTTGTTTTCCATTTGAGGAATACGGCAAACGAAAGTCACTTTGAACAGGCTTACTTACACTTTAGACTAAAACACGTCCACAACTCTGCTTGTGATCCCTAGAAATTCCACGTAATATTTCAGAAATCTTGGAATTTCTAGCTCGGTTGTTTTTTCACCAGGGCTCAGTCATGTGATAATATTTCTACTGTTTATGGAAATATATATTTTTATTTATATTTCGTATTTTAGCCATTTATGATTTCCTTTTGGCTGTCAGTCCTCTCTACGATTGGAAGGCTATGGAGAAGGATGGATTTCCTTGGTGGATAAAAAGAATAAAACGTGCCCTTAACCTATACGACGAATTCCGTATTGACCATTTCCGGGGATTTGCAGGCTACTGGGCTATTCCATCAGGTAGATTTCGTCAAAAGTATTAATTTTTTCATGGTTATGACCAAAGTTTCATGCCCATACATCGCGCATTATTTTCCATATTGATGAAACAGTTCATTCTATGCCCTCTGGATGAGTAACACACTGATTTCTTGCTGCAGAGGCAAAAGTGGCAATTGACGGAAGATGGAAGGTGAGATCCACATGATTCTCCCCATGTTCTATGCTTCATTTCACCCCCCATGTTATATGCTTCTTTGCTTCCACAACCTAGGCTGGACCGAAAAAAGCATTATTTGATGCTATTTTTGGAGATGTCGGGAAGCTCAGCTTGATCGCGGAAGATCTGGTAAGCTTACTAAGGCCATTCCTTTTTTAGTAACTTGTTTATTTTTTCATCTTTTAGCTTTCGAAAAAAATTAGTAAGCACACAGCAGACCGTTTATTTCAGATAATTATTAATCGCCGTTTGTGTTGACACTCATATAGGGTAGGGTCTGTGTTTGACCTATGCTTGTATGGTCGCCATTATCTGGCATAGGTTGACTTGGATGAGGATTTCTTTCCAGTAATGTGACTCTGGACCCGCCTCCCATAGGAGGTCAACGTCGTCCTCCCCTTTAGGAAACATTCTTAGCAGCGCGATTCGTGCATGCATGCAAAAAATAAACCATACGAATCGACTACTGGCCGTGCATGGAAGCATCTCTCGGAGGTTTTTAAATAATGTTTTATTTTTCTATTTTTCTTTTTCTTTATATGCACATTTCCGCACCATTATTTTGGGAATTAAATAGTTAATTTATGGCATCTGATACTGGAAAAGGGGAAATGCCATCTGCCATTATTGCTGATAGTATGCTAAATAAGCATCCAAATGGCTCGTTTTCAAACAGGGTGTAATAACCGAGGATGTCGTCCAGTTGAGGAAATCCATTGGAGCTCCCGGAATGGCTGTTCTTCAATTCGGTAACTAACTGAGAAGAACCCAGAGAACGAGCCGCTCATCATCTACCTATGAGAACTCAGAATCCTCTCTGAAAACTTCCTCCTCTGTTGTGTCCCAGCATTTGGGGGCGGCCCAGATAACCCTCATTTGCCTCATAATCACGAGCCCAATCAGGTGGTCTACACCGGGACCCACGACAATGACACGGTAAGATGAAGCTTAGATCTCATATGCCTTCCTATTTATGGTAATCATTCGCCGATCTTTTATCTGGGCATCACTCATAAATTCATAAAGTCGGGGGCTTTTGCTGTCTGTCATCTTGCAGGCTCTTGGTTGGTGGGAAAACATGAGCGACGGGCGAGAGAAATCTCGGGTGGGTTCCAATATTTTGGCGCGTCGTTCACTAATTGCTTGGGGAGTGGGGGTTATTCCGCGTGTGGTGATTGTGATGGGGTGGATTTTGCTGGATGAATTTTGCTCTGTGAAGGTACTGAAATATCTCGGAGCGAGCAAAGAGGAGGACATCCCTTGGGCGCTGATCGAGGCGGCTCTGGGGTCTGTGGCTCGCACAGCCATCGTTCCCCTACAGGACGTCCTCGGGCTGGGGAACTCGGCCCGGATGAACATCCCGGCGACCCAAGTGAGCTCATTTTATCCCACTTCTGAATTTCTCTCTACTCCAACCTTCCACCCGACCCTAAACCAGGCAATACACAGAGAGAGAGAGAGAGAGAGAGAGTAGAGTAGAGACGGATTACAGTGAGTAGTAGAGTAGAGAGAGGGAGAGAGTATAGAGTAGAGCAGATTAGAGAGAGAGAGAGAGAGAGTCACGTGGCAATGAAGAAGCCGGATTTTGGTTGGTCCCTGTATAGAAGCAGCCTGTATCCGGCGGTGTATGGGAGTCCGGGCTGGGCCTATTTCGATTTCGGGGCCTGGCTTTGTGGCCCAAGTCCGGAAAATGCCGAGCATGCCTCTCTCTCTCTCTCTCTAGAGTGATGACTCCAGGTTTCTTGCCGTGGGGTCAGTGACACCAATTTCTCTTCTCTCCCTGCAGCTGGGCAACTGGCGATGGAGGATTCCGGCCTCGACGAGCTTCGATTCTCTGGAACCCGAGGCCAAGAGGCTGAGCGACTTGATTTCGCTCTTCAACCGTCGTCACCACTGAGCCCCACCGGAGTAGTACCTTTCTGTGCCCTCTGGCTTTCAATCCTTTGTACCTTGCGCCAATGAATCACCTCGGCAAAAGACCATGCAGAGAATAAAACCCATCGACTTCGTCGCTGGATGATGTGAGTAGAGAGCGGCGGCATCAAATCGGCTGCGACGTGTGGAGAACGAACGATCTTATCACTTAATCCCTTTGTAAATCTTTTTTTCCCAAGAATAACCCGCTGGCAACCAACCTTTCTCTCTGCGCGCCGATCCTCGCTCACTTTTTTTCCCCGGGGTTTTCTATCGCCTCGATGCACTCCATCACGGGGGCTTTCCTCGCCATGGCCGCCATCAGGGCCTCGTGCGCCGCCCTGTTATTCTTCAGCAGCGACGCCGCGAACAGAACCTGCTGTCAAGATTATTTATTATTCTCCGCGGCGGAGACGAACGAGAACTAGAAGAAGTAGAGCGCCGGCGGTGAGCAACTCACCGCCCATCTGGTGAGATTCTGCTGCTGCTCCTTGCTTATCTGCGCTTTGGTCCTGTTTATAAGTCTCTGAAGAGATAAGAGAAAGAAAGGGAGAGAGAGGTGAGATGGTTTCAAGTAGTAATGGAGAAGAGAAGAGGATATAATGATGGCCAGAGCGGCGACCTGGAGGGTGAAGAGATCCGCCGACTGGCCGACAACCTTGTCGTATCTCAGCCCCTCGGCAGCCAGGCCAGCCATGCACACCACCGCCAACCTGCGGTCCAACCCAGGACAGGAGTCAACGGCGCAACGAAAATATCCGCGATTTTTCTGTTAGAAAAGGGAAAAAGTCAACGCGTCGAGATCTCTGTACCTGTCTAGTTCTTTGTCGTCGAGTTGCCCGCTGTAGATCAGCTTCTGGAGTCTCTCGTTGAGCAGGTTGATGTGCTCCTTGCCGATGTCCAAGGAGTAGTCCAGAATGGGGAGGCCCACCAGGTACGCCACTGGACATTCCATACAGAAACAATGGCGTCATTTCTTCCACTCCACCCATCCACGTCGACGGAGAAAGACTCCGAGAAATAGAAAGCAGAAAAAAACCAGGTGAAAAGTCACGAAGAACTCATCATCCCAAAATTAGAAAGAGGAACGAAAACCCAGGTGAAGACACGAAGGGAGCGGAGAGGGACTCGATTTCACAAAAAAGGAGTGAAATAGAAGAGATTTTCGAGCTTAGACGGGGGAATCTTAGATTCCATGGGCACCGCGACGCTTTGATTTCTGCTGTCTCCGGGGGGAGGAGGAGGAGAGTAGACAAGAGGGCGCGTTCCATCTGATTTTCACTTACCGAGAAAATGCGCTGCCTCATGACTGGTGATCCTGTCCTGGTAGTCGGGGAAGAAAGCTGAGAAAGCTCCGATCCCCGCCTGAAGAAGGCTGCGAAGAAGAAGAATAACAAGCATCAGCTGTCACTTTTCTCAGGGGTCCTCATTATAGAATAAAATAATATGGGCCGCCCCGAATGTATGCGTGATTTATGCCTCCTTTCAGCTTAGCAGGGAAGTGATGAATATGTGGAGAAATATATTCATGGTAACAAAAAAAAAAAAAGGAAGAAGAAGATCCATTTCACAATTTGTGCAGATCCCCCAATTCGATTGTGTAGAGTACTTAGAAAGCTTTGGGCCTCCAAAATATATGCTAAATATAGCCATCTGACGGTCACTAATGCTCTCTAAGAAAGAAAAAGATATGATGGAAATATGAACACAATAAAAACGCTCTTGTTAACAGCAAGCATGACCCGCCATCCGACTCCCATAATAATCAATGATAATATATGAAAAGAATCTAAACTTTCAAGGGTAAATTCATTCGTCCTTCTAACGCAAAAGACCTTCCCGATATTAGCATCTTGTAGGTTTGCAAGCCTGAGGAGCCTGACGGGCATTCACAGACCGTGAAATAAAAGGAAATATCGTTCTTAAACACTTGGTTGGATGTGAGCTGGACTCGTCTATAGGCGTTAGTGACAGAGAGGGTAGTTTATCTGGTACCTCAGGATCTGTATGTTTACGTGGTTCTGAAGGTGGACGAAGGCCCCTCGCAATGATACAATACTGCAAGGCTGGCCTTATTCTGAATTTGGGTATCGTCATCCTATTAATACCTTCTTCGTCATATTCTGCGGAACGCAATGCGCTGGTCAAATAAAATCTCCTAAAAAATATGAAAAGAATAAAATATTTTAAACAAGTCCCTGTCGATGTTGTAGATCCCTTCGACTTGGAAATGTGGGAACATTGAAAATTATTTTTTATTCCCCCTATTGATAGTAAACCCAGTAAATTAGAGAATATCAAGTTTTTTAGTTGGGCATCAAGAAGAGGGAATATCTTCAACTGCAAAGAATCTTACCCAGGAGAAATGCTCCCCACAGCCAGGACAATCAAAGAAATGCTTCCAATGAGGTAGGGCACGAAAAAACCCCAATCCTGTAAAATCCAATAGTTAGAACAGAAAATAAATCCACATATATCCATATGTGAATTATATCAATACAGAACCAGATAATTTCGGAATTCATGCTTTCGGGGATATAGAACAGAATACAAAGTTTGTTCAACAAAGAATAGACGCGTCACAGAGACCAGTTCTGATTTCATAGATAGGACATTGACAACTTCTGTATGAGGAGCATCATCGTCAGCAACATCACCACAAGCCCTACAACAATAACCTATAATCGTATGAATACTGTGCAAAAATCATGGACCCAACTTCCCGAGGGACAACTAAGAAATTTCTTTGAGGGATGAAATAAGGTTTGGAAGAGAGCACTATAAACTAGATTGACCGACAGAAACAGATGATAGTTAAAATAATTGACACATTATATTGCGAGCAGTATAGATGAATACCAATGTGTTTGTATTTGATTTCAAAAATAGGATTCCCCAGAAAATCACAGTATCATAATAAGTAATGAAAAATATGACAACAAATGAGAATTAGACTGACCTCACCTCTCCTAAGAACCCTGGTTCTGCCATTAAGCCTAAAAAATATCACCCATCATACATGACCCAGCCTCTGGTTCTCTATTGTTTATGTCATTACATATCACACATTTTTCCCTCGCCACATACAACAGTAATGCATAAATAGTCCAACTCTTCATCCTCATTCCTGACCTTCCAACTACCCTGTAGTGTATTTCTAGCGTCTATAAAAAAATGTACCATTGACTCAACACACATCTACAGTTACACACGATCAACATCTCATGGATTTATTTATTGATGGAATGCCAGAAGGCGTGCAATTCGAGCTCACTCAGGCGGTTGAACTTACTCATACGGGATGAGCTAATATCTCAAGCACGCAACAGGGAAGATTAATTTATTTATTTTTATGCTAAAGCTCAAAGGATATCATCAACTTCAAAGCGTAATAGGAATCAATTTTCCGCAGCTCTCAGAAAATACTTAAGATCAATTCAGCAGCTGGTCTAGCATCAGCTTTGATAAAATTTTACGGCAATATGGCGTTTTACATGGTTCATATTGGAAAAATAAGAGTCAAAATAAAACAAAAAGATGTTTTGAATAACAAAAAGTTTCAAATAGTTGAAAATTAACCTCAAGAATATCAAATCGGAGTATTTTGAATCAAAGAATGAAAGTTTCAGACAGTACCCCAGGGAGTTGCCCAGCAAGAACGCCCAAGAATCCTGTGGTTCCCACAACCGTGAAAAGAAACGCAGCCTGTGTTACTGGGAGCCATCAGTTATTTAACGAAAATTGAAGGCTAATAAGAAAGAACATGGGTCTTCCATTTATGATTACAGAAAAAACAAGCTTTCTAGTTTCAGTTGGATTACATTGAGCCAGCCAGACATTATTTCCAGTAGTTCACCGTTCAGGTGCAATAAAGAATTTCCATCAACAGAAACAACTTTTTTAAAAATTCCAGATTGCCAATCTCCTTTATCATTAGTGAGATAATGAAAAAAAATCCTACGTGTAGAAGGTTTTAGAAATTTTCTATTCGTTTTTAAAGGGGGCAACTATAAAGAGACATATTTCCAGCGAGTAGGCCTTGCACGTTCGAACTTACATCATTTCTAACACTTGGAATTGCAAGGTTCTCAGCATTTTGAATCCCAAGAGTTGTGAGCTCCCGCAGAGATGTCTGTGCAAAATTTTCAAAACTGTTATATGTTTAATCCACCGGGAGATTTACGAAATAAAAATGGTTATGAGGAGCGGATGAACAAAAGACAGTTGTTGATGTGACTAGAACTTGAATAGGATATGAATCAGTGGTGACAGAATGGAGAGCTGACCGTTCTGCGTGAAACATATGGCTGAGAATTCCATTTCTTGGCCCACTCGTTTTGACTTAGCAGATCAAGCGCCTCTTTGACCGCATCAGCATCTTTCTGCAACCAGAAAAGTATGAGAATACCTTCCAACAAAATAAATAGTCCGATGTCAACCCCGAAATAAAGACCACAGATGAAAAAACTTGTTCAATAAATTTGCTTCAAAACAGTTGTCGTTATATGATGATTAAACGAAATCCGGGAAAAGCAAAGGATGCCTTAAATGGTCAAAAATATTATTCTACATGGATCGGGTAGGCTGAATACTCCAACCGAAAAGAAGAGTCTCCAGAATCTAGGTCTAATAAAAATGTGACAAACGATATTGGTGTTAAAGAGGCTAGAAAAAAATGAATAAAGAATACTGATGTCAAGGGTATCTGAGGCTGATAAGACTCGACTGTTCAACATATCGATATTATTAAATTATATCTAAATATCATATTCTACCAGGCGTTGCAATAAAATCTGATACACTTCAAACGGAAACATCCACCTCGTTTGTGCTGTGCGTGAATATAACGGAACAAATTTAGCTTGTACGAAGACCTCTACGAATACGTAGCCGCCGCAATTCAATCATAAAATTGAATGTGGATACTAAAAAACATACTTCCTTACATTATTCACGGATCGCATAGCCCCATGACGTCAGTCTCCAACTCAACCACGGTACCGAATCAGATCGGAAACGGAGGTAATTCGTACAGAGACCGTTAAAACGGTTCGCGACGCAAATAATCACGACAAATTTCGAGAAAATTTACAAATGGCGGATTCAAAAAGGAGAGACACAGAAGAAAGAGCACGGTCAAGGCGGGAAACCTTGGAGATGGCGGTCTGCAGCGTCTCCAAGTTGATCTGTGGAGCAGTCGGCAACGCTTCAGCATAACATTTTCCCACCCGAAGTCCTCGGGAGCCACTGCGTCGATGGAGAACGGAGCTTGTGGTTAGCCGGAGATGGAGAACAGAGGTCAGGGAGGCCACCATCGTCAGACTCTCGCTCTCTCTCTCTCTCTCTCTCTCTCTACTCCTTTCGCTCTGCCACCCGCCTTGGATGTGGTGCCAGACATATGGTTCCCAGCGGGCCGAGTATTTATACATGACCAATATTATCACATAAACTCCAGAAAAATTTTAGTATTTGTCCGAATATAGTTTTTAAGTCCTTAACAATGCGTGGGGCCCAAACTTAAGGGGCGCAGTTTTAAGAAGTACGTGGAATAGCCACAGCCTCCAGATACGCTTTCGAAGCCCACTTAGGGGGCTTCACTTGGGCCCATGGTTGATGGACCCCGTGGGCCGGAGATGGAAACGATACCTGCAGAATTACGCGTTTGAGAGGCCCATTTATTATGGAAACCCATGTCGGCACAATGGACGACTTGTGTACTTCGGGCTTCGAAAAATGGGCTGCATATAATCATGAAGGCAAGGGAAAGGGGTGTGCGTGTATAAACGGTTCCTGCTGTAATGCATTCCCGCGAAGTGCTGGTCAGAATCCATTCTGAGACGATTTCAGGAAGTCGTGTTATCCTCCCTCTCTCTCTCTCTTTCCCCCCTGATTTCCCTCATCTTCCATATTATCACTTCAAATTGGTCAAATCCATCTACATCTCTCTCTCTCACTCTCTCTCTTCCCCCCTGATTTCCCTCATCTTCCATGTTATCACTTCAAATTGGTCAAATCCATCTACATCTCTCTCTCTCACTCTCTCTCTTCCCCCTTGATTTCCCTCATCTTCCATATTATCACTTCAAATTGGTCAAATCCATCTACATCTCTCTCTCTCTCTCTCTCTCTCTCTCTCTCTCTCTTCCTCCCCTGATTTCCCTCATCTTCCATATTATCACTTCAAATTGGTAAAATCCGTCTACATCTCTCTCTCTCTTGCTCCCCTGATTTCCCTCAGCTTCCATATATCACTTAAAATTGGTCAAATCCATCTACATCTCTCTCTCTCTCCCCCCCCTGATTTCCCTCATCCTCCATATTATCACTTCAAATCGGTCAAATCCATCTACATCTCTCTCTCTCTTCCCCCCCTTATTTCCCTCATCTTCCATACTATCACTTCAAATTGGTGAAATCCATCTACATCTCTCTCTCTCTCTCTTCCTCCCCTGATTTCCCTCATATTCCATATTATTGGTAAATCCATCTACATCTCTCTCTCTCTCTCCGCCCCCATGATTTCCCTCGTTTTCCATGTTATAACTTAAAATTGGTCAAATCCGTCTACATCTTTCTCTCCCCACCCCCCCACATTGCCATCATCTTTCATATTGTCACATAAAATTGGTCAAATCCGTCTACATCTCTCCCATGAAGACAGCGATCAAAATTACCCCCGTCTCCAGAGCTTCTCATCTTGGAGTTCAGTGGTAGGCGTGTCTCTCTCTATCAATTTCTCTTTCCCTCTGCCCTCATTTTCTCGGGATTGCTTACAGTCGGGAAAATCTCTCTCGCTTTCTATCCTCCTATCAACTTTGGCGGGATCTCACCCTCCCATGAAGACGATGATCAACCAAGCTCCGTCTCCATAGTCTCAGCTTAAGGGTCAATGGTAAGCGTCTCTCTCTCTCAAACCTCCGTATACTCTCACTTCCTATCGACCCAGAGATCAAATACTTACTCTCTCTACATGGCCACCATCGGAAGTCATATCTCTCTCTCTCTCCCTCTGTAACTGGAGCGACGACAGAGCTGCGCCACGGTGGGGAAAGGAGAGCGGCGGCCAACTTCTCGGGTGCCTCCGTCCAAATTAAAGTACAACATCTGTCACGTAGAGAGAGAGAGAGACAGGCTGGTGCAGCTGCTGTTCTGAGTCGTTTACCGTGGTTTCTCTCTCCTCACCGACTCCGCTGCCGATGGGGAGGTCGGAAACATAGGATTGCAGAGAGCTCACCAGCCAGCCCTCACGGCCGCCGGGATGCCTCGTCCCACCGACGAGCTTACAGGACCGATCACTGCAGCCGACAGCGGGAATCCATTGAAGAGCACCAACTTTAGAGAGAGAGAGAGACCACAGCCCTTCTGGGTACGGCGGGTTCAGCTGAGGCTGTACATTCTCGTGGAGAGAACTCACAACTCCAAAAGTGGAAAGGCGACTCAGAACTCCACCAGAGAGGGGGAGACACAGATGAGCAGGTGTTCTGCGTGAACAGTCGAGGTCGTACGTCACCGAGAGATGGCGGGATGAACTCAGAACTCCGAGGAGGGAGGGAGATTCATATGAGAGAGAGAGAGAGAGAGGAGCAGCAATGTACTGCGGGTTTAGTTCAAGACGTACCTTGCAGTGACGAGGAGGGGGAACAGAGAGAGAGAAAGGGAGAGAGAGAGAGAGCTCATACCTCCAGTTGGGGGTGTACGGTTGGCTTGACTCCACTTGCCGACAACCTCCTGCGGGGGGAGCTCGTCAGCCGAAGCCCGACCATTTTCTGGCGACCGCAGCCTTTTGGCAGCTGCTAACCCGTCTCATGTGACCGCCGCTCGAGCCAGAGCCTTCACGAGCTGCCGCCGCCGTAGCCGACCCTACCACGTGGCACCTCCCAAACTCGCGCTGCCAAGTGGACAGCCAGCCAAGAAATTACTTAGTCTCGTCGGCTGCACGCCATCCCATCGCAGAACTCGTGGCCGCCGGCCCCTACTCGAACACCTGTTCATGATTTGGCCGCCCTAGTCACTTCGAACCGACTCCAGTGCACGTGGCTGGAATCTCTCTCTCTCTCTAGCTCTCTCTTTCCCGCGCGCGCGCTTTTGGAGCCGTTCTTGCTGGTTTTCTGACCGACGTTCTACATGGCTACCAGTTTTCTCACTCCCTTCCCTCTTACTCTAAACTTGGAGACAGGCTACTGTGTGCGACCTCGAGCTCTCTCCCTCTCTCCTAGCTGTGCGGGCCCTCTCTCTCTCTATCGCTCTCTCTCCATCAATCAGTGCAATGTGAAGCACGGTGAGGTGACGTCGGAGGAGACGATCATCAGAGTCTTTACCCCAGCGAGAGCGAGGGCTGATGGCTAGTCTCCGGACCCAGATGACGACCATCCTCATCGTCACGTGGACAGAGCTCTGCTTACTCTCTCTTGTCTTTATCTCCGTGACGGATGGGAGAGACGACACCACCTCACCGGCGTAGAGTAGGGACGGCATTAAAATAGAGAATCGAAGGAGATTTGATCTGTGGAGCGACGCATGACAGCTTTCGCCACCTACTGGAAGCGCGACGCCGGTAGGCCTTCACAGGTGTCCGTTCGCCAGACCGGGTCTGAAGGAAGAGATCTGTCGTGACGGAGACATAGCCGGAAACCAAAAGACCTGCCGCGCCAGCAGGAAAAAGAACCGCCGCTTCACGTGGCGTGTATTAACTCCCTGCCTGTGCCGCCTTCCCCTCCCATCTTATCGCTTGGGGAGCGTCGTACTCAGTGAGGGCACGACCTATACGAGGAGGGGGAGAACACTTCCCCATGAAGAGTCGCTTTCTTAGGCGTTAAGGCTGCCGGAGCCGTCCAAGCCTCTGGGGCGGGAGGGGGAGCTCCTACGCGCTTGACCCAGTGGCGCTTTGGGCGGCGACGGAGGTGCGGCTCACCGCGTGGCCCCATCTCCATGCCGCCACGGAGCATCGCCGACGGTAACAGCCGTCAACTGAGGAGACCTGGTGGCAGCTATCTCTCACTCCTCTGGAATCTAGCGAGCTAGCGAACATAGCAGAGGAAAGGCATCGCCTTTAAAGATGCTCGGAGAAATATCTCTCTCTCTCTCTGGAAGCTGGCAGTAGACAAAGTGATGCGCTTAATGAAGAAAGATACTCGAAAAAATAGAAGCATAGTTATTTCACATACACAGGAAATAAAAACTTTGCTTACAACCCGGTGCATGAACTCCAAGATATGTATACCAAAACCGGAGCTCCCTCACTCTCCCACACGCTGAGACGATATGAAAAACCCTAACCCGAGCATTCGGGCCCAAGCAGAGGATGATAACACACGATCTGAACATTGACGTTCTTCAGGTGGCGGAGGCTCTGGGCACGGCTACGGCGACGAGGGGCTTCTTCATCTCCAGCGACAGCTTCAGCTCTTCGCCCAGGTCAACGGGCTCCCCCGGTACGGCCATCCACTCGAACCGGTACACCAGCCGGGCCACCCAGAGGCCCACCGTGGCCAGGCCGAGGTTCTTCCCCGGGCAGACCCGTCGCCCCGCCCCGAACGGCGCCAGCCTGAGGTCGCCGCCGCGGACGTCCACGGCCGCACCGCCGTGCTCCGGCGAGAACCTCTCCGGGGAGAATTCCTCCGGCCTGGGCCAAATAGTCGGGTCGTGAGTGATGGCCCACATGTTGACCATAGCGGTAGTGCCTTCCGGGACGACCATGCCGTTGCCGAGCTGGACATCAGACGTGGCGAGACGGGCCCAGGAGAGGAGAGGCCCGGGGGGGTGGACACGGAGGGTCTCCTTGATCACCGCCTGAAGGTAGGGCAGGCTCGCCACGTCGGCGTCGCTGATGGACCCTCCGGACCCCGCGGCGGTGTCCAGCTCGGCGCGGAGGCGTGACTGAATATCCGGGTGGAGGACCAGCTCCGCCATGGCCCACTCAGTCAGCAGCGCCGTAGTGTCGGTTCCGCGGAAGATCATCTCCTGGAAAACAAGTCATCATTCGCGGTGAGCGTAAGCAAACAATCTCCAGAAACCGGTGTTGAAAAGCGCGAAAACGGAAGAATGTTCGAATACGAGAAGCTTTAGCTGCAGGAGTAAGCAGTTGCCCATGGCCAGCGTTGCCCTAATTGTCTTTAATGGAAGAAACAGGAATACGAGGTCGGAGAGGACGAACCCAAAGCACGGCCACCATGTCGTCCTCCTCGAGCTTCTCGTCCCCGTCGAGCCCGATAAGCACGTCGACGAAGTCTGCACCGTCGCTATGTTGAGCAGCAGGATCTCTGGGGATCCTGTGCTCTGCTATGATACCGCGAACCAGTCGCCGGACGTTGGGAACAAGCTCGGCGCAGCGAGCGGTGACACGGTGGGGGTCGTAGAGTGCTCCGAGCCAGGGGAGATGGTCGGACCAGTTGAAGGCCCCGAGAAGCTCGAAGCCCTCCCTCACCATGCGTTTGATCTCCGCCGCCTCTGGATTACTCTCCGACCAGTCGTCGTAGCGCCGTCCGAAGACGCTGCCCATGATGTTGTTCAGCGCGGCCATCTGCAAGTGGCGGCGGAGGGAGACCTTCCCGCGAGAAGACTGCTCCGCCGCGACGGACTCGAGCATGGAGCCGCAGTCGGCCTGCCGGCTCGGCTCGTGTGCGGCGACGCGGCGCGGGGCGAAGAGGTGGGAGGCAGCGACGCGGCGGAGGAGGCGCCAGTAGGCGCCGCTGGGAGCGAAACCCATGGCACGGCCGAACATGAGCTCGCGGGCGGAGCGTTTGAGCGGGCGGTCGGCGAAATGTGGGTGGGAGAGCATCTCGCGGGCGATGGCGGGGTCGGAGGAAACTACAGCGGGGGTGGCGCCGATGGAGAAGGCCATTAGCTGGGTGGCGGTGCCAGAGCAGGCCCTGGCGGCGGCGGCGAGGGCGCGGTGGGGGAGGCCGGAGGAGAGGGTGAGGAAGCTGCCCAGGACTGGGAGACCGCGGGGGCCGGGGATGGGCATGGGACCGCGGCGGGCGCGGCCGTGTGTCCAGGCGGCGCCGCCGGGGGTGAGAGCCCAGGTGAGGACCCCCGTGAAGAGGAAGGCGGCGAGGAGGGACAGGAAGAGGAATCTATCGCAGAGTCGCTCCACGCCGAGGAAGGCCGGAACTGCGACCACCCACCAGCTGGAGTCGGCGCAGGATCCCAGGCACGCCGTCTCCATTACAGAAAGAGATAGAGAGAGATAGCAGCGAGAGAGAAAGATTGACAGTGAGAGTGAGGGAGAGGATGCAGAGAGATGGTAGGGGAGGTGTAGCTCCATGGTTGCATATATATTATTACGGACGATTCGGAAGAGGATGCAGAGAGATGGGGGAGCGGGTATAGAGCGAGAGAGAGAGAGAGAGAGATAGTGGTCACCACATGCTCCCAATTAAATAACATGATTACCACGCCGTTACTAGCCCAAGCAAAGACGACAAGATGCGCTACTAATCACCTAAGAAATAATTAAATATTAAATATTTAAGCGTAACGGATACCTTGATTGACGGATTATCTTTTTAAAATTTATAATTCCACACGTTGACACGTGTTAAATTAGAATCTTCGATCCTTCTATCTGATCTTATCCCAGCACATGAATTGTCATACGCTTGTCGGCGTATCAGGAAAGTTCCCCCGCATTTTAATTCTATTTTTGTACCTCCAAGAAGAATCCGTAAAATTATTTACCCATTTTTGAAACCCACATGCTCAAATAACTTATTTAAATAAAAAAAATATTTATGTACAAATAAATTATCTGTGATCCCGTAAAAATGCACGGTCACCCCTGGGTCGAGTGATTTACGAGGGGGTAATTTGACCGTCGGCGTTGACCATTGCTGCCATATGAGAGTCGTTTTATCGTAATTACTTCGTCTTAAATTGTTCAATTATTGGGTTTTATGGAAAAAATCCAGAAAGTTCCCATCCATCGTTTCCTGAGGACGAAACCGTCGGCGGACTGATCGAGATATGGGGCGGCTACGCCGCCTTCGCGCTTCCAATGGCTATGATCGTCATCTGGCTATTTTATAAATCGATCCCGATGATATTATTTATTAATATTAAGACACAAAACGTTATTTATTTGTTTATATACCATCAGGATTCACCGGTTTTCTGGACCGAAAGAGAAAACCACCTCGTCCGCCGCTGAAATGAAATTATGATTCCGAAGTCGGGTGTTCTAGTAATTTTCCGATCTTGGGGGTGGCGGTTAATGGGAGAAGGAGGTGTTGGGCCTCCCTGGTGGGCCCTTGGTGTCTTCTTCTACCCTTAATGGGCCAGATTTCCCATGTGGGCCATAACCCCTCCTTCCCTTTCGGGAGGAACACCCCATATCTTGGGCCTGGAGATCATTTCGGCTGCTTAGACATTATTACCACGCCCCCCCCCCCCCAACCCCCCAATCTTCCTCTCTCATCCTCCTCTGATTAGTATAGAGAGAGAGAGAGAGAGCCGTTGGGCGGATTATTCCATCACACTAATTTTGGAAGGCTTTTGGTGGGCACTTTCTAGAACTATGATGGTCCAAGCGTAGGGCTGTCAACGGGCCGGGCCCCAGCTGGGGTGTCCTTCACAAGTCTCAGATCCGAATTGAAGCCCGGAAATTCAGAGATAGAGGGAGATCTAATGGGCTTCGAGCTGGGTTATGGGTCCATTAAAAGCTCGCAGGGAGGATTTGGTCACCAGGAGTGGCGGCCACTGAGGAAGCACATGGAGGACATTGCCTTGGAAGGACCAGCCGGAAGGTGTCGGTGAAGCTGTTCGAGGCTTCGTGTTTGGAAGAGGAAGGGAACTGCGGCGAGATCCGCAAGGCGATCTCTTCTCATGGCAGGTGCCGCCAGCCGTTCGTCTTCTATATCTACATAATCAGCAGCCATAGAGGATGGAGTCTATCTTCTGGCAGGAGGGTCCAGTTCAGGCAAACGATAGAATCACTAGATTCTCTTTCTCTCTCCATAGTTGAGGGGGGGTGGAGCTTGCGGGTTAGGTCGTGGCGGTGGTAGGGGGTCAACCGCAGGGATTGTCTATACAAATTAGGGTTTAAAGTTTCTTCCAGCCATCGCTCTGGAAACGATGGCCACGTGCTCGAAGATGGGATCGAACTAGATAGAATCATCGATCTGCATTGGGGCCGACTGTAAATAAAGGGTAAAGAGGACGAACCATCTGGAGCTTCTTCTCGGGAAACGGGATTAATCGCCTCTGCTAGATCTACTTATCAGGGTTTTCTGAGGTCGATAGAGTGATGTTCATCATCGACGGGTGAAAGGAAGAATGGTGCTCAGAAGGCGGGGGAGGAGATGCAGTCGGTGATGCCCAATATCACCGGCATCTTCAGCAGTAGCATCACATTTTCCAATAACAGAAAGACAATTAGTATAGCTTCTTCATTCGACATCAAAGCCCTTGTCCTGAAGCTCTGCGATGACCTCGTTCCTCATTCTCAGCCACAGCTTCTGTGCCTCCTGATCGAACTTCTTCGTCTGGAGCTGCTTCTGGAAGTTGTCGGAGTCCTTCCCGGAGTCGACGAATCCCTTGGGGCCGATGGTGGTGCCCAATGCGCCGCCGCTGCGGATGAACTCCTCCATGGCGTCTTGATCTCCCGGGTACGGAAATCGCCGCCGCTCGTACAGGTGGGCCATTTCTTTCTCCTCCTGGGGAGGAGAAGGAGACAACTAGATCGAAGCTTTCCTCCCCGGAGAGTATGCCCAAGAACGGATAGAGTCATGGACGGCTCACCTTGGGCCGAGGCTTGAGGGTGAACCATCCTAGCGGGGAGGTCTCATTCCAGAGCCAAGCCAATCCGAAAACGGTGTAAGTGCAGATGAGAGCCTTCCCGATCTGCTTCCAGAAGTAATAATCCTCCTTCCCCAGCCCGATTTTACTGAATTCGGCGTCGAATCCGGATAATTGGAAAACGGTGATAATCTAATACGGAAATAAACGGGAAATAGTTTCCCTAAGAGGAAGGAAATCAATGAGCAGAAGGGCTCTCACGCCAGAAATTTCTGAGTGTCGTGAAGCTTGCTCATTGGGATTAGGGCTCTGAAGAGCTGGGATCTTCTGTTCTGCTTTCCCTCAGGTTCGGCCAGGCGGATTCAAAGGGGGGCTTCCGTGTGCTCGAGATCACCTTCTTCTTCTTCTCAGAGTTGGGGGATGCCCTTCCAGACTAATTCATAAGATATGATCATATTAGAAGGGATAACGCTCAAGTAACGAGCAGAGAGTTGAAGGGGCTGGTTACTGGTTTTCTGTCGTCCAGGAACCGGGTAGGACAGATTAGGGCAGACGATGGATGGCTCCTAGTTCCTATGCCCAGGAACTCACCGATAGGAAAACGGTCGCGAGAGCGCCTACCTGGATCTCCGCGCAATCAGGACAGCGGGGAGGGCAGCGGCGAGTCTGGGAGGACAAACAAAAAGAGGGCCGATCCTGGCAAACAGAGTTTAACCTGCTTCTCTCTCTCTCTCTCTCCTCCCTTTCTTTCTCTCTCTATATCCCCCTCTCTGCCTCAGCGTCCTGGTACCCCTGCGGCCGCTCCATCTGGTTGATGCTCGATGACCAATCACATTTATTGGCTCCTAATTTCTCATAATAGCGTCAGACATTAGAAATGAAATCAAAACTTGTCATATTTTTAGATAACCAGAAAGAACACAGAAGCTTGCTCAAAACTGGACGCTAGTGATTATCAGGGGACGATGAAAACTTGCTGCGCAATAATAGCCGAGAAAAAAAAATCCGAGCCTCTACTGGTAGATTTTTTTTTCATGAAATCCAAGAACTCCATTATTTCTCAAGTCCGGGATCTTCTCCCAGAAGAGGGCTCTCTCTCTCTCTCTCTCATCTTTAGAAGAATTCTCTGTTGCAGTTTCCGTTCAGACTCCGACCTCTGCCGGTAGAAAACCCTTGTCGATGGACGCCTTCACGGCGTCCAGCACCAGCTGGGTCTTCCTCGAGATCTCCGGCCACTTTCTCTCCGGCTTCAAAGATCCGCCCTTGATGCCCCCCACCAGTCGGGAGAACTCCGCCACCATCAGCGCCTCCTGCGGCAGCTCCGCGTCGACGACGCGCTCGCCGGGTTTGCTCCGCCAGCCGGTCACGAGCTCCGTGAAGGCGGCCTCCGAGGAGAAAGCGAAGGAGGCGCCGCCCTCAGCGAAGGGGATGATGAAGTCGCTCAGTCGCAGGGTTCCTCTGGTTCCCGTCACCGACAGCTCCATTGTCAGGTGGGAGAGAAAGGAACCATGGAGGGTCGCCATCTTCCCGTCTTCCCACTGCAGAGAGGCCCCGAAGGAAAGGATCACGCCCGCATCATTCGTGACCAGGCCGCGGTGGGCCACCGCCGTCGCCGGCAGCCCGTAGCCGGCAGCCCAGAGGGCGGCGCGCGCGCAGTACCAGCCGACGTCCCCGAGCGCTCCGAGCGCGTCCAGATCGGGCTTCACTCTGATGTCGTTCTTTAGGAAGTCGTCGTCCGCCCGGAAGGTGAAGATGCTGCTCACCTGCCCACAGGAACCCAGCGAGTAACACCTCAAAATCGTAGTCCATTTCTTGCGGATTTCAAGAGAAGATTATGAGAGATTCGTCTTCAATTTACCGATCTGAGGTCGCCGAAGAGGGCAGGGTCGGAGAGGAGGCGGCGCATCTCGGCTGTGCGGGGATGGTGTATCCACATGGTGGTGTCCATGAACTGGACGCCGGCGGCGGCGCAGGCGGCAAGGATCTTGTCCAGATCGGCGGCGCACAGCGCCGTTGGCTTCTCCAGGAGCAGGTGCTTCCCCTTGTCCGCCGCCGCGACCGCCCAGGGGAGGTGGAGGCTGGTGGGCAGCGGCATGTAGACGGCGTCGACTTTGGGGTCGTCGAGGACCTCCTCGTAGCTGCCGTAGGCGGCGACGGCGGCAGGGTCGAGGTCATTCTCGGCGAGGAACCGGCGGGATTTCTCGCCGGAGCGGCTGCCCACGGCGGCGATAGAGGCGTTGGGGGCCATTCGGATGGCGCGGGAGACCTTGCGGGCGATCTCGGCGCACCCCACGATGCCGAACCGCACCGCCGCCCCGTCCCCTCCTCCTCCCTCTGCCGTCGCCGCCACAGATGCTGCCACCACCGACGCCGCCGCCGCCGCTGTCGTCATCGTTCTCCCGGATTGGGCGCGGAACCGGAGCTTGCCACCCGGTGCTTGTTCTTCTGATTAAATAAAACATCTTATCGAATTAATGGATAAATTGGTCAGGTTAAACAAAATTAATGAAAATGGCATAATCGATGAGCGAAGTATTCTTTTTCAAGGGTGAAGCAACTTATATATAAATGTAAATATAAGTATTATTTAGTCCATTAGTCGGATTACTATAAAACTATTTATTTAGGGATCTGAGGATAAAGGCCGGTGGAGAGAGGAGGAGAAGCTCAGGGCACCGCGTGTCCGGCGGGGGCCATGCTGACTGACACGGGCAGCGACTACGTGCCTCGTCGAGCGCCACGGCCGCGCTCGATAAGAAGAGAGATGGAGGCGCGGCCGCCGGACATCCCGCCACCTTCCTCTCTCTCTCACTCTCTCACTCTCTAACTCTCTGTGTGGCGGTCTGAAGCAGCTTGCGTTGCCCGGTATGGCTTCTCTGGTGCCGTGGGGAGGAACCCGCGGGTGGGAGTACGACCCCTTCGCCATGGACGTCTGGGACCCCCTCGACCTCCGCCGCGGCGGCGGCACCGCCTGGCCCTCGTGGGACGTCGGCGGCCTGCTGGGCCGCGCCGGAGAGGAAGGCGACGACACCCTCGCCATCGCACGCACCTTCGTCGACTGGCAGGAGACCCCCGAGGCCCACATCTTCCACGCCGACGTCCCCGGTGCGTAGTCATCATCTAGAGAGCGAAATAAAGAAGAGAGAGATCGAGAGAGGAAGATGGCGTCGTCTTCTTCTTCTGTGTGTTTTCCTGAGCTTTCCTTCTCTTGTGTGTGTATGGGTGGTGGTGAAGGAGTGAAGAGGGAGGAGCTGAACGTGCATGTGGAGGACGGGAACATACTGCAGATAAGCGGGGAGAGGACCAGGGAGGAGGAGGAGAGCACCGACACGTGGCACCGGGCGGAGAGGCGGCGCGGCAGCTTCCTCCGCCGCTTCCGGCTGCCCCTCGACGCCGACATGGACGCCGTCCGCTGCTCCCTCGACCACGGCGTGCTCACCGTCACCGTCCCCAAGAGGGAGGCAGCCGCCGTCCCCCGAACCATCCATGCCGTCGACATTGCCACCGCCGGCGACTGATCCTCGCATCTCTACCGTCCATTTAGAGCCGCGACCACTTTTATGTACGTTGTGTACATATATATGCATGTAATACACGTGTAGATAAATAACTCCCCCTCCCCTTCTCTTATCATGTACCTCGAATGCACGGTTCAATCCCACTCTCAGGTTCCCAAGGAGGTTACCCCATATCATGTCCGCGTAAAAAACTAAAATTAAAAATAAAAACAAATTATGTTTTAAGAATACATTTTTACAATATTTATTTATAATAATTCAGCGTTTTAGATTAGTAAAATTCATTTATGACGGTTCATGCACGCGGAAATTCTTTTAATGAAAAATCGAAGAATGTTATTTCGTCTCGTGGTGCCTGTCCAATAAAGTTATTGAAAATACCACTAATAGAAATACGATAAGTGTTCAGCTCGCGTGTGGACGAGTAATTACATTTACGGAAATATTAATAAAAATAAATAAATATATTTTTTTCATTTAAATGTAACTTCATTCTAAGAGATTTTTTTTGGTGTTTAATACATATGCACACCGATTTTAAATAAATTATAAGTTTTAAAAATAATATTATTTATTAAATAATAGTGGGCTAGTTTGGGCCGAACGAGTCAGCATCCCATGTGATCCGTTGAGAGGAGTAGATGAACCAGGTTCTTGCAAAAACATTCGTCCCATATACGTCATGGGCCATGGCAAGATCTAACCCGCTTGCGTAGGCCCATCGACTCGTCGTCTTCGTTTTCTCTGATAGGAAGCGAGGTGATCGAACGGAGCGGGGGCGGGCGGGGTTTGAGCTCCCCGCACAGAGAGCTCGAGATCTTCGTCTTTTGGTATGGACGCAAAGGATATCCTCGGCCTCCCCAAGAATTCCATCTCCTCAGCACCTCAGGAGAAGCGGCCTCGCCCACCGAAGGAGTCCCAGAGGAAGCCCGATGGCGTCTCCAGGGAGGTACTCATCCCACTCGTAACCTCCGCTTCCTTTCCGTCTGTCTCGGTCTGTTTGTCTCTCTCATTTCCTTCCCTCTCTCTCTCTCTCTCTCTCTCTCCCGGCCTCACGTTCACCCCCATTCTCCCTTCATTTTGGGTGAACTCCGAGTTAACTAACTTTATATCGGGGCATCTAGGTTTATGCGCTCACGGGAGGGATGGCGCCGCCGCTCATGCCCGCCATAGATGTTTCGCTCTTGAAAAGGAAGCAGCAGCAAGCCGAAGAGAAGGTAGGCATCTGTTAACCTGAGTAAGTGGCCAAATTCGTCTCTCTGAATGCTTCGAGGGAGTGGCGAGAGATCGGAGACTAGGGTTACTGACCATGGTCCTACTGTAACTGTTTGAATTTCGAGGGTAAGATGGGCTTTATTTTCAGTTTAGTAGTTCATTTGGGGTCAAATTAGTTTTTAGGAAGCGCGTAACGGAATTTACGTAATGGCTCCAGCCTTTTGAGAGGGGGTGAAATATTTTGTAGCAGATCGTATTTTATCACAGTTGCATGAGCATGTATGTTTGTTCGCTTTGAATTCATCATTTTCCCTAGTAGGGAGCAAAGGGATGAAAATTAGGACTCCAGAAGGGGTTATCTTTGAAGAGTGATTAGGAAAAAAATCTGGAGCTGGATTGGACTCTTCGACCTTAGGCCTTTGAAGAAATGTCTTCTGGTTTCCGTGGCCGACATCAAAGGCTCTTCTTTCAGGAAGTAAATCCTCTGGTTTTATGTCTCTCCAAATAGGCGAAAAGTCTTGTTGATATCTTTTTACTAGCCAACATTTGCGTTTCTTTCGAGATTTTTTTCTCTACCAACCACCCCATTTAAATGTGGACTCATGGATCGTCATCCCATTGCGACTGTAAGGATCCGATCATTGACGATTGATTCATAGATGTTAAGTATTTCCATACGTCAGCCAAATAATATTCAACTAATCTTCTTATTTCTAATGAATTTCATTCAGTCACATACTAGGAGAATTTTGAGGGTTGCATTCAGATGAATTAATTCCATCACGCTCTACAATATTCTTCATCATAAGTGCAAATTAAGTATTTTCCCATGAAGGCACCATTTTGTCTTTTGTTCATCTTCAACCTCTTATTTCTACTTCTTGCTGAATACATTTTTTTTCATTTTGGTTTCCACGAAATCTCTTTTATATCGAAGATTCTATCCTGACTCTCCCAATGATTCCGCCCCGTTTTGTGGTTCTCCATTTATCATTTGATATCAACTGTACATGGAGGAATTTTGTCGCTACAGTGGATTTGAAACCCATAAACCTTTTCAGAGTCTTAAAGACTTCTCAGCCTCAGAAAAAAACTACATTGAGCTCTCGAAGATATCGATTCTGGCACAATATTTGTCCTTGGATAAAAACTGGAGAATTCACAAGATGGTCGTTTTTGTTTCTGTTTTAACGATTTTCTATCTCTTAATGGAGGCTACAATTTGTTTCCATCTTCAAGCCTCCAAATCCACTTCTCTAACGAATTTTTTTATCTTAAAGTTCCTTATGGGTCTACTTAAATCTTTCCAGGCAGATGAGAGGTTTCTTTTGCAGAAATGTAACCTTTGTTCTATTCTTCCCATCTGAGAGTGGCATCTGTGAAAGCAGATATAGCAGAGAGGAGTAAAAGAATGTCATGGATGAAGAATGGAAAAGAAAAGAGAAAGATAACTTATGACTGCTGATGGCAACTCTCCCCTCTTCTTCACCATTTTCTGTCCTTGCACTGGTACTGTTCAGTGCATGCGAATAGAAGAAGTGCAACTTACTTTCTCAGAGAAGAACCTGTATGCTAATGGATATGATCTTCAAGCTTATTTCATAACCTGGTGTATTATAACTTTGATGTACTCGAGCTTATTCTTCGATTAGAATAGCTGGAATGCAAATTTTTCTTTTGAACTCGGGAATGCAAGATTCAGTTAACTGGTTTCTACAGCTCGAAGATCAAGTTCCTGTGATGTATCTAGTTTTCACAATCTGCATAACAACTATTTCAATTAATGTTCGACATAAAATTTTAAACCCATATTATTGGAAATTGGTCATTTCTGATCCCAGTTGGTTGATTTGATTGCAGTTAGCCCTGGCTAACCTGACTTGTCTCCCCCTCGTAGTAGACAAAGACATAAAATTGTTGCAGTTGTATTAAGTACTCATTTAGCCATTGAGTTAGGAATCTTGATAGGTCAGCCTCACCTTATCTGATTAAGTTAAAGGTTTTGATTATTTTGCCCTTATAGTTATAAACATTATGCACCTTGAATATCAACATAGCTAAAATGGAAAACTTTATCAGGGAACTTTGATGATTCGGATGACCCAAAACCACTGTTTCTGTGCAGCCATAAATGATATGATGGATAAATAATAAGCCAGTTAATAATTTAAAATCGTTTTACTTTTCAGAAGCCTTGGCCTGACTAATTGTGAGTAGGTATCATAGGGAATAATTACATACTTCACCCGAAGTATTTTTCGCCCGTTCATAAATAACGTGACGAACATGACATAAACCATTCAGTACATGGTGTTTAGATAAAGGATGTATTATTTTTCCAGAAGCCCAGCTGTCGCTAGTCATTAAGTGGTTAGATGGGGAACTAATTGTGTACATTCTCTAAGTTATAGAATTTCTGTTTCTTTTATTAACGTTGAAATTGACAGAGTTATACTCATCCTTGTAAATTTTTCCCGCATTCAAACATGCTAACAATCTGATTATGAATGCACAGGTAACATGGCAGTGGCTACCTTTTACCTCCTCTGCTCGAGCAGATAATCTACAGCTTTATCATTGGGTATGTTTTGGATTTGCTTCCATTACATGATGAATTCCAGTTTCACTCTGTTCATATTGTATGGTGGTTGCTTGTTCATTGATGTTGATGCAACAATGTTCAGGTTCGTGTTGTAAATGGGGTTCCTCCAAGTGGTGATTATTCTTTTGCCAAGTTTAACAAGGTTGACATTACTTCAGTGCATATTTTATCTTGTAATATTATTTCAATATGTGCTTTACTGTGGTCTAATAAATCCTCCCTATCCCTAATCTTATTTTCCTGAACTTTATGACTTTTAGACGTGTAAATTTTCAATATGCTTTATCTGCAGTCTGTCGATATACTCAAGTACACAGACGAGGAGTATGAGAAGTTTTTGACTGATCCTGTAGGTACAGTTCCCTTATTGATTTAAATCTGTCGTTTTCTGTTTGCTGAATTCCTCTTAATTATAGTATATACATGATTCTTGATATTTTTATTCTACTGTTGATAACCTTGTGAAAATCATTTTCCAAATATCTTCTTCCACTTTTGCTTTCTATCAATCTATTGTGCTTCTGTTGAAGATTGATCTAAAGTGAGCTGTCTTGTTGGAGCTCATTGAGGCTGCAGGATGAAAAATCATGCAAGCAGAAGGTGACGTCTATTGGGAATCTAAAAAATTATGACATTCAATATTGTTAAAATTCAGTGTCAAAGTAAGGGATGTAGAGCGACCTTCTCTTTTCCTGAACATTAGATGTATCTTTTTCTGTACAATATAATCTATGCGCAATGGAACGGTATGCATCCTCCCCCACTATCCTTTTCATGAAAACAATTGTTGAGTAATAAAGAAAACAACCGGAACTTTCAATACCACAACCTATCCCTTAGAAAAAAAAAGAGATTGACGTATACTATGTTATCTGGTTTATGTTGTCTTTTTTTGGTGTGATTTCAGATTTTAATAGTACGGTTAAGTCTTTGAATATCTTGATCTTCTCTCTTGTGAAAGTTTAACTTTGATACTGGTTTAGACATGGACCAAGGAAGAAACAGATCAATTGTTTGACTTATGTGAGCGGTTCGATCTCCGGTTTATAGTAATAGCTGATCGGTTTCCACATATGCGAAGCGTTGAAGAATTGAAGAATCGTTACTATGCTGGTACTGTACCGATCCTTATTTGTCTTCCGCTGTTTTTTATGCACTCTAGGCTAATCCTGACGTCCTGGTAAATCATTCAGCTACCTTGCTATCGCAGCTATATTTTTGGATAAAATGCATGTCTAGACAATGGTTCCAAGAAAATTCAGATAACCTGGGTTTTACAGATATGCCCTTGCTGATTGGAGATGTGTGTTGATCGTGGTTATTTACTACACGCAGAAGTTTCAAAACCACCGTCCTAATTATCTGTTTCCGCTTACAGTTTCCAGGGCTCTTCTGATCTCCAGGGCACGATCTCCCGGAGATGTTTCTGGCCATCCACTTGTCAAGGTATGTGTTTTCAATTCGGATTATTTACGATTTTGGTTCTAGTCTTATTTGACCCATGATTCTGGGTATGTCAGCCTCTTCGATTAAACTGTTAGATGATGCTCATTTTCTTCCCTAATATTCTTCTTAGGAACCCTATATTGCAGCAATTGAAGTCGAGCGGAAGCGTGCATTGGGTTCCTTGCTATCTCAGACAAAACAACTGGAGCACAGAGATGCTGAGGTCTGCACCACACGCACACACGCACGCACATAAATTTATATTTAGTGATGATTTTTTGGATTATTTACCATTTAGAGGATTATTATTTATTCTCTCTTTAGTGACAAGGTTTTTTTTATTATGTATTTCTCCCTAACTCCAGATTATTGCTGAAGCTAAAAGAATAGCAGAGTCATGGCTGAATAATAAGGTTGGTAGGCTTTGTGCATATGTGGCATTGATGTCCATTTTGGATCTTTTTCTCGACTGTAATGATCGATCATGTAATTTCTGGGATTTCTGCATAGTGGCCAGATCCTCTATTTCTTTTAATTAATGTTTGATGATCCTTTTTTGTCCTTTTTTTATCCTTTCCCATTTAAACTATTTCCTGGGCACAATTTATAATTTCTGTTCCTTGATTTCAAGGCTGCTGATGGAGCGGAGCCAGTCAGTGCTGCTTTTGATTCCGAAGGCGTCAGTAAGGTCAATGCATTGGCTGAATCTGGCACTCCTGGCGTTCTACCCGCGCCTGGAGCTGCTGCTGCTGCTCCAATTGGCGCAGCAGATGGCGCATCGACTCCGTCATCTCTTCGGATGGTAGGCCATGAAAAACATCTCTGTCAACACTGCGCTGATGATTCTGAATTTAAGCATTCATTCCTGAGCTTCCCAGAAATAGAATGATGCATCCTGCGTTTTCAACGCCTTAATCCCTTCTATTTATCTCGAACCTTTCAGCTTGGGGTGTACTTGAGGACGAACGTACTGGACCAGATGGTGCAGGCGGCGAACTCATCAGCTGGACTGAGGACCATCAAAAGGGTTGACCAGACATTGCAGGATCTTGGGGTTTGTGCCGTTCCTTCCCTTCAAGATTATGGCTCACTAAAAATATTGCGCTGACTTTTGTTGGAATTATCGCGTGGAAAATGCTGCCATTGGTTTTTGATAATCTGTGGTCTTGAGCGCTGGATGCTGGGGCTTGGAAGCTCTGAAGATTGAATCCTTGGGATCAATCATTTGAGCTTTCTTCTCATGCTCAGTGTGAAAACATTATGATTCCTGTAAATAATATATCATTACCTTCATAAGAAAATCCACGACGCATTCATTTCTCCGGTTCTTTTCAGGTCAACATCAAGCCGAAGGTCCCCACCAAATCAGTCTGTGCCGAGCATCTTGAGCTTCGGAAAGAGATTCTCACCTTGCTGGGTCTGCAGAAACAGGTTTTTTTCTTTGACGGGTTTCGCTTATTATTATTATTTAATTAGTTTAATGGGCTTATTTTGTATAGTTTTTCCCCTCTTAACTTTGGCTAATTTTTATTTTCTTCTGTCATCAGTTGCAGTACAAAGAATCAGAAGTATCCGGGAACCGTGACAGCCATGCCGAGATTCCGAGCACTCCCAAGGCAAGTGATGATGGCCTCAGATTTCCGTGTTCTCGATATTCCGAGCTCATCTGATTTTGGAAGTCTGCGTTGACATCATCGGATTCCTCTGACCCGTGATTCTGAACAGCGTTCTCACCGCGCCGATCAAGACAAGGCATTCGTCCCCGAGTCCGCCGGTTTCGGAGGTATTGCGATGAAGGCTCAGGCCGATGATTGTGTTCTCATTGTTCGAAGCAAGGATCATCTCTTCATTACATTTTCATTCCTGATGATTTTCAGGGGAGAGGCCTGGGAAACGCGACAACAGGCGGAAGGTAGGGTTTCTCTCTCTCTCTCTCTCTCTCTCTCTCTCTCTCTCTCATATTCTGACGGGGGGAAACGTGGTGCAAGGTGGCTGGGAGATTCGCGGAGGCACCGCCATCGCCGCCTCAGTCGAAGAGGCCGAGGAAATTGAAGATATCCGACGGATGAGTGTGGGATCAGAAACCATGGTCATCAGAAACCGCTTCTGAGCTTTGCCTGCGAGGGGAGTAGGGGGGCATGGGGGAGGAAGCTGCCGACGGCAGGGGCCGTTGACTTAGGCTGGCCTCGGGGCCGCCATTCCGACGACGGCTGCGGCGGTGGATTTGCCGTCTGTGTTCTCTCCCTCTGCTGTATGTACAGTTCACGTCGATGTCCTCGGATGCTCACTGTGACAGTTTCAAAGAATTCAGCCATCTTTGCTCTCTCAATCTCTGTCGTGAAAAAACCCAATATATTATATATCGTAATTTTGTGAAGGGAAATGTCGAAAAACGAGGTTGTCAGGTTATATTAACAGTAATTAAAAAGCTCGGTTCTTGCAATTGCTTCTTGGCGGCGAGCTCCGACAGGTGACGGGTAGCAGAAGGTGCCGTTTCCAAATGCCAGCTGGTCCAACGAGGGGGGTTTCGGTTTATCAAAGGCGAAGAGTAGCTCCAACCAGAGTTCTCAGATTCTTCCTTACGTGGAGAGAGAGAGAGAGAGAGAGAGAGAGAGAGAGAGAGAGAGAGAGTGGGAAAGAGGTGGGGGTGGGTGGGTACCGCAGCCCATTTGACTTCGAGAAAACCCTAGAAATTGTTTTAACGGGGGTTTCCTCTCAGATCCACAAGGGGAATGGGGTTTCTGGGGGGATCCCATATCGCCTTTGGTCTCCTCCTCCGGCACCCCCCTGATCTCCGTCCATGAGAGCTGCATCTGTAGTCGTGCTTTCAACTCAGTGGGCCTCCGTGTCCGTGGGGTGGAAAGGCCTGCCCATATTCGGTCTCTGCTTTGCTGGCTAGTGGTAGATATTCCAGCCAGGATCCAGTCAGGTGGCCTGTTATTTATGATTAATTAAGGAGTTTGAGCATTTTTCATAGCTTAACTGTTGGATCCGCGCCTAAGTTTGTCACATTACGGAGAAAGGCCTGGTTTACTTCCGCTGGAGTGTCAATAGAGCGTTGACATCGAGTGGGAGAAGTCGGGGGGGAGTGGGGGAACCTGCGCTGGACCTGCATTTCTATGTTGTTCTTCAGTTATTGAGTGGGAATTATGTATTTCTGCTCTCTTGAGGGGTTTTTATAGTGTGGAGTTCTGAAGATTTTGGTGGTCTATTTCCCCCACGTTTGGTCGGTCCTTCGATTCTATTTTGGCACCCCGAAAGATGGTTTTCTGGGAAGGGTACCTCAGTGACGAATCGATGGGTACTTTTGCCCCCATCGCTGTGTACTGGATCTACGCGGGCATGTATCAGCTCTTACCACCTTTGGACAGCTACCGGTTGCACACAAGAAAAGAGGAAGAACAGAGGAATCTTGTTTCAATGTCTTCGGTTGTGAAGGGCGTCCTCCTTCAGCAGCTCGTTCAAGCCTCTGTAGCTGAATTGCTGTTCTTGGTGAGTACCCATTCTTCCTACCCGATGATGGATAATAGTTCATCAGTAATTGGACTATATTATCATAAATATATCATAAATTCTTCAAAATCATATTTTTAAGATCGGTAGAGTTGTAGCTGTTGACTTCTGGAAAATAAATTCAAATAATTCACCTGTTGTGGTGTCATTTTTCTTCTCGTATGCACCTTGATTTTACTGTTTACGTTCAAATCATGCAAAAACAAACTGCGACAGCCAGCCCAGAACTTTGGGAGTAGAAGGTTGTGTAATGAGATATCAAGACGATTTTCCAATGACATATGTAATAAGAGGCATAACGTTGGTATAAAGCTTGGAACCCAGCAATGGGCTGAGATGTATGTGTCCTAGAAATGTGAATGACGATAGATAAAGCCTTTCTGAACCAGTTGAGTTCACAATGATCGTCTTATTTTCAGAGTACATCTGCATTAAGTCAGCGTTCTTCCATTTCATTCTCTCTGAACGCAAATACTACATTTTTTCGCCTTACATATATATATATATATATATATATATATATCTGTCTAGGAAAGTAAAATATTTCTCAAAAGAATGTAACTGTTAACATGATGCATATCGTGAATTAACAATCAAAGCCTTGTATTGTGTTGAAGAAGCAGGGTCGATTAAGATTTACATATCTGATATTTATATATATATATATATCATTGAACATCGACATTGCATCTTTTCGAACATATGAACCCAGCAGTGAAACTAGAGCACATTGAGATCTATTCCATGATACTGCTTCAGGATTCTAGCACAGTGCAATTAGGGTTTTTTGAAACAAAAATATTAAGGGCAAGGGTGCACAAACACCTTTCCTTAAGATTTGCTTTGGCATATGCTGTCTCTGGTGTCTTAGGAATATGGGACCTTGCTTGCATTCACCCTGCGCCTGGTACTCAGGTGCCATATACTTGCTAGAATTCTGTCAGTTCCAGTACAACACTCGACACTAATCAGGTGCCATATACTTGCTAGAAGAACTAGTAGAGAAGGAACATACATAGAATTCTTGCCCATATATGTCCTTATTGTTGCCTTACAACGCAGGCAACAACAAAAGCCGATTCAGCTGGGGCCCCGGAACAACCGTCCGTTCTAGTTCAGTTTATGCAGATATTAGTGGCCATGCTGGTAATGGACACATGGCAGTATTTCGTGCACCGTTACATGCACCAGAACCAGTTTCTCTACCGCCATGTGCACTCCCAGCATCACAGACTGGTTGTTCCCTACGCTATCGGAGCTCTTTACAACCACCCCCTGGAGGGTCTTCTGTTGGACACCTTTGGGGGGGCAATCTCATTTCTCATCACGGGGATGACGGCGAGGACGGCGGTGATCTTCTTCTGTTTTGCAGTGATCAAGACAGTTGACGACCATTGTGGTCTCTGCCTGCCTGGAAATGTTTTCCATCTCTTTTTCCAGAATAACACTGCATACCATGACATCCACCATCAGCTCCAAGGCACCAAGTATAATTACTCTCAACCATTTTTCCTTGTTTGGGATAAAATTTTCGGAACCCACATGGCATATAACTTGGTGAAGCGCCCTGAAGGTGGATATGAGGCCAGGCCAGCTAAAGATTAGCTTTCAGCCTTGGGTCGTTCCAGCTACCATGATCCGTGTTGTTTGACGCTGGCGAGGGGAAGCAGGATGCTCAAAGTGGTTCACTCTCTTGAATCTTTCTGGTAAAGCAGGAGAGAATTTGAAGGGGAGACCCACTAATCATATGTATGTTCCTTCTCTACTAGTTCTTCTATGACACTCGGTGTCTTAGAAGAATCTAAGGGATTACTGCTGCTGTCAGTTGCACATATCAAGAACATGTGATCGCGTTGGATGCTTTCAGGTCATTCTGGTCTCTCCCCCTCCCCTACTGATTGATGCGATCCTCGAACCAGTGGTGCCTCTTCTGAGATCTGGCCAAATATAGACCCAGTGTAGGGAAAATAATTGAACTTCTATTAACTTTACAAGCTGTAATATGGTGTGAAGTATGCAGTTATTATAACAGTTCAAGCAGCGGCCAATTTATCCAAATTCAGTAATGCTTACACTGCGGTGCTCAATTGTTTCACGCTCTTGTTCCTTGTTGCACCCCCTCTAATGGGGAATCTTCAGAATATTTGAAGGGCATCCACGTCTGCTATACATAGAGAGAGAGAGAGAGATTAATGGATGATGCATGAACCACTACCAGTTTTGGTTTTATTTAATTATAGTAGCAAAGTTTGTAGTGCTTTTTTTCTTTGCTTGATATCCTCATCTGATGATTGAGTTGCAGGAAAACAACGGCCATAATCTTCTGTCAGTCAAATGCTTGATTCAATCTGCTATGCTCTTCCCCCGTTTTCTTGAAACTCGAATGAATGTCTATGAGGCCACCGCCACATGAACTCATGGAATTAATTAACTATTCAATGTAAACGCAAGCTGAAAACTTCTCCTTTCTAGATTAAAAAATTACCGAAATTGGCATAAATTTGTTATTTTACTTAGCAAATCAGCATAAATGTATTTTAAAAAGCCATCCAATTCATGTGAACTTTGGGGAATTTTCTTTTAATGCAGAACTAATCGACCCGGAGACAAGCCCGTTTAGTGTAATTTTCCTGCATTCATAAGCCCAACCGTAGTTTAAGGGAAGAAACTCTTGAACTAGAGAGCTAGATCCTGGTCGGTGAGTTTAAACAAAAGAAGCCGTTGACCAATAAATTTCCTAAACATAGAAAGACTTCATCTGCTGGAATTTAGGAAGAGCAGCCATCGTTGATGGGTCGAATAGGCATCCATTTTCCTAGAGCAGTGCTAAGATAGAGAACAATGGAGGGAAGATAAACCGCCATGGCACCGTTGACTAAGTCTGTCATACAAAACGGGGGAGATAATAACCTCGGAATCGGCCTGCCCACATATTCTAGAAGCTATTATTAGAAGAAGATAGCTTGAGGCATTCGCTCTGGCATCGACGGAGACAGATGTCGTTCCAGTTGGGGACCTGGTGCTGGTTGACACAGACAGTTCTCGCACAGGCATCGGCGCATGCATCAAGCTCAGAGACCCCGCAGACAGTGACACAGGTGTCTGGAATCGGGTCTTTAGAGAAGGCGCCCACCTTCTTCAGCATCCTCTTTGAAGTGCAGACCCTCTCACAGACGAAGATTTCATCGGAGGCCTTCTCCCTTCCGCGAACATTCTTGAGCCTTTGTTCCTCCGCACGCCTCCTCTTCATTCTAATGGCTTGCCCTGCAACGACAGCTGGAACTGCGGCTCCCAATAGCGACCACCATATCTCCACCATCTTCGTGGCAGTGCACAGCCTAATCTACTGCATAGATTCACACAGGGATTGAAGAGGGAGATCAAGTTAGAATGAAACCCAAGCAAAACTATGCACCGAGTGTCAATATAAAGGTTTTTTACCCATTTAACTCACGGAATTTTGAATACGAACTTGATATTCATTTAAATCCTCGAAAATTTATTTGCGAAAAACTGAGGCACTGAATTACTTCACGGGTATGTTTAAGATAGATATAATTAGGAGAGGCTGTGAGTCATTAAACGTAACAACAAGGTAGAACGAACAAAATTTTTCAGTCCATTAAATGTTTTCAGAAAAATATTGTCCCATATGCTTACCCAACTGAACACTAATAAACGCAAGCCTATATCTTATCGGTGCTGTAACTAGCATCATACAGTTTCTGAGAGCCCAACTCACTCTGAAAGATAGAAAGATGCACGGTTGATGCAACAGAAAGAAATTCTAATATGTGCAAGAGTCCATTTCTTTTCGCCAACAGTAAAGACGTAACATCTTAACCATACCTAAAATATCTAACCTCACAGTACCGTACAGAATGTGTCAAATTATTCTCTCAAGGCTATAAATATCCCACTATGAAGTTCCAGAAGCTCATTTTTCATTTGTTTAATTGGTGAGAGAAGTGCCCATTTTCCTTTGTTCACTTGCAGTACCTTACGGAAATATTTTTACTTAAAATGCTATTCATGTAAATAAGCAAGAAACAGAACAGACAAGAAAATAAAATGTGGTAAGTACTTTCAACTCTTATATAATTTTTTTTTTCTTTGATAACTAACTCTGTAGCTTTGTAAGCGTTTACCAATACTTGTTCAATGCTGGTAAATTGTCAAATTATATGGTTAACTGATTAACAGTGATCAATGTTAAAGAAAATTGAAAGCATCTGACTAGCCAAAAATTGAACTAGCCACTTAAATTCAGTATGCTGCCGTATCACAAAATTCATTATCTATCAAGTTGATATATCAGAAACAAACATGATGGATTTGGCGACTAGGTTCACATATTCTTAAAGTAAAATCGCTATCAGACAATGGGCTACATACAAAAGTTATTCCTGCAAAAAAAAAAAAAACGTCTAAGTTCCAAAATAAAGCATAACAAGGATTTTAACGTCAGAAGGGGAGGCTGATGAACTTCACAGAGTTCAGACAAATACTAGCGTGGTTCTTCCAGAAGTAGCTTCATGTTCAATGTCAGAAAGGAAATTACTGGTCTCTTACGATTTTATTCGAACCACATTAAAAGGTGACAACATTAAATGTGTTGATCAGAGCAACGATTATCCGGACGGAAACAAGATAAGGAAATACAGTACTAAAAATTTCCCCAAGCCCAAGTAAGAAGAGAAGGCCTTTAACATGCTCACCACCACAAGACGTGACACAAACATCTTAACGAAATTTCTTTCTTTGCTAAATCGATATAGTGAACACACCGTGGGTAAAACACATGCCACTCTCCATGGAAGACCATCGCATTTTTTTCAACTTTAATATGACAAAAACTTGCCGTAGTGTTAAATGCGAATTGAACCGAGAACAATAGATAAAAAATATACAAGATAAGGTAACTACCTTCAGGATTTTGCGCACATACAAAGCGCACACGATTTCTGGATTTATAGGCAAACTTTTCATGGACATTCAGTCACTACACAGTTAAAGATAAGGTAAAAAATCGAAACGTCAGAATAAATGGCTTTGTTCACATCACATATAGGCTATAATTAGGGGAAGAATAGCATGTAGAAGTGCGACGGTTCGCACCAAAATTAACAGCTAGTAATTTTCTAGCGGATTATGAATTAGATTAGCAACTGTTCAGCTGACACAAGATTACCAAAATTCCGTTTCTATTACAAGGTGGACCGCACTTAAAAAAAAAAAATCTTATTGCTATGAAAATTTGCACAATTGTTAGAAAAACACAGCTGAAAGAAATTCAACAGTACATCACGGTGGCATATCAACTACTAATGATGCTAATTACGAACAGATAAAATTTCTGCGGGCAGAAATCGAACGCACGGAAAGCTAATCATGCGGCATGGTTTTCTACTGTGTTTCCTGCCCCAAAACACAATGATGCTTTACTAACAATGCTGGACAAGTGCGGTAGTATTCTAAACACAGCCGAGTGCTAACTTTACACGGCAATCCCATACATAACTTGATGAATAAACAAAAATAAGAATGCGCACGTTCCCTGCGGCACATCAACAAGAAAGAGAAAATAATGCATGGTCATAAAAAGCTGTATATTACAACCTTTTCAAGATTCCAATCACGAAGGGATTTCCACTAAAAAAACTGGGAATTACAGCAAGAACTAAATATATTCACATGGAGCCAAAGTGAACACCAACTCAATAACCAGACAAACCTATGAGGAACACTCTCATAACATGGGCTTTCGAATCTATACTTGCACACAAAATAGTAACCCTGATGGAATAAAGCCGAATGAGACGGCGACTTACTCACCTAAAGTGGAGAATCCTCAAATTACGAGAGCCCTCCACTCCCCCAGGGCTCTGCGAACCCTAGGATCAAATGAGAGCCGACCTACACACTCTCCATGCTCGGTACACCCAAAACCGCTTCCTACTCGAGAAGAAAGGCCACGAGGAGACGGCCTCGGGTTGGGGGTGGGAGATAAGAGAACCTCCACGTTACCTACTCGCCGGAAGAGCACTGCCGGCCAGCCCTGCCGCCGCGGGGATGTGGTGTTGTCGCGGCCGCGCAGGCAGTGTGGGGCTTATGGGGCTTACAGAGATGGCAGAGAAGCGACAGTTTCCGCATAACGATGGAAAGACGAAACTCTGTAATTTATTAATGGGCCTGGCATACTTCTATGAGGCCCAGTCACTACTTATTGTCCAAAACCTATTAATGGACCTTTTTAGTTCGGCCCAAAAGACGAGACGGTCGTAAAACCCTAATGCTTATAATAGATGGAGACCTCATGCTGACACAAGAGGGTGGGTGCGGCGTAGGCGACTGCGGGGAGGAAGAGGAAGATGGGTGAGCTCCGTTCCTCTCGTCCTCTCGACTCCATCTTGGTTTTCACCATCTGCGTATTGCTGCTTCGATCGCGAGAATCTGCCTTATTTTGTGCTCGCTTGTCTTGCAGGTGCGTATACTTATGTCTCGGAGCTATGGAGGAAGAAGCAGAGCGACGTTATGCGGTTCCTGCTGAGGGTCCGCTGCTGGGAGTATCGGCAGATGCCTGCCATCGTTAGGGTTACCCGCCCCACCCGCCCTGACAAGGCCCGCCGCCTCGGTTACAAGGCCAAGCAGGTGAGAAGGCTGTCTGGATACAATCTTGCCAGTTTACCCGCACTCTCTTCGTCTAAGTGAGATTGGAATGTTTCTCCAATGTTGATTCAGGAGGATACTCCGCTCTAGATTTTTTCCCCATTGTGAGTACTATTATTCACTGAATACTGATTTTTCTGATTTTCTGATGTTGGAAATTTTCTGATGTTTTCTCCAAAATTAACTAAGTACTTCACTGGGTTCTTACTTGTAGGGGATTGCAAGGATTTCTCGATCTTCTTCTTGTGTGAATTATTTTTTCTCGAATCTGGAAATGGAGTGCTATTCCTCTGCGTCATTAAATTTGGCTGTGATCTTCGTTTCTGTCAGTTTATTTGCTGCAAATCTTTTGGACCCAGTTCTCAGTCTACATCAGTTGGCTACACCATTTCTAATTTTTCAGTATCTGTAGCCTAATTTATCGCGATGATTATGACATTGACCCAGTAGCATGTTGCGAAAACCCATTTGTTATATCGGCCACTGGTACTTCATTTGAATGCTCAGAATCCCCTGACCTGTTCATGAGAGGCTGCTTAAATCCCTTGTGAAAAAAAAAACATGTCTTTTGCTTCAACCCCGTCCCCGCATTGAAATTATGAAGAAGCAGCATCTAGATCGATGAACAAGGGGCCTGATAAATTCATCCCCTCCCCCTTTCTCCCGCAGGGCTACGTCATCTACCGCGTCCGTGTCCGCCGGGGCGGCCGGAAGAGGCCAGTCCCCAAGGGTATCGTCTACGGCAAGCCCAAGCACCAGGGTATCACCCAGCTCAAGTTCCAGAGGAACAAGCGCTCTGTCGCGGAGGAGCGAGCCGGGCGGAGGCTTGGCGGCCTCAAGGTCCTCAACTCCTACTGGATCAACGAGGTAAGATCAAGGAGAACGGGTTTTGAACTCTTCTTCCTCTTCTTCGACTTCAATCGGTCTGTAATCTGCTTCTGGATGCTGTGGTAAAGGATTCGACGTACAAGTACTTCGAGGTCATCTTGGTGGACGCGGCGCACAACGCGATCAGGAACGACCCGAGGATCAACTGGATCTGCAAGGGAGTCCACAAGCACAGGGAGCTGCGGGGGCTGACCTCCGCCGGGAAGAAGTACAGGGGCCTGCGCGGCAAGGGCCACCTCCACCACAAGGCCCGCCCCTCCCGGCGCGCCACCTGGAAGAGGAACCAGACCAAGTCCCTCCGCCGCTACCGCTGAAGACCCCCCCATCATCTTCGCCATCTACTCCAATCTCCACCGCCCCTCTGGATTGCTCGGTTTTCTCTTTCTTGTGGACGCACCGCGGTTTCGATTTTTGGAAGATCTCTGAGAGTTTCCGCCTAGTTTGGCCTTAAATGTCCCCCCTTTCCATGTCGTTATTGGGCCATTAATGGACGGCCCGTGATTATGGGAACCCGCTAACCACAGCCCAATCTGCCTACTGGTCCCTGTCGGGCCCACCCAAGACCATGACGTTTCCAGCCCAATGGCACTGTGCCATCTTGGTCCTGATGTGACTCAGCTCAAGCCCACTAGCTTCTGGGCCCTTTGATGTCCATTTGTTCTTCCTTGAAGCTCACAATTTCATCCTACACACAGATTATCTGCTAATTTTACTCCAGAAAAGGACATTTTTCGATGGGTGAGTCTCCTAATCTGGAACTAAGAGAGCCCCAAGAGAGAGAAAGGGAGGTGCGATATGCATCATGAATGCATCATGGGCAAGTTAACCGAAGACATTAGAATATAGTTCCGTGATCGTCGTATCTATAAATATATACATTTATGTGTTCTGTGTGTGTGTATGTGGGTGGGGGGGGTAGAGTAAGAGTGGTAGAGACGAGGGGAGGGGGTGGATGTGAGAAGCGTGAGGTGGGAAGGTTCTGATACGTGGACGGCTCGTCCGGTTGGAGGGTGGTGTCGTAGATCAGAAGCTTCCACTGGGAGGGAGCGGTGAAGATCGGGCGCTTTCCATGCCCTCTCGTCCCTCCAATCATTCGAAGCTCCGGGCGACGTCCCTCCAAGCACTCCCTCTCCTCCGAGGTGAGCACGATGCCACCCAGAGAGAGAGAAAGAGAGAGAGAGAGAGAGAGTAGAGAGGGAAGGCGAAGGTGGTGTGGTTGGGCTGGGCGCACCGAGACAAGAAATACCCGGCTTGTAACGCTGTAGTCTAATTAAAATATCATTTTTTCCCTCTTAGTATCCTCTCTCCTCGCCCAAGAGAGAGAGAGAGCTAGAGCTGGAATCTGGAGCTTGTGGGTCCCCATGTAGGACAGCTGTATGTGGGGTAGGTGGCAAATTTCGCACCGGTGGAACCCACATCTCCACATTCCAACCTTCTCTCTCTCTCTACACAGAGCCAACTCATTTCTACGTTTTATTTTGAAACGTAACCAAGCATATTACCACCTTAATTTATTTCATACGGGCCCTTCCGTCACCGTGCGATGGGCCCCAACCACAATGAGCCCAATAAACGCGATCAGCCCATAAAGGAAAAACCCTTAACACTCTCACAATCCGTAGTTAACAACGGAGTTTTTTTGGTTCTCGTGTTTTTTTATTTTTATGATAGGCCTATTTTTATATAATTAATTATTTATGAAAAATACGAAAAAGAGGTCTTCGTGAGGGACGTGTCTTGTACCCAGCGCGTGCATGCGGCATGTGGATGCGCGGGAGAGCGGGGCCCACCCGTACCAGACCCCACCAATCGGACAGTCCTCGATCCGTCGCCGTCACGATGCTTCCGGCTTATCAACACTCGTCTGAGGACATCAGATCGATGGATCCTCGCCGGCATTGACCATCCGATCGATAGGATCCGCACAAGCGATGTGATCGCGAGTGTTATTTCAGTTTTACGAGGGTCATTCTAACAATCGAAATATTTTCAAGGGACTTAATCGCAATAAACTATGACTCATACCAGACCTGATGCCACAGGTTTATTATGTGTAATTCACATATTGCACTCTTAAAAGGGTGATAAAAATATTTAAAGGACATTTTTACTACGAGAGTGGTGGTTTTTAGTTTTCGGGTGGGGCCCTTTTTTTTTTCTGAAAATAATAAAAAGCTCTTGTTTCCCGAAATTGCCGGGGATATATGTCCCATCCTCGCTAAACTTTCACACGCCTTCTGCTCCTCCTCGTCCTCCGTCGTCTACCACTATTACTACTACAACTACTACTTCCCTGCCTTCCTTCGCTTTCGCTATCGCGATGACAGCAGCAGATCTTCTGCGGGGCTGGGCGGGTTGCTGCTGACATCTGAGGGGGCGAGTGGCAAAGCAAATGCGCTGCGATGGGATGGCCTCGCCCTTCTTCCCACCCAACTTCCTCCTGCAAGTGCAGACGCCGGCAGCGGCGGAGCACCAGCACCACCAGCACCACCAGCAGCCTCCTTCCCTCTCCTCGCTGCTCCCTCCCACGCCCTGCTCCGGCGGCCGGGATTTCCCAGGTGAAGAGAGATCTCCGAATTGTTCACGCAGAAGACGATATATATATTTATCAGAAGGGGGGGGTGACGATGTGTGGACGGTGATGGTGCAGGGACGGCGGCGCTGCTGGGGAGGAGATCTGTGTCGTTCTCCGGGGCGGTGGCCGAGGAGGTGAACGGGGAGGACGATCTCTCCGACGAGTTCTCGCCGGCGGGGGAGAAGAAGAGGAGGCTGAACGTGGAGCAGGTGAGGACCCTGGAGAGAAACTTTGAGATGGGCAACCGGCTAGAGCCGGAGCGGAAGGTGCAGCTGGCGAGGGCCCTGGGGCTGCAGCCTCGCCAGGTGGCCATATGGTTCCAGAACAGGCGAGCGAGGTGGAAGACGAAGCAGCTGGAGAAGGATTACGACGCCCTCAAGCGCCAGGTCGACGCCATCAGAGAGGAGAACCGATCTCTCCAATCCCAGAACCAGAAGCTCGAAGCTGAGGTAATCGATTCTCTCTCTCTCTCGTAGGACCTCTGGCAACCGATGATTCCTGGTTTCCTCAATTGGGTCCGTCCGTCTTTTCACCTTTCTTGAGTAATAATGGCGGATACTACCAGACGCCGCAGAGATGATGGTTTCTCCGCAACGTGCAGATCATGGCGATGAGAGTGGAGAGGGAGGCAGCGGAGCCAGTGATCAACCTCAACAAGGAGACAGAGGGATCATGTAGCAACAGCTCCGACGTGAACCTGGACACGTCCAGAACGCCAGCCGGCGACAGCCGCCACGACCGCCCGCTACTTCAGCAGCTCCCTTCCCGCCCGGAGCTACCCTTCCCCAAGACGGAGCTCGGCGCCGGCCATGACGAGGGTTTCTGCAATGTCTTCTGCGGGCTCGACGATCAGCCCGCCTTCTGGGCGTGGCCCGAGCAGCACAGCTTCCACTGACCGATATCTCAAGCTGAGGTAAGATCGACATTCGCTAGAAGAGAAACTCCATGGGAGAAAAGAGTTGATAACTCCAGCTCTCTCTCTCTCTCTCTCTCTACATGGGTTGCCATGAAAAATAAAGGGGAGGTCCTCATCCCCAACAGCTTCGTCTCGTCAGGGAACAGGAAAAAGAAAAGAGATGAACTTTTTGCCGCCCCCCCTCCACCAGTGGACCTTTCCCTTCACAATCCAATTCTCCTCCCCCTACCTCTCCACTCGCTGTTTCATAATTTGTTCGAAAAATTCCACGGGCGCTGCAACCCGACGCCCTCTCCATCCAATTTCTCTTCTTTCAATCAAACCTACACGTTCTCTAGTGTAGACTAGCATACGATTGAAAGGAGAGCGAGAGAGAGAGAGAAAGAGAGAAAGAGAGAGATTAGATCGTAGCCTTCTCCTGGTAGGTCGTCGTCACCGTCGCCGCTGCCACGCAAGAGCCAGCGGCGGGATCAAACGACGAATGTGGGGCAGACAGAAAGCCCCACATGTTTGCGGAAATGGGGGAGCTCCTCATGGCCATGCGCGACCCCTCCCGTCATTCCTCTGGCGCTGCCTGGGCCTCCTCGAAAGAGGAAGCCCTCAGCGCTGGCGCTGTGTCGTCGTCTTCCTCCGTCTTCTTCCCTCTACGGTCAATCCCCATTGAAAGAGGAGATGGCAACTAGGAAATCATGAATATTAGTACAGAGAGAGAGAGAGAGAGAGAGAGAGAGAGAGAGATTCATACCCATCAGACCAGTAAAAAGAGGAGGGGTGGATGTGGACGAGGCCAAGCTCTGGCGGACCATGTGGAGCCCGGCGAGGCAGCAGGCTGGCCTGCGAAGGCCGGCCGCTGCGAGGTGGTGGCGCCCGCCGCCGGCGGTGGCCGTACCTGGCGCAACGTGCCGTGGAATCTCCGCGCCACCGATGGACCCGCCGCCGATTTCTCCGTAAAATAATCCGGTGAGAGAGCCGGTCGAGCACCTTCCGTGCCCCTCTCTGGAAGAGAAGCGAGCTCCGACAGGCGGAATCCCCGGCCGGGAAAGGCGGCGGCAGTCGGCGGAGCTCTCAGCGGAGCCCCGCACGTGGTTTCCGAAGAAGGACGGAGATGAATAAATAAATGGTCAAGACGTAAGAAGGGACCAGCACCAAGAAGCTAAGCCTGGTGGATCCACTGGCCGTTGACCCCAGAAAGCCTTAGATTACAAAGACGGGGGAGGACATTCTGCGAGCTTTCGATCTCCCCGATATCCCTTCTTCCCTCCAGGATATTATTGCAGGGGTCGGACAGTAATATGTAGAGTAGTAGGTAGAGCTTTCTTAAAAAAATCCCTAAAACACTACAATATTGCATTTTATGACGTCATCATTGTATTGATCAATCGAATCCTCACGCTTGAGTTTTTTTCTACGACGGCAGATATATAATTTAGTGGGCTCACAAGGGGTGCTGCAAAAATGTCTTCTTTTTAGGGGGGCATGGATGGGAAGTTTCGTAAACCGTGTAGACCTGAAGGAAAGAGAGGGAAGGGAGGGAGGGGCGGTCGCCTGAAGAGTTAATGGAAGGGGCTTCTGTTGGCGAGTGGTGATGAGAGAGGAGGCTGACGCCGACTACCTCAAGTATCTCCTCTGTGTGGTCACACTACTCGAAGAGCCAGCCCTGAGCTGGGCTCTCAGGATGTCCGACCCTAATCTGGATCTGCCCAATTGGTCACAGAGGGAGAGAAAGAGAGAGAGAGAGAGAGAGAGAGAGAGAGAGAGAATAGTAATCCATGTGTTAGGAGCTTGTGACGTTGTGTAAGTGGTCGGATTCTAAACGCATGCAGTTAGTCATCATTGCCGGTACCGAATTGAAGAACGTAACTGAAAGTTTCGAGGAATATTTTTTTTTCTCTAGATTCAAAACTTTTACAGGGTTTGATAAGCAAAAAAAGAAACCTTTTTGGATGTACAACAAGGTAATCCACGTTCAGTAATGAGAAGGATAAATAATCGTCGGATCAAGTACCTAGAACTTTGTGTCAGGCGCGCTAGGGGCGTTGGCCACGAGCGAAGAGGAGCCTGAAGGTTTCGACATCATCAGGTGTGAGAAGTTAGAGAGAGAGAGAGAGAGAGAGAGAGAGAGAGAGAGACTGATATAATGAGCATCACGTTCGATGTTTCAAGGGATACAAGTTACCCGGGTCAGGTGGCTTTCTTCTTGAGCTTCTTTCTTATGGTTCGGAGCTTCCTCCATTTGAGGAAAATCTGGTAGGAGAGACCGGCGAAGACCATGACGACGCTGCCCCACTGCTTGGATGACAGAGGGTTGCCGCTGAGGAGGGAGGAGACGACGATGCTGACAAATTTGCGGGTGGTAGTGATGGTGGTGTTAGCCAGCGAGCCAAAGCGGCTGATGGTGAGGAAGATGAAGTTCTGCCCCACCGCCCCGCAGAGGCAGTACACGAGGATGTCCCACGCCGCCTCCGGGTGCTCCCGGCAGAACCGCGCCGCCGCGTACCCGCTGCCGCCTGGCCAGCCGAACATGAAGACCACGTTGTAGACGGTGCCCCACAGGTTCATCCCCAGCATAATGTCCCACGCCGTAGTCTTCGGGTACCTGTGGGAAGGAGCAACTAGGGAGGTGATTTCACGGCGCTGGTCCGAGATGAGATCAGTAGATGAGATAGAGTCGCCATCTACCTCTGGGATATGGAGTCCTGGGTGGCGTTGGTGAAGCCATCGAAGGCGAGGTTCAGGAAGCAGAGGCCATAGCCGAGGGGGGCGTTGGGGTGGGCCAGCTTGCTCATGGTCTTGGAGCTGGTCTGCACCGGAGAAAGGATGAGAGAGGGTGAGCCTCATCTCAGCATTTCAATGGAGAGTCCGAGGAGGACAATGGAGAGGCTTCACCTTCATGAGGGCGAAAGATGATACGCCTCCTGCGACGAGGAGGGTGCAGATATACTCGGGGAGAGTGTAGCGTATGCCGTAGAGGAAAGTACCCATGAGCATCACTGTTGGAATAACGAGATCATTCAAAACAAAGAATCAGAGTGGGAGAAATATGAGCTAGTTCATATCAGAACACGTTGTCAAACCAAGTGGCTCACCTGGAATCATTTTTGAGGATTTTGCGAGGACCTACAAGAAAGGTGGGAAGGGTTTGTCACAGAGTGCCGCATTTGATGTCAGATGAAGAACATATTTAAGCTATGCAAGACGTAACTATAACTTCAAGTAAGCAGACAATAGCTCACAAGTACGAGCTACGCTTGTCAATACAGAAAATGGGAAGAGCGGGGTGGTAGGATATCCAAAAACTGCAAAATGCATGAACCAGCATCGTTCATTAATTATTTTTAGGAGGAGCATTTCTTGTACATAATTCACAGCCCACAGTCCACAACATCCACGTGGGCAGTTCAATCGTATGCGTATACAGTGTTCAACGCAAGAATCAGCATCCTACCACTGAATGGATTTCTTTTCGACAACGGGTACTTTTGAGCTACTTTTCTTTTAAAGGGGTGTGAAAAAGAAAGGAACTTTAAAGGCGTGATTTTCCAAGGGCATTTGAACTTTTATAGCATAAATCATCAACGATGAGATAACGAGACATTATGAAAAGGAGATTCTTTTTTAAGAGAGCATATACCTCAAAAAAAAAAAAAAGGAAACAAGAAAGAAAAATCACGTGACATATTTTGTAAGAGGTGCAGAGTACGCGAAGTACCAGATTTGTGAGGTACCATGAATTGAAAAATCTCGGTTTTCCAAGGGATATGGAAGAATAATCGGACAGGAATCCTCCAAGAGAAGAAATCCTTCAAAATATTTCATTGTAATAAGCTTTATCATTCCATGAGGTCGTCGACTTTCCATGGAGTGGAGGCATCACGTAGAACACATGTTATTGTGAGAAAATACAGCGTCACAAGGGAAAATTGTCTGTGTTATCGTAATGTGTGGAGTCTGTTAAGCTCAGGGACATGTTGACCAAGCCTCCTTATACATTTAGTGTCCCATCGTACACCTTCTAACTCTGACTCAACACAACACACTCAGTGTAGTCGTCGTGGATGTAGATTACCACTCATCTCTTTTCCTCTAATGTGGGCTCTTCGTCATCAGCTCTTATGGGTCATAGACAGGTCTCGTTCTCGACTCTTTGCTGAGTCAAGAAACAGATGTCCCTTTCGACCAAAGTTCAGGTAGGAAAAAACTTCCTATTGTAAGCCAGAGATGTCATATAGGGACATGTATTGTGTCCAGATGTGAACAATTGTATTACGAGAGTGTTGGTGGGGATGAAGCGTAAGATCTTGAACATAAGCTACCCAACTAAAAACTGAAAAATAGAATGCTTCTTTGGAAAACGAGATGACTGTCGTAGAAGGGACTGGTTTGGAGTGCATGCAATTGGTGCATACGTGCTTCTACCTAATTGGATAGAAAAACATGAATCAATACATCATATTCGTACATCAGAGTGCCGAAAAGATGCCAAAATCATCATAAAATCTAAGGTGAATGGATATCTCTCCTTCCCTGTATTGGAAAAAGTAGGCACAAGGGAGACAATAAAGTTCCTGTTCATAGCAGATATCAACGTACTCATTTGTTTAGGAGTTTATACTAAAACCATTGATCGAAAGTTTGGCAAATTCTTCTTTCAGAACCTGCCCAAAGTCATTGGCAAGGTGGTATACAAGAATTGATATCAAAAAATTTCATCACTTAGTGGATGAGTATGTCTTTTCATCAATTCCGCTGAGAAGAAACTTACCTACACGTTGAGGATCTTTGAGTTCACAATTCGGGTTTTCCAAGGATAAAAGCCACTTCCTCTATAATCTAAGGCCTGGTTATAGGAATTTTACTTTGACAATGGCATTTGAATACACTTCACGGCTTCATAGTTAGTCTTACAAAAAATTTCATGCGTCCAAGCTGAACGCGTGCTACTCAATAAAAATGCATTAGGCACATTGACAGAGCAGACAAGTAAACATGACGGACTAAAATCAAGTAAAAATCATAAGATGAAACTTGATAAGTTTTCAGAAAAAGTATATGCAAAAAAAATGAGCATGCCTGTGCTGGATAACTGATGTATTTTAGAGCTTCAATCCCCATTGCTGGACCGATTGTGTTTGTGATACTAGGACTCCAGTAACTCCACCATGGAGCACCACCACTCGAGCTTCTTGACCACAGCTTTAGCACTGATAAATAAGAAAATGTGTGGAATGTTACTATTACATTAAAAAACGCCAAGAATTCTCCATCAAGATTCACGCGTTCAGAATTTAAAAAATGGAAGGACACGCGACAATAAAATTCAATGTTCATGAGAAATAAAAAAATACTTACTCATAAAAGACCATATGAGACAGACAACATTTTGTGCAAGGTTCAAAAAAGCAAGGTGCTCAAAACGCTTGCCGTCTGGTCCAAACCTTTTTGTTGATCTAGAAAGAATAGGACGAGCTCCGTCAGTATACTAGCCAAAAACAAAGGCCATGAACAAATCATGTTTGACGTTTTTACTCTAAATACATGCAATAACAGAGGTATGATAATCTTATGCCATAAAATACTACCGCAGGATTACGGATGCCTTGGCAGCTTAGGATTGGATAGGAATTTTTTTTATAAATGGGCAATTGCATGATCGGTGAATTCTCTGGTTGAGAAAAACCAACCAACAATAACATCAGCACAAATCATCAATCGATCAAGGGGTATATATCCCCCATATTTTTGAAACATTTTATAACACCAAAATAAAGATTCCCTAGCTTCCACAATGAACAATATTTTCCACTAAACTAACAGATAATTAAAAATGGGAGAAATTGGATCTCTGGAAGACAATGTTGTCAATTCGGTGTTATCCAATCTTCATTGTCGAAAGATCCATTCAAGGAACTCAATAAAACGAAAATTCAAATTAATCAACGCACGTAAGAGGCTTAGCTACTTCATTCGCACATTAACATGTTTCAATTCGAAGAGAGAAAGGATTGGTGTTATTCGAAGATTTCAAAAAAATTATACGATTTAGTGAATAATAAATTCAATATTTTTTTTCCCACATGTCCTTCTGAGTGTTGGCATCAGCAACTCTGCAATCTGTAAGTTCTCCCAGGCAAGCCCAAGATCCGGGCCAATATCAAACAGTAAAATGAACAACATAATGAAAAAAATAAGAACAACCAGCGGCCTGAAAATCAAAGATTTCTAAATACTCACACAGTCTCCTGAAGGACGCCCTGGGTGATGTAGGCGAACCATATCCCAGCAACACAGAACGCCAACACCAGAATCCGGCCAAGGCCACTGCCGCCTCCGCCGCGCCGATCCTCCATCTCTACCGTACGAATCCGTACGGCGGAGGTTTCCGATCTGTCCGGCGGGATCAGGTCCGTCCGGCTGGCGGGGAAACGGCGAGGCGACACAACTAAGAGACCGTTTCTGGCGATCACACCGGAGCAGCATTTCCCTCCTCGACTCGCATTTTTATACCCACCCCCCTTCATTCCACGTGGTGGAATACCATTGGGCGAAAAGACATGGCGCCCTCCTATTGGCCCAAGAGACGCGGGGACTTGAGGACCCTGCTTATTGTGTCCTGCGATTCTAGATAAATTAACCTGAGCCCATCGTACTTTCACTCTGACAAACAAGTCTTTTCAGGCACACAACCCGACCAAAAACGGTGCCGCAGGAACATGAACATCGATCGCATTGGGCCGACCAACTCGCTGTTCAGATCCATCTGTGTATACGGCAAAAGACTCGCCGGCCCATTAACTTAAGAGGCCCATTATTGACACTGAGGCGTCGCTCCTCTCGGCAATCTATCCTGTTGACTATGCGACCACGGTGGACGCGTACCGTAGATGGCGCCCAATCACAAGGCTCTCCGTGGTCCCCACCACCTAACATATTTAGTGGGGAAATATATATTAGAGACTGCTTATGGAAAAATAATTAGTGTTTTTAAATATCCATTAAATCGTATATATTATTTATTAGTCCGGATTAATAAACTCTAAATAAAGAGGAAAAACTATTATTTCGAGGCATGGTTTTTTTATAAAATGTTATTTTTTTTCCGGGGATCCGTTGGCTGTCCCAACGCGAAGATGGAGGAAATTTTAAATAATGCCAACTAACCCTTGCGCCAACAACTTCCTGTTCCTGGTTTTTGACCACCATTTTTAGAGAATTGCGTATCAGACCACCGGGACCTTAACCACGGTTAAGCTAGAAAAGAGCGGTCAGGTCGTGCCACGGAATCATATTCCCAACTAGAGAGAGAGAGAGAGAGAGAGAGAGAGAGAGAGAGAGAGAGATGTGGACGCTCCGTTGACGAGGTCCGCCCATTCTTTTATTCTCTAGTCGACGGAGCATCTATTACCCACCCGCACGTGTCAGATTCTTAGTCAGAGTAGTTAAAAGAAGGGCTTTTACAGAATTAATGGCAATCTATGCAGCTTTGGCTATGATAAAAATTTCTTATTAGACTCCGGTGAAGGATATTTAGAGATGTACCTTACCAAACCCGGGATTGTTGACTTCTGCAGTAAGTAAAATTACATTATCACCGGATTTTTTTTAGGTTTTATGGACAGATACCGACGTAAGAAATACAAATAAAAGTCATTATGAATAATAAAAAAGTACGTGTATGGATGCTTTATTTGGTTTTATAAAAGTAAAATATCACGATTTAGATAATCGGCAAGTCATAATTATTGGTTCCTCTAGTATTTAATGGCAATTACCTTGATGAACGTGCCCACAGATATTTCAATTCAGGGATAGTAAAAAAATATATTATCAGTAAGGATATTTCTCCAACAGGAAAAGAACATCCACTGGTCCCTAGCTATTTTCATTTCCCTCCACCGGACTCCATCGCTGACCTCCGATGCCTCTCTCACCCCCATAACGCTGCTCCGCTCTCTCTCTCTCCCCCCCCCCCTCTCTCTCTCTCTCTCTCTCTCTCTCTCTCTCTCTGTCTTTCTCTCCTCTCTCTCTCTCTCTCTCCCTCCCCTCTCCCTCTCCAAGGCGGCGTCAGATCTCTTTGCCGGCATCTCGGGTTGCCTCCTCCCAGGTGAGCTCTCTCTTCCTCTGCCGGTCAGTGTCGGTGGCTGGCCGTTGCTCCGGCAAACGAGGGCCCTTCAAGTTTCTCCTCCGCCGCCGGCAGAGGGTGCAGTTCTCTCCTTTCCGGCGGCTCCGCCGTCCGCCGCCGCTGCTCTTCCATCTCTTCTCAGGGGGGCATAATCCTCCTATTGTTTTCTTCAGGATCCCCCTCTTCGACGTAGTCGTCGCAGATATCATTTTTTTTGGGCACACAGAAATAAGAAAAAAACGTGATTTTTTCTACTAACGGCTCTCTTTTCTCTCTTGACAGTGTGGATATGGAGACAGCTGCGCTGGTGGCGCCCGCCGTCACGCCGCCCATCGCCGCGCCGAACCTGTCTCTGCCCGTCGCCGCCGGCTTCCTCGCCGCCGTCGCTTTCCATGTCGAGGTAAGAACACTGCGTGGGATCTTCCAATTTATCAAAAAAAGAGCATTTTTTATCGACATGCGTATGAAAGTAGTATACTAGTTAATTAAGTAGGGGGGTTTCCGCAAAAGGTACCTGTGGGCACCCAGTCGTTATGGGGTGGGGTCCCCGGCATTCGTTCGGATCCCAAAATAGACAACAATTTGATTTACAGAAGCTTTGAGTTCCGGTGGTCCCGGAGTTAGTAATATCCAAATCTAGGGATGGATTCGGCGATCAGGCGTCGACGTGCGGACCGTGTGTCCGGAGTCAACCTGGGCTATTATTCAAATATAACCTCTTTAAGGGGTCTATTTGTAAACGTGCATTCATCCCTGCTCTCTCGCCTAAGCACTCTTCTTGGTCTCCCCGCCGACGAGACGGTCGACGATGGGAAGTGAGAAAGATATAATTTTGACCACTAATTAAGTGGCTATGTATTCCCTCAGGACCTGATCGGAGTGCTGCTAATGGGCGGCGGCGCAGATCCCCGAGGAGCGCGGGGGAAGACCCAGCCGGAGGCCTCCGACGCGGAGAGCGACGGCGACGGCGACGGTGATGGCGACGGCAGCGAGGGGGATGCCGCAGAAAGCGAGCAGGATGATGAGCAGGAGGCGGGCTGGAATGAGAACGCCGACAACGGCAAGAAGACGCCGGATGGAGACGCCGGAGGAGAGGAGAACGGGGAGGAGGGGGAAGCAGTTGACGGCCAGAGAGAGGGGAATGAAGACGATGGCGACGACGACGACGATGACGACGATAACGACGATGGAGATGAGGAGGAGGAGGTAGTCGAAGGTGAGGAGGAGGAAGAAGAAGAAGATGGGCCAGAGGAGGATGAGGAAGAGGAGGAAGAAGAGGACGAGGATGAGGCTGTGCAGCCCCCGAAGAAAAGGAAGAAGTGAAAGAACAACGGATGATCCTTTCCCGGAGAAGAGGATCGTCTTTCTTTCATTACCCCCTTCTTATGCACTTGACCCTGTTCTTCTGTTCTTGTCTGATCCCCCTTGCACCCATCTCTTCTGAGATCTTTTCCCCCCTGAACTGTTATCCAGCCATGGCACTGCGAAGGAACACTGCAGGCGCTTTAGATGGAATCGTATGCCAGTTCTGACGTGTTGTTGTGGTAATCCATCTCTTGACATATAAACCAACTAATCTGGATAGTAAGCGCTTAATAGATCGAGACAGGAATATATTCGAACACTAACCAGCTGTCCTCCAACCCGTGTGGGTGTGTGCGTGAGAGAGAGAGAGAGAGGCTACCCAGAGGCCACCATGGGCAGTATGAGCAGTCTTTAGAACATGGCGGGCACGATGTAAGGCACCGCCAAATACTGCATACGGAAACCATGGCTTCTGTCTGCAAATCCGCACAACCAACCGTGACTCGATAAGGCGGGATGTCTCCCCGCGCGCCGTACATCTCGTGCTTATCCAAATCCCGGCTGCGGACCACCCGCTGTGGCCAGTATATATCCCTCTCACTGCACTTTTGTAGCCGCAAGCGTGGAAAAGTACCAGTTTCTGAGAGAGTGAGAGAGACAGAGATGGCGGATATTGCACTGCTAGTGGTGGAAGAGTACGAGAGGAGGAAGAGGAGAGATGAGGAGCAGATGGTGGGGATCGGCGGCGTGGTCTCGTCTTACATCTCGTCGTTGAGCAGGAGGGTGGTCTCTTCCTCCATCAAGGGGAAGGCTGCGCAGGTGGGAGCGATGGAGATGGAGGGATTCAGGAAGCCAGTTGCGCCAAAGAGCCCTTTGGCCCTCGCCGCCTTTGAGGGCTTCTTTCCCGCATGATTCCCCTTCCTTCCCTTCTATGTTCCGGTCTTCCTCTCTTCCTCTTCTTCATCCCTTCTTCGTCTTCTTCTTCTACTTCTCCTTCTTCACAGTAACTGTAATTTCCCAATACAGATGTTGATTAGTTCGCAAAGAAAGCTAGCGCTAGTCCTTTTCTGAGCTATCTAGCGCATATGCGTGTGGGTGAGAGAGGATAGTGAGAGAGAGGTAAGTTGTGAGGGTAAACTGGAAAGATGTAAATGATTTACAACATATCTAGAGAAGACGGAGATTGCTGCTAAGTAATATCTTATCTCGAAGCTTAAAGCGGTAAAGGCAGAAGTATGAATATAGAGAGACATTTTTGTCAGATAAAATCATCTTAAAAATGCAAAAGATGCTGAGGTAAATGTATAACATCAGGCTTATATAAGGTGTCGAGAATATTGTTACGGAGAGAGAGTGTGTGTGTGTGTGTGTGAGAGAGAGAGAGAGAGAGAGAGAGAGACTTTGATATAATTTTTTTCTTTTAGAAAAAAGTATCAAGATAATTATGTAATTACAAGGACATGCTGTGATATGGAGGGCACATTTAGTCTGAAAGAGAGAGAGAGAGAGACAGGTAGAGATATTTTGGGGAGAGAGAGAGAGAGAGAGAGAGAGAGAGAGAGAGAGAAGTTTTTAGATAATATCTTCTTTTAAAGGTAAAAGGCACAAAGATAAATATGTAAACCACAGGGCTATATTATGATAGGAGGGCATATTTACTCTGTGTGTGTATGAGAGAGAGAGAGAGAGGGGGGTTATTTCTAGATAATACCCAAGAGAAATGCCCGAACAATAGGGTTGTCACGCGCTAGTCATATAAAAGGATAAGCATAAAAGCCGTAGACGCGCCGATGCAACCCATTGCCACGTGGAATGGAGAATTGACTTCTGATTCGGATTCTCGTTTTTGTAGAATGGGGCCGGCCCAACCTACCAACCATCAGAGTGATCAATTAGAGAGCCCAACCTCCCAAAATAGGCTTTTGGGCCTTCTACCCCAAGACCAGTACACTGACATATTTATTACGAGGAAGTTCCAGTTTCTGTCTGCATCTGAGAAGAAGCTTCAATTCTAGGCTTTTGGCCTCTGCGCCGCCGCGTGTTTGCTGGAGTGAAGAGCATGCAGGCGGCCACCGCAGGCCCCCACGTCTCCGGCAAACCGGGGCCCTCTCGGCCACGTAGAGGCACTTGCAGAGATCCTACAACGACCGCAAGGCCAGCACCCGTTGGCCTTCTCTGTCTTTTCTCTCTTTTCTCTCTGGCAGGGCCATCTGGCGGGGAAGGATCCGCCGTCGTCGTGCATGCTAACCACGCGGTGGCGGCCACCGGGTTGCTCTCCGACCGTCGCCTCCTACTTAATACCCTTCATCGTCCTCCTCCGTCTCCATCTCTTTCTCTCTCTCCCCTTTCTCTCTCTCTTTAGATTGAATGTCGATAGGCCGGCGGGTTCTTTCAATGTCTACTGAATGAATCTGATTCTTCTCCAGTTTCGCGTCGTCGGCGTACGTCAGCTATGGACACGAGCGCCACCGCGGGGACGGGTACTGCGCCGCCGCCGGTGGGTCTCCCCGAGGGGACCAGCCGGGAACTGCTGCGGCTGGGAGGCGGCGCCGCCCAGCTCCACCTCTTGTGCGGTGGCGCCGACGAGTCGGTGCCCCGCGTGCGATGCGGTGGCTTCGTCGTGGTCGCCGCCAGAAGGGCTGGCAGCCCCCTCTCCCTGGTGGGTTGCGCCGTTGGGGAGCTCCAGTGGCCCCTCGCCGGCGACTCCCCAGTTCTCCGAGTGGGGCCGAGGAAGTTCTCCTTCGCCTTCCCGGGGTTCTTCTACGGCCTGACTCTCCCCGAGGGCTGCGCCGACGGGGAGCTGGCGGCGCTGATCACCATCCTCAAGACCTTCTGCAACTACCAGGACCACGCCGGGGAACGAGGCAAGTCATCCGTCACCACCTAGCTCGAAGATCGCCAGCGAACCAGTCGAGTGATTCTACTAACAGTGGGCTCCGCTTCATGCTCCGTGAACGCAGACGACGACTTCTGCAGCCGGGATTCGGAGGTGGAGTTCTGGGCCATGGCGTACGCGAAGATAAGGAGCCTCTCCGTCGGGGCGGCGGCGCCGCCGCCCCTGAACGCCGCGGGGAGGGAGCAGACGGCGGCGAAGATGCAGAGGGCGCTGAGGGCGTCCGCCGCCACCAAGCTGGTCGCCAAGGTCCTCGTGCAGGACGCCATTGATCCCGGCCGCCACATCGAGCTGGCCGGCGGCGCCGCTGCGCCGGGGGGGCGGCCCTACGTCCTCGCCGGGATCCGGGCGGTCTCTGACGTCGTCGACGCCGTGGAGGCGGCGAGGGGTATCGGGGTTGGTGGCTGGTCCCCGGCGTCGGAGCAGTGGCTGCCGCCACCGGAGCGGAGGGCGTACTGGCACTTCAACGTGGCGGGGCTGACGCTGGTCCTGCGCGCGGTGGCCGCCGTGACGGCGAGGGCCGGGCGTCTGGCCGGCCAAGGAACGGGAGGCCATCGCAGCGCCGCCGCCCTCGCCGGCCAGCCCGGCGGCGAGACGAGAACGGTGGTGGAGAACCAGAGCTATCGCCTCCCCACATCTGTGCGCCCTTCCATGTCGTAGGATCGATCAACCAAAAGATAGGTAGTGATGACAGCTCCATTTCATGGCGGAATACCATCTAGAACGACTGATTCTGTAAACCAAAAGTGTGGAGAAGACCGATCGAATCTCCGGCTAAGACGACGACGACGACGAGAGCAGAGAATTTGCAGATCTCAATTGCTCTCCCCCTCCTCCCGGAAGGATTGATCGGGGGAAAACCAGGCGAGAATCCACTCGAGCTCGAAGGGGTGGGGAGGACGAACGGAGGGAAGGATGAGGGCGGAATAGGTGGAGGAAAGAGAGAAAGAAGATGATCGGCTTCCCCAGACCTTCCCTCCCCTCCTTCGGCAGAAGGTGAAGAGGACGCCGATCGATCTCACATTTTCAGCCACCAAAGTCGACGAATTGCACTATCTCTGTTGACCGTTCTTCAGTCTCTGATCCTGCTGTTCTGCTCGAGAACTTTCCCACGCCATGTCCTTGCAGAGATCACTCTTTGGTTCGATCAAATCCCGTCCTGAGCTCGTTCAATATCTTCTGGTGAGACCGAATCTCTCATGATTTGCAGGAACTTGCGATTGAGGAGAAGAACATGGAGGGAAAACTCTCATGATTCTTCTTCTTCAGCGTGATCGTGAATCTTGTGGGAGGCTCTGGTGCGGTTTGCTGGAACGATGGCCTCATCAACATCTCCCCGAGAGCTTGCTTCCTGCCTGCCCATCAGCAATGCGCTCCACATTTCACTTCTAGGGTTCAAGAGAAATTGTGAATAAGGGGAGAAATTTCTTAGCAGTTCAAGAACATGAACCCGAATCACGAGCTATCAGACCTAAAAGACCCTCCTCGGTTACAATGATCACAGTAGAAGACGCACCACAACCCTGAAGGCCCGCCACAGGTACGTGTTCGCCTTCTCAATGTTCTTCCAATCGGAAGAACAGGACGATCATCTCCGGGCAAACCCGCTCTTCTTCCCAGCTTCATCTTCGTCGAGCTGAGGTCGGAAGTGAGCGAATAATCTTTCATGGCTCACTTGGTTTGCTAGGCTATATAAAATCGAAACAGGGTTAATCGTCAAAAGCCCACAGTGTCGCGAAACTGGCATTTGAATCTCAATGAAGAACATCATGAAACCGGGCGCTTCTTCCACTTCCTCAAAAAACCTGAATTGTCATTAAAAGAATCCAACGTTCTTCAACAAACCTTGCTTCTGGTAGGCCATTCGAGTAACATTTACTTAATATGGACGGAGGATCTGTAATCAGGTCGCCCTCAGCAGAAGGCCCATTGCCAGACATCGGCTGCACGAGAGGAGATGACAGAGGGTCAAACCAAGGCCGGCGTTTCTGTTTAAAAAGAGAAGGAGAGAGAATGTGGCAAGGGAAGACTGCTCACTCTCATAGAGGCAATGGAGTCACTGTGCCCTAATCCAATTCGTTGGGAACGACAGACATTACTGAGAGCGGTGTTGATAGAACGCCATGCCAGAGGACTGAAGAGGCCTGTAGCTGGGCAGTGCAGGTTGAAGTGTCATCGATCCCTGCATGGCCATTGGCGGTGGTGGTGGCGGTGCTGGAGTCTGCACGATGGCCATGCCCTGTTGCTGCTGTTGGTGCTGCTGCTGCTGCTGAGTCAACTGGGGCCTGGCTAGATTCATCACCTGAACTGGTGGCGGTGGCGGTGGGAGGTTGGAATAAGTGTAAGGGACCCCGATCAACACAGCACCTGATGGTTGCACGCTGTACTGTGGTGGGTTAGGGAACACGCTGTACTGTGGCTGCGGCATAGAAGCTTGGGACTGCATGGCCTGCTGGGGAACGAGCACTGCCTGGTGCTGATGTGCCGAAGTACCGCCAAGCGACTGAGCTGGAACAAAGCCTGTCTCAGAGACAGCAATTGATCTGCCGTCCGAATTCGGCAGCCCAGCGGCTGATGAGAGGTTGGCGTTCTTCGCCTCCTCTGCCGCAAATGATGAAAGCACCGAGGTCATTATCTGCTGGGACCGGGAGGACGCCGTCAGCTTGTCGGCAATCTCCGCGGCTATTGCCGCGGCCGTCTTCTTGGGCTTATCAGCTCCCAGGATGCCCATGTTCGCTTGCCTGGGAATCGGTGGCTCGTTGTTCAGCCGACGGCACATGTTGGTGGCTTCATCAATCTGCGCCTGAGCCACCTGCTCACAAGAGAATCCCCACAGATTAAGAGCAAAGTGGGGGAAACCTCGGGCCCTCACCAGACCTGATCCCTCATCAGCAAACAGATACCTGCAACTGGGTTCGGACACTCTCCAGCTCCGATTCCTGAAGGACAAAAACCCAGACAGCAAACCGGGTGAAACCCTCTCCCTGATCATCAATAGCCACCAAATCAAATGGTTTTTTTTCCAGGCTTTAAGCCTGATCTTCCTTTTATGTTCCCCTCAATTACGGTTGGACAAGAGGGGGAGCAGAGTCTTCAATGCAAACCTGCTCATGCAGAGCTTCCCTGAGCTGGGAGACCAGAGCGGCCCTGTTCATCTCCACCGACAATAGCTTCTCAACGCATTGCTTCAGGATAGACTCCTGCTCCTGCAATTCCTTGGCCAGCGACACCCTCTGGGCATCCCCTTCTAAAGATGATCAAAGAAAAATATAATATTAAAAATATGTAAATATATATATATATATATACATATATATATACATATATATTACGTCTGCATGAAGGAATGGAGATTGAAGTTCCACTCACCCTGGGCACAAGCAATGTCGACATCCTTCTCCATCTTCCCCACGCGGTGGACCGCCACCTGGCACTCACGCAACTCATCATCTTCATTCTGGCGCTCACTGATCACAGCGTGGAATGCCGACACTATCTTCTCAGCAGCTCCTCCCACCGACAATTTCTGTGGTTCGGTTCGCCGGTTCATCAGGCCCACACACAATGCACCAAGAAATGGAGAGAGAGAGAGAGAGAGAGAAAGAGAGAGAGGACGTGCTCACTATTTTGACAGAACGTGAATCCCGCTTTATGATTCTGACCGAGCGGGAGCGCTTCTGGCTGAGCTCCAACACTGGCGGCGGTTCATTGCCCAGCATCAACTCCTTGAGGTCGTGCGTCCGCGATCCAAAGACCCTCCTTTCCTCCCATATCCCGACCTAGAAATGGACCGTAATAATGCCTTACTGAGACCTCAATATTCTATAAAAGCCGAGAAAATTATAAACGCGACAACCATTGATTTCTAATTTAATAATATTTTGGGTCTGCTTGCCCTAAATTGTGATAAAACAAGACGTTTTTTAGACAGGGGATATCAAAAGCAGCTTCATTGGTTGACTTGAATCATACCCCCGAAAAAAAGTCAGCACAGAGAAAAAGGAACAGATGGTCAATAATTGAACGCAATTAAAGCTGCATACCAGTCGGGAGACCACGCTCTTTGCACGGTCATCGCCGGCCTCTAAGACTTCCTTGAGCGCAGCGGGAAGAACCTTCCAGAACTCTGACACGAACTCGTTCCCTTTGCGACGGCTGTTCTGTATGATGTCGTTGGCAAGGTACAGAAAAGGCACCTTCTGCTCCTTCTGAGAGCTGTGGAACTGCTTATCCCATGTGTGGACGACTAGCTCCGCCTTCTGCCGGTGGAAGATGCACCAATGCGACAGCGCTAGAGGAATTCGAGTTAATTGAACAAATTTTTGAAATGCAACAATGAAACTCGATATTATCTTCTTGATTCCTCCACAGCTACGGGGACGAGGACTGAATCGATTAACTATGAAGGTGATGAAAAGAAAGAGGCCGCATGATCATATCGTGGGGAAGATGAATCAGAAGAAAAGGGGAGAGAGTACGAAAAGGAGGAATTCGGCACTGTTTCTGAAGGGCTATGAAGAAGGATACTCTCGATGCATTGCTGGGTGTTGTTAAGCTTGGAGAGCTTATCCGCCAAGATCTGCTCGTCGAAGTTGCTGTCCATCCCAACCCAAGAATGACCTCCTCTCTCTCTCTCTCTCTCTCTCTCTCTCTCTCTCTCTCTCTCTCTCTGTCTCGCCGTCAAACCTCCAGGTAATCCTGGAAGAAGATGAATCAAAGCAGGCAGAAAGAGAGTCAAAATCGCAGAATATGCCAATCTTTTCATAAGCACCAAGCAATCCCGATCGTCAAATTCCATCCGCAGCCTCGCAGCACGACGAACAGACGGAGAAAAGAAATTGGAAAAAAAGCAGCGGGAAATCCGTGCGAGGGAATGGAGAGAGTAGAAAGAGAAGGAAACACGGCGAGCCCTCAGAAGGGACTCAGCCGTTTCAGGTAAGAAAACTGCAAAGCTTTCGGGGTTCCACTCAAGAAAAAGCGAAAGAATCGTGAGATTTTCCCACCGCGAGAACAGCTAGAATCTCGGACTGAACTCAGTACGCTACTAGAAATCAACCCCGAGGGAGAAGACCTGGCTCGCAGAAAGAGATAATACGACGATGAAGAGGGCCCTAGAGGAAGACGATCGACCTTCTTGCTCTCCCACGGCATTGCTGCCGAACCCGCCGCGCCCACTTGCCCCGGGCTAGGGTTTCCAGAAAACCTAGGACACCCTACGCCGTTGCGGCTTGTCGACGAGTTGCTGCACCAACCTACCTCTCTTCCCCTCCCGCGGATCACTTCCCGAGCTAGGGTTTTCCTTCTTCGTCAGACTCCGCAGCCCGACCAGGAGATGGCGTGTGGGACGCCGCCGGCGTCGTTTTGACCTTGCTCAGAGCCAATCGTCCAAAAGAGTCAACACAAGATGCGCTCGACCTACTTTGACTGGATTCCCGAAAATAATTACATATTTTTTGAAAAAATATCGCAGGGAGAATAAATAAGTTCATTACTTGATTTGGAAAATATATAATTCACATTATTATTCGTAATAAAAAACTCAGTCTCACATGCGCCGATTTGGGATTGAAATCGACGATCCCTGATCTCCCTTTTCCTCTGTCCTACACAAACATCTATCTTTTAATTTATTTGAATAAACGAAAATAACATAATAGTGATTAGCAATTTCATGTATTTCAATGACAAAATAAAAAATAATAATACAACACTTTAAAATTAAAATAATATATTTCCAATTTTTCATTATATAAATAAATCCAAGAAGAAGGATATATAGCTTAGATAATTACCACAATTAAAAATATTGTATTTATAGTTTTTTCATCAAAGTTTAATTTGATTAAATGACCAGAGTTAAACAAGGATATATAGCTTAGAGACAGCATACGAAAATTCAATTATGTCAATCAAGCTTTCATGAGACTCATTCAAGACTTACTTGAAATGTACTCAACAAAAAATAAGAGCTTTAGCTATGCTTATAGAGATAGAGGTAGGCAAAAGTAAATCGATACATATTCTATATGAGAGGCAATTGCTTCCAAAAAGATAATTAAATAAAAGATATTTTTAAATTATATATAGAAAATGGTTGAAACAAAACCCCACAGAAGAAGATAAAAATAAATTAAGATAAGTAATAGAAATGAATGAGCATGTTTCAATAAATAAATAATGAATTTATTCCACTTTTGATTACAACCTAGTAATTCAATATGGATTCTAATTTGTCTTTTTTGAAAACTTCAATTTTGAGTTAAAATTGAAGCTTTAAGTCAATTGAAGAGTATAGTATGCTTATTATTTATTTATGATTCAAGGACCAATAGGTCTAAATATTGACTTTGAGGGTGAAAAACCTAACTTTGGATGCCCCGACTTAAACTTAACTTGTATGAAATAACATTAAACTTCCACATTAAGTTTTGATATGTACTTGTTAATTTAAACTTTGGCTCTTATTCTAGATCATCATGAGGCTTTCTTGAAGGAGTAAATAGCTTGACTTTGGTGATATATAGAGGCCCAATGTAAGCTTTTCATTGATTTGGTTGAATCCATGCTTGAATGACAAGATTAAGAGATTAGGTAGAATCAACTTATATTTGATCATAGTATTAGAAAAGGTAGAATAAATCCAAAATACTTAGTTTACTACTCAACCAACCTATATTTAACATTCTTTTCATTCTTCTCCTTTATGCATGACTCTCAAAGTCTAGATTTTGTCATTTCTACTTTCCTTTGCCTCGATTCTTCTTATATTGTCTCATCTTTCACTTCATTCACTAGAGTTAATAGCTATTAAATTATCAAATCCTCACTCTATGTGGATCGATTTGGGCTCATCCTAACTACCTAGTAGTTAGTTAGAGGCTAGTTATATACATTTATTTGATTAGATAGGATCCTTAGATCAAATAATACCAAAAAAATCTTACTAATCATTGACCTTCATGCTACTTTCTTTTTAGAAGAATTCTTAATACTCCTCTTCTACCACCCCTTATCTTCTCTTTATAATCATCTCATCTCTCTTAGAACATAGTACTTGTTTTTGATATTTGTGAGCTATCTTCTTCTCATGCAGCTCTTTCTTCGATACATGCGGGAGTGCCTTTGTGATATTTGATGTAAGTTTGGAGAGGTAGTATGTCAACTATCAAGTTTTCTTCCAATTGAAATGTGATGGACTAATTAGTAACTCATGAACATCTCGATTAGATATAATTACCATGGGCATACCTTAATTTTCTATGACATTATTGAACATCAATTAGGCGGCCTCTTCTATTATGTAACAATATTTTGTTGAACAAAAATCTCATATGTAGAATAATTATGACTTTTTAAAATAGTGGGTGATAAAATCTAAGATGATGGTGTGCCAAAGTGTCTCTGAAATAAGTAATGATTGTAGTAGGCCTATCTATCTTTGCTACTTTATTTTATACTTAGTAAATTAAGCATGACTCTATTTAAGCTTCATTGCCCTTCTCCATATAGGTTAAAAAAAGTTATAAGTAGCTTTAATAGTCATTGTTGTCTCAATTGATCAGACTATAAGATGTTTTGTGCCTCTATAACTAATGCTTACCAGAAATCTCCAATGATCAAGTTATATATCCATCATCCTTTTATATATGTGAGGTTATCATCCACTCAATATCACCATGTCATACTATCTTGAATTCGGATTAAAAGTTTGTGTGTAAATGTCTTGTGTGCATATTGTCTAAACTTCTTAAATTTTTTTTTGCAATGGATTAAACTATCTTAAATATGTTCAAGCTTTTTGTTGCACACTACCTTCTCAATTTATTAGCTACCATGTTTTAGGCTCTTAGTTTGTGATCTATAGAGAATTGTATTTGATTAGGAGTTGTGTAAGTTGTATGGTGAAGTAACTAATGACTATGTTGTGTATGTGAAACATAAAATGACTACCTAAAAGGTGTCTCTAGGTCTTAAGAAAGTATACAGTAGTAGTCATTTCTTGGTCATGCACAAGATAAATGAATTATATATTATTGAGTTTATAACTTTTGAAAGCAACTGTGTATTTCCTAATTAACAATGCCCCCAATATATTGCTACTAGTATTTATACATATGGTGAATGATTTGATAAAATTTGAGACGAATATCAACTCAATGCCAATAATAACACATTACTTATCTCATTACTATTGATCATATTTACGTAATAGGTGATACCACCATTAAAAATATTTTATGAATCATCTATAATAATTGACAAACCTTAATAATAGTGCTAATATCTTGATATTTTTCGAGGTGGTCATTAAGTGATTACTTTTACCTTTGAGTTGTTAATACACACTCTTACTTCACCAATTAAATCTCATAAGAAGTTTCTCCTTACTACATCAAACTTTCATGTTGTCGCATCGATACATAAATTGTGTTGGTGAAGGAACTCAGCATTATACAAAGGTGACTCACATGTTCTTATAAGCTGCAAATGTAGATTAAGGTTTGAAATATCGAGTCCATTCAAGTATAGAAGATAATATGAATGTTTATTAGCCCTAAAGTTATTATCCTAAACTCAAATAACTTATATCTCATGACACAACATATCTTTGATATGTCACATTCTTTAATATATATCTAGTGATACGCACTTTTTATAATAAGTTTTGAAAAAACTTTAATATGTTAGACATATAAATTATGTTTAACATGTTGATCAACTAATCAAGATACATGTTGGGCATATGGATATGAAAATCTTGTTCTATTATAACGAATACTAGTAATAATGTATTGATGATGAAATAGTAAAAATAAGTGAATATTTCTATAGAAGTTTGGTTAGTTGTTGGACTTATTTGACTTATACTTCACATAATGTTATGTTTTCAGTGTGTATGATTTCAAGATTTATACATTGTGCTTTGTTTTATCATCTTGGAGTAACAAAATAAATTATTTATTTCACTAGTATAAGTGATTAAGAAAATTTGATATAAATATATTTCACACATTAAATTATTTGATTGTACTAACAATGATTAGGTATACACTATCACTAACAAGAATATCACTAGTGATTTTTTTAAAAAGTTTAAATCATATGTTGCACATAAAAAAAGAAATAATAATATTATATCAACTTCTAAAGGTGCACATATTATTACATCATTAGCATGACAACGAACTATATGGATGAGAAGAATTGTGGAAGGTATTAATGACCCAAATAGATCTAATGGAAGTATATTGTGAAAATAAATCAACTATATTCAATGAAAGAAAAAGCATCTAGAGATTTTGATGGGCTCATGTTGATACAAGTGACAACTTGACTTATTGTCCATGTGAAAGTTGACCAAATCTTATGGCCAACAATGGGAGATGGTTGTGACGGGGATCTAGTGGACTCAAGAATGGAACAATGGAGAATCGGTGGGTAGGAGAAGGAAAAGAGAAGATGAAAGGAAGATAGGATAAAATGGAATGATATATCAACACTAACTTTAATTGCTCCATTGAGATGACTCTATTCTAGGTAGTTTATAGCCCTTTACCCTTGTTGATTTGTTTCACTACTGACCTCACGGTGTCAACAAAATTGAAGCACCAGTTGTACAAGCATGACGAGATTGTTGTGCAACTTAGACAAAAAATAGAACATACTAAAACCCAAATGAAATAGTTTACAAATCGCAAACAACAAGAACTTGAGTTCCAAGAAGATGATTGGGTCTACCTTCGTTTACGACCTTACTATCAAACCTCAATTGCATAACAAACTTATGTAAAGCTCGCCCCTCGCTTTTACAATATGTCTAAAGTCTTTCAACATGTGGGCTCGGTGGCATACTAGTTAGACCTCCCCAGTTCTAGTGGTCAGGTTTGAAGCATATTTTGAAGTCAAATGTGGTGATCTTCATCAGCCACTTCTGATAATCCAATATGACATGTTGGTGTTCTAAGAGAAACTTCAAGCTTCATTGGTCTATGTAAATCTAAAACTTATGACCAATGAGATAGAATTGCCATTTATAGATGGTAATGACAATGGCGATGAGCTCCCACTCATACGTTGGCTTCTGGAGATGGGTGGGTGCCAGTGCTTAGTCAAAGAATGTCATTGGTCTTCATTGTTGCATGATAATTGTTTTTATGCATGACTAGAAGCGTTTGCCTTGAGCTTGAACATGACAAAGAAGTTCAGCAAGGACAACACTGATACCGTCATCAAGGCTTGCTTGAGCTGTTGGAATGCACCTTCGACCACCAGGTTCTAATTGAACACCTCTTTCTTTAGATGTTGCATCAATGACCAATCTATCTATCCGAAGTTGAGGATAAAGCATCAATAATATTCTGCCAGGCCTAAGAATCTTTTTTGTGTCAATGGGCTCATGTTGATGCAAGTGATGACGTGACTCATTGACTATGTCAAGGATGACCAGACCTTATGATTGGTAGATAGGAGGTGGTTAGAAATAGAAGGATCTAACATACCCAAAGGGAGCAATAGAGGATGATTAGGTTGGAGAGGGAAAAAGAGAAAATGAAGAAAAGATAGGATAAAACAAAATGATTCAACCAAAATCCACGATCTTGTGGGCGTTACAACTTCAGAGATGGTAAGTCTCCAGCTCCAGAGAGAGTTTCTCCTTACAACTTCCTCCCTTTCATAGGGGTCATTCTTTGTTACTTATAGTTGTTGTAGGCCTCAATGCCCTTCCTCCTCAATGGGACTTGACATGATCTGTTAATGTCCGATCTTGTTATTTGAGTAGGTTTACCACCAAATCCATCCACTGCCCTCGACTTTTGTCTTACATGATCCATTGCCTCATTGCCCTGCTAATGTCGGGTTCTCATGTCCCATCATCTTGCACTTTCTTCTACATGTCCAATTGTAGGACTAGATTGGGCCAACTTTTTTAAGACTGTTCTCTCCTTGGCCCAGCTCTTGATGCAAAGGCCTCAACAGATTTGTCATCACTTTATTCAAAATTTAGTTACTAAAAATTAAATTGAAATTAATTTTGTTCAACAAATGATCAAGTGACTGATGTACTTAGGCTTTGAATTATCCTAAATTTATCTAGAAAGTCTATTTTTGTTGTTGATATCTTTGGTTTGAGTGTCGGTAATTAATGTAAAGATGATTTTATTTTATTATTTACAACTTATGACTTGAAGTCATCATTTAGTGGACGAAGTTCTCTCTCTCTTTCTCTCTTTCTCTCTTTCTCTCTTTCTCTCTTTCTTTCTCTCTCTCTCTCTCTCTCTCTCTCTCTCTCTCTCTCTCTCTCTCTCTCTCTCTCTCTCTCTCTCTCTCTCTCTCTCTCTCTCTCTCTCTCTCTCTCTCTCTCTCTCTCTGTGTCTCTAGCTAGGTTTTACTTCTCCTTCATTAGGACTCCGCGGCCTGTCTAGGAGGGGCTGTGGGGGACACCGTAGGGATCGTTTGGACCTTGCTCAAAACCAGTCGTCCAAAATAGTCAATGTTACAAGCGCTCGAACTACTTTCACTGGATTCCCTGAAATAATTATATATTTTTGGAAAAAACCACAGGGAAAATAAATAAATATATAGGGAAGATTTTGTTTTTTAGCGATTTCAAGCTAGTCGTGTTACTGTCACATTTGTAGTGGAAGTTTGAGGAGAGGGGGAGAGGGGGAGAGAGAGAGAGGGAGAGAGAGGGAGAGAGAGGGAGGGAGAGAGAGAGAGAGAGAGAGAGAGAGAGAGAGAGAGAGAGAGAGAGAGAGAGAGAGAGAGGAGTATCAGCAGCGGAAAGACGAACCATAAGCGATTATCTCTCAACTTAAATAACAAACAAGGGAAGCTTAACAAATCAACAAATCCATGCACGTGAACTGCGGACGGCGTTCTAACTCCCCGACTTTCATTCCTTTTCTCTCTCTACATATTTCAGCACAAGCCCCCTCGGCAGCGCAACATCGTCGTCTTCGCCATGGCGGCCACCGTCCTCCTCCCCCTCTTTATCCTCCTCCTCGCCGGCCTCGGTGCCTGCAGCGCCGCCAACTTCTCCTCCCTCCTCGTCTTCGGCGACTCCACCGTCGACACCGGGAACAACAACTACATCTCCACCTCCTTCAAGGCCAACCACGTTCCCTACGGCGTCGGCTTCCCCGGAAAAATCCCCACAGGGAGGTTTTCCGACGGCCTCCTGGTCCCGGACATGCTCCTCTCCGAGCTCGGCATCGGCCAGCTTTTACCGCCCTTCCTCAAACCTAACATCTCTGGCGATGATCTCCGGCGGGGGGTCAGCTTCGCCTCCGCCGGCTCCGGCTTCGACGAGGTCACCGCCGCCAGCTCCGGCGTCATCTCCGTGCCGAAGCAGGTGGACATGTTCAAGCAGTACATCGTGCGGCTGAAGAGCGCCGCCGGGGCGGCGGAGGCCTCAAGGATCGTCGGTGAGGCGCTCGTTCTCATCAGCGCCGCCTCCAATGACCTCTCTATCAGCTTCTACGACTCCCCGGCGAGGAGCGGCAACTTCACCATCACCCAGTACCATGACTTCCTTATCCAGAAGATCGAAGATTTCATCAAGGCACTCGTTATTTTGAACTTCTTATCAATTCCTTTCAGGCGTGATTCATGTTCGAATATTGTTAAGATTTTATAGCCCTCGCTTCGTTGACTCTCTCTGCAGCAAGTTTACGACCTCGGCGGGCGGAGATTCCTGGTGTGGGGGATCTCGCCAATCGGCTGCGGGCCTCTGCAGATCACCATGAAGCTTTTGAGCCTGCTAGAAAGATCCTGCGTAGAGAACGAGAACGCCGATACCGTCGTCTTCAACTCCAAGCTCCAGGCCCTGCTGGGGAAGCTGCAGAAGGATCTTCCGGAGAGCAAGTTCTCCTTCGCCGACCTCTACGCCGCCGCAACGGATATATTCCAGCAACCCCAGAAATACGGTAACCCGATGCTTCTCCACGCCAGTGGAAGAATGCTTCGTCCCTCCTCCCGTGCCTGACCGGATCACCTGCATGTTTAGGGTTTGTGGAGGCGCGAAGAGGGTGCTGCGGCACTGGTCTCATGGAGGCCGGGGAGCTCTGCAGCTCGCTGACGCCGACGTGCCCGGACCCCTCCAAGTTCGTCTTCTTCGACTCCGTCCACCCCACCGAGGCCATCTACAAGATCGTCACGAAGAACATAATGGAGAAGTGCATCCCCCAGCTGAGCTGAGGTCTCCACCCCGCGGGCGCCTATCTGAGGCTATTAGGGTTTCAGGGTAGGGTTTCGATCATCCCATAGATCATGTATTTTCCCTATTCAAGATTAGACATTCGGACTTACCGCTAGAGATATTTGACGTAGGTACTAAGATCCCTGCAAAAATCTTCAGTTTTCTCTGTTCATGAACGATGATCAACGTATACATCTAGTGAACGACGTTATTGATTCACCACTTGCGAATCGCATTATTCAGCGCGGATTATGAGGAGCCGTCTCATTCGTTCTCCTCATCAATGAGATTTCTCGCATAGTTTCCCCATCGTCGTTCTCATTAACGGGCGGGCCCAAGTCGTCCATTTCGAGGCCTGAATGAAAAAAAGGAGAGAAAAAGTTGATACACCAATAGATGATGCATTGATGGGCCGGGTTTGGGCTTTTAGTAGGCATGGGCCTACCATCCCAAAAGAGGTATTTTTAAATAGCTTTGATTTAATATTTCTGAAAAGGTATATAAACTTCTGTAATAGTACATTTTTAAAATAATTATTTCTTATTAAAAGTTATTTTTTCGGAGAGTCAGTGATATTGGTTTTCTAGTAAATTTTAAATTAGATTATTTAATTATTTAATTAAAAATTGACGTGCTTTATGTTTTCAAGTATGATATAATTTTTAATTGGCTTAGAATCCAAGCTTGGTATCTTAATATTTTTTCATTAATAGAAATCCATTAAGCATTGGATTAAATAATATAGAAAGTGGGATCAAATAAGAAAAAGAGTTTTGGAAGGGGACCTAAAGAGAAAAATCCCCTAGGGTTTTAAAATCAGGTGACGCAAACTTGCTCTTCCCCAGCTGCCTCTCTCGTCTTTCCTCATCCACAAATCATCAAACCCTCCCCCCCCCAACAAACCTGCGCTTCACTTTTACCGGCGCTGCGGCAACCGGCGCTGCGGCAACCGGCGCCGCCACCACTGCCTGGGCGTATCTTGAAAACGGGGAAGGCCACACCGGTGCTCGGCCTTCATCTTGACAAGGTTAGTTTCTTTCTTTTTTTTCCTTCCCTTTTCTTCTTTTATGCTAGGCTGAGATTATTTAATTTGTTCGTCCGCTCTGGGAGATTTTCTTGGATCAGAGAGTAGAGGCATATCATGTGCGTAACGTTCTCTCCTCACTTCGCACGCCGATCCGCCTATATTATTTGTTAAGTTTGGTAGTATTGGATATGGTTTGTGTAAATTATTCTTTAAAGCGAGGGTTGCTTAGGTGTTCTCTGTGTCGGAGGAATCTACACCAACTACGGCCTTTGCCGTGAGCGTGCCCCAGCGTCGCTGCAGATCATCCTGTCTATCGTCTTCCAGAGCTCTATCACGTTCTGGCTTCGTTTCCGCAATCCAGTCACTGGCAGTATTTCTTTCTTTTTTTGTGCGAGGCGTTGAAAATCCACGCGGTTTTTTTGTGGACCCTTAGCAAGATAAATCAGCCTCGAAGGGAATCTTCTGGCATCAAAGGATAATCACTCTCTTTGTGAGGCTATTCTGTTCTTGTGCTGCATCAGTGGGGCATATTACAGGGAATGGGTCCTTTGTAAATGGCTTGTCGGCCATACGTAAGCATCCTTTTAGGTAGATGTGCTGGCTCTGGCCTGCGTTTTTCGTCATTAAATATAACATCTCAAAGAACGGGAAATCTCAAGGGCATTTTGATTCTATTGTAATTTCCCACAATGGTAATAGTCCTCATTTACCTTCATGCTTTACATTAAAATATCTAGCTGTTTATGATCCAATTTTTTCTCAAGTTCAAGACATAGTGTAGTTTGCATCAATCTTCAAGATATAGTGAAGTTCAGGATGCCGATAGGTTAACTTGCATGATATTGTAGATAATTTTCTCATTGTCAATGTTTGAATCATGCGGAGCATGGAGATGAGATGTTCATTCCGTGTTTAATCTTTATGCTGTCGCTACCAAGAGTTAGTATTGCCAGTCGTAATAGTTTAGATTGATCCTCATCAGTCCGACTCAAAGCTGTCTGAAATGAAATAATGCGGGTCAAAGTTGGATTTATCTTGACGTGAGATAGTACAGTCATTTCTGGGGACAATTTCAAGACATGGGTTGTTAGGTTTTCCAAGTTAGCTATACATTGGATAAAGATGTTGTTTGCCATGATATGCCTGCCGCCTGTTTTAAAGGACAGTTGAACGAGATTCTTGAGCATCACACAATGGCGTAATTCCCAAGGGTCCAATTCGCACATTGGAAGAGGTTCCAGAATGCAAAGATTCGTATTTGTTGCTGCGTTAGTGATTAGAACAGTCTGCAGAGATCCAACTGAAAACAGTACTAGAGTTGGAAATTACAGTGTCGTTTTGCATCCAACAAGCATATTCTTTTTCTCTCTTCTTTTTCTTTGGCTGCTGCTGATGCAATACCTATTGTATTTGCTAATGGGATGGGCCATTTTCACTTTGGGATTTCGCTCTTGCCCACTATTTGCCTTTCGGCATTTGTTTCCTTAATTAAAATGTTATTGGTATGTTGTGCATTATTCGTGTTCTGTTGAAGTAGCCTCTCTGTCTTGAGGAGCATTTTAAGCATCATTGCTTGGGCCAAACAATTTTTCCTTCTGGACGTTTTTGAACGTATTTGAAGTGTTCTTTATATATAGGACGTACTTAAGCTTTAAACCCAAAATTTTCGCGTGGAGGTTCACTTCAGTGGTTCCATTTTCCTTTCGGATAAGTTTGTGTCTTTGCACATTGGAGCTGAGTAAGGAACTTTCTGGATGAGATCAATAAATTTATTTCATTTCCGTGTAGATGAATCGGGAGAAACTCATGAAGATGGCGGGTGCGGTTCGCACTGGTGGGAAGGGAAGCGTGCGCAGGTTTTACACTTTTGTACACTTCTAGTGCTAAATATATTGCTTCTTCTTTTTTTAGTCAGTCTGTTGCTGAATTAGCTTTGCCCATGATTGTAGTAAGTGTTCCAAATCCGAGCAAGGATGCTGGTTGTATCTGCCTACTTCGCTGTCATTGCGAATACTAATACTGGGCGCGAGAAGTTTGCATCTTCAATTGATCATGTCGAATCTTTTTTTTTCATGGAATGAGATTTATGATGATGATGACGAAGATAAATATGATATTGGGCCGCATCCTTCATCAGAAGAGCCCGTTGCTTCATAGTATTTTTGGGTGGTGATGATTGTCTCTTTAAAAATGGTTGCTCTTCCTTTAATTTTCGTTTCATCTTGAGTTATACGCATAAAGAACGCATATCAGTCCCTCAGGTAGGGATGGGATATCATACTGTTGCTATGTTTTAGGATCAGTCGATAATATGCAGGAGTTGGAGAGGTGGTTTGGATTGCTATCAGAGTGATTCGCGCATATTATGTTTCTCTGAGTGTGGACCATAATAATAATTTCCTCCTTTTTGGGGTTTAATACGACTGTGAAATGAGTTTCACGTTTTTTCCCATCCACATAGTTTTTTAAAGGTAAACTACGAGGACAGTCTTGTCCTCCTTGTTGGCCGTCTGAACGAACAGCATGGTTCACCTTGGTTGCTCTGTGTTTCTGCAGAAAGAAGAAGGCGGTCCACAAGACCGCTACCACAGACGACAAAAGGCTTCAAACCACTCTGAAGAGAATCGGGGTGAACGTCATCCCGTCGATAGAAGAGGTCAACATTTTCAAGGATGACGTAGTGATCCAGTTCTTGAACCCCAAAGGTATGCGAAGGAATAATCGAACGAGACGCTGGATGCATGTTGTTCTACGACCATTCATCCTCCCCCCTCCCCCCCCAATCACGCCGCTAACTAACGAAGCGTGTTGTTCAACTGTCTCCGTCGTACAGTGCAGGCCTCTATCCCCGCCAACACTTGGGTGGTCAGCGGTTCTCCCCAGACAAAAAGTAATATTTCTCACTCTTCTCGTTCTTCCTGCTGGGTCTCCCTCACCATCATCCATCCTTTTGATGCATTCACTTACCAGGGGTAGATTTTCTCTTTCCTCTGGTTTTCTTTTCATCCTTTCCTCATCTGACGAGTTTCTCTTCGGCGGCAGAGCTCCAAGACTTGCTGCCCGGGATCATCAACCAGCTCGGTAAGGCCTTCTTCTTCACAAAAAATGAAGCTCCTCTTCCCGCTGAGACTTTCCAGTTGCCGTCATCTGATTCGTTCTGGTGGGGTGGGTCGTTTAGGAGCGGATAACATCGACAATCTGAGGCGGCTTGCCGAACAGTTCTCCAAGCAGTCTCCTGGAGCTGCCGCCGCCGCTGCCGCCGGCGGAGAGGAGGAAGACGACGATGTTCCGGACCTTGTGGAAGGCGAGACGTTCGAAGCTGCTGCGGCGGAGGGAGAGAGCAAAGCTGCGGCGGAGGGGAAGGGTAAAACCGCGGCTTCCTAGAAGAAAGAGAGAGGGTTTATCTGTTCCACCAACATATTCTGTTCGTGAGTCGTTTTCTTCAGACCCTTCCTTTTAGGATATCCTCCTCTACCGTGGACGGTGGGAAATTCCTTCTGTTTCCTCTCCCCCTCTTCTTTGTTTTCAGTAGAGAAAGAGATAGAGAGAGGATCTTTTACGTCGGTCGGTGTTACTAGCATGCCCTTGCCTCCACGCTTCAAGTAGTTGCCGTTTACAGTCCCACTATATATACATATATATATATATGAGAGAGAAAGAGAGAGGCCAGTCAGGTAAAACTTTTGGTCAGTTTCTTGTTGGGCCCTAGTGGAAACTCTCTCTCTGTCGGTCTGTCTCTTTCTCTTCCTCTCTCTCTCGTTCTATCTCTGAGAGAGTCCTTATCGAGCCTGACTCTAATAGCTCTAGAGAAGAATCAGAATGAAGTTGTGCTTGCCCATCAGGTAAAACTTTGGGCCAGTTTCTTGTTGGACCCTATTGGAGAATATCTCTCTGTCTCTTTCTCTGTATGACTGTCCGTCTCTATCTCTGTCTCTCTATATCTCTGAGAGGGAGAGGGAGAGAGAGAGGTAGGGTCATCGAGCCTGACTCTAATAGCTCTAGAGAAAAATCAGAATGAAGTTGTGCTTGCCCGTCAAGTAAAACTTTGGGCCAGTTTCTTGTTGGGCCCTAGTGGAGAATCTCTGTCTCTTTCTCTGTCTCTCTGTTTGTCTGTCTTTCCCTCTCTCTCGCTCTATCTCTCTATCCACCTCAGAGAGAATTCTAAACGAGTCCGATTACCCTCACATTCGTGTAACGTAGTGCACTGATCAGCGATTCAATGCGCCGCATGGGGCGGGGAAGAGAGAGAGAGAGAGAGAGAGAGAGAGGCGATTGGAATTACCAAAGAAGAACGCGTGGAGATGGAGGATATTCACAACAGGAGCAGGAGCAAGAGCAGCAGAGCTCCCGGCGACAATGGCGATGGCGAACTTCGCGTGCGTGATGGCGTGGGCCGTCTTTTCCTCCGTCATCTTCAACCCGGCAGGCGCCGCCGCCGCCGCCGCCGCCGCGCCGCCCAAGCCCGTGGACTGCTCCACCGTCACCTTCGGCATGATGGACTGTCTCGGCTACGTGAGCGCTGGTAGCGAGGCGGACCAGCCCGACGACTCCTGTTGCGAGGGCGTCCTGGCGGCGGCGCAGCTCGGTCTTCCCTGCCTCTGCGAGGCCCTCCACGAGGCGGCCTTCATGAATGTCAACCTCAACATCTCCCGCGCCGCCCGTCTCGCCGCTGCCTGCCATGTCTACGTTCCCCCCTCCACCAGCTGCAACGGTACAATGGATGCGGGCATGTGATAATGCACTCTCCGTGACATAATTATTATTTAGAAATATATTTTAGATAGCAAATTGAATCCCTATAAGCCAGTCGAATGATGTTGACGACGACATTCTTTGTAATCTCTCAGCGGCACGCTCTCCACACGCTGGTGGGGCTCCTGCTGGTATGGAAACTCTTCATAATACATCGTGAAGCTCTCTGTGATTACTGCGTCCCCCCGAGTTACCACCTCCGCCTGATATTTTGCTTGCCATAGTGCCGTCGAAGCCACAGACTGCTGTATCTTCTTCTCCGTCACCGTTGCCGGCGCCGGCGGAACCGCGCCGCCTGGTCTCTCCCGCCGAGCCCCCCACAACGACGACTCTCGGATCTCCAGCGCCGGTGGAACAGCGCCGCCCGTTCTCTCCTGCCGAGTCGCCTCCATCGACTCTCAAATCCCCGGCGACTGGGACGGTGACGGTGACGGTGCCCTCAGGGTGTTCATCTCTCGCGGTTGGTCTCGTCTGTCTCGTGCTCGGTGTCACTGTCACTGCAGCGTCTCTCCAAATATAACACAGAGATTGAAAGAGAGAGAGAGAGTTGACCATCCATATCCCGATGACGTGGGGATTTTATGGATAAATGGATCTCTATAGGTTTACATGAGATATATACGAAAATGTAGTACAACCGGCCGCAAAACAGCGTGATAGTGTTTATACTATGGTGACTTTAACGGCGAGGGGATTTGTCGCAGATTCGGAAGTCGCCCAGAACCTGAAGTTCAGGAAGGTTATTGGGAAGAGGGTGGGGTCTGCCGCCAGAGGAAGGAGGAGGAGGCTTGCCGGAGAAAGAAGGGATGGGTAGGGAGATCGACACTTGGAAAAATCTCATATAAAGCCAAAATATCAGTAAGAGAACTATGTCGGCACCATGTTGGTGTGAGGGACCAGAGAATCCTTCCTCGGCGAGATGCCTCCAAGATGGCACCTTGCCTCTCCGCAAAAATGACAACCGGCTAGCTTTCTCCGCACATGACAGTTTGAGAGACGTTGACTTTTTGCCCACCCAGCGAGATTATACATGATGGCTGCCGCGTCAAAAGCGAAGGACCTGATCTCCGGGTGGGGTTTCAACGGGCCATATGTTGGGCCAGAGAAAACTCCGATGGCTGACCCGTGGATGGTCTCTGAGGGAAGACCGACGGATGGATGAAGAAAAAGTGAAATCCGAAGTGGGACAAGAGTCGGGCCGTGGGGTAAGCTCGAGCTGACGCGGTTTGGCGGCGGAAGCCGCCAGGGAGTATCGGATTCCGATCGATGACAGCTGCGGAATTCCGCTTTCGACAAACCAGAGAGCGCTTAATGAGTAGCCCCTGGTCAATGAAGTTCCGGGTGAGATCAACGTTTCACACGGGGAAGACCCGCTTAGAAAGGTGGCAAGTGCATGAAGTGGGACTCTGCATGGGAAAAACCTACTTTTTGAGAAACTGAGACCGAGTCTCTCTCTCTCTCTCTCTCTATCTATATATATATATATATCTTTCTCTCTACTTAACTTATCGATATTATCTGGTTATCTATATTACTCACTCCTTTAATTCCCCCCCCCCCCTCCGTCTGTAATTTATCCATCTTCTCTCTCTCCCACTCTCCGTCTCTCAATCTGCCTAGTTTATCGATATTCTCTCGTTCTCTATGTATCCATTCCTTACATCCCCACTCCGCGTCTAATGTATTCTTCTTCCCTCTTTGTCCCTGTTCCGTCCGTCAGTCGCTCTGTCCTGTGCGACTCGATCTCGATCTCCATATTCACTTCTCCGTAGAAAATGTAAGCCATGGCGGGGGAGGGGACGGGCGAGAAAATACTGCATACGTCCAAAGAGAAGCTTCTCCGTCGGACAAAACCCAGTTGGTGAAACGAAGAGTGTGGGAGCCAGACGAAGATAGAGATGGCACACTGAACTTTGTTAGAAGCCGCGAAGTCATCCCCCTCCAAGAGCAGCTTCTTCGCCCCCGGCCGAGCTCTTCCATGGCGGGAGGCCCCCACTGGGCCTAACCTAAATGGCACCCACCCAGCCGCCTTCTCTTACTCGCTGACCACTGTCGCCTATAAATCCCTCCTCCCCCTCCTCCCCATTCCTCACCTCCCTCCCCACCATTCCCAGCTCCTTCTTCCTCTGCATCCTCTCACATGGCTCCTCTCATCTCAGCCATCTCTCTCCTTCTCCTGCTCGCAGCGGCAAGCGGCGCCATGGGGCAGGGCACCAGTGTTGGTTTCTACAGCACCACCTGCCCTAGAGCGGAGGCCATTGTCAGGTCCACCGTGAGGTCGCACCTCGCCGCCGACCGCACCCTGGCCGCCGGCCTGCTGAGGATGCACTTCCACGACTGCTTCGTGCAGGGCTGCGACGCCTCCATCCTCATCGACGGGTCTTCCTCGGAGAAGACGGCGCCGCCTAACCTCTCCGTTAGGGGTTACGAGGTCATCGACGACGCCAAGACCCAGCTCGAGGCCGCCTGCCCCGGCATCGTCTCCTGCGCAGACATCCTCGCCCTTGCCGCTCGCGACTCCGTCGCACTGGTACTTAACAAAAGATTGATTTCATTGATCGATTGATTGGCTTGATCCTGATCTGATTCGTCCCGTTTTTCTGGTGGGCTGCAGACGGGAGGTCCGAGCTGGGGAGTGCCAACCGGACGGCGAGATGGGACCGTCTCCTCCGCCTCCGACGTCGACCTCCCCTCTTTCACCGACTCCGTCGACTCCCAGAAGCTCCAGTTCTCTCAGAGAGGCCTCACCACCAAGGACCTCGTCACTCTCGTCGGTAAGCACCCTCAGAAAGAAGTTCACCAAGAGAGAGAGAGAGAGGCGTCACCGGACCAATCTGACTCGGGAATTATGGGATGAAACAGGGGCACACACTCTGGGAACAGCGCAGTGTCAGTTCTTCAGGTACAGGCTCTTCAACTTCACCAGCGACGGTGGGCCCGACCCGACCATCGACGGCGAGTTCCTCACGCAGCTGCGGACTCTCTGCCCCGCCGACGGCGACGGTACCAGGCGGGTGGCGCTGGACAGCGGCAGCGAAGGGAACTTCGACCTGAGCTACTTCAACAACCTGCGCGGAGGGAGGGGGGTGCTGGAGTCGGACCAGAGCCTCTTCTCCGACGCCTCCACCAGGAGGTTCGTCCAGGGTTACACCGGCCTCCTCGCCGGCCTGGTTGGGACCTTCAGCTTCGAGTTTGGGGTCTCCATGGTTAAGATGAGCAACATCGGAGTGAAAACCGGCAACCTTGGGGAGATCCGCAGAGTCTGCTCCTCCATCAACACCTAAAGCCTCGACTCCGACAGAAGAGAGAGAGTATGGTCCTCTACTAAAACCTTTGATTCTCTGACAGAAGAGAGGGTGTACTTAATTTACATACAAATAATGAAATCAAAGATTCGATTGTGATAATCAGAGTCTCACATCGCGTCAGCCCAATAAATTCTCTCGGGACATATCAACAGTTGGCTGCGCAACCTGCGCATTTGTCAGTAGGCCCACTCCACATATTGGCCCATGATGCCTCGTCCTCCAGCAGCCGCATGACGAAATCCTATTTTATTTGGTCCTTATGGAAAATCGTTAATCACCATTAATGTCCTATTAATTATAACTCACAATGCTTCATAACCAGAAATCATCATTTAACGAGTACTTTCTGTAAATGGAGAATATATACAGAATATTATGACCACTACTATTACTACAAATAGTTAGATAGTGTATTTCTAAATTTAGTAGCTAATAAACTACTTCCTACTGTTTAATAAATAATAGTTTTAAAAATGGTATAGCATGAATGATTAACTTGAGAAATTTTATTTACTCTGAATATATAAATAACTTAACGTGTACTATATGTACATGCAGAATATATATGGAATATTATTAACCCTACTATTACTACAAATAATTAGATAGTATGTTTCTAAATTTAGTTGATATAAATTATTTTAATATTTTTAATAAATAATTTTATAGCATAAATGATTAACTTGATAAATTTTATTTACGATGAATATATATATATGTATATATATATATATATATATATATTATATAATATACACAGCTTTTACCCCCACAGACAGAGAATCTCTGAACATACCCCTCCACTACCCTGAGGGAGAGGAACAAGGCACCTCCTGGTGGCGTGCCGCCTCCTCTGGTAGAACTCGACCTCACTGCTCGGGAGGCACAGAGACGTCCACTCCATTTTCACGGTGGGGAAGCTCCACACCATGAAATACCCAGGTCGCCGTTGCGCTGGAGGTTTAAGAAGACTTCCAGTGGAGGGGAGGGGGGGAGGAAGAATAGGGCTCTGCTCAGAGGGAGATGGCCGCTCCGTGAAAGTGGGTCCGCCGCGGTGGAGAACGTAGAAGGTGGCGTGATGGGCTCCGGCACCTCCAAGCTCGAGAAGAACGAGGGCTTGGCCCTCTGCAAGCTGCGCATGCGCTTCATCATGCAAGCGACTGAGTGGAGGCACGCGCTATCGGCAGCCCGCCTCGTCTACCTCCAGTCTCTGTGCAGCCTCGGAATGGCCCCCCGTCGTCTGGCAGAGGCGGAAGCTTTGATGGGACCGTCGTCGCCCACCTCTTCTGCTTCCCCTTCTCCCTCGCAGTTCCGATGTGGAAGCTCCCCGTCCCCAAGTCTGCCCATGACGAGCTGCGTGAGAGCTACAGCTACGGCGGCTTTGGCGGACCCCCCGGATCCCCGCACAAATCGCCCGGTTGAATAGCGAGCTCTTCCTGTCCTATGGCCCCGCCGTCTGAGGCCTCATCATCATTGGACTTCTTCGTGTCAAGAAGACTCCCCTAATTCAAGAAAGTTGCTCAACAGATCGTCAAGAAATCCGTTGAGTACACACGTATAACAAACCACAAACAAACTTAACACACCTAACACACACCCACGCACACGCATGTAATGATGGGGAAAATTCTTATCTTGACTGATACACAACCTTAACACTTTGTCCTCTCTATCTCTCTCTGCTCTCTACCATCTTCTTCTTCTTCTTGAGTCTTCATATGGTATCAGAGCATGCAAGCGATCAAGCATTAACTACTCAAGAATCAATGTCATGGCAGCAACAAAGGTGGCTTCGTCTTCATCTGCGGTATCATCCACCGTAACGCCTCCACCTGTGATGCCGTTTCTCCTAGTAAAGCTTTCAAACAATAATTACCAACTGTGGAAGATGCAGTCCATCGCACTTCTTAGGAGTTAACGGCTTTTGCATATTGTTGATGGCTTTGCGACACCACCTTCTCTGACTATTAAGAATGAAAACAGAGAATTTGAACCTAGTCCAAATTTTATTTTCTAAGAGCGAAATGATCAATTGAATTGTTCTTAGATAATGTCTTCTCTCACTAAAGTTGACTATCTTATTATTGTTGGCTATCAAACATCAAAAGGTATATGTGATGCCTTAGCAAGAGAGTTTGCATCGACAACAAAATCACGAATTCTTTAATTAACTTCACAACTCTATGCCGCTCAATGTGGACAATTATCAATT